CTGTAGCAGAAGTGATGACAAGCATCTCCGGCCATATCACAGTCCTGTTAGGACTAGTGCCCTGTGCACGTGCTACAGATAGGAACCATTCACTTTAACATATTATTATAATATATAACGTAACTTATGATGAACCGGTTCATAATTAACTCACCACTAACTTTAAACTATAATAATTTTTGTTATGCGTCTCGAACCACCTCTCACACCTTCTCAAACTGAAGATAAGATACATAATGTTATTATTGTATTTCAATTGAAGGAATTTGATTTAATTAGAAAGGTTACAAAGCATTTTGAAGTTCCTAAGTCAACTTTTATAACTAGAATCACTGAAAGGAAATCACATACCCAATCTCACAAAATAGCTCAAATTCTTTCAAATACAGAAGAAAATATATTAGTACAATAGATCTTATGATTTATTGTTATTGGATTCCTTATTATACTTATATTAGTGAAGGAAATGATCAACGAAACTCATATTCGATATATCCAAATCGCGTCCTCTTCAAACCCTACCTCGACAAATATTCTATTTATAGGTTACAAATAAATTTATAGATTCCAAAAACGATATCCAGAATTTAAAACATAATATTTATATCAATTAAAGTCTAATCGAACTAAAGAGGTAACTTCAGAGAATATCCAGGCTTAATTTGATGTATTTCAAATGCATCTTATTGAGCAAAAGTATGAATTAAATAATATATATAATATTATTAAAAGATTGGGTGGAAGAGGCCTCTATATTGATCTATATTACTACGTCTGTAGGCATGTTAATCTCCTCTTGGTATCCTCGGAGGGGACCAATATGCCTGCTTATGGTTCGTCTAATCTAGCCTGTTTAGGTAACCCGTATTACTAATCACGACACGTGATTAGTACCGGTAACTTCTATTCCTTTTAACAGATATTAAAGTTTCTTTCAAATTTTTGTTTTTGTCTAACAAAAATTATTATAAAAGTTTTTAAAATTATATTAATTCAAGAACAATATTATTAAAAAATATTTTGTAATTTTAATACTATATTTTTATTAGATATCAAATCTAATTATCAAAAAAAATAAAATTATCTTTAATATCCATAAAGATATAAAAAGTCGTTCTAAGTACCTTTGCATACAAATTTTGGTGTAAAGGTACCTGACCCATACTATGACATGACCCACTTCTAGTCAAGTTACGTTATATCAAATCATTATACCTATAAACACACACACACACATATATATATATATATATATATATAATTATAATCATTAGACACCTAACAATCATTATACAAACACTACAACTACTACTAAAATAAATAATACATATCCATCTATCAAAAACACCATCGTCAACAAACACTAAGCGACAATTCTCGCACCTTGAACTTGAACTTGAAATCTCCAATACAACTCAACCCCGCCCATCCCATCCTCTCCCCCCCCCCCCCCCCCCAACCTAAACCAGCACTTCCTTACCCCTCTTTATAACTCCTATAATCAACCAACCAGCCACTCTAAAAAATCATAATAATCACATTCCCAACCCCGATCCCCCAATCCCACAAACATCACAAATTCCATTATACGATTGAATCAAAATCTATTCATCTACCTAGTATCTAATTGAGAGTATTTTTGCAAAGTAGCAGTAGAAGTAAAGTAGTTAGAAGCTAAACACCTCCCCTTCCTTCCCGTCCAATCCACCAAGTCCATTCCAGTCATATTTGCTACCCCTTCCCCTCCCAGGGAATCCGGTTCACAAACTATGCGCCCAAACGACCAATCCATGCAATTTGACTCCCTCTCCAACTTCCATTACAAAGCAGATAGAAGGTTTAAAAGAAAATAAAATTTGTCCGGTAAAAAGAAGAGAAGACTGCGAGAAATAGCTCGTGAATACATTGTGGTTTGACTCAAAAATAAGCAAACCAACCCCCAATTTTGTTCATCCTCCAATGACAAGCCCGAAAATATCAATTCCCTGTTTGACCAGACCTAATGCACGCCAGACTCAGTCCATTTTTCACTATTAACATACGCCTTATGACAGATGGAAAGCTCCTTGTCCCTCCCTAATGGCAGTATTCATACGTCGTCGCATGACATCGAGATCAGTGTAATCAGGCAATTTGAGGTAGTTGACACATGTCATGACACTTGGTAGATAATCGTCAGAGGAGTAAGGTGGCTCACTGGGTTTGCAAACCACAGTGAACATTGGTGTAAGACTCTTGAAACCTGGAAATGTTTAGCTATCAGTCAATAAAAGGAACATAGATTTTAACTTACCACCAATGGGAAGTTTTGGGCTTCCAGTTGTGAATTGAAGGAAATCCCGGCGCTCTGGTAGAGTGAGCTCACTCATCGTTTGAAGCAGGTTCTTCACACTCTTGCTGTCCATATGGAAGCCGTGGTCGGCCTTGATAGAATCTGTCAAAGCTGTAAAAATGTTAGTATAATCTATACTGCAATCAGAGGAAGTGAAAACATACTCTCAAGCGACCAATCTTCTTCAATTCTGCCAAATAACATAACCAACTCATCTGGAGTGAAGGCTCTGAGAGCAGAGTAAGGGAAGACCTGAGTGAAACCAGCACGGAAAGCATCGACTTGTCGTTGAACACCACTTCCCAAAGTCATATCAATAACCTTCTCGAGGTAGAGGTCGACATTATCAATAGTGACAGGAATTGAAGAACCATTGGGGAGAAGATCAATGTCATAACCAGGAAGGGTAAAGTCTAAACTGAGATCTTCAATTTTGGCTCCGTCGATTTCCAATGCTTCTGTCGCAAGGACTTTCTGAGTAGCTGTCAGAGTCGAGTCCTCGGCGATCGCCTTCTTTGCAACAGAAAATTTCTTTATCATCTTGAGTGACTTGGCTAATTGAGGGTCGACGGTTTTGACCGCGCCGAGAGAAGGTGTTACAGGGTTTGACTCGTCGCCGATGCGGAAAAATGTTGGGTTGAAAGAGACATCAATAATGCGAGAGTCAATCATCGACCTAGAGACAAACTTGCCGAGCATTTTGAATAGATGTAAGATCCTCTTTCCGTTCTCATTCAATGATTGTTCTTCGCTCATCGGTGCTGGGAAAAGACCTCGAGCACCAAATGCATACTCGTCGGCGTCGTTATCATTCTCACGCCATAGCTTGAGTTTCTTCTTGGAAAATTCTTTCGAAACGGTTGAATAGAATTCGAGGGTAGGCCCAAGACCAGTTCCAACCTCTTCAAAGTACTCAACCTCAAGGATGCTCTGAGATGCACCATAAAGTTCCATGACCTTCAAGGCCGACTCCAAAATCTTCGATCTAGATATTCGGACCTTCTGGCGCTGAAGCCTACCTAGGAAAGGACGTTCGTCACGATGACGATCTCGGCGAGACTCATCGGCGGATTGAGCATTTTGCCATCTGGTCATTGATCGAGCATAGCCAAAAGAGGTTGATTGCAGGAATAGGTGGCGCGTCTCGAAAGGAAACAAGAATGGATAAAGCCGAGCAAGATCCTCGCTCCAAGTTGGAAGACAGTTACTAGCAACAATGAGGGGTTCTTCCAGTTGTCTATTCAACTTTGCTGTAAGCTTAGTGTTTACGAATTGTGATAAAGGCTCGGCATTCAGTTTCAAGGCATCCTTATTGTCAGCCAAAACATCATCTAGGTTAGCATTGAGTGCGTGTAAGATGTTGAGCAACCGAAGAATTGAAGATGTTGCAGGATGCTTGTCTAACGATGCTGGGATACCAGATGCAGTGGTTTCCGTGCTAATTTCAGATGCTTGAGAAAGAGAGCTAGGCTCCGGAGGAGGTGGTCCAGGAACGCGCTTGAATTTAATGGGATGAATAGCAGACCAAACGCTCCGATTTGAATAATCTTCAGCTGTGTTGGCCATGGTATGAACAGCACGGTAAATTGTAGTCTCATTAGCAATGACTTTGCCATCCAAGCTGAATTCGATGTGCCAATCAGACGGAACAGCTTGAATTGCGGCTGCATAAGACATAGGTCTTGACGATGTGGTTGGCGTGGACGAGGCAGCCTGGGCAGCGGCTGCCTGAAGTGCAGAGCTACTGCGAGAAGTGCTTGGCAAGGATTGTGATGGAGTTGCGACTCTTGTGCCATCCTCCTTACGGGCGGTAACCTTACCGCCTGCTGCTACTTCAAGGTTTACAGCAGTAGGGTCGACGGGAGAATCCTCTTCCATGTCTTCTTCTAAGTCGCCGACAATAGTATCCAAGGCAGCGCTATCCTCCAAATCATCCTCCTCACTCATCTGTCTCTCATCGGCACATTCGAGGGCACTAGCAAGTGCGTCTTCTTCTTGCATGGGAGGCGGTGGGATTGGTGGATCAGTCTGAGCTCCCTGGCGCCGAGACGAACGCCTAGCAGGTTTCTCTACTGGCGTATTGGATGCCGATTGGTCGGCAGATGCGGGTGTTGGAACGGGGCCAGACTTTGCTTTTGCTCTACGAGAAGTACGAGGAGTAGATGCAGTCGGATTTGCTGCGGCGGCTGCTGCTGCGAGACGTGCCTGGGCGTTGGGAATACCAGCATATGGGTTAGGCAAACCGGCTGCGGCAAGGGCAGCTAATGCACCAGAAAGTCCATCTCTAGCTCTGGGTGGCCGAGGGCGATCAGACAAGCTGATTCTTGGACGGAGGTAATCATCCAAAGCCTTGAAAGTCGCGATAGCATGGATAGATACCATGATATTTCGATAGGATCTTGGAATTTCGGAATCCTCATCAGCTACTAACTTAAGACGGATCTGTTTGGCCAGCATCGAAGCGGCACTACTCCTGTTTCCATCAAAACTGTTTGAATGAACAGTGACCACCTCAAAATGCTCCGATCGACTCAACAAATCTTGCAGCTTGTGGATGAGAAGACCAAAAGGGGTTGCAGGCGTGTCTGATCCCGAGTTGGACTTCTTAGCAAGAGTGTGACCCATGAAGACTTCGAGAAAAGCAGATCTAGCATCATTGGCTAGCTGTTCATCCGGGTTGTTGAAGACTTCTAGTAGAACTTGGACAATTTCAGAATTCAATAACTCAGCACTAGTGACACTTTGTAGAACATCGCCATCAAAATAGGATGCGAGTGTTCCGAAAAGCTCAACCCCGCTTCCTGGGCCTTGGCGCAAATAATAGTTTCTGATATCCGAAGCCAGGGATTGTAGACTCGTCAAAATTTTCGTTGCTTTCTTCTTCATGGCTTTGCTATTCTTTTCAGTTTCGTGAACGTCGAGGAACTTTTGTGCACGGACGGCAATGATCTTCATCATACTTTTGAGATCTGACGGTGCATGTCGATGAGGGCCATCCAACGACATTGTAGAGCCACGAGAACTGACTGGGGAAGCGGTTACATCATCTGGCATATCATCATTGTGTCCGACTTCATTTTCATTCTCGTCTTCATTGTTCTCGTTATCTTCATCAGATGATACGTGGTCTTCGTTGCGTGCCTCTCCATTCTGACCTGCCTTTTCGGAGATTTTGGGCTCTGCGCTAGCTTGTGCAGAGGCTGGAGTTGACTCTATTGTTGCCGTAGAGGGGGGTTTATTTTCGGTCTTGGTTTCCTCAGGAGTGGCTAGCTTAGTAATCTCAGCAATCACTCCCTCTCGGTAAAATTGGTAACGATATATATCTTCGAGGCGAACGAGAAGAAGCTCGGTAGCTTGGAGCGCAGAGACGACCAAGCTAGGGTGATCTTGCTGCGAAAGAATCGCGGCCAAAAACGATGCATATGGAACAGATTTCAAAGCCTCCATTAAAATATCTTTATCAAGATTGGAAAGCATTCTAAGCTGAGCGTTAAGGACCTTTTGGCGAACGTGTAAATTGACAGTGCTGGAGAACGCATCCGTTAGGGTAGGAAAGAGTATGATTGCAAATCTCTTAACTTCCTCCTTACAACCCTCCAAAAGTTCGATGCGAGTCTCGTTAGCCGACTTCTTTCTTGAACCAGATGACGCATTTGTTGCTGCTGATGGAAGTTCAATGTCGATTTCATCATCAAACATCGAATTACCACCTCGTGGTATTCCGGGCAAGAGCTCACAGATAACATTCAAAGTTTCGATAACTTGTTCTCGGGGTCTGTGAATTAAAGCTTGCATGATGACAACACTGTCGATCTTTGAGGCTGCGTCCTCTGTGGCGCTTGGTGGAGAAACACCAGTCAGAATCTGATATAATGTCTCGACAACGTTCATTTTGAAAAGTTCGGCGGACAACTTAGGACTGGCCTTTGCCGTGAAAGCAAGAACACGAAGAAATTGCGTGTGGATATTAGCACCAATAAGGTTAGTAGATCCAGGAAGTAAAAGACGAAGAATGACGCGAAGTAGATCGGTGCTGACAAGCTCCTCGAGCTTGCTTGAATGGTATCTGAAGCTCTCCACAATTCGAGTTACACATAATGAACCTTGCTCAACGACTTTCTGATCGTTGGAGTTGAAAACATTCAGTAGACTGGGCATGACATCCTTGACTACATTGAATGAATCCTCAGGGATATTTCTGCAGCAGTTTGCAGCAGTAGTGACGGCAGTTCTTTGTGCGTTTGTGTCGTGAAAATCGAGATTATTCAAACAACCTGTCAATCCCCCCTCACGCACGATTGATGCTGGATATTCAATAGATATTTTTTCTAGCGTCTAAAATGAAAGTAAGCATTTGAACTGAAAATCTGAAGTGAAGCACTTACACTTAAGGCCTGTTCTGCTAAATCGATGTAAGCAAATTCTAAAATTCTTTGGCATAGAACTGGAACAGCGCCACCGTATACAACGTTTGCAGTGCTGGCAGGTAGAGCTTCCATCAAATTGGCGATACACCGACAGGCAAGGAGCATCATTTCTGGGTTTCCCTCTCCAAATTCAAACTCAGAGGGTTGCATCAAAGCAACCAATTCTTTAACAAATGCATCCGGAGAGAAGTGACCAGAAAGATTGTCCTCTGTAGACACAAGTAGTATCTCGGAAAGTTCCTGTAATGCTATCAATTGTACAGACGGCTCATCTTTTTGCTTCAATTGTGATAGGATTTCGCGCAATCGAGAGGAAACTCCGGACATCATGCCGCTCAAAGCTCGCAGAGTGCTCGATAACCCATGAGGCGGCCCGCCAGGTCCACCGAAGCCACCGAATGGATCGTCATCTTCATCATCACCTCCATCGTAGTCTCGAGGAATCTCGTCGTCATCGTTGTCGTCACTGGCATCGTCGTCATCGAGTGGATGTGGTGGCGCCTTCTCATCTGCATCGTTCATTGCTGTATCTCCATCCTTATCGGCAACGGCAGATTTCTTTGACTTCTTACTCGAGCTCGGGGTGCTGGTTGTGGCGTCTGCTTCAATATTAGCTACTTTCGACCAAATCGTCTCGCATGTGAATTCCACAGACCTGAACCACCTTTTTTATTGTTTCTATTAGACTTGCGCCTGGATGAGCTGGCGATCGGATTGGATGGTTCGTTGGAAGGACCCGCAGAATCACTGTGTGTATTGTTAGACACTAGACCACGTTCCATATCAATCTTAACTTTCCTGTGACTAGACATAACCGCAGGAGCTTTTGCGTTCTTTCGACGAGAGGATGCTGCTGAAGCAGGAGCAGGTGTGGGAGCTTCGGGTTCTGAGACTTTTTGACGCTTTGGACGCTTTGATGGAGTTGCCTTTGTGGGTTCAGGTTCCAGAGCGGGACTTGATTCCCGCACAGTAGCTTTACGTTTTCGGGATGGGGCTGAAGAGCGACTTGGTGGAGCTGCTGCTGCAGACGATGCAGTCGCAGAAGAACCGGCCGATGATTCTAAGGAGCTGGCTGCTTGCCGGGCGGATGAACGTGTGATTCTGGAAGACATGAGTATGGGCTCTCGTAGATCAACCTCTTAAACCCCCTCAACCATCCACAACTGGTGATTGGGCAGTCGCGAGCAGTTGAAAAGGATTTAATAATTAGGAAGGTATTGTTGATGATGAAGAAACGCAGGTGGAGATAACAAGGTGAAGGTGGTTGTGTACCTGGGAGTAAATGAAGAAGATGAAGAAATGGAAGTTGCAGTGGAGAGTGATCTTGAGATTTCTGGGTCGTTATCGTTAAATGATGTCGACTCTTGTGGCCTTTCAAAAATATGACTCGTACCCTTTGCCATTAATCCATCAGTTCGGTTTAGAATATAGAGGTCGCCAGTAAATTTCTTTTAGATGCTTGTTTCCTGTGTTTTGATCCCGTTTTGTAGGGAGATATATTATCTTTTGCTTTTTATTTTGGAGAAGGTGGTTGACTTTTTTCCTTTCAAGAGGTTGTATGGAGGTATTATTGCTGTAGGAAGTTCCACCTATGTACGTTGTAATGTGTGTGGAGACTAGGAATTAGCGGGAGGAATAGTTGAGCTACGGTAGGTGATATAGTTCATCCGCGTCAAGCACGTATATGGAAAGGGTGTGGAGTGGTAGTAATCAATTGCAGATGGTGATATATGATGAGGATAGTATTTCTTAATTCAATATAGGGGTGCTCATAATAGGATGAAGGTAATTCAATCAAATCTAGATGTATTCCTGGTCTTACTAGTAGTGAAACAATTGCACCCGGAGACATTCATTGATATGATATCTTACAATACCTACCTAGGTACAGTACCTACAGTACAAAGAAAACGCATTCCAATACTTCTGATATCATCTGTGAATTAAGTTCGAGCACTCACGGTACTTGTATTTCAGAATATCCACTTAATATTAATTCACTATTTGATTCTACTCTATTGAAATTGAATAAAAGGATTAATATCAGAGAAGAATGAGGATCGGTATCTGGGCAGATATCAAACACTATCTATCTATAAATGCTGACCAGAGTTCGAGAACCTACCAAGGTACTTACTTGTCTTTACAAGATATCTGGCTACCTAGGTAGATAGATATCATAGCATTCGATTCTAAACCAATCACATACCAGCCCTATCCCAATTCCAATGAACAAAAAGGATTTTTATAAAATAGAAGGCGTGATGGTAGGAAAGAATGTATGATTTCTTTCTCGCGCGCAGCGAGGTCTGAGAGTTTGGCCCCCCCTTTCCCTATTGAAGTTATATCTGATCATGAAGATATGGAGGCGATGCAGTGATGAGGGGAAGTTGAAGCTCAAAAACGGGTATATGTTGAAAATGAGATGTATATTCCATAGGTAGTTTCAGATGTGACTCGAGTTTCAAAACATATCAATACCAAATGTCTCCTTATAATTGTATCTCACCAACAGTGGTTAAACGAAACATTTTGTGAAATAGACCTATGTTGATCCCCCTTCCAATTCGAGCTAAGAAAACCTATCCCAACCCTCCCAAGATCTTGACTACTTCTCTGTATCGGAAGCATAACTCATATTACGAGTACACTTCTACATATCTCACATAGCTACGTACAGCTTTACTATAGGTTATTGAGACTTTCGCAAACGGAAAACAACTCACCCGTACCGAGATTCACTCCCAATTACCTTCCATCCCGGATACTCAAACCAATTAATATATATATCCATGAGATACACCAAGAATATTACTGATCGAGATCACAGAACTCAGTGCTTCCTTGGATTCTTTGCTGTCCTTGTCCGCATGCCGAGAGACAGACTGTCATGGATAGATAATGCCGTCTTGAGATATATCACTGTCTAGATGATATTCTAATCATTCCAAAAAAAAAAAAAAAGCGGACCCTTCCTTGATATATCTCATTTGAGATACATGTGATATAAAAATCACTACTCTGTAGATCATGGAAAGAAGCTTTGTAAGATTACAAAATACAGTGATATCTACCCAGTACAATTAACACGTTGACTGTAGAACAATCAGGGACAATTCTATCTATACCTTCTCTTAATTGGATAATATTTTCGACCAACTTGTCGCATAGTGTCTCCAATGCACCTACTGCATCTACTTATACGCGTCCTAGATGTGGAACTCATACTTCCATCACGTTCAAAATTTATGCATCACCCTATCGCAGCGACATCCCCACTTCGGCACCACGGGCCACAAATTGCATCTTAAGGAATCTCGGATGAGATGGATATATCTTGGGAATTCGGCTTTTCCGGGGCGATTACACGGAGTTTGGTTGTGAAATAGGGTGTCTGCAGAGTTGATGCAGAGGAGTTCTTGAGCAACATTTGGTGGTTGTTCCAACACGGCGAGCACCGCTTCATAATCATACAGTCAAACACCAATACATATATCGACCTTATGCCGAGATTGCCTCAACTACCTATGATCGTGCAGTTATATGGAAATCCCCTCATGATGTGGCCAAGCCAGGCAATATTAACCGTCTAGCTATCCATTTTAGAACTCTATCTCAAGCTTATATAGGTACTGAAGGGGTAAGGGCTGAAGATTTTGAAACCGTTCACGTTCAGAATTGGGGCCGGGTGCATTGTGCCTAAAGGCTTGCACGAGCAAGAGCATCGGCACATGGTAGTAACCTACCTAACTACGTACGTAAGCATGTATCGAGCAGCAAATTATAAAGATAACTTCATCATGGTTTGATAGTGATGATGATAGTTGTAGGTTTACTAGGTAATGCGAGTCGCGTATTACAGATGCAAAACTTGAAGATCCTTTTTATGATATCCAATGTGTGAGTTTAAATTGAATTAAAAGTTAACGTTATTAAAATCCGAACATATTAGAAGTCCATGTCTCATTTACCAGCCTACAATTATTAATAATTATCTGATTAGTATGTTGCGTTTGTAGGGTCCCGGAGAATCAAAGCGCGGCGGGGCTTTGCGCATATCCCACTATCTATGACTCCCTCTCTCGGCCCCAGCTAGCAGATACTACCTACTGGGTAGGTAGATATATATATCGATTGACTACAGCTCGCCGATAGCCAAACCTTCTTTTGATTTACAATACAATACTTACAAATCTATTTAGCCCGGTGTTGTTCACCTTGATCCATTGAATATCGTCACAAAAACTAGTGACTACCGCGCATTTAGCCTTTCTCGATCTCTCTGCAAAGAGTGAGTTCGTTCCAGAAATATCTTCAACTCTTCGCAATCCCTTCGTAACACATCCCTGCACATCCCTGCAATTCCGAAATTCGTCATCCAGCCTTTGCCATTGATCTGAAATCTCGAGAGTCTTTTCGATTTTTCGACTTTACGTCGAAACAATCAAATACAACCTCCGAAATACCAACTAAAGATGGCTTCCAATACTCCCGCACAGGCTATTCCTGCGCAAACTCTCGACAACTATACCTTCCCAACAAATCGTCTAAGACTCACTCAAAATGATCCTGAGAGGACTCCTCTGGTATTGGTAGCCTGTGGAAGTTTTTCGCCTATAACCTACCTTCACTTGCGAATGATGGAGATGGCCGCCGATTACTGCAAGTTTAACACGGAATTTGAACTTCTCGCAGGATATTTCTCACCGGTATCGAATTTTTATAAAAAAGCAGGTCTGGCGAGTTCGGAACACCGGTAAGTCCAATTCTCCCGAGCATCGGCAACATCAATTAATGTTCGCAGAATAAACATGTGCGAGTTGGCGGTACAGTCTTCAAACTGGCTTATGGTGGATCCATGGGAAGCCTTACAAACGGAATATACGCCGACTGCCCTCGTTCTTGACCATGTCGAGCATGAGATAAACAAAGTTCTGGGCGGTGCTATACGACCAGATGGATCTCGGGTACCTGTTCGCATTGCCTTACTTGCCGGAGCTGATCTTATCGAAACAATGAGTATACCGGGAGTTTGGAGTGAGGAGGATCTTCAACATATCTTGGGACAATACGGCACTTTCATCGTCGAACGTACTGGCACGGATATTGAGGATGCACTTGCAAGTCTTGAACAATATAAGCGCAACATTTACGTCATTCAGCAACTGGTCACAAACGACATCAGTAGTACAAAAATTAGACTTTTCTTAAGGAAAGAGATGAGCGTGCAATATTTGTTACCCGCTCCAGTTATTGAGTACATTGAGGAGCACCATCTTTATGAGGAGGATGGTGCATCATCCGTCAATGCAGGCAAATCCAAGGCGGCAGAAGGTTCAGGCCGGGGATCACCTGCGGTGGGAGATTCAAAGCTCAAGAATTAAGGAGGCAATTTATAGTTACACATGGGGCTATAGCTACCAAAAACGAGCTATGATCTTACGAGCTAGTCGAGGCCGGAAAGTCATTCCTTAGCCAGATATACATGATCTGGCTCTTACATTCACGAGTTAAGTTTTTAAGATCACTGGTAGAAGCCGATTTTATGCATGTCAAAATTTCGTTTTGGATACCGATTTGGGATAAGGTGGGCATTTGAGCATTTCAGCAGGAGTTTATGGAGTTTTTGGATTAGGTCTTTTTTGCGTGCACTAGATGACTGATTTTCATGCCATTGACAGCGTAGTATTATCAAAGAAGACATAGAATGAGTCTATAGAGCTGTCTTACCCGCGATACCAAAGTCTTACTCTTACTTAGCCCTATCTTGAAGTGCGTTGAATCATGCAATTGGCTCAGAAGCCGTTTTTCTCGATTTAATATACTCGTAATGATGAGTCAATCTCGAAAGTAGGAAGCCTCTCCATCCTTGCGGAGTACAAACTTCCTACGCACACATAGTACCTAGGTATAAACAACTCACTATGTAAAACTCCAATGAAAATGTTCGTAAGGACCTCGTGATTTTATTCGCATTCTAAAACAACGATCTCAGATGGTAACCACATGGGGCGTAGCTCTGCGCCACAATGACAGCATTGGTTGGTTTGCTGGTGGCTGGGCTGCGTCCGTCAATCCATACATCTCCATGATTACCTAGTATCTACAACACAACGATACAATATCGAATATACAATTCAAATAAATAAATTAATTATTGATCGGTCAGTCAATAATTAATTTATTCATTTGAATAGTATTTTAATACGATTCTATTGTAAAAATAATACACTTGTCTTTGTTTACGACTTCACGCTTAGTCCTTGTGTTATCACCGGTTGGTCTTGATAGATTGGACGCTGGGCGGCGCATTTAGACAGACGCAGCGATGCGGCATTCCTTCACTTTAGTCGGAATTCTCACCGCGGCCCTCGTAGCTGGCGAAGCTTATACTCTAAAGCACGAAGCTGGAAGATGTTCGATAAGGGGTAGTTGTGGGAAGGATAGCTTCTTTGGTCCCGAGCTTCCTTGCCCGGATAACGGGCTCGCGAAGGAACCGGATCATGATGCGAGGAAACAACTAGTCGAGCTATGCGGTCCAAAATGGAGTACAGGGCCTGTTTGTTGTGAGGGGAATCAGGTATGATGGAAGCTTTGAGATGGGTTGAGACCTTGCTAACCGCTTCGCAGATAGATGCTCTTGCAGATCAGATCAAGAAGGCGAATCCGATTATATCCTCTTGCCCGGCATGTAAAGAGAACTTCTACAACCTCTTCTGTACCTTTACATGTTCACCAGATCAATCTCTATTCTTGAATGTGACTGAAACAAAGAAAAAGGGTGATAAATACATCGTTACTGAGCTAGATCAACTCATATCTGATGAATATGGGTCCGGTTTCTTTGATAGCTGCAAGGATGTTAAGTTTGGACCAACGAATTCAAATGCTATGGAATTCATAGGAGGAGGAGCCAAGGATTACTCTTCATTCTTGGCTTTCCTGGGACATAAATCTTTACTGGGTTCGCCATTCCAGATCAACTTTCCAAAGCCAAGCGAATATCCGGAGAAAGGAATGGATCCATTACCTATGGTACCAAAGAAGTGTAATGATGAGGATGAGAACTTCCGATGTTCCTGTGTGGATTGCCCTGCAGTCTGTCCAGCTTTGCCGGAAGTTTCCAAGTCAGGCTCATGTCATGTTGGATTACTTCCTTGCCTTTCTTTCGCCGCCATATTTACTTACAGCATTTTGTTACTGTTGGTCGCCGTCGCTGTCCTTGGTCACATAGCATGGTCTAAACGTACTCGACTTCTGGAAGACGATGTTGCGCCAAGCGATGATGATGATGAAGGGGACATGATACACATCGGAGCCACGTATGACCGACCTCAAAGGAATTACTGGATCAATACAGTCTGTGATAGCGCGTTCAGTCGTCTTGGCTATACAGCTGCAAAATTTCCAGCTATCACTATTGTAACTAGCATAGTTGTAGTGGGAATCTTGAGTTTGGGTTGGACAAAATTTGAGATCGAGCAAAATCCTGCACGATTGTGGGTCAGCCCATCGTCTGCTGCTGCTCAAGAAAAAGCTTATTTCGATTCAAATTTTGGACCCTTTTACCGTGCCGAGCAAGTATTCTTGGTCAATGATACAAATGCATCAGGTCCTGGTCCTGTGATGAGTTACGATACATTGAAATGGTGGCTTGAAGCCGAAGATCGAATCAGAGGATTGACCGGCAAGCAAACAGGTACCACTTTCAACGATATATGCTTGAAGCCCACAGGTGATGCGTGTGTTGTTCAATCTGTAGGAGGTTACTTGAACGACGATATCTCCAGTGTGAGTCCGGATACATGGGAGAAGACCATCCGATCATGTGCCGAATCTCCTGTCAATTGCCGCCCTGCTTTTGGTCAACCATTAGATCCCAAAATGATCTTTGGTGGCTGGCAAGAATCCGGCAATGTCATCGATGCTACTGCCTTGATTATTACCTGGGTAGTAAACAACGATGATGAGGGATCATCTCAAGTTGAACATGCTATGGATTGGGAAGCTTCCCTTCGAGATGAATTGTTACGTTTGCAGGCTGAGGCAAGCACTCGTGGTCTGAGACTTTCATTCTCGACAGAGATAAGTCTCGAACAAGAACTTAATAAATCTACCAACACTGATGCAAAAATTGTCGTCATCAGTTATATTATCATGTTCTTTTATGCATCCTTAGCACTAGGCTCAACCACCATCTCATTACAAACATTGATGCGCAACCCAGCTAGCTCTTTGGTCCAATCAAAATTTTCACTCGGAGTAGTGGGAATCCTGATTGTACTAATGTCTATCTCAGCATCAATCGGTCTATTCTCTTTCTTAGGTGTTAAGGTTACTCTTATCATCGCTGAGGTTATTCCTTTCATAGTTCTTGCAGTTGGTGTTGACAATATCTTCTTAATTGTGCACGAATTCGAAAGGGTTAATACTAACCATCCTGATGAAATGGTTGAGATGCGTATTGCTAAAGCACTCGGAAGAATGGGTCCATCAATTCTTTTGTCGGCCTCTACTGAGACTATCGCATTTGCACTTGGTGCTTTTGTTGGTATGCCCGCGGTTCGAAATTTCGCAATCTATGCCGCTGGTGCAGTATTCATAAATGCTGTTTTGCAGATCACCATGTTCGTCTCCATTCTCAGTCTCAATCAACGACGTGTCGAGGATCGCCGTGTAGACTGTATCCCTTGCATTCAAATCAAGACTGCGGGTGTTCATCTAGGGAATGGAAGTGCTTACTCTAGATTTTATGAAGGCTCTGATGAAGGTGTTCTTCAGAAGTTCATTCGCAAAACCTATGCTCCAACTTTACTTGGCCCCAAAGTAAAAACTGCTGTTGTGGTTGTATTTCTTGGTATATTTGCTGCTGCCGTTGCGTTGATTCCTGAAGTTGCTTTGGGCTTGGATCAACGCGTGGCAATTCCGGACGGCTCATATCTCATTCCATACTTCAACGACTTGTACGACTACTTTGACTCGGGACCACCAGTGTACTTCGTCACTCGGGAGTTGAATGTCACTGAACGTAAGCATCAGCAACAGCTCTGCTCTCGCTTTACAACATGCGAAACAGAGTCCCTCACCAATATTTTGGAGTCCGAAAGAAAAAGGCCAGAAGTTTCTTATATTGCGGCTACTCCTGCTAGTTGGATCGATGACTATTTCCGTTGGCTCGATCCTTCATTAGATTCGTGCTGCGTTGAAGGTGGTTCGGCTTGCTTCAACAATCGTGATCCGGCATGGAATATTACTTTACATGGTATGCCAGAAGGTCAAGAGTTTATCCATTATTTGGAGAAATGGATTGCTTCTCCAACCAACGAGGATTGTCCTCTTGGTGGTCAAGCTGCATATGGAAATGCTCTAGTCATTGATGCCAAACGAGGTACTATACCTGCAAGCCACTTTCGCACAAGTCACACACCACTTCATAGCCAAGAAGATTTCATCGCTGCATATGCCTCTGCACGCAGAATCGCAGATGGTATGAGTGAAAAATCTGGTCTAAAAGTATTCCCATACAGTGTCTACTATATTTTCTTCGACCAATACAGCTCAATCATCAGTCTAACCGCTACTCTCCTCTGCTCCGCTCTCATCCTTATCCTATTCATCTCCTCGATTCTTCTCGGATCCTTAAAAACCGGCACAGTTGTAACAGTTACCGTCATAATGATAGTCACCGATATCATTGGCACAATGGCCGTCTTCAACGTCTCTCTCAACGCAGTTAGTCTCGTGAACCTAATTATATGCGTTGGTATTGGCGTCGAATTCTGCGCCCACATCGCTCGCGCCTTTATGTTCCCTTCCCGCTCCGTCATGGAAAAAGCCAGAAAGTTCCGTAACCGTGATGCTCGTGCTTGGACTGCTCTAGTCAACGTCGGTGGTTCAGTCTTTAGCGGTATCACGATTACAAAATTAGTAGGAGTTAGCGTCTTGGCCTTTACGAGGAGTAAGATCTTTGAGATTTATTACTTTAGAATTTGGCTTGCGCTGGTTATTTTTGCCGCCTCTCATGCTTTGATGTTTTTACCCGTGGCGCTTAGTTTGGTCGGTGGAGAGGGTTATATGGATAATGAGCTTGATGGGGGTTTGGAGGAGGATTTGGCGGATAGGAGATATAGGGCTTTGTTGCCGGATGAGGAGAGTGATGATGAGTATTAGGTGGAGGTGAGGCTTTCTATTGAGCAAGGTGGTACAGAATTTTCATGACGTACCGTACGTATGTTATAAACCTGGAGGAGGGAAATTATTTTGTAGATACATATATGATGAGTTGGGGAGAAATTGTAATTTTGATGGTCCTTGATATATATTTATATGGTGTATAAAGTCCTCCTATTAATTAGTAGCTAACCAATTTTTTCAGAAAGATAGTTATCATTTCATTTCATTCATTCATTCACCTGCATCAACACAACTATCTACACATTTATCTACCTAACTCCTTCCTTCAATTCCTCGAAATAAATTCCTATAACCCATTCATCCATCCATCTCTATCCCATCAACTCAACTCAACTCAACTTTAACTCAACCCTATACCACGCTCCACCATCCTCACTCCCCCACCCAAACCTCCTCCCCATTCTCCTCCCTACACACCGTAACATAAGCGCATCAACTTTCGCCACAGGATGAGGTCTATGAAAAATTATTTTGCCACTTCCATTTCCACTTCCATTCATATTCCCATTCCCCTTCCCCATTCCCATTTCCTTTTCTCATTCCCATCATATTTCCCTCATCAACACCAAAACAAACCCCATCATCACGCAACTCAAAACCCACAGCACTCCCCCCTTTATTCCGCGCTATAAATCCCATATCTGACATGAAATGAAATGCACGAAGAAACCCTATTGGATGGATGGATTTGTAGGAGGATTCTGTGGTGGTGGAGGGGTATATGTGGGAGAAGATTTCGAGGGGGCATTTTTTGAGGGGGGTTTTTTGAGGGGTTGGTGGGGAGATTTTTGGGGGTGGGGGTGTTGGATTGGGGTTGGTTTGTTGAGTGATGGGTCTTGTTTTTTGTTTTTCTTTTGATTTTGATTTTGTTGTTTCGGCTGTGATACTGATGATGGTGAGGTTTCTGGGCCCCAGATTGTTTGTGGGGGCACTGTGGCTGGTGAATTGTTTTTTTGCTTGGTTTGATTGATTTGATCTCTTTCGATTTCGGCTAGTAGCTCTTGGTCCTCGGCTTGGATAGTTTCCAAGTATTCTTGACTTTCAGTGGCACCAATATACTCAAGCTCGTCGGCGACTTCGTCTTCGGTGAAACCATTCATCTTCCGAACTGTTGCACAGTCCTTTTTTATTCCCTACCAGAATGCCTCAAGTGCTTTCCTGCTACTTTTGGTACGATCCAACCAAGCCATGTTCTTCCGATCACTAGGAAGCTGAATCTCGTAGAAATCCTTAAAGAGTGCTTTTCCAAGCTTGGAGCATTCGTTGTTGGTAAAGTATCTCAAGCCAAAAGCTTTCCAGGGTTTTCTTTTTTCTGATTGCTTCACCTCGTCCAAAGTTCTAGCATGACTTTGAGGTCGATGTAAACTGATTGCTACCAAGATTTCATGACAGGCTGCTAGATCGGATAGATCGCTGGATAAGATCTCATCTACGCGAGACTTTTCTTTGAAACTACTCTTAGCAAGGTGATTTTCTCTAAGAGAAAATAATAGTGCATGATCCAAAGGTAATCGGTTTTCTTTTGGATCTAGGTTTGCTTGCCTGTCTGGTCTTGCTCGTAGATTAAATACACAGTAATCCAGGAGGTCATTTTCGAATAAATATTTTTCATCGGAACGAAGTCCTCCTTTCCGTCTTGTTTCGAGGATATCAGGTCCTTGGTCTTGGGATCTCCGTGTTATTATATAGTTGTGAGAGCATCCAGGTCGCTGCGAAGTCCTTTGCCCAAGAAGGCCGGCACGACGATTGACCTTATTCACCACCAAAAGTCTGGATCATCAAAATCAGTGCCAATTGCGTTAGAATTCTGGCCAACGACTGCAAATATCAACATGACTTACTCAAGTGCGCCCAACGCCTTATCATACTTCGTTAGAAGATTTTCGCTTTGTGCAATATTATCTCGAAATCGATCGTGGATTGATTTGACATGTTCACATTCATTCTTTAACCAGCCCCAGGCCTAACAGGATTCGATGGCTTCAGTGATACCAGGTACAACCAGCCAACTGGCGCCCATATCTTTGCTCAATTCATAAAATCCTCCATGACACATATTCACGATGAAACGTTTCATGTATGCTGGTTCCGTTTGCAATAGCCATAGGTGATCTACCGTAGCTTCTAATCGTGTTTGAGCTAAAGAAATCAGTGTGCTAATAGAAAATGACGGAGGCAATGAGAATGCCTGGTTAGTGTAAGGTGACCACAACTTCACCACATTAGTATGTCTGAATCCCATTAATACCATGGAATTCCACTTTTCAGCTGCAGGTGATGCATTCGTATCAACACCTTGAAGTATGCCATCAACAACCTTGCGCAGTGAACTCATCAGATACGCCTGGGCCTCGAGGACAAGGCGTGCCTTAGGGAACCCAAGAATATCCGCTCTATGTGCCAGACAAGCTTTCCAGTCCACCACCTCACCGTACCTTAAACCGTGCATCACAACACATTTGGCTGAAAAGTCGACGTCAAAATTTCCACAAGGAAAAGAGGTATCAAGCTATCGTGCGTCAAAAGAGGCCCAGTCTTGAGGACGGTACCGTGCGATTATGCAACAAAGCAAAAAGGACAGCAGGGTTTGTTTTGAGAACCTCCGAATTGAACCACTGCAGAAGAAGATGATGACGCGTTTCTAATGACCTGGCTTCCATCTCACCGTTACTATTTATGGGAGGAATATGTTTGCCTTCAGGAGTGAAGCCAAGGTGGGGGATAATCCACCTCTTCTCGCAAATATTTGGAATGGCTTCAAGTAGTAGCAACTGACGTTTGTCTTGGCTTTTCTTTTTCCACCGGCTGAGCACGATATCCCCACACAAGGTGAGTCTTTCTGCTAGGTACTTGCGATCTTGTTGCATTCTGTTTATGTAGGAGGCAGCGATTTGTTTGGCATCATTGTTAGATAGTGAAAGTCGATAAAACCAGCCAGGCATCATTTGCTCATTAGCTGTGTAGAAGCCCTGTTCACAGTCGGCGCAGGTACTGCAGCATTAGGATATCAGTAACAGCTTATCAAAGAAGAATTTCGAGTGCGATGAAGAATTAAAAGCCGCATTGAGAAGTGGAAATAGGAATCCATATACAACAAGATCGGCAAGTACAAAGTGAAAAAAGCAAAAATCAATTGTACTTACACGGTGGGTGGCAGATAGCTTCTAGGGCTTCTTTCCGGGACATTGTAGGTTCTTGGGTGTTGATGCCATGAATTCTCTGAGAGGGTGCGTCGATTGGGCGGTTGCCATAAAGTTTTGGTAGTTTTCGTTGCATTGTTATCACATTATAAAATGAATTTATGAGTGGGTTTGTTCTTTTCCGGTTTATAACAATCCCCTTCGTTGCTTTGAGACGGTTAATTTTGGGACGGTTTATGGCCTCGAAAGTTGTAGTGCTTGGTGTGCTCATGAAATTTAGATTTAATAGATACCTAGGTATGGAAACGAGGTGTTGAAAGGTGATCTTGAAATTCTTGCAATGATATTACGGAATGAATGACTGAGGCAATCAGTTGAAGATATATTCACTTGAAGTATGTTGCCCTATTCCCGCCTCAAAAGTTTAGAATAGGATACCTCGCAATGCTTGCAACAATCATCCGATCTGTAACTCCTATATTCACCACTAGTGCTCCTCCTTTCTCTTTATAACTCAATAAGTAAAATTCCGAAGCGCGAAGTTGATTTCATACCTGGGATCAGAAATACAAGAGTATAATAATGTGCTAATTGAGCTTTTGAGTAATGTCATCTAAAAAAAACGGAGAGAGGATGATTCTCAGAGTTCTTGTGTTAAAAGGCTGACAAGGGAGTACAACGAAAGGGGAAATCGATGAGGGCGTGTAAAATGAAACGATAGCAAGCATAGGTTCACAATAGTATGGGATTCGGTTAGTCGTTGCATAGCGCAGGATCCTATGAATGTCAAATTCGAGGGTAAAAAGATGCTGCGACGAATCATGGAGAACATGGAAGCCGATTTGATGAGGAATCATGGACGTTTCTTGAATTCTCATAGTGGGAAGTATCGTGAGATATCAAGGAAGAACTTTGTAAGACGTTGGAAGTCATTATTCATCAACTTCCGGATATGTCCATGGATGAAACAGATATCTCGATGATTCTACTCGAAGAGAACACTTATAGTGATGTTGTGAAAAAACTCTGAAATAAAGTAGACAGATACAAAAGTAGTTCCATCACACTTGTGAATTATAGTAAGCGTTCCGAGTAGTGTGCTATTAAAACAAACATCTGAACATGAATAAGCTTTAACCTGCATCTATCACATCTTACATACACATCGAAGTCAATCTCAAACAGGTGGTTACTGCAACTGCTAGAAGCAACCATGTCGACCATCAAGTGCATTGCACAGCGGAAGTGGCAAGGACTATGCACTTTATACTGGCAAGTAACGTGTTCGAGTATCAAGTATGATCAAAGATGGGTATCTTGTTAATTTGAACATCTTGTCTATCCGCCGGAGTGATGTGAAAACAGTAAATAGGAAAAGGGTTATTGTCATCACTAAAAGCATGACTTTAGTATAACAAATCATGTTTAGTAGAGTTGTTGGATTGATCTTTGCCAATCAAAATCATATTGCCGTTGTGTTATTTGGGGATCGGTGTATTTTGCATATATATAGATGCTTCCATTCAATTGCACGTAGTCGTCGTTCATCATGTTGCTTACTAACAACCCGCCCCTATTTAGACTTAGCCTGAAGATCAAGTGGCCTTTGCTTTCTCGGCTCATGACTTCATCATTTGTTCTAAAGCCCACCAGTTCTTAGTAGAACAAACTCTAATAACTCTAACTCTTTTACTAACCAAAGAAATACCAAGAAAATGAACCAAGCAATCATGTTGTTGACATATTTTACAACTTTTAAATTTATTCATAATAAGTTGTTCACAGCAGAGTCGCCTTGAATATCGTTTTGGATGAAAGAGAAGAGGTTATTTACAACAATAATCTAGAGTGGATTAATCGTACTGTGCGCGCAAATTGAGTTGAATTGAAGTCAGAATTTGCGACATGGTAAATATGGTGAATACTGATGAGCTGATGGCTCGGATAGAGGTATGCATTCTCAAATCCATTCTGTATCTCATATATTCTTCACTCTATTTTACTATGTGCGCTGACGGATTCCATAGGCAGAATATTGTCCTCCACTCGATAAAAGCACATTTCGTGCAATAATTACCGATTACGATCTCTCCAACGAAGAGCAAATCCAGACTGCGCGCATGATTTTAGATATGATACGGCAAGATGCAGAGTTTGAGGAGGCAACTGGCTTTGATCCTAGTGGAAATAGTGGGGGAGCATACACAAATGGTGGGGGAACTTCAGAAGATCAGAATTTGCATAATGGCAATGATAAAAATGAAGATGGGAGTAATAAAAGTATACCTGGATGGAGTAGTTCTACAGATGATACTTCTTTAAGTCAAGGGATGTCTTCACTGGATCTTTTGGAAGGATTGGAATTTTCGGGCAGTGAAGATGCAAAAAATGGGTTCCATAATGGGAATGGGTTTACAGATTCATTGGAGGCAATGGATGTAGACAGCCAAGAGGCTTTCTTACTTGGGACTTTTCCTATATTGAAACCCTTTGATGTCAAATTCTCGCTCAAAAAGTCTAAAGGGGATATCAATTTGGCAATCGAGGATTTACTTACTCAATCTTTTCTCGAAGAAACAGGATCAAGGAGACGTGGTATCGAAGCTTTCTCCGAAAGCTCTGCATCTTATAAAACTCACAAACAAAAAAGAAAGAAAAAGGATCGAAGGACCAACCCTTCTGAGAGTAATACTGTTACTGATGATTCTCCCCTTGACGTTGAAGCGAGCAAATGGGAGACAGGTCGAAAAGATGTCGATTTCATATGTACCAGAACTGGCATACCAATGCAACAAGTAACTTCAATTTACCACAACAATGGAGCATCTGTACGAGCAACAATCCTGTCAATCATTGAAAACTATCCTGCCACGGATGTGGAATCAGAAGACCCAGTAATTGAGATCAATGCCATGGAACTTGGACAAGACTTCCCTTCGATCAAACGCTCTCATTTGATCACTCTTACTCAACTGACTCATCCATTCACAACCAGTGCACACGAACTAGCAAAAGCACTCACATCCACACCTGTCTCCAAATCAGGCAAGCCAAAAATACAAATCGAAGTCCGCCACTCACCCCTCATTCTCGACCCCTCCCCCACTATCTCGTCCCCATCAAAACAATACTCGCTAAATGCCATCTACCCGACTCATTCCATGTCCTCCAACCCCACTACACCACTTTCTTCCTCTACTGACGCAAGTCCCTATATTAGTGCACGCAATACCGCTTTTCAAAAAGCATCCGCCGCATACAAGAAATCCAGATCCGACCCACTAATGGGAGGTGCAGCAGCCTATTATTCTCAACAAGGCCGAGACGCCAATGTGCGTGTTAAAGATGTCGAGAGTGCCGCCGCAGATGAGCTAGTGATGAGACAAACTTGGAGTGGAGGTATCGACTTACACGGAGTTGGCGTCCGCGACGCGGTAAGAATCGCCAGGGAGAAAGTCACAGCTTGGTGGGTCTCAGAAGAGCAGCGACGAGCCAGCGGCGGATATATCCGTGCTGGAGCCGGAGAAGGATTTAAAATCGTAACGGGAGTGGGAAATCACAGCGAAGGCGGGAAAGGAAAGTTGGGACCAGCAGTAGCGAGAATGTTGATTAAAGAAGGCTGGAAATTAGAAGTGGGGAGTGGTGCACTTCTTGTTAGGGGCGTGGTGAGGAAGTAAATGCGAAGGAAGGTATCCTTTTCCTTTCTAGCTTCTCTCCCCCTGTTCTCACTCTCTACCTATTGGTAAAGAAAACTTGTCCTCCCTGGCACTTGGACAGCGTCAGTTAATGGAGAGTCGTTACAATGGCCACATAGAGCGTTAGATACAGTGGCCACATAGAGCATTTGGATACATCCTTTAATTACAGCGACCACATAGAGCATTTGAATTCTGGATACTGGAATCTCATATCTCAAAAAAGCCGAGGGTTTTGGATCAGAGCCATCAGCGAACAGATAGAAGTTTTCTCTTGTCTATAGATAAGGTACAAAGGCATATAAGCGAACTATACTTATAATGAGTCTGTTGTAGAGCGTAAATATACGTATTTTAGTACATTAGCGATGAATGGTAGATAGATAGATAGATGGTATCAAAAATAAAAAAATATTATATTTAAAGCAGAAAAACTTGATGAGATTCCTTTTTCTTGCCATAAAGCATGTGTTCTTTTATGTTTCGAGCTTGGAGTTTAAGGTTGATAATTGATTATATAGTAATACTACATCAAGAAGTCTTATTCATACTGTACTTTACTGTGCTATTTCTCGCTAGTACGTGCTAGAGCTAATTCATTCTCAGCTCATGCTCATTTACAATCATAATCTCATGAGCTCATCTATTTCCACTCCAATCTTTCTTCTTTCCTCTTCTATTCCCCTTCTACCTTCTACCGTTCATTTCTCTCTTCCTTTACCACACATCACCCATACACCCCTCACTCCCTCACTCCCTCACAAACTCACTTCAAACTCGCCACACCCCCCTCAAACTCGCCAACATCATACTCATCAGGATACTCCTCCATGACCCTCCTCAACTCTTGCATCTGCGCCCTCAAATCCGGCGTCATCTCCTTATACACATCCTCAAACATACTTTTAATCGGTGGTTTCTTTTCTTTTTCCGCTTCGCTCAGCGTCTTCAAGACTTCTTTTTTGATATTCGTTCTAGCTTCTATTTCTTTGGCTTCGTCCCATACCTTTCTTTTCTCGAGGTATTTTCGTAGTCGTGTAATGGGATTGTCACGACGTTTCCAGTCTTCTACTTCGACGCGTGCGCGGTAGGCGAAGGAATCGTCAGAGGTGCTGTGGTGGGATATTCGGTAGGACATTGCTTCGATGAGGACGGGTCGTCCACCATCTTTTAGTGCTAGTTCGCGGGCTTTTTTGGTCACTTGTAGTACGGCCCAGATGTCGTTTCCATCAACTCGGATGGTATCGATTCCGTAACCTGTTCCTCGGCTGGCAATTCCATCGCCGCGGTATTGCTCGAGTGTTGGAGTGGAGATGGCGTATCCGTTGTTGCGACATATAAAAATCACTGGGCAGGAACGTGTAGCGGCTATGTTGAGAGCACCGTGGAAATCACCTTCAGAGGCAGCTCCTTCGCCAAAGTAGCATGCTACTACTCGTGGAGGGAGAGATGGGTTGGACAGACGCTGCATTTTCAATGCATAAGCTGCACCAGCAGCATGAGGGATTTGAGTTGCGAGGGGTGACGATATGGAGTGCTTTGTTTATTAGCCATTCATTCATTTTCTCCCCAATTTCTTGATCTCAAACTTAGGTGATAGCTGAGGAATACTCACAATATTCAACTCTTTACTCCCATAATGCACCGGCATATTCCTTCCCCTTCCTTTATCCTTCCTATTAGCAAAGAGCTGGCTCATAAAATCTTCAAGCGTATATCCCCTCTGCATAAACACTCCCGCTTCCCTATACTGACTAAAAATCACATCGCCTTTCTCCAACGCAGCTGCAGAGCCCACACATGTACCTTCTTCACCCTGACTTGGCATGTAGAATGATAAACGTCCTTGACGCTGCGCCTCAACCATTATAACATCCATGATTGATACTCTAACCATGTTGAGATACATTTCTAAAGCCGCTTCATCCGAAGGGAGCACGACGGATGGATCGAGAATATCGCCGTCGGGAGACATAGTGCGGTAGGTTGGGATAGCAGTATAGGTTGAGGGATGTTCGAAGGAGAGTGAGGATGTAAATTTGCTGTCTACCGCTCCAGGGAATCGTACTCTATTGCATCGTTAGCTATGTTGTATTCTCGTTCCGAGCAATAGAACTCACCCTGCAGAACCAGGCTTCTGGCTCGGACCCATAGTAGAATGACATCTTTCCAACAATATCCCATTCCTTCTACTTCTCAAAAACGATGTAGATATTCCCCCTCTACCACGTCGTAAAAGACATCCTCCAATTCTTTGTGAATTCATGATCGCGTTCTTGCTTGCTTACTTCCTTGCTTGTTTAACTTCTCAACTAACAATATCACAACTAAACACAAATACCCATTCACAAACAAACAAACCAGATAATTCTCAGAAAAGCAATCTCAAGAACTCAAGGAGGATTCCTCGGTATCATCTCCATTCAAACACCAAAATGAACACAAGTAAAACCGAAAATATAAGATCAACCAAATACTGGGGACTCCAACCGTGCTCACAAAACAAGGCTGAAATCCGGGGTACAATGCCGTTGCTAACCGATCCACTCCCATCCCTTGTTCACTAGCGTATTTCATCATGAGAGAGCGGAAGGAAAGGAGAAAAAACTTGGCGAGGCTGACGAGGCGAGAAATTTCAAAATACTAGCTATTTGCTACAGCTTTTGCGTTGTGTTACATCACGTCCTTCCATCTGCTTAATTCCGAGTGGATTAACAGGAAATTTTATAAGGATGGCGTGTCGAACAGCTTTTAGACCTTTAACTAGGTCTGCTAGGACGCAATTCCAATCCACGTATCCCTCAAGATGTTTTTCCAATTCGATTATTCGACCAGTCGAGCCATCATCCGCGGGTCCATCAAATAGTGATAATGGACGAACTACACATTTTGGATATGAGACAGTGCCAGAGGCAGAAAAAGAAGCTAGAGGTATGTCTTCCGCATTGTTAAAAGGGGATTGAGTAATTACAAGCTAATGTAAATTGTACGGCTAGTTCGGGGAGTCTTTAGTAGTGTGGCAGCCTCGTATGATACTATGAATGATTTTATGTCACTGGGGATTCATAGGTTATGGAAGTATGTATATTCATTTACTTCCTTCCCCGATGTATGTATGTTGCATAACAAATACTAATTGAGATACAGAGACCACTTTGTGCGATCCATAAATCCCGGTTTCACTCCTCCCTCCTCATCCACATCCACGCCCAACCCCGGCTGGAAAATGCTCGACATAGCCGGCGGCACCGGCGACATTGCCTTCCGCCTGCTCGACCATGCCACCAACATAAATGCCTCCCCCTCCTCCACTATAACCATCTCAGACATCAACCCAGAGATGCTCGCCGAAGGGCGCAAACGTTCCCTCCAAACCTCCTACGCCCACTCCCCCCGTCTCAATTTCCTCCTCGCCAACGCCGAATCCCTCTCCATGATCCCCTCAAACTCCCTAGACCTCTACACCGTAGCCTTCGGAATCCGCAACTTCACAAATAAATCCGCTGCGCTGCGGGAAGCGCACCGCGTCCTCAAACCAGGTGGTTTATTCGCTTGTTTAGAGTTTTCCGGTGTGACCAATCCGTTGTTCAATGCGGTTTATAAACGTTGGAGTTTTGGCGCCATACCTTTGATTGGTCAATTGGTGGCCGGGGATAGAGATAGTTATCAGTACTTGGTGGAGAGTATTGAGAAGTTTCCTAAACAGGAGGAGTTTAGGGACATGATTAAGGAGGCTGGGTTTGTGGTCCCTGGGAAGGGATGGGAGGATTTGACGGGCGGAATCGCAGCGATTCATAAGGGGATTAAACCTTTAGAAAAGTAAGTTAGTAGGGAGCTATCACATTTGCTGGACCGTAGTGGAAAGCATTGGAATGTCCCTATGAGCTTGAATTATCCAGGTAACTTACGAGTATGTGAGAAGACATGTAAGCCCAAGCATGGAAACTGTATACTTACGTTATTGTAATATCACAAGCGGAAGGATCTCTAACAAGCTAGACTCACCAACCGCCACAAAATCTCAAACATTTACTAAAAATTTATTGGTATTTTCTATGCTTGTGCAATCATTTGACAACCACCCTCGTCCTGACACTCTGCAACCACCAACTTCCCATTCTCTCGTTTTCCCCTATTGGAATTGAGGTAAAAACTAGAATACATGTGCAACGCTATTCATTCGATTCGTTTCGATTATCTCATTCCATAATGAGATAGATGATGTGATGCGACTCAAAGCTACCCGTATCAAAAGTACAGATGCGAAGGAAATAAAACGAACTAGTAGCAATCGTCGCCTGCACATAAAAACAAGGTATGAAACGTGAAGTATAAGCAAATGTTTAAAACCCCACTCCGGTACCTCAAGATATTTGGTATGATGAGGACGAAAAAAAAGCCGAAATACTAATATGGCCGAGCCTCTGTCAAGATAGATATCTCCAGTTCACAATGAGTGACCATTAAGAAGATTTACTGTACGAGAAATGACTTTTTGGTGTAAGGAAGTAATGAAGACCGTCGGTGTATGAGGTCGGGTATTTTGGTTGATCAAGAATCAGCTCCTGCTGGTGTTGCTGAAGCTTGAGCAGGAGATGCTCCACCTTCCTTGTTGAAACCACCCCGTCCGCCGCGTCCTCCTCTACCTCTATCACTTCCTCGTCCACGTGTAGATCCACCTCGGCCTCGTGCGCCGCGACCACCTTCACTGTCGCTTGCACCTCCACTTCCGTAACCCCCTCGAGGGGCACTGCTGTTGCCACCCCTGCTGCTTCCCCAGCTGCCTGCACCTCCACGGCTTGAAGAGTACGACTTACTATTATCTCTAACCTGGAATAGCTTCACCAAAGGCCTTGAACGGTCCTCACTGCTACGTTGCGTTACCTCTGAAGGTAGACGACCTAGAGCATCATCTCTTTCCTGAGTTGTCTTGAAGACAGCAACCTTGTTCGATGTACCCCATTTATCGATTCTAATGATCTTCGCCTTATCATCGTCATGGAACAACTCTCGAACATGATCTTCGGAGGTCACGTTCATAACGAACAGACCAATAATTTGTTCAGCTGAAGGTTTGGCCGCTGGGGACGAGTTTTCTGCGCCATTTGTGGTCACAGGAGCTTTCTCATTCTCCTTGGCAGCTGGAAGATTGACAACATTATTTTGGGCCGGTTGTGGTGTAGCGGGCTTGGCTTGGAATGGAGCTGGAGACTCTGCAGTACGCTCAGGACCAGCTGGTGGAGCTCTGGTTTGTTGTTGGTTTTGTCCGCGCTGAACATATGGCTGCGCTGGAGGTTGTGCGGCAGGTGAACGCTGAGCTGGACCGGTCGGTGGTGCTGAGGATACAAGGGTTTGGCTTGATCCAGGTGTTCCAGAGCCGGTAGCAGGAGCTTGGGCTTGCTGCTGTTGGTGGCCTGGATGCTGTTTCGCACCTCGATGAGCGAAGTTAAATCCTTGGGCTCGCATTTCGGTACCAATACGACCATCCTGTACTTCCAGAACTAACCATCCAAACGCAGCATCAGCCAAGTTGAAGTTCCACATATTTTTGAATGCGCTCTCATCGACTTGACCTAAAGTAGCGGCATTAGAACCACCGACAGGGCCACCGAACGGGTTGCCTCCATGTGCGGTGCTTGGCATCTTCTCTACTATGCCAAGGGCATTGTTAAGGAGGTTTTGCTGGGCTTCATTTTGAGAAATGGCCGGTTGAACCTCGCTCTTGACAGTCTCCCATACGTCATTGAAGGAAGCTTTGGATGCCGCGAGCTTGCCGCGATAATGATCCAAGGTAGGATTGACACTGAATTCATTGTAAGAGCTTCCATATCTGAAATGTAATCCAGCGGATATCGAGAAGTCGGCCTTGAGGGTTACTGAAAGCTGATTCAAAATACCTTCGCGAGCTGGAGATGCATGGGTGATGAATACGCGGGTTTCGGTGGGGTCGTATACACGATTGGCTGTATCTACCAACTCGCCCATTTGAAGAAGTGTAGTCCACATGGTTCCTTGCCCACCAGCAATTGTAGTTCTACCCTCACCGTTATCGAAAAGTTTGTGCATGACAACTGCGCCACCAAGACCTAGAAGTCTCAACTTAACACCTCCGATTTCCAAAAGCATTGAGCGTGCCTCATCAATGATGTGAAGTTTATCAACCTTGTATTCGCCCGATCTGAACTTTTCAAGAACTCGCACATCCTCACATGCACCCCAGACTGTGTAGACTGGTACATCAAGCTTAAGACTGCCATTTAGAAATTGTGGTAACTCGGAAAGTGGGAGATCGCCAGGACTAAATCTTGACTTTACTGGCCCGCCTGGTGATGCGATTGCTTTTTTCGTAGCTTCTGAAATGAGTGGAGAATATTGGGCGACATGTTTGAGGGTCCTATTTAAATTTGTCAGTGGGGTGACCAAGGTGCTGAGCTACTTGTAGAGCTCACTTTTCAGCAATGCGATCCAGAGAGGTGTCATCATAGAAACCAAAATCTCCAGTATGAATAATATGATCCGCGCGTGCTTGCTTTGCGAGTTCGTTAAGTGATCTTAAATTTCCTTTCGAGTTGTCAGCGTTGCCTGAAAAGTCAAATCTCCAGGTCAAGCTCACCTCGTACGTCTGCCACGCACAGAACTCTCACGCCTCCAGTTTGTATGATTCTACCGTTATTTGGGAGTAAAGGAGTAGCTCCAGGTGGAATACCAGTATGACCTGCTACAGCACCATTTGGCATATAAGCTTGATTATAGCTGGGTTGTTGTGGAGGGAGTCGTTGCTGAAACATTTGATCTGTTAGCTTTGGATGTGCTGGAAACTTCTGGAAAACAGAAGAGTGACTGGGACGTTTCCCGCCAACCAAAGAGCTTGCCAGATTCATTTTTCGACAGTTGAGATGGTAGAGGAGGTGGAAAAGGGAGTGTAAGGCCGAGGATTATGTTTGAAATGGTTGTCAACTTACAGAATTGGCCATAATTTACAGATTGTAATGGTTCCAATAGGATAAGGAAGGAATGAAGAGGTGGAATATTTCTATGCGCTTTCTTCGTAGAAGCTGGTAGGTACGATGAATAAAATAATTAAAGTAACTAAAAGGAAGGAGGTATGTAGAAAAGTTTTCGTTGAAGGGGTAGGTACCTTTTTTAATGATTGAAGTTGAATGGATCTCTTTCGCGCGGCTTACAACCAAATTGGAAACCTAAGGAAGACAACATCCCTGCAATCTTCTGCTTGATTTGGTGGCCAACAGTTTCTTGCCTTAGACCTCACTCCAAACTTCACTCCAAACAATGATTTTCCACAATCGATCGGTACAAGAACTTAGGGGTCTAGTATCAAGATGTATTCGATGTAAATTTGAAGCTCTTATCGACAATGGAATATTATATTTACATACATGCACCTCTCAATCACTTCTAGGCTAACTGGTTAACTCTTTTGGCGGTAAGCTAATAGGGGTGAGGCAGGACAAGAGTTAGTCAATCTCTTTGTTGCCGTTGTATGTACCTATTGTCAAGAACTATTATGGTATGGATGAAGTATCAACATATTATTTGCCGCCTGTCACTACCTATGTCAAGACCTCAGGTAATATACATGGATGAACGGTAGACAGTTGCACCGATTCGTTTACCCAAGAACCAACATCTTCATTGCCATTTGCCTATGTATACTGCCAAAAGCTTGTATATATGGGGTGAACAGATGCTGGTTATTTAATCGAAGCATCAATATCTTCATTGCATCTTGATATCTATCCATAGCATTGTGACATAAATTTAGCAACTGCCTGTAAAATCCCACAAGCAGAGGGCAACCGCGAATTATATATAATCTCAATGATAGTTGCAAGCGCAAAAAGGAGCATGTGTTCGAAACAAGAGACACTAAATACAAACTATCATGTATCTCGGCGAAGGAGCAATGAGGATAAAGCTCATCCTACTAGATAGATAGATCTTTACCCTTCTTTCTCTCCATCTGTTTCTTGGTCAAATTAGGAATGGAGCCTTCCCTAGTATATTGCATCCCATCTGGGTCCAGTATATGGCAAACGAATATTCATTAAAGTTTGATAGTTTATACATTGGCTTTTCCATATATTATCTATCTTCAAAGTCAATTCAAGCAATTCAGAGAAAAACAGTATGTTGCACAAGCAAACAGATAGAGCGCTTTGATTTGAAAAGAAAATCCTTGAAAGGGCGGCGAAATGTGACGAGTCGAATTGAACTCATACACCTTTGACTGCTCGATCTAAGTAAGATATGATATAGACCAAATGAATATTATAAAGCCCAAGGGCTTAGATATCTTCGGCTTTGATGCCCTTCAAGTGCAGTTTATTTAGTCCATTCCGTACCAGTATCCACATCTCAAAGTTTTGTAACTGTCAACTCCACGGGGAGATGTGTAGAAGCATTTCCATCCCATTTTCTAGTATCGCTTTTGTCCTTAGAACTTTCTACGAGTCGGCGATGGAATACTTTCCTCCCTTGGTGGCTCTCATGGATATCGTCCAAATCTGTAAATCTGTTCCGTAAAAGGTAAATTCATTATTCGCCATGGGCTTATGCACTCGATTAAGGCGGTGGGTACGGGGCAGGGGCGGTTGCATAGTGAATATAATCGTCGTTACGGCTCTTGATTTCGCAACTTTCAATCTCAGCCTTGCAGAAAATAGAATCAACTGAGCTTGATATCAAAGACTTCTCAACTCAAAACACAAATACCTAGTCCTTCTTTAACTCGAGAATCTATTCTTTTAACAATGACAACGAAACGGAAATCGGCGAAGCTTAATAAGTATGATGCCCTCTCATGATCTTCATGGCGCGTTGCTAATTCAATCTAGGCTTCTGGGTTACAGCATTGTTCATATCAAAGTTGGAGATGACCTCAAGGATTTCGGCATTCACAAAGACCTCATCTGTCATCATTCGCCTTATTTTAAAGCTGCTTTCCACTCTGGTTTTGAAGAATCTATTACTGGTATCATGAGACTTCCGGAAACCAAGCCTGAAGTTTTCGAATTATTCTATCATTGGCTTATACTCAAGATCTGGATGTGCCGTCGTGGGAGTCAACTACGTTGATAGCTGAGGCAAAATGCAAAAATACTGAGTGCTGTCATTGCAATCCACACAAGGTCGATAATGATGGCGATTACAACGACGAAAGTGACGATGGCAACGACAGTGACGACAGCGATGATATTCATGATGATTGCCCCGTAACTGATTTTTACGAAGAACAAATTAAAACTCTTGTCATGCTCTACGTTTTTGCTGACATGGCTCGAATTCCCGTTCTACAGAACAACTGTATGAAGAAGTTCTACGAAACAACCGAAAGAGCGAATTATATGCCTACCGACCAGCTAGCATACATCTGGCAGCATACTAATGAGACCAGTTTGCTTCGGAAAGCAATGATTGATATGTTGACGTGGGAGTGGGATACCAGCGTCTTTCTCTCTCAACGCGATAGCATACCAAATGTCGTGAAAGATGAGGCTCTCGTTGCAATGAGGCTGTGTATCAAAAGGATACTTCCCTTGACTACGGTTCGCGGTCCTCTCGAAAATCTTACAAATTATTATGTAAAGGTGGGAGATGAATCTACTTAGGCTTATCAACTATGTATGTATAGGTCAGCACTCTATACTATAGTTCTTGTCATAGCGTATACTTACTATCGATTAGAAGAACAGCCCAGCTCAACCCGGAGTCGTAGAACAGACGAATAGCAATATTTGTGTGAAAAAAAGCACTTTTGACGGTGCTTCAAGGCAATCGTTTGGTATCTCAAATGATCGTGCCTCAAATCGGCTCTCATAGAAAACCTTCAATCGATTACTTTGTCGGGCTTCCATACTCCATTCTCAATATGACCAACTTGATTCAAGAATCTTTATCGTGACTTATTTTCTTCTCCCTACGTCCTAAATCCTCCATTTTGGCCACCTACAATAGCCACAAGTTCAGAAATTCATCTGCTTCTTAACAAATCTTTTCAAGATCCGCTCCTGAAAATTTCATCATTATTACCTAGATAACTACACCTCTGCAGCCCAAGCTCCGTCTAACTCGTTTCTTATAATATCTCCGAGCCAATCAATACTCCTAATGAGATTTTCATTAGTTGCAAGAGAAAAGAATTGCTATTTGCAAACATAGACATGATCTCTCCAACTTCCAGTAGCATTCAAAGCGCTAATTCGGCATCTACCAGTCTCCTATTGAAACTAGAGGAAGCTGAATGCTATAATTGGAATTTCCTAGGGTTTAGTAGAAAAGTGGTTCTTCCATATGGAATTCCAAGTGGCGAATCCATCCCATCGAAATATATACAGTAGGAGGTTTCTCTTGGAGCTAGTGTGTTCGAGTGCGAGCTTTATGGTGGAAGGAAAGCTCTCTATTCCACTTTTACTTCTTAACTTCTTGGGTTTCAGTTTATGAAAGGGGAGGGCTTATGCATGTACATTTGATTTTATATCGATTTTCTTTAGATCTTCTAGTTGCTACTTTCTCATAACACTCGCATAGTTTCAAGTACTCTCACTTCTTTTCGGTTTCTGGTTTCCACACTTGACGATGAATTTCCAGATTTGACTCGACGTAACTAAATTGCTCACCAGGAACTTTGACACCGCATGTGTTCCCACAGAAAAGAAGTTGGATCTATTATGTTTTCTTGCCTTGGATATCCACAAATTTTAGGCATCTACTTCCCAGTGCGAATTGGCAAAGTGCAAGTGTCACGTGATCAAGACTTTTAAGTGCTAGGAGCTTGCATCACAGCATTTGAAGCAGAGTTGGAAGAAAGGCAAGATTTTCTGTTGTGCATCTTTCAGGCTTCTCAAACATTCTGGAAGGCTGGCACGTGGAGTGTTAGACTTTATACAGCTCGAGCGAATTAGAGCTCCGTCTTTCTCAGCTAAAGCTGTGGGTTCCCCTTCTCGCAGACTCTCCTTCCTCGCTATCATTGGGGTCTAGCTTTGGCTTTGGATATGGAATTATATCATCACATAGTACCACATTTGTATTATTGAGAAAACCCCGGCGCGAGATGCACAAGAGATTCTACCAATACTTAAGTTCGACAAATCATACAGTACGATTTTATTCCTGGGCTCTAAAACAAAGAGAGTTATAAATTTTATTGACTGCTCTATCCCCGACTTGCATAATATGTTGCCAGTTCCCACTTTCTATCCAAATTAGTTTATAATTGAACCCTTTCACAATCAGAGCGAAGTACCCAGGGTCATCTTGATGTGCTGTCTGATTCTTCCGAATCACATTTGAAAACGCGATTTGAAAGAACTTTACAGATTATTCCAAATATTTTCTATGCTATTCCAAGTCAGGATTGAGGTAGATCAAGCATTTCTCCAAGCAGCCACATCCTTCGTTTCTCGTCATTTCCTGCCTAAGTTTCAAAAATCCGTCAAATGGCATGCATTGGCAGCTTACCTGGGAATCCTCATTCTAAAGGCAACTACATCAACAATTCAATCATAACTCAAGATTCTGTCGCCAACACATGGAAAGATAAGATTTAGCGGAAAGGTTCGAAACTCCATTCAAAATGAGGGGAGATAAAGCTGCCCGAAGGCTCATCCAGTAAGTCTGAGTTCTTCTCTGTTTTTCATGGCTTTAATGATATGCGTAGCCCATATAATATCATGATAGGTTTAACAGGTACGCCAGATCCATCGGACGCGATGTTGTTCATATCAAGGTTGGAAAGGATTTACAAGATTTTGGTGTACACAAAAGTCTTATTTGCCATTACTCTCCTTACTTCAAAGCTGCATTCACCTCTGGTTTCGAAGAAACCAGGACCGGCATCATGAACCTTGCCGATGTCGACTCAGGCGTATTCGAGCTGTTTTTTCACTGGTTATACACGCAACGAATTAACAAATGGCGAATTGCATCTCAGTCAAGCTCAGAGGAAAAAGTAATAGATGCGGGTGACGAGTCAAACCAAAGGTAAGAACACATCTCGACAGAAAACAAACCTGTCATCCAAAGGAGCGAGTGGAAAATTAACTAAGTCAAAAGATCTCGTATTCGTACTCTTCTAGAACTTTACGTCTTTGCAGATATGATTCAAGTACCAGTTATCAAGAACAACTGCATTAAAGAATACTGCGAAATGACGATTCTCGAAAAAGAATACCTTATCGAGCAGAAAAACTTAGCGTATATCTGGGAGCATACAAACGAGAGCGATTTGGTTCGCAAATTCATCGTTGACTTGATAGTCTGGGATTTTCCCAAAATGTTATTTGAGAAGAAGGTGTATTCGTTGCCTATGGAAGGATTCTTTTTGATCATCCTCGCCATGAAGAAAATTATTGGCGATGCTCGCGCCGAATCGGCAGAATTGGAAAGACGGAGATCGAAGTTTAAGAGTCTTCAATCTTTGGTCAGCCCTCTAGGAGATCTAACCAAGTATTATGTGAACATCAAGACAGAGGATTTCCAAGACGGTGATGCTTTATACGTGTCGATAGCTGAGATGTTTGAAGAGGAGTATGAAGTCGAGGATATTCTGGACTCTAAATTGGTCGACGGTTCACTCAAGTACAAGGTTAAATGGGTTGGATATTCGCATGATGATCAATATTATCCTGCGGATGATTTTGCTGGTGGTCGAAGGCTTCTTACTGCTTTTCATCAGAAGTATCCACGGAAGCCTGGACCTGCGAGGAAATAGTTATGGGCTTCTCTTTCCGTGTGGGCCAACAGTGCAGGCGGTTCGGTTTTGGAGTCCTGTCAACAAAGGAAGTTGCTTGAGAGATTAAGCACTTCACTATATCACGGGATATCACCTTGAGCCATAAGTAGGTTTTGTAAATGGGTTTCCAATTTTTTGAAAGTTCATGAATATCATTCAACTTTGCTTCCTTATTTTAACAACTTTCCAAGAGGATTATATTTCTTGCCACAAATGCCTTAGATAGGAAAGACCTTAGTGTATGGTTTGTCGTAGTACGATCATATAGCTCACAGCTTTTGAATTTGGGCTAGTGCCCAACAACACTTTGGTAACCCTCATGATCAAGCCTCCTGGATCCTACAAATCTCTGCACACTCTCCCATCCGACGCTACAGTCACAAGATCGCTTCCAACCGAAGTATGAGCATATAAAACAAGGTTAGGATCATAAGATAATTTCACCTGCAGCAATTGATTGTAATTTGAGCCGTAATAATCTTCCTTCCAGGTCGGATTGTCAAATGTTGCCTCGTTCATGTATGCTCCTCCACCTGGTGTCAACGTTTTGAGCTGGTCTTGAAATCCATTCACCTGCGCTTGAACTTGGTGTATTGTTTCCGTCGAAGCCGGCTCTTCCATAACAACATCGACAATTACCCAGTAAAGAGAATCGCGCCATGCGGGGAGAACAGCGTTAGAACTCACGTCGTTTCCGACTCGAGAGTGCGTGACGTTAGCTGCCACGCCTCTCATTCCTAAGGATGTTGCAGGGATTCCGTTCGTGCTAATAATGTCTTTGAAAGTAGAAATTAGACTTGTCACGTTATTCTGGACGGCCGAGCGTGAGATCAGACGGCCCCCCATAACATCGTTTGTCGTAAAAGTTCCATAGGGGAGGCCCGCAGTGTAGTACGCGTAGTGATCATAGAAGTTTGGTCTATCGCTCGTTTCATATGCTGCAAATGTTATGTTCATCGCTTGAACCTCGTTTATGTATGGATCAAAAGCTTCAGCCATCGCCGAGGAGTTTTTGCCGGGCCATGTGGAAATGACAACTTCGAAAGCCTCGCTTGTCAAGCCCCAAACTGAGCTGAAGCCTGGGATTTGGTCTAGAAATAAAAGATGCTTGTGCCAAGCTTCAATTGCAGACCAAAACCTGTCGTCCCCGGTATTGTTAATGGTAAAAGATCCACCCCCAACTATACCATCATCATGCGCTTTTGTGGTAAGAGAGACTACTACAGCGTACGTTCCTCCTCCACCACCGCTAAGTGCCCAGTAAAGATCCGAGTTTTCCGTAGGTGTGGCGATAAGATGGCGACCATCAGCAGTCACAACCTCGAATTCTAGTGTGTTGTCTGCACTGAGACCGTAGGATGATCCGAGAGGGCCATGACCCCCACCTTGCACATACCCACCAGCCATACCTACAGTGGGACAAAATCCACCTACAACTCTCAGACCGTTCTCAGCAGCGATCTTGTAAGCTTCGAAAAATTGAACTCCAGCTCCGACTTTTGCCGCGGGGCCATTGTAATTAGCGCTGGTATAGTTGAGAAATGATATGTCTTTGAGATTGTGTGTCCATAGTGCAAGAGACCCCTCGCCGTTCGATCTGCCCATGTAATCATGGCCAGTATTCTTTATTGTGACTCGTATGTTGTTTTGCGTGGCAAATTTCAAGCCGGCGATGATGTCATCAGCGCTACTCACGTTGATGGCATAAGAAGCCATGTTTCCCAAAGTGCACGATGCATTTACAGAAGTGAAAGGACTGCAAGAATTATTCAGCCAGTATGGCGACATAACATTGACTGGATCCGTGAAACTTTGTGCTTGAAATTAGCTCGAAACGTTCAAACAAGATATATATCGGCTTTGGGATACGAGTTAGAACTAACTATGTGAGTGGTGCTGTCCATGTGTCTTCTATATCCGTGCATTCAGCCGAGTTATAGTGAGGATCGTGACAGACTTGAGCCAAAGGTTTTCCGAGAATGAGCCTTCCACCAACGGATTGGTTTAGATTTTGCCAATCGGCAAGGCTGGGCCATTGAGTATCTGTTGGAAGGTAGTTACAGCTGCTACCAGATTGACTAAACTCGTTGTTTTTTATAGCTGGTGCTGCGATTGCTGTAGGAAATGCGAGCAGGGCGGCGGCTGCGGCCACAACATATGGTGACTTTGAATGCATTTTCTGCAACACGAAAGGGTATATTGAAGATGAAGTGATATGGAAACTATTTAGGAAAACATTCGAATTAATACTCATCACTGGAGTAGAAGTTTGAGTGCTACGGTTCTTTTTGTGATGGTTTGAGCAACCCTTAAACAACTTCCGTTGACCGCCATCAAGTAGTAGTGCCGTGTGAAATCTACGATGTATAAGTGATGATGGGCAAGTAGTCAGCCGCGAGCAGGAGTTGCGCCGCTACAACGACGGCCCGGCGTAACAGCAGGCCGGTATCAACAAATTGTGCTCGGAAATCGGTCTGGAGCAGACCCCGATGGAAGAGACACCGATGGAGTCCATGTTGTTTCCTCTATTGTCTTACCCTGATATGTACTATTCGGCGAGAATATCGCCGAATTAGCAGTCTACCCCGGCAAAAACTCGCGTGTTTACTAAACACGATAATATCGTACATAAAGATTAGTGAACGTGGGGTAAGGGGTTAGTTAATCCTTCCCCTTGTGCTGTTGGCACGACGATACGAAGGAAAACTTTGCTCCGCATCTTCACTCAATTGAGGCTGCCCCTTTGAGACTAGTTTGAACAGATGCAGTTTGACAAGACCGATTGCCACGACGGCAATTCCGAAAATGCCGCCCGGAATTGCCCTCCGGGATTGCCACCACGGACATGTTCTGCATGGATCCAGGTACGATCGACGCGACATGCTTTATGCAAGATCAGTGGGCTGCATGTAAATGCGTGATTTGAGTGGCGGAAAGCGAATCACTTGGGTTTTAAGGTTATTGTGGGTACCAACCTGTCTAGTCATGCAAAATCGGCAGTCAGCCGCGCTTATGCTGACCTTGCATCAAATAAGGATTGTTCGTCGAAAACATTAATTCAATGTCATGTTCTGCTACTTAACTTCTATTTGTATCAAACACATCAGTAATACTCAGATGAATATAAAGTACTCAGCATTATGGACAACGATGAGATTAGTTCACCTAGAGCACGCAATGTAATAATGCAACCTCCGTCATCCACTATCACTATCATGTCTAGGTCTAAAGCTCATCGCCCTGAACCCTTTTACAATATCAAGGAGACGTCCCTGGGGTCTTAAACGTCAATTATATCAACATTTACATGTCCTTAAAAGATAACCTTTCGCGTTGATTTTGATCTGACATCAAGGGAATATGACAACGACTACTGTTCTTATATCTGGCACTAACAGAGGCACTGGTAAAGATCTCCTCGAGCTTCACCGTTCTAACCAAATCACACTGTTATTGCCGCAAACCGGCATCAAAATTGTCCTTCATCAATTGCACTCACGAACTTGCCTAAAGGCATTTCGCAGATGTTAGGGATACCACCCCTGAGCATTAGAGTACTGGGTATATCCCCTCTTCCATATATAAGCCTATGGCTTAAGAAGGAAAAGCGCCTGAAAAAAGAGAGAAGCACTATAGGACAGCAATGCTTCAGGAAGGTCATTCATGACAAGTGAAGGAGTATGTAGGTGTTCAAAGCCTTGGCACTAACGTTCCACGCTTGATTGTGGAAATTTCCGCATGCGACGCTCTAAATCTGAAAAGCTGCAACTCTCTACCGTATAAACTAAGCAAACTTAGGAAATATTCTCTTGCAACCGAAAGAGGTGGGGGTTGCGTTTATGGGAGGAAGTAGGGTTTGGCAGAGAGTGGACGAGGCAGGCTGAGTGTGCTAGGCCTCACGTTTAAGCCGTGTATATGATCAGCTGTGGCCGGGCTCGTGAAAATCGCTGAATCATGCTCGGATGAGTGTCAATTTTCAAGTCGACTGATGGATATATTTGGTACTAGTGCTAGTACTCGTGGGCTAAATATAATTCTTCAAAAAAGAAATCCCTAGCTACAACGAATTTGCTAATAGACATACTCGTGCGGCCAGAAAGCATGTCGCACTCCACCTAAATATGGGCCACTATTCCCCCTGCAGTTTACAATTTTGTGGCATATGCTTAAGAGTGGAGTTTGGCATACTTTCTGCCAACACGAGGAACTAGTGAAGCGGCTTCACATTCGTCCGATTCAAATTTCATGACACCAAATGGTATGCTGCTAAAGTGGGTCGTGAATTGGTCAGTCGACTAGGGTTTTAGACAATTTCGATGTTGGTGTTGTTGATTAGGCCGTAGCGTGCTGTTGCTGGAGATAGTGCTTAGGTTAAATTATGATGCCTTATTGCCGATCTTGCTGCCACTCGAATTCGCTTGGAGAAAAAACGTAAAAGATTTCCAATCCAGCAAAGGAGAAAATGGAAAGGGATAAATCGGTCTAAATATACTCCATAAGAATATCATTAACCCTAGGCTATGAAAGCTTCGAAACCAGTTTTTCGCAAAGTGTAATGAGCGAAGTGGCACTAGTAATATCAAGAGTTCTCAATTCAGCCCCAAGCGCGATACTAATCCAATTCCTCAGCTCGACTGCTGCGAGCGAATCCAACCCATATGATAGCAGGGGTTTAGCCATCTCCATTTCGTCTTCCAAACGTAGAATTTTGGTGAGCTGTGCTGCTATCACTTGCACGCATACCTGTGTCAATACTACCTTGTCAGCCCCTAGCTTGCGCATCATGTGAAATGTCTCTATTGTCTCATCGTTGTGCCTAGTATCTTTGTTATCCGCCCCATCGACCGCTCTTTGAAAGAGATAGCCAAATCTTCCTTCATGGACGAGATCCGAGTCCTCAGGCTGTGGAAAACTAATACCAGCTATCAGTTGTGTGTGGCTTTTTGCATTAATTCTTGCTTTTTTGTCTTGCTGCAGGATGGAATAGCTCAGAATATTCCGTAATGTATTTTCAGTCACGGGGGTCCACTGCCTGTTGTCGAAACGAGCATTTGAGCACTCCTGCTCAGCCACGTATTCTACGTCCTCAATTATACCAAGATCAACGGAATTTGCTCGAAGACCAAGAGATTCACGATATTCGGCGAAGGCATCCAGAAATGTGTTTCCTGCAGCATAATTTGCCTGCCCTTTATTTCCAACAACACCGGAGATACTCGAGAGCAAGGTGAAGAAGTCTAGCGGCTCTTTTTGTTCTTGGCAAATATAGTGTAGGTTCCAAGTTCCATTGATTTTTGCATGAAGAGCTGTGTGATAATCATCCAGCGTCATGGTTTCAAGTGGTCTATCCCTAAGGATCATAGCTCCATGAATGACCCCAGTGATTCGTGGTGATGCCTGTCTGAAGACTTTTCTCATGAAATTTACATTGGCAGCGTCGCCTTGGGCATCTACAACTTTGCATCCATATGCAAGGCAGTTCATCACAATTTTCTGTGATGCAGCATCGTTGATACCACTTCTACTGCAGGCGATGATATTCATAGCACCATGCCGCGCCATATGAATAGCCAAAGAGCCACACATGCCTTTCAAACCGCCGACAATGAGATAGGAGGCGTCGGGTCGAAGTTTTAATTTTTGTGTTGCTGGCCGAATCGGTACCTGCAAACTCTTACCTTTATCAGAGACAACAACTTTGCCAATGTGTCGACCACTGTGCATGAGTGTCAGTGCTGCTGGAATATCATTAAATCCAAATACAGTAACTGGGTTAATGGGCTTGATATGGCCACCATTAATCAATTCGAAAATTTGGCCCAACAGTCTAGATATGGTAGCAGGAAGTTAGCTCTGATATGCCGAAAATTTTGGCTTACAGATTTCTGGAGGCGGAACATACCTTGCAATAAATGGATCTCCTATATTCTCAGTGTTAGAGAAGTCAATTGCTCTAAAGGAGCAGTTGCGATCAAAAGGTTCTATAGATAACGTTTTCCGATCAACAATGCCCCTCTTTCCGATATCGACCATAGTACCGCCGTCGGCGCAAATTCGCCATGAGGCATCGAGCAATTCCCCAGCTAGGGAGTTCATAACGATGTCGATGCCGCGGCCGTTAGTTGCATGTATTATTTGTTTGGCAAACTTTGTATTACGGGAGGAGAACATACGGGATGGTGGAATGCCGTAACTGTCAGTTAAAAATTTGCCCTTTTCTTCCGTACCAACAGTGACATAAATTTCTGCCTTCATGTGTCGCGCAAGTTGAAGGCACGCAATTCCAACACCACCTGATGCCGAGTGGATGAGTACGGACTGTCCTTCTCTCAAATTGGCAATATCGCAAAGAGAGTAGAAAGAGCACAAATACATCATAGGGATAGTAGCCGCATCTTCAAAACTCATCGAATCTGGTATAGCGTGGGCTCGTCCAATAGCAACTTGGAGGCGATTTGCATAACTGCCATTATTCAAAAAGCAGACACGATCTCCAACTTTGAATTTGGTTACACCTGGTCCTAGTCGTTTTACGATACCAGCTCCTTCGTAGCCAATGCTGTATTCATTCCCTGGAACAATGTCCATTGTCACAGCTACGTCTTTGAAATTGACGCCCACAGCCATGACATCTATCTCAATCTTTTCTGGATCTACCGGAACCTCTCCAACCGCTGTTTCACACCATGTAAGACCCTGGAAAGTTCCTAAGCTCTCAGCTCTTAATTGTACGGCTGCTTCAACTTCGTGTAGATTCCTCAGTATAGGCTCCGCACCTTCTACCTCGGCCCTCTTAAACTCATTGACTGGAAAGTCCGGTACAACTCTTTGCACATATAGAATCCCGTTACGTTCTACGAATTCTGTATCAACATCGAATCCCGAGTTTGGAGGGCTAGATTCTAGCGATTTGAGAACCGCGTCAATGGCATACTCTGTGGCAGGACCCGTGCTTGACTCGACGTCCAAAATGTTAAGTTTTGCGCTGGGATTTTCTCTACGTGCTACGCGAAATAGACCTTGGACGAGAGCGTTGTTGGGATGAGTCACCTTATATTGGGCACCTTTGGTGACCCAGAGTAGATGGTTCCCAGAACTGATGAGCATCTTAAGGCCTCCCCACTGGGTTGCGTCGATATTTGTTAATACTGGGCCGTAAAGTTCATCTAGAACCAAGATCACAGCTCCTGTTTCCGTGAGGATTTTCGGTGGGTACGTTACGTTCTTGATTTTCCAGCCGGATAATTCTAAGGCTGCTTTGAGCGAGGGATCTAAGGACGGTGTGTTCTCCGAAAGCTGCACGATAATTAACTTCCTCAGGTGCGAATTGACTCCAACCTGAGCTTCATTAGTGTACAAAGACCATGCTAGACTGTCCTCATCGCTAGGAACCTGTAAGATGGAAGTGAATTTGTGCACTTTCATCGCCTCACGCATCGTTTCGTGGTTTGAGAATCCCTGTGTAAGACCTGCCACCGCCGCATCAGACTCAAGCGACTTTCTCTTGCTCTTGTGGACCTCTTCGGATACTACTTTTTCAATTGTACCGCTAATTTCTGAGTTCTCGGCAATGGATTCGAAAGGCTTGGTGGCTATTTCAAGTGGTTTAGTTGAGCCTGCCGACGACGGTGACGGCGATTTGACACTCTCATCAAGAGAAGGGGTATGCACAGAGCTAATTCTTGATTGTAATCGATCCTCCTCATCAACGACAAGCACATACCCTTTGTGGAAAAGATGAGCTTTGATATATCTGAGGATATCATTCACGATCTGATCAACAACCGAAGTCTTGGAAATTTTCAAAATGACGAGGTCATACATTGCGTCTGATGAAAATCCCAAGGCTTCTTTAGTGGTATTTAGTAGAAAAAACGATGTGTTGCTCTTGGTCTTGTACTTGATTCCGAGACTCGCGAGATCTCTGGCGTTGTCCGAAGCAAAGTCGTACTGGAGGTAAGCAGATCTTGATGATAAATGTCCAGGCTCAAACCAGGTAGATCTTATTTCAGTGGAATTAAGTTTCACCTCAAGGATTATTAAACCAGGCTTCTTGTGCGCAATAAGATCGATGACTGTATCCAGTTGTGGCTCAAAATTTTCTTGATTCAAACCTACCAACTTTTCATGGGAAAGGAAAGTAACGTCTGGCTTCCAAGAAATGCAGTGGAATACATGTGGATCTGTTTTGATACCCATATCTAACTTGGCAAATCGGAGCCCAGTCATCTGCATGAGAAGTACACCATTTTCGGGCTGATATACTGAGCAGTTAGCAAAGTAGCTCTTAGCTTCCTCAAGACGGCCATGGCCCGAATATTCTGATGTGGCAAGCGAGAGGCCCTCCTTAACACCACTAGGCACACTATTAATTATGAGGTCATCAATAATCGCAGGAACTAAGACAGCATTAACTGAGCTATGTTCTCCTGCCCAGAGAGCAGGAGTGACTGTCTGGAAGCATCCATCCAGAGATGCCGGATGAATTGGATAACAGAACTGTGGCGACCATTTTGATGATGGCTCTTCCAATGATACCTTAACGCGACATTGTCGTTGGCCGCTCTTGGACTCGACATTGAGGAGCTTCTGGAAACTGGGCCCGAAACCATAGCCGGCTTCTGCCTGAGATTTATACCAAGCTTTGCCAACTGTTGGGTACTGAAGAGGTTTGTCATCAGACTCAGCCAGAGATTCATCAACGGGATCTTGTAGACGGATCAGACCTGAACAATGCTCAACCATAAGATCTCCGGTAGTGGAAGAAATTCGAAACTCTTGCCAGTCTGTAACACCATGTTTTTGGGTCAGTGAAAGTAGCACAGTCGACACTTTATCGTCCTCTAGCACCAAAGGTTTAGCAAAACGAATATTCCTAAATCGATAACATAGCTCATTAGGCGAGTTAATAGTTTTGTCATCGGTAGCGAGGACGCGCGTCTTTTGGTATAATGCTTCCACAGCCATTGTTATGTATCCAGCAGCAGGCATAAGAACGTCCGAACCTATTTTATGGTCTTTCAACCATGGCACATCGGAAAGATTCAAAAGCTTTCGCCATGTTGGTGATTGCCAAGTAGTCCCGAGGACTTTGCTCCCAAGCAAATCGTGATTGACAAATTTTTTGAATCTCCAATCTTTACTAGATTCATTTTCATGCCAATACTTGATTGAATGGTTCCAGTTGTAATTGGGCAGGTCGATGAGAGTTTTAGCCTCAGTGTACTGGTTGACATTTCCCAGATTGATATCATGACCGGTGACGAACAAAAAACCTGCTAAATCGAAAATGGCTTTGCCGGCATGTTGACCTCGAGCCCATGAAGGATTGTAGGAAATGCTGTCTCCATTTGGCAATGATTTTAAAATTTGCGAGATGGGTCGGGCAAGTGCCCCTGATGGACCAATTTCGATCAGAAAGTTTGGCCCTTTCTCCTGCGAGAGCAACTCAATAAGAGCCTTATCAAAACACACCGGAGAAACAAGGTTTGTTTTCCAGTATAATGCGTCTGTAGTGGTGTTCTTCTTTGATCCGGTGACTGAAGAAAACATGGATACATCAGATGATCCACGAAGGCAGGTGAAGTCAGATTTCAAAATCTTCTCATACTCCTCGGCAATCACTCCAATAAGTTCAGAATGGTAGGCCAAGTCAACTTCTAGGAGTCTACAAAAATGGTTTCCGGCTTTCAATTCCTCGGCCAATGATTCGAACGCACCGCGTTTCCCGGACACAGTTAGACTGCTGGGACTATTGTAACATGCAATCCAGACTTGGCCGGCATATTTTTCTAGGTACGGTAATATACCTTCTGCTCCCAGACCCACTGCAAGCATGCCAGCTCCACTTTCAACTTCGTTCTTTCGATTTAGAGCAGCACGACCTATGTAGTAAGCTACTTTGATAGCAGTGGCTTGGTCCAGGAAGCCGGCTGCATATGCTGCAGCAATCTCTCCTGAAGAGTGCCCAACCACGCTTTGAGGTTTGACACCCCATTTTCGAAGCACTTCTATAACGCATAACTGAAGTGCTGTAACAAGGGTCTGTGAAAATTCTGGTCGACGGAAATGTTCGGTGCTGCGAACCTCCGTTAACTCATGTATTAATAACCAATTTGGGGGCTCTGAAAGGCTTTGCAGAGCGTCGTCAAGATGTTCCAGTATTTCCCTTGTCCATGGAAAGAATTGCAGCAGTTTCTTCCCCATTTGAGGCCACTGGGCTCCCTGGCCAGTGAAAACGAACCCTATTCTCAGGGCTTCAGGATTCTTCTGTCCAATAATAAAATCATTTTCGTCAATATCAGTATTTTGTGTTGTGATGTAAGCCCGGTGCCAAAATCGTGTTCTCCTCTCCGAAAGCGTATATGCGAGATCTTTGAGATCGACTTTTACACTTGGATTGATCAAGTGATTGCACAGTGCCATGATGTTGGCCTTTAGTGAGGCCTTGTCATTTGCTGAGAGAACGAGTGTATATGGATGCTCAGAGTCATCTTCATCTAAATCGAAGTCATCACTATCAGAAAGATATGAAGTGGCGTGCTTCGGGCCATCCGAAAACTCGGGCTGTTCAAAGATTACGTGTGCGTTGGAACCTCCATGTCCGAAGGAATTGACACTTGCTCTGCGAATGGAGGATGCAGGCCATGGTATCGCAGTCCGAGTAGCTTTTACTTTAAGACGGGCAAAATCGACTATGGCCATATCAGCTTTAGTGATAAAAGGGTGCAAAAGAATTTTTTCGTCATAGGTGCTTACTCTTTGGGTTCGGGTTTATGAAGGTGGGATTCCCCGGAATGATTCCATTTTCTATGGCCATGACGGCTTTTATGATTCCTGATATACCCGCTGCTGGCCCAGCATGTCCTAAATTGCTTTTTATCTTGACGTATCTCAGTAAAGGTCCGTAATCGATAATCTCATAAGGGGCTGGCAGGTCACTTACCGAGCCGATGATGAGTGGCCTGTCTCTTGAACGCGTCCCAGAAAATGCCAAAGCGGCAACTTCTGCTTCGATAGTATCAGAGGTCTATTCTAGACGTATTAATCAAATCGGATTGCGCAAACTTTTATATGAGTAATATCGCCCATACCTGTGTTCCAGTACCGTGGCACTCGAGATACGCTGTTTCATCTAAATCTGTAATACCTGCATTTGCATAAGCGGCTCTGATGACAGCATATTGTGCTTCGGCGCTAGGTGTAGCAATTCCAGATGTTCTTCCGCTGCTATTGGTTGCAGAACCTCGGATCACAGCTCTTATGGGGTCACTGTCGCGAAGAGCGTCAGAGAGCCTTTTAACAATGATACTACTCACTGCTTCGGCTTTTACATATCCATCGGCATCAAGATCAAATGTATGACACAGCCCAGTAGGCGAATAAGCATTACTCACCTCTCCAAGATTCATCACATGCTCTGGATTCAGATAGAGGTTGCTGGCTGCAATAATAGCCGCATTAATCTCCCGAGATTGTAAATACCGGCAAGCTACATCCAGACTCCCAAGACTACTAGAGCAAGCAGTATCGATAGTCATACTAGCAGACACAAAATGTTAGGCTGGATAGGGTATATTGTGTGTTCAAATTCTTACCTCGGTCCTTTGATATTCAAGAAATGACTTAGTCTATTGGCCATAGTTACACGTCCAACGCCAATTTTGAAGTTTGCTGGTTTGTCTTCAGGGTCTCTGTTTTGCATATCGCTATAATCTGAATTATTTTAGTATTTTCAGTTTGACACCACGTGCAGATTTAATCACCCGACGCATATGAACCAATGAAGCACCCAACAGGTGCACCATCGAGACTCTCTAGCGGAATACCAGAATTCTCGAGTCCTTCAAAAACAACTTCGAGCATCTGACGTTGGTTTGGATCCATTGAGATAGCATCGATCCGCGATATCTCAAAAAATGAGGCATCAAAATCCGCGAGATCAATATCCTCCAGAAACATGCCGCCACATGTTCGCATAGTGTGCGGCTTTTGAGATCCATCCCAATGTCCCTCAACATTGAATCTCGATTTGGGCACTTTGTTAGAGGCAACGTCTCCTCTTCGGAGGAACTCCCAAAGTTTTTTCGGAGTGGTATTACCGCCTGGAAGTCGGCATGCAAACCCAATAATGGCGATGGGCTCTTGAGAATTTTGAACCATTTTTGATTTTATTTGGTTATGGTGCCGACTGGTGTTTATTGATTATATATAAAATTGGAAGAAGGGAGTTGCTCATGTTTAGATCGTTGTGATGTCACAGCATCTTATGCAAACGTGAAGAAATTACATACAGAGCCTATTCCCAGCAATGGTCAAACTTCAGGTCTACTTTTACGGCATGACAAATATACCATAACTCCCTCATTGTTTATTTCAACCAGTTTCTTTTAGACTTTAAAAATTTTCATTGATTTTTCCATTTTACACTCCATTCTTGCCCAACATGTGAATCACGAACCAGGGTAATAAGTAGACCTTGTAGTGCAGATAGACAATCTAGTCCAACCGGCGACCCTCGTAAATTTTCCTGGACACTTTTTCCTCATGTCACAATACAATCTGCAATGTGAATGAACTTATCCGCGGTTTCTACCGGCATCCGTCATAAGAACAAGTGGGAGTGGGCCGCCACCATTCGCTTCGGGGAACGTACAGTAAGTATTTAAGCGAACCAAGATTCGCATCCCTGAATCTTCAGCCGAAACCCTTTAGCTGCATGCAAGACACCCAACTCGGCAATGCGGGTAAGAAATTTGCGTCTGCCACATATAACTCAGTGCCTCTTTATCTGAAACATATAATACTGGATTTGTTCAAGAGTAGATAGCGCTTAGCGATGCTGATATTGATTGTAAGTCTCGAAAGAATATTAAAATCCTTAAGTGTTACGAGGTTTGCCGTCTAGATCACGTGGAAGTGCTCTAGGCTCTCGAAGTGGTTTATAACTAGGCGTCAAGCACGGACTTAAGTAATGACAATAATGATATGCAATTCGTAACTAATAGTGGAGCATACTAAATGATTGATCTTGAGCACGAAGCTCTACAACAAAACAATTCATACTGAATATATAGATCTTCATGCTCTCTTGGATCCTTTTGAATCCTAAGCTCCAAAAGCTCCAAGTCACGTGTTTTCTGACGATGCATGCGCATACGATCCTAAAGTGACCCAGATCACATATTAATTCGATGAAATCTGATCGCTTTTGCACAAGGTCCAAGCTCTCCTAATTAGTCAGTTGTTACCTTCGTAAACATTCCATTAGAAAGCTACCGAAATAATATTCGAAATGTTTTATATTATAGATTTATATGTTACGTCGGACTTCACATACCAAACATCACGTGCTCAGCATCATGTGATATAAGGATCCCAGTGGGCTCAGCAGTCCCAGTAGCACTGGGACAACTGGGAATACTGGGACGCATGCCACGAAGGTCTATATAATCAAGATGGATTTCCTTTGTATAGAGCTTCGTGCTCAAGATCAATCATTTAGTATACTCTACTATTAGTTACGAATTGCATTATTGTCATTACTTTAAGTCCCTGCTTGACGCCTAGTTATAAACCACCTCGAGAGCCTAGAGCACTTCCACGTGATCTAGACAGCAAACCTCATAACATGGAAGCATTGGGGTGGCTTGTTATAGGCTGTAGTTTACAACACGATAAGACCCATCCGAATAAACTCCGAGACGAGTGATGTAGGAATTTATTTCTGTCGGGGCGTTGTATAAAGGATTAATAAATTAGATAAAAGCCTCCTTCAAGAACCCGATAGCACTGCGCAGAGAAAAAAAAAAGACTTTCTTTCCTCCCTCTCATCAGCTTCTTTCAGCACTCGTACATTTGTTTTCTTCAATCTTTTATTGATTTTCTCTTATTTTCCTTGTGCCTAGATTAACAGCTCATAGAGTGGCCGCGTTTGGTGCTTCGTCAAATTTCGTTCGGAGTCTCGCGGTGTGAAGAAGAATAAGCTTCTTACCATTCAAAAAAAACGCTTCAAGAAATATGACACTCCCACCGGTCAATGTTGAGTACAAGACAATTGATGGCGTCATTATTCGAGGAGTGCTGTATCCGACGGAGATGAAAGCACCTGCCATTATCATGACACCAGGAGTAGGTATTTTACAAACTATCATTCGACGATGTATTATATGTTTTGATTACTCACCCAAACTCAGGTCAATCTTGTCAAAGAACTGCTCGTGCCAGAGATAGCCCAGAGATTCCAAAGTAGAGGTTACAATGCCTTGATCTATGATGCGCGGGGCATCGGAGAGAGCGATGGGCTTCCTAGAAACCAAATCGATCCACTACAACAATCTGAGGATTTGTCCGGTCGGTACTATCCGATCAATAACATTTTGTGATGGTATACAAATGTACAACCCTAGCTTACAATTTGATGTTTAGACATTTTAACGCATATCTCGTCATTACCAAATGTAGATTCGAGTCGACTCATGCTTTGGGGTATGTCCCTTGGAGCGACTGTAAGCGCCTGCACCGCAGCCGTGGATAGGCGAGTAAAGGTACTCATCATGGTGGGTCCTGTTTTTAGCTTTTTCCAGCCAGGAAAACGAGAAAAGGCTATGGCACTAGCTATTAGGGATCGACAATCACAGTTGCGAGGTAATGAAGCATCTACAGTGGCTCTCTTCAATAGCAAAGGGGAAAACCCGCTGGGGTTCGGCGGATCTGGAGGGCCAGGTGGAGTAGAAGCCTATAACTTCATATCCGCAGCAATTGATCGAGGACAACCAAACTTCCACAATCGAATCACGCTACAAAGCTTCCAAAAGCTGATTATGTTCCGTCCCAAGGTTCTGCTTGATATGATTCAAGCAGCCAGTCTGATGATCGTTCCCGAGCTAGACAATGTGTCTTCTCCCGATGAACAAGTAGAAGCATTTGGACTGTTACCAAGCCCGAAAAAGCTGTATATGGCGAAAGGCAAGGAGCATGCAAACGTCGTCAGTGGAGAAGGGTCTGAGGAAACTTTAGATGTCATGATGGAATTTATGAATACAGCTAATGAGACTGAGGCATGAGCCGGAAATTTGTTTTATATATTCTACACCTGTTTAGAGGACAGGTGATTTGATGTAAAGAGGTTAATAAAGCTATTATATCGATTCTGACATTTTAAAAACCTGAAGGAATCTCAATTTTTGAATTGAAACGATATTGTATAAAATCTCCAGCATTTAGGAAACAAATAACAATATCAAGAAATACACCATTGTGAATCAGAACTATTAAAGAAGCTATTTTCAATATTTCAAATTTGATATACTTAAAACTGGCAACTTCGTTATATAATTATACAGTTATGATTCTCTTTATAAGTGTTTATTGTATGATATGAGTACCGGAAGAAAAAAGTAGTAGCTAGATGTGTCGGATTGAGATATGAGCATGATTATGGAAAGGGCTCTTGAGGTGATGTATAGAGGATTGGGGGTTAAGTGCGAGTATTGAAGTTGATTGAGATAGGGTGCGGGAGGTAGCATGCAATTTTATGAAAGCTCAAATCGCCAGCAGAAAGTAAAAGATAGGTAACGAGATTTTCAATTCCATTCTTAACTATTCATCTAAAACCCGATTCTAAATCTAAATCCATATTTAAGTATAAATCTAATCCCCAGACACCCCATTCATCTTCATCTTCTCCTTTTCCTCCTCTTTCCTCTCCTTCTCCTTCCTCTCCCTCCTCTCACTAAACCTATCCCCAAACACCCCCAAATGCACCCTCATAACAACCGTAACCCTAACAAACTCCTCCATACAATCCACCAACCTCTCCCTATTAGAAGAAGGCAACAATCTAGCCCTACCACTCCCATCCCCTCCCTCATCTTCAAACTGTTTCCAAGCCATGGGCAAACTACTCTGATTAGGACATGCAATCATTCTCATCCACCTACCCAGAATCCTCAAACTATTAACCGCGTTGAAACTCTGACTGCCGCCGTTGACTTGGATGAGGGAGAGAGTGCGGCCCTGCGTGGGACGGACCGAGCCGCTGGAGAGAGGAATCCAGTCGATTTGGTTTTTGAAGACGGCGGTTAGGTTGCCGTGTTGTTCTGGGGAACACCAGATGTGTCCGTCGGACCAGAGGGATAGTGCTCGGAGTTCTTGGACTGAGGGGTGAGAGTCAGCGACTGAGTCGCGGATGGGAAGGTCTTTTGGGTTGAAGACGCGGACGTCGCAGCCGAGACGGTGGAGAATTCGGGAAGCTTCGAAGGCCATCAACTTTGAATAGGAACTAGGTCACTTATTAGACACGTCTTATACATTTTGCATTAAAACTGGAACATACCGTTGCCGTAAGCTTCCATAAAGTACCAAAACCTTTAATCTGGAGTTGGTTTTCGCTAGATTCTCCTCCACTTGAGTAATTACAGAGTCTAACTCTAGTTCAGAAATCCAGTCCGTAGCTTCGGTTTCTGGATCCAGTAAGAAAGGACGATATTTATTTCTAATATCAAGATCATCTTGTGCTTCGCTAATGGCAAGTTGAGGACATTGAGCCAATGTTCGAAACTCCCGTGTGGTAGGGGTAAGAGGACTCATTTGAATTGCTATTTTGCTGAAAGTTGTCCTTATTAGCAGATTAGTAGTGAAAGAAGAAAGATCATGTGAAAAGACAAGTTGTATTTACTACTACGAGGAGTAGTAATTACAAGATATAAATAGGAAGCTACCTCGGGGGTGGTAGAGAGTATTGATGATACCTCGTCTAAACTGGCCCAAGCTTCCTCTAGTACGAGTGACATTTCGCTACTTGTTTATTGGTGGGCCTGACTTAAGCGGATCCCTGCTTGAAAACTGTTACGCTAGTTGTAGGACTAGCTAGATAATGATCGATCAGAAGATTGAGTGTTGTACGAGACTTGACATGTTTTGAACTCTTGTCTAAGTTAATGGGGTAGCAATTACAAAAAGAATTCAAAACAGGATTAAGCATTCTAGACAGTGATCATGATAGTATTCTGAAATTTAAGGCACTTGCCAAGGGCATACATGGTGAACATACGTGACAAAGCATGAGAAAAGTTTGAGCTACTGTAAATGCTGGATATCATTAATCTACTAAAATCTAACTTTTAAAATTCCAGGCTGTTTATTCCTTCTTCTCCGAGGCGGCCTTCTCAGCCTCTACTCTCCTCTTTTCATCTCCCACCTCATCTACATAGCCTTCCGTCTTCATATCAGAAAGACCCAAGTCCTCTTCTTCCTCAGCAGTTCTTTCATATTCCTCTATCTCGATCGATGGATCAGCGTCTGGTAAAAACAGATTCTGTACGTAACTGCTGGCCAATGGATCCCTGAGGATAATTGTGAATTTTCTCTCGCCCTTGATAGCCTCGTCGATACCATCGAAGAATATCTTCCAGTTTTTCTTAGATTCTGATTCCATACCATCTCCACCTTCTCCGGCGTCGCCAACATCAAAGATTTGTTGATGTAAATCGTCTCGCACCTGAGTGAGAAGACCTTCAACGGTGGTGAATCTTCCTCCCAATGTTCCAGGGTTAACCGAGAGTTTGAGTTCAGGGCATTCCAATGCGCATGACTCTGACTTGAGGATATCTCTGGCTAAATCCACAACACTTTCAACCTTGAGAGTGATACATTTACCCTTCTCTGGCACTTCACCTCCAGTCTTAACCTCATTCGAACGATATCCGCAATGCTCACATACTGTACTCATAATAACAACTTGCTTGAAATGTGGAATTTCAACCATCTTCATATGTGTGACGCAATGTCTTGTACATCCAGGGCAGGTAGCTGGGAAAGAATAAACCTCGTTGGGGATAATATCATCGTCTTCGAAACTTGCGGCAGTGGGTTGTCCTCCAGTGGCAGCATCAGTAGGCTGTTCACCACTAAGACCAAGAGCCTCATTTTGTTCTGGGGTTCTTGGATATTGGACCTTGGCGAGTTTTCCTACACCATCCTTTTGATCTGGCTCAATCCATGAATTTCCTGCTGGATCATCAAGAGATAATCTGAAAGGGAATGCCTCCCCTGCAAGCATCTTTCGACCTCTAGTAATAACATCTTCGATTTTTTCATACACTTCTGGAATTTGCTCCTTTCGCTCTGGTTGTTTGAGAGCAAGATCATCAAGAATCATGCTCAAAAGACCTTCTACATTTGTCAACTGTCCTCGACCTTCTGGAACCTCAAGATCCAATTCGATAAATTTCACAGTACAAGTATCAGATTTCACCACTTGCCTGGAGAAATCTTCGGGGGTGGTGAGGCGCAATTCAAATCGTGAACCTCTTTGTTGAATTTCTCCAGCAGATTGGATCTCGGAATTTTTGAAGCTGCAATGCGGACAGAAGAAGGACATAAGGATAATTTCGCGGAAGTAAGGAATTCGTGTGAGAAGTAATCGGGTGATTCCCTAAGAGTGGAGGATTAGCAGGCACTCTTAGTAGTAAAAGGATGGCTTAACGTACATTTTCATGACAGTTCATACATAATGATTCGATTTCATCTACCACCCTCTGATCTTCATCTGACTCTAATGCGCCGTTTGTTACAGTGCCATCCTTCTGGTCATTGGCAGAAAGATTCTGTGCCTTTTTACCTAGACTCTCAAAATAATCATCGAAGACAGCACCATCTGGCTTCGTTTCGTTTTGGTTTGTATCGGCCATGTCGTCTGAATTTTTATTGTTGTTTCTAAATTGCTATGATTTTATGATGCAGAATAATAATTGTAAAACTTGGGAGGGGCAATTATTATGAGGGGTTGCGAAATTATATTTTTCGACGCCTGATAAGATTCGACCCTGGTTATGACATTTTAGCGTGGCGCGTTACCTCATCGGGCGTCAGGCTGAAAGTCCGAGAAGGCTGTGGAAGCTCTGGTTTGTCATTGTCCAGATGAGAGGGGGCAAGAAAACTTTTGTAACTTGTGACGAAAGTTCATCGTGCTTCTGCTATCAATAACTAGAGCGACGAGATCCAGGAGCCTATTGTCTCTCACGGCGTATTAAGTGTTGTCGTAACATACAGCATAATCCAAATTTTGGCGAGTGTTAAGGAAAGATCCTAACATGTCGACTGTCTAGATAGAATGTCGTATGTATTAGATTTATGATTGTGTTTTCTGGAGACTTAGTCTTGTTATTTTCCGGAGTAAAAGTTCTTTTAGCCATTAATACTGTGTCGAATCGTGATCATCACCTGCCCTCAAATATTTTGCTCACTATCCAGTGACATTCATGTCTTCTTCATTAAATCCATCAAATCAAGACCAAAGCCCGATGAGCTTGCCTCTGACGCTTTCTGCTTCGCCAACAGTGCTCCAAGCCCACCCAGCTTGCGATTTTTGGCCCTTTTCTTGCTACTTGCATTTGTAGAGGGCGTAACTGTAATATTCGTAGTTGTCGAGGACTGCGCTGGTACGGAACCATTTTTAGAGACACCTCCACGTTGGATTGTGCTCATCTCAGACCTAGATACCACCGGCGCGGGACCTAAACGATGTCTTGTTTTTTTACTACAAGAACCACATGTATAAATCACAGCCTTTTGCTCACTAGAGGCTACAGCTGGCTTCTTATGATATCGTTTCTTGTTGGAGCTTTGGGATTTAACTTCCAGCTTTCCTTCCCATCCCAGTATCATAATAGTCCCGCAGGCACCACACGATTGGCGTTTTCGAGACTCGGGTTGTTCAATTTCGTGCTCAAACATTAGATAATTGCATTGTGACATCAAATATTTCGAGGTAGTGGGTGCCGATGTCGCTAGGAAATGTGCCGACTCATTCAAATATCGTAGACGCGCCGCCAATTCTATATCTGCCATGATTATAATATAATGTTGTGACGAATCGAGACTCTCGAGCTATGACGCGTTGTGTACGAAGTAAAGAGAGTTTGCGATGAATTTTGATTTTCTCTTTTGAGAGTTTGGCAAGCGAGGCAGTGGGATGAACATGAAATTATTGTCGACTTCGACACCCAAGGGTAACCTTTTCCGAAACCTTGAGGAAATACGAAAATCATACCATTTGTGTTATGGGAGGAACTACGGCTACATAGTAATTCGCAACTTGTCCAGCAAGGTGCCCTTTAAAGAACCTAAGAAGCTATCTAAGAAACCTAAAACCCCGCCCAAAATGGCTGCCTCCATTCAGGAAGTCAATGGTTTGCGCATAGCTGTAGAGGGATGCGTAAGTCCCAGTCCATAGCGATTGACTATCTGACCAACGTGCTAAATCTTTCAATAGGGCCATGGCACTCTCAACGCAATATATGCTTCCATTGAGAAAGCTTGTGAAGCTCGAAATTGGGATGGTGTTGATCTCCTCATTATTGGCGGGGACTTCCAGGTTAGCTAGAATTCCCCCTCATATCTAGCATTTAGTAGTTTACTGACAGTTCCAGGCAGTACGAAATGCAAATGATCTTACGGTAATGTCATGTCCAGTCAAGTATCGAGAAATTGGCGATTTCCACGCATACTATAGCGGTCTTAAGAAAGCACCATACCTCACCATTTTCGTAGGCGGGAATCACGAAGCTAGCAGTCATTTATGGGAATTATATTATGGAGGATGGGTTGCGCCAAATATTTACTACATGGGAGCTGCGAATGTGGTGCGATTAGGAGGGGTGAGAATTGCTGGTATGAGTGGCATTTGGAAAGGTTATAATTACAACAAAAGCCATTACGAACGACTACCATACAACCAAGATGATGTCAAATCGATATACCATATTCGCGAATTTGACGTTAGGAAACTTTTACAATTGAGGACGCAGGTCGATATCGGGATCAGTCATGATTGGCCGAGGGCCGTTGAGAAGCATGGAGATGTGAAAAAGTTGTGGAATATGAAACCAGATTTCGAAAGAGAATCAAATGATGGATCGCTGGGGAACTTGGCTGCGAGCTACGTCATGGATCGTTTGAGGCCACCTTATTGGTTTGCGGCACATTTACATTGTAAATTCTCCGCTGTAAAAACTTATGAGGATGCGAAGAAGCCAAAGAAATTGGAGGATTCAAAGGAAGAAGAAGTCAAGCTTACCGAAGCTGCGCCTTCAGTCGAAGACCGCGATACAGCCGTTGAGCAGCAGTCAATAATACCACATAATGATGATGAGATTGATCTCGATATAGATGATGACGATAGCCCTCTAATAACCGACGCACCGAAGGCTGTCGAAGCTGTAGCGGAAAGTGATCAAAGTAAGAATACGTCAACAGTCACAGAAGATTCTACACCATCAACAGTCCCGTCTGATATTCGAGCTCAATTACCGGCTGCTTTCTCGAAACCACCACCTCCAGTCCAGCGAGAGTCTAGAGTGCAACCAGGACAGCCGGCACCACCAGGAGTCACGAACAAAGCAGTTCGCTTTCTTGCTCTAGACAAATGTTTACCAGGTCGTAAATATCTACAACTTTTAGAGGTACAACCTTTTGATAGCACCAAAGAGACCCCGATAGCTACTCCACGATCGAAACCAAAGTTTGAATATGATCCAGAATGGTTAGCCATAACCCGAGTGTTCAATCCCGATCTTATTCTCGGAGACAAATCAAGTAAATTCCCCGAAGATTTGGGGGAAGCGCATTACAGAACACTTATCGAAAAAGAGCAAGCATGGATCGACGAGCATATTGTTCAGCAAAACAAACTGGAGATCCCCGAGAACTTTGTAACTACCGCACCACCTTTCGTTGAAGGCACGCCAGAGATAGTGAATGAGGGACCGTTGGAATACAACAATCCTCAAATGCAACAATACTGCGATCTTCTCGGAATGGAAAATAAATTTTATGCTACCGATGAGGAAAAGGAAATTAGAATGCTGAATGGACCAGCGCCGGTAGAAGAACGAAGAGATGGTGGATTTGGGGGTAGAGGGGGTGGAGGTGGAAGAGGTCGAGGTGGGAGAGGTGGTAGAGGGGGTGGGAGAGGTTTTGGAGGTGGACGTGGACAGCGAGGGGGTGGTAGAGGGGTTGCTAGGGGTAGAGGAAGAGGTGGTTGGCATTGATTTGTTGTTGGGATTATAATTGTGCTATTTACTCTATATATTAAGTTAAGATACCCGACTTCTTTTGCTTTACTAACTTGCAATTTGTAGTCTCATGGTATGTATGCAATTTGAGGGGTAATCTTACCTGTTAACTAACTGCAGGTGCTGTAATGCATTACCGTTTCATGTAATGTTACTTTTGATAACGTGGTTTATCAGTAACCGGAACATATCAGTAACCGGAACACTTTTACCTCAATTACCCATATTCCATTAAAATAAAATTACAACAACACCATAAATTAGGATTGAATTATATACAATCTAAAGATCAACTAATGCTGGATCGAACTGACAAGTTCGTGCATTATGTAAAGTACTACCGCATTTGCTACATCGTCGTATAGTAGCTTGCCTCCTTGCTGAAGAACCATCATTTGTATATTCGTCGCGTCGTATCTGATCTTCTACATTCTCTTGTTCTGATATACTATGCCTATCTTCTACTGAAAGTGCTCCTCCTTTTCGTATTAAAGCTTTTCTAGCTCTCCGGCGTTTACTAAGTGCTTCATTTGCTTTGCGGAGACTATGTGTTACGAGGTTTGCCGTCTAGATCACGTGGAAGTGCTCTAGGCTCTCGAGGTGGTTTATAACTAGGCGTCAAGCAGGGACTTAAAGTAATGACAATAATGCAATTCGTAACTAATAGTAGAGTATACTAAATGATTGATCTTGAGCACGAAGCTCTATACAAAGGAAATCCATCTTGATTATATAGACCATCGTGGCATGCGTCCCAGTGCTCCCAGTTGTCCCAGTTGTACTGGGACAGCTGAGCCTACTGGGATCCTCATATCACATGATGCTAATCACGTGATGTTAGGTATGTGAGATCCGTCGTAACACTATGAACCTCAGCAGTTAAAAGCGTATTCGCATGAGCTAGGAGCTCTATACCCTTAGCTAAAGCTGCAACTGTTTCAAATATTGGAGTAGGTGAACTCCCTTGATGCCGAGCAATACGACTTTTCACTAAAGTGGATTGGGAAAGAGCTTCAATTGGATTGTGAGGTGTTTGAGATTGCCATATATCAAGATCAGCTGATATTAACCTATTTAATGGAGTTCTTATTCGAATATCTAGCTTTGAAAGTACAATTTCCGGATTAAATGGGATTAGCCCAGCTCCGCGGAACCCAGCTTTACCATTCGATATAGATATTGCTTCGATATATACAGCTTTGAAGGCTTGAAAGAACTCGGTTTTGGTAATATGAATGATATGTGCCTTAATAAAGTTCTTGATTTGTCGATTATATGAACGCTTTAAAGGACCAAAACAATCGATATCGAGTGGTTGAGTTAAATGCGAAGAATGAGATAGTAAACTAAGTAATATAATGTTGTGTTCCTTGTAGTATTCCTGAAATGCTGGCGATTTATGACTTTCATGCCCATCAAGCACTAGCATTCGATATCTACCCACTTTCCTACTTTCAATATGCTTGTTGAAGTGCTTAATCCATTCAAGACCTGTCTCATTATCTGTCCATCTATTGGTAGTAGGTTTAATAAGCCAATCGTATGGTAAATCGCCTTTGGTATACCAATTTGAAAGATGGTATTCGTCTTTTACTATCAAAAACAAAGGTATATTATGATCTTCTCCATCAACACAAATAATCGCTGTAGCCCATTCTCAATTGCCTAATTGTATAGCTTTGCTTTTTCCATATCGATCAGCTTTAATAACTACTATATGTGGTGATATTTGTCCCATCATAAAGCCTGTCTCATCGAAGTTGTAGAAATCGCAGTCTAGAATACCATATTTGGCCCGTATATTCGATACTAATCGAAACCATCTTTCAATAAGCTCTGAATCTTCGCAGAGAGCTCTTTGAAAGTCATAAACACAATTAAAACGCGTCTTTAATTTTGTATATCGTTTCACAAAGCGATAAGCCTAGAGCTTTCCAACCTTCTTCGCACCCCGCGTTTCGAGTATATAATTCGCCATATCTTCCACATTACTTATTCGAGGACTAAACCCTCTCTCGTCCATATCAATTATATATTGAAAAAGCGATTTCTCCTCTAATTCCGTCATTTTACAATGTATTGATCGAGATCCAGCTTTCGGCGTTCGACCGGCCATTCTGTAGGTAAGGGTAGTATGCGGTATATTATAGATTTTAGCAGCTCTTCGCACACTTAGTTTTTTGGATGAAGCAATAGCTTGAATGGCTAGATTAATTTGCGACTCTTGCATATTGATTGAAAGGTTGAATATGGATTTATCGCGTGTTAAAGTTGAGAGGTGGTAATTGAGGTAAAAGTGTTCTGGTTACTGATATGTTCCGGTTACTGATAAACCACGTTATTGCTATTGATTGGTATTGATACCATGTGTTACAAAAGTATCAAGCATTATCAGCATTATCATTACCTATGTAGCGGTTTCTCGGTATTAATTACCCCACGTTTTTAGGATGTGCATGTAAGACTTAAATTGCTCGGCTTTACGGTCATCAGGAGTATAAACAAGTAGATATGTAGATAAATAGAGATCATATATTGGGAATTGGTAAGATTACATTGGGGATTTGTGCTTTGTATAATAGAATACCTAGGTAAAGTCAAGAATCACACATTATGAATCGTAAGATCAAGACTTAGGAATCTAAGATCTTACCAGTCAGTGCGAGTATTGTACTACGGAGGATGGATGGATGGATATGGATGGATAGATGGGTAGATGGATACGAACGATTAGTCGGTGTGAGGCTTGGATTTTTTGTTTTGTGGTTCATTGTTATAAATTGTTATAATGATAAGTCTACTCCAGTACGTACTCGCACAGCTGAATCGAACAAATCCAGGCACATTAGAGGTATTTAGATTGTCAATAAACTAGCTATCGTTTAATAGCTATGCTTAATAAGGTATGGTAAAATGGATTTTGAAAAATAAGGCTATTCCTATTCAATCTCTTAAAGTTACTATAAAGTGGATGTAAGAAATGAAATTTTTTAGTTATCTAGTATGTTTCTTAAGAAAAATAAATTAGTTATTTCTCGAAAAGTGTGACGGAAACCCCTGCTTTCCTCCCACCCTTATTATATAAGAAACCTCAGGTACATTAACCATGTCCACACATGATACGATTACTCGGAATTAGTATACGATTTAGGTGGTCTGAGGATCAGATCCGAACAAGTACTAGGTATCAATGGTTATCGGTAGAGTAAGATCATTGGAGGGATAAATATGACTTCTTTTTGCCTAGCCATTGCCGCTAGGCCATTCATTTGTGTATATATAGAGTAGCTATCCCCATCTACAGGTGCTCTTCACCTGTAGATTCTAAGTTAAATACAATTGCTGGTCTATAAACACCCTTTTGGTCACAAAAAGGTATAGTAAAGATTGAAATAGAGTTTTATCAATGATATCGTTCGAATAAATCAGTATCACATGAACGACTATGTGATTGGATGAATATTATTTAAAGAATAATATTGTTAAAAGGAATGACCTCACACAGGGAATAGTGGGAAGCTGATAGGGCAGAACTGAGGTAATATTGGTCTAGTAGGTTAATCTCTCTTCTAAGTTCTACGGAAGTGCGAAGCTCTCTTACAGAGAGCTTCTCAATCTAGTCCTAATAGGACTAGTGCCCTGTACACGTGCTACGCAGGAACCATTCACTTTAACAAATATCAATATTATATAATCTATCAAATTTTTAGATTATTCTAATTATTCTAGAATCTCAAAATAATATATTATAAGAAAAATATATCTTCAAATTCGATCATTTGGGAATCAGATGATATAATCGAAATAATTTTGATATTGGAGTTCAGTATTACTCATCACCAGACTATACTAAATTGGTGGTAGTGTGGTAAGCGAGACTGCACTAAAATAGCTCTCGTACTAGAGTTAGCTAGCTCGAAAAAAAATCTAAATACCTCTATTTAATAAATTCTCAGTCAAAATTCCAACTTAAAATTCCATAGTCTAGAATTTCATTCCTAAAGTTTCTTTAGAAAGGTCTATGCGCTGATCACAAGTCCAAAAGTTTTTCTTCTTTTTCTCTTCTTTTTTCTTCTTCTGGATGGATTCCAGACTTTGTCCGGCCGATGACCCTGGGAAGTACATATTTGGGAATTGGGAATTAATAAGTCGGGGAATTATGTACTCTACTCTGCAGGGTTTGAGACTTTGAGTTGGAAAGATCCACTCGCTTTGGTCCCCTGATCTGCAGAGTATGTATTTTTACTCCATACATATCTAGTATTATCTACTTCAGGTATGTATGTACCTGGTAAGTATTTGGATGGGTGGGCTAACCGTTGTCAATTTGTTTTGTTTCTACGTAGGATGTCTGTCACATGTGCTGGGTTTGGGGTGTGGGATGAATCGATGATGGATCTGGTGGATAGGGTGGGTAGGGGTTAAAAGCTTATCAGTTGGTTAGCTGGGTTGTGAGTTGCTGGGTACTGACTGTATTTGGGTCTGCTCCGTAGGGGTCATGGAGGGAAACGAGGAGGGGACTGAATGATTGATTGACTGACTCCAGTTTTTGAATGAAATTTTTTTTTTGGTGGAATGGTTTTGTGGATGGTTTGTAATTATTTTTTGGTTCTACTTGGTAAAAGATAAAGTTTTGGTGGACTTTTATGACTATCGGTATGTGTATATGAGGTAGATGCTGTGTCATGATTTTATATATCCGATAGCTACCCAGTATATAGTTCATATAGAATATATACAGCTTTTGATGATCGCAGCCAGCACATCTTTATATATTTCATATAGATTATATAATATACAGATGTACTGTACTCTCCTCCCAATAGCCAACACATATCCCATATAAATCATGAGATTTTGATGTATTACAACACATTAAGCACAACAAGCCATCAAAGGAAAAAATAACGCATATGCACGACGGGAAACGATCTGTTGTATCCCTATCGATGGTCTGCTGCAGGCGCAAGCCCTTGGCTTTCTTGGCAGGATCCCGGATTATGGGGAGGATAACCTTTAGCGTATATCAATGACAAAACCGGGCAAAAGACCAATCAATAGGTACCTAGGTAGTATGATTTCATGTCCATTACATGTCCGCATGCGTGGTAGAACTTTATTGTGCCGTGAGCATCTTAGCTACATGAATATGAGTGAGTGCGATGTAATGCCAAATATTTAAAAGATGGAGGAAAAACCCTTGGACATTTGGCTGTTAATGCAATTGTTCTTTTTTTTTATTCATCAGATGTATGCTAGGTCTTCTGTTCCTTGAGTGAAACCCTTCTTTCTATGCTTGAGTTTGAAAAGAAAGACCACGAGACCTCTTTTGAAATTACCTATCTAGGCATTGAACAGAAAGAGAGTTAGTAATCGACTCTACACCCACACCAAAATCTATCCCTACACTCTTGTTGATGATAATCCTACCTTTAAATCCACACCGCCCAGCCACAACATTTCATCAAAGGAGGCAGAATTCTGACCTATCCGAAACTATTCTTCAAAACGTGGATATTTATTGACTTATAAAAACAGTCAACACTTTCACAATCGAGGAATTGATTTCTTAATTACTGGACAAAATCAAACGGAGATTTGACTCAGAAGATCAGATCCCTTGATTTGGGTCATCACTACGGAAAAAGTCATCCACGGACTCTGATAACACTCATAAGGGAATTGGAAAAGTGACTGAATGGCTCATATAGATCAGTTACTGTTCGATCAACGGAGCTGCATTTCATTTTTTATTAGATAACCCAGGTGGTTTCATTCCTTACCTACTTTTTACCCTGATTCTCTCTCTTCCTGTTATACACAGCGGCGCAAACATACACAAAAGTTCAAACGGTTTCTACAATACACTTGGAAACTCTTTCACAATGAAATTCGGACGCACGTAAGTTCTCTCCTTTTTCCATGAAATCACCACAGTATACTCATGTCTTTTAGTTTACCTGCTTCCCAGGTCCCGGAATGGTCGTCCTCATATATTAACTACAAGGGCTTGAAGAAACTTATCAAAGCTGCTGCGAACGCTGCGAAGGATGGAAAGAATGTTGATTTAGCAGGTGAGCTTGTTACGTCATTCCCTACATATTTTCATGATTTAACAATCTCCGGCTCCAGAATTCTTCTTCTCACTCGATCGAAACCTCGAAGATGTCGATGCGTTTTATAATAAGAAATTTTATGATTCTTCCCGTCGACTTCATCTCCTCCAACAAAGATATAGCGACGCGAAAGTTTACACTACACAAGGACTGGATCGTAATGAAGTTGACGAGTTAATGGGAGCTCTTCTTGAGCTTAGATCTCAATTGAGGAAGTTACAATGGTTTGGTGAGGTAAATCGTAAAGGTTTCCTCAAGATTACGAAGAAACTGGATAAAAAGGTACCAAATGCTTGTACCCAAGCAAGATACATGGCTTCAAAGGTCGACTTGAAACCTTTTGCAGCAAATGTTGCTTTATCCAAAGCTATGAAAACGACAAATGATTGGATTGCCGTTTTAGGGGAAAAGAACGTCAACGATGATGCCCTGTCCGTTCATTCCGCACATTCAATCAAGAGAGCGTCATCAAGATCGATTCTTAATTTACCCAGCGCGCTAGTCGATACAGTCGATCAAGCAATTAGGAATGACGATCTACCGACCTTGAAGGAAGCCATTGCGAGCGCGGGCTTTGACGCCAGTGATCAATCAATGCAAAAGCTCTTCTTGAACTTATTGCAACGATCCATATCTTGCAAGTCCAAGGACTCAATTATCTACTTTTTGAAGATGATAAATTCTCTAGATGAACCGGACGACATCAATGGAAGAAATTGTATTCATCGTCTGGTTATTTCTATCAGTCGTTCAAAAGCCGCCGAAAAGTCACAGGAAAAGGAGCCAGAGAGCCTTTCTTTTGAAGATGCTGATCGCTTCAGATTTATTACGCCAGCTCATTCACCGGACCCAGGACCAAAATCCAAAAAACTTCAAGAGTCAACACTTCTAAGTTTAGAAGACGAGTCTGTCAAACTTTTGTCTTTTGTTTTGAGCAACTTGGAACCTCACCAGAGATCAGCATTAAAAGGCAAAGATTCATACGGTCGTTTCCCGTTACATTACGCTGCGGAGTTTGGTTTTGTTGTCATTTGTCAATTGGTTATGAAATTCATGCAGGATTGGGGTCAATTCAATGTTGAAAATGGAATTGATGCGCCAGAATGGCAAGACGCTGAAGGTTTGGCACCTCTTCATCTTAGTGTGATTGGTGGCCATGCTTTGACAACCAAAGCCCTTCTTGATGGTGAAAATTGGAAGGGTACCAGTGATAAGAAAGCCGCCATGAGACGAGATATTGCCAAGTCTAGTGCAGTTCTTGCTTTGGCTACAAAGTCTAACTTCAAGAAAATTGTTAGACTTCTTGTCGATGCTGGGGTTGATATCAATTGGAAAGATGCAAACTCGAATGACGAGACTGCATTGCATATCGCAGCACGAACTGGTCATGAGGAGTGTGCAGATATTCTTCTTCAAGGAACAGTGGATCAAAAAGCTGACTTTGAGCTAATCGAAAAAGTATACTCTTGGACACCATTACACGTTGCTTCTGTTGATGGTCATCTCGGTATCGTGGAACTATTAATAGCAGCTGGTGCCGACCTATCGAAGGCTGATGCTGGAGGATGGACAGCTAGAGAGCATGCAGCTTTAAGAGGTCATATGGATATTGCAGAACGACTGGCATTTGTTGAGATGGAGAAAGGTACTTCCGGAAGTGACAAGTCCACACATGGTGACAGTGGCCCTTCATCCCCGCCTAAAAACTCTTCGATCGAAACATTCCGATCACAGAGCTCAAACCCTCCTCGAGTTACTGAACCCGTTAAGAGTTTTGGTCATCGATATCTCACAAACGAAAGTATGGTTCTTGTCAGTCTAGGTTCAATGGATATGAGGAAGAATATTCCAGCAGTAAAGTTGGAAAATATTCCTATTTCAGAAGCTCATTCCACTCAACTCGACACTGCTCTATCAATTGTGGTTTCCGCCAAAGGGGCCACAGGAGAACCTACTATTATTGATCTTCCCATTCACGATAATATCTCAACTGATCCTATCGTATTCACAACCCTGGATGCTTCCAAGGTTAAGCTGTACTTTGATATCGTACCGACATATGCTGGGAGTGAAAAGCATAAGATCGGAAGAGGAATGGCAATGTTGTCTAGTATTAGACCTACGATTGGATTAAAACGCATGAACCTTCAAGGTGATGTCACTGTACCAATCATTTCCAAAGATACTTTGGAGGATATCGGAACTGTCAACTTCAACTTCCTTGTTATTACACCATTTTCGCATCCAGAAATGGGAGTTACCGCACAGCAAACATATTGGAAGGAATTATCTTCAACAATGGTCATTGGTCATAGAGGTCTTGGCAAGAACACTTCTGCAAACAAGTCACTTCAACTCGGTGAAAATACTTTACAATCTTTCATTGCAGCTGCCAATCTTGGAGCCAATTATGTTGAATTTGATGTTCAACTTACAAAGGATCATGTTCCTGTCATCTATCATGACTTTCTCGTTTCGGAAACCGGAATTGATGCACCAGTTCATACTCTCACGTTGGAACAATTTCTTCATGTTAACGAAACCACATCTCGTTCAACTCGTCCTCCATCTCCCCCGAAAGATAGTCCACGAGTTCAATCTATTAAAAGAGGTATGGATCGTCAACGATCATTGTCTCTAGGCGAAGACATGTTCGAGAACGCCATGGCAGAAAGAATGAAACACACACGCGATTTCAAGCAAAATGGGTATAAAGGCAATACCCGTGGAAACTTTATTCAAGCTCCTTTCACCACTCTCGAGGAAATGTTCCGTGAACTTCCTCAAAATGTCGGTTTCAATGTCGAAATGAAATATCCTATGCTTCACGAAACAGAAGAACAAGAGATGGATACTTATGCTGTGGAACTTAATAGTTTCTGTGATACTGTCCTTACGAAGGTATATGACATGAAACAAAAACGAAAGGTCATTTTTAGTTCGTTTAATCCGGATATTTGTTTACTTTTATCATTTAAACAACCAAGTATTCCTATTTTATTCCTCACGGATGCTGGTACCAGTCCAGTAGGAGATATCAGAGCTAGTAGTTTACAAGAGGCGATTCGTTTTGCTAGTAGATGGAATTTATTAGGAGTGGTTAGTGCAGCGGAACCATTGTGTAATAGTCCGAGATTGGTAAAGGTGGTTAAAGATAGTGGGTTGGTTTGTGTTAGTTATGGTGTTTTGAATAATGATCCGGTTAAGGTTCAGGTATGTCTTTTTTTGTATCTTCCATTGCCTTGTCCTGTTCTCTTCTCTTTCCCGAGCATCCCTCCCTCACTTCATCTATAATTCTTCACTATCTATCGACATGAGTATATACTAACACGAAAACTAGGAACAAGTAAACGAAGGCATCGACGCAGTAATCGTAGATAGCGTCCTGAAAATTCGAAATGGTTTGACGAAGAATGCTAAGGGTTCGGGTGCTGTAACGCCTGCTTGGGCAGAGGGCTTGTTGGGTGGTGTTAAGTTGGTTGATAAATAAATTATAGATTTGAATTTGGGTGGTTGGTTGGCTTGGAAGATGGGTTTGTTGGGGTGTGGGGTTAAGATATTTTATGAGAGGGACTTGGATATTGATAGTGGTGAGGAGGGATGTGGAGAGAAATGTTCGAGGAGAGGAGAGCTTTAACTGGTGTGTATAATGTTTGAGGTCTTGTTGTTGTTGTTTGTATAGGTAGTTAGATGCTGAGTAGTAGAGTAGAGCGGAATCAGAGTAGAGGGGAATCGGAGTCGAGAAGAGAAGAGATGAGAAATGAAATGAAATGAAATGAAATACAGTGTTTCAAAATCCATATTGAGTTTCTCATTTGTTACGTCCAAAACGATTAGTATGTCACATGACCATAAAACATGTGATGGAACGGTGAGGAACGAACGTTCCTAGGAACAACCAGGAACGCTCGTTCCCAGGAACGACGATTCCTAGTTAACCATAGGCACGAAGGACTATATAATCAAGATGGATTTCTTTTGTATAGAGCTTCGTGCTCAAGATCAATCATTTAGTATACTCTACTATTAGTTACGAATTGCATATCATTATTGTCATTACTTCAAGTCCCTGCTTGACGCCTAGTTATAAACCTACTTCGAGAGCCTAGAGCACTTCCACGTGATCTAGACGGCAAACCTCGTAACATCATTGTTCTTTTAAATATATATTATATAGAGCTTTGAGATGAGATCGAGAAGTTTATTTTTTATTTTTTATTTTTTATTTTTTATTTTTTATTTTTTATTTTTTATTTTTTATTTTTTATTTTTTATTTTTTATTTTTTATTTTTTATTTTTTATTTTTTATTTTTTATTTTTTATTTTTTATTTTTTATTTTTTATTTTTTATTTTTTATTTTTTATTTTTTATTTTTTATTTTTTATTTTTTATTTTTTATTTGTTACGTTGTAACATTATAAACTATTATCACATGTTATAGGATCACATGGATAATTGTTACGAGGTTTGCCGTCTAGATCATGCGGAAGTGCTTGTCACGATTCACCATTAGGATTGATGGTGTTACGATGGTAGCAAACTGATTAATTAGGAGAGCTTAGGCCTTGTGCAAACACGATCAGATTTCATCGAATTAGTATGTGATCTTGGTCACCTGAAGATCGTATGCGCACGCACCATCAGAAATCACGTGATAAGGAGCCCTAGGAGCTTCGTGCTCAACTTAGTTATCAATTAGTTTACCTACATTCTACTTGATCTAGTAACGAATTCACTTTCAAGTGAATACCAGTGATAAAGCCTTAACCCATAACTACCAATCGACGAACCTTAGGCAGCCGCTGCCTCCAGTATAGTATCGTTACAGTGCTCTAGGCTCTCGAGGTGGTTTATAACTAGGCGTCAAGCAGGGACTTAAAATAATGACAATAATGCAATTCGTAAGTAATAGTAGAGTATACTAAATGATTGATCTTGAGCACGAAGCTCTATACAAAGGAAATCCATCTTGATTATATAGGCCTTCGTGTTCTGGCTCTAGTGGCTCTAATTAGATTCTCTAGAGCTGCTGGCTCTAGAGGCTCTAACTAGATTGATTAGAGCCGGTCACATGATAGCTTTGATCCTGTGATTAGTCATGTGATATGGAAATATGTTACCCGTCGTAACAATAATCTTGTGAGGGAGCGAGGGAGCTGGGGAGCGAGATTCGAATCTCGCTCCCCAGCTCCATCGCTCCAATGTTGGAATACGAAGGTCTGTATAATCAAGATGGATTCCCTTTGTATAGAGCTTCGTGCTCAAGATCAAGATCAATCATTTAGTATGCTCTACTATTAGTTACGAATTGCATTATTGTCATTACTTAAGTCCCTGCTTGACGCCTAGTTATAAACCACCTCGAGAGCCTAGAGCACTGTAACGTGATCTAGACGGCAAACCTCGTAACATTATTTTTTTATTGTTTATTGTTCATTGTTTATTGTTTATTGTTTATTGTTTATTGTTTATTGTTTATTGTTTATTGTTTATTGTTTATTGTTTATTGTTTATTGTTTATTGTTTATTGTTTATTGTTTATTGTTTATTGTTTATTGTTTATTGTTTATTGTTTATTGTTTATTGTTTATTGTTTATTGTTTATTGTTTATTTCAATATATTTTTATTCTTCTTATTCTTTACTTCTTATTCTCATTCCTCGTTTCTAGTTCTCTTCACATGGATATAACTCATAAAATACTTTTAAAGCCATATATCCATCCATCCATCCATCCACCCATCATTCAGTCCATTCATTAGAACGAACCATCTCTTCACTTTATTTTCTTCCCTCCGCCAAATCCAAATCCTCATCCCAAATCATCCCTACCACCACCTACTCACCCACCAACCCACTATCTAAACTCCCCCATAAACCCCTCATGAAACCTCGTAATCCTACCCACCCACTCCGTACCCGGAGCCAAAAACGTCGTGCGGAAATGCAACGTATTTTCCCTCTGACCAAAGCCACTTCCAGGCACCACACACACACCCGTCGCCTCGAGTAATTTATGACAATAATATTCATCTGCGCTCATATTCTCTTTCTTTGCAGCCTCAACTGCTTTGGGGGGTAGATTGATGGTGGGGAATAAATACATACTTCCCTGAGGTTCGGGACACTCGACACCTTCCATTTGGGCAAAAGCTTCATAGAGAGCTGTGGCGCGTTTTTGGAGGCCCGAGAATATGTTGTTGTATTCTTGCGTGTAGAGTTCGTAGGATGGTTCGCCTTGTTTGGGGGGATTGACCATGAGTTCTACGAGACATTGGCCGATTACTGGCGCGCATAAACTTATACTGACGAATTTGTATATTTGTTCTACGACCTCGGGATCGAAACCACAGAGTTCGAAATAACCGCCTCGGTGTCCGCATTCGCCGACCATTCCTTTAGATATACTATGGAGGGAAGCGAGTTCGACATTGTCGTATTTTTCTGGGGTTTTAGATTGGAGATCGCGGAGGATTTGTTTGAAGGAGTGGAATTTTCCTTTAAAGACGTTGGTTTGGTATACTTCATCTGCCATTACTACCAATTTTTTCTCGGCGGCGAATTCAATAACTGCTTCGATATCTTGAGGTGGGAGACTTGCACCGGTTGGGTTACCAGGATTGATTATGACAATTGCTCGGACATCAGTTCCCTCTTTAACAGCGGCGGCGTATGCATCTTTAATGGCTTGGAGGTCGGTTCCCCAACTGCGAGCTTCGTCAAGGTAGTATGGGACGCATTTTGCGTTGAGGACGGAAAGGGAAGCAGTGTATAATGGGTATTGTGGGATGGGTACAAGAACACCTGTATTAGGGCCGGCACAAATTACGTGAAGGAGAGTGTTAACTCCAGAGGAAGCACCGGCGGAAAGGTAGATATCTTTTGGGTCTGAAGGAAAGCCATCTCGATCTAGGAAAAGGTTAGCCATGTCAGTCATAAAATATTAGAAATGGCAAAAACATACTCTCAATAAATCTAGCCACACTATTCTTAATTCCTGTAGCACCAGCACTAGCACTATAAGCACCCACACTTCCTACTTCCTTCAACAACCACCTCGCTCTTTCAATAACATCTTTCTTATAGCCCAACTGATTCAACAACACATCTTCCTTCTCCAACAATGGTGGGTATTCAATCAAACTCAGGACTTGTCTAAAGAACGTAATAGGTTTCTGATCCAATTGTTGAGGATTTCCAATATTGGCATTTATGACAGTATCGAATGGAAGGCCCTTATCGCCTTTTGCAAGCTTAGCTCTGTATTCTTCAGATTTAACTGCGAGAGCACCACGGACGGCATATTTGGCTTCTTTGATGTGTGGATTGATATTATTGATGTTTAAACTGCGGAGGGAAGTAGTGGTAGACATGGTTCTGGTTCGTGGTTGTAGTGATGAGCGGGAATGAAGAGAATCTATGATGAGGTAGATGATTAGAGGTTTGGTTTAGTTTATGGACTTGCACTTGTATAGTCTAACCCTAAGTAAAGTGAATTAAATGCAACAAAGGAAGAAACAGATGATGAGGAGGGAGAAGAAGAAAAAGAAGAAGTATGCAAAATAAAAACATCCAAAAGTAATAACGTGTACCAGGACAGCACAGTCATCGCATGATCATAATGATTCGGGATGTTACCCCCCATGTCATGTAATGAATGTACCGAGTATAATGACAAGGTATGGAATGGGGTATGAATAACACCGCCCCCCACAACACACGGGTGAACTCATCCCATGGAGGAAAAAGGTAGTCAGAGCTCCAATATCAAGCCGATATTCGGACCCATTCTTCAAACCTTTTCCCTGACTCAGGATGCAAAAAATAAATGAAAACACTTCATTCGTATACGTACCTGCAGCAATTGATCTCGACAATCGAGATATGGATGTAGATATATATTGTCTACTACATCTTATCGCACCCGTACTCAATGAAGCGTTAAGTGAAGCCATTGTGTAGAATGTTTGTCCTTATTCGTATAGGGAGATATGTAAATTAGATGTAGCCAATCAAGAAGCTGGAATGTCGCACGTAACGAATGGGGTGATGTGAGAGTCGCAAGGAATGACTAAAGGCCCTGGTGTGTTGATATTACAGTGATGTATGAGAACGGCGTGGGTTTCTTTAGCTGATGACAGAGGCTGATAATATCATCCGATGTGTGTGAATGGAGTGAGAGTAAAAGGACAAGGTAAGAAAGGTAAGAGTGAATGACTGAGAACACAGCAGAAGCAGAGACAGAAGAAAACACGGTTGAGATGAAAAGAAATTGGTTGAGCTTCGTAGCTTCAAAGAGACACCCGATAAGAATTTTGATAAGTATGAAATTGATCTACCCGTGCTCCACATTCAGTTCTGGGTGTACCTTGTCTTGTATGTAAAATTGTAATGGGATGTTGTGATGGAAGAAAGGACGCTTTAGCAGTTGAACTCTAGAGGTGATCAATCAGATAGGCTCTATGCATGTAGGAAGTCTTCCTGCATATAAACCAAGAAAATTTCAGTATGGATGACAATATCCGATCTGTCAGCTTAAGCAATTATTGTTTCTACCATCACACAATGTGGAAAAGACGTTGAATTTACGATACTGTCATACATGCGGAGTGTTTAGTGGCTGAAATGCTGACGGGTTGGGCGAATGTAAATATTCTCTACATCCGGGAATGTACACAGATATAAATGTAGGACTGCAAATTTTCACTGGATATTTATCTATCATCAACAAACCCACTACATGATATCTATTTTCGACCTAATCCCATATATGAAGGATTCTTTCATTCAAAACCTACGCCCATGATGCAAAACTAGACGAATGAAATAACCCCGGTCCAACCGTCACGACGCTCCAGAAAACCAATGCTATCGATTCGAAATGTAGGTCCAACTCAAGATAAGACTCTAGATTGATGTACCTGCATCATTCAAGGCTAAACTTTGGAGAATCTTTGAAATCTTCGTGACCAGCTTAAACCTTATAGAAGCAAAAGCCCACGTAGAAGCTAGCAGCTTCCATTTCCTCATCACTAACGAGAAGCTTTCCATGGCCTCTTTCCCTAACATTCATACGCTCACTGAGAGGCCCTAAGACTTCATCATCCTTTTCGGTTTCCCAGATCTGGTTGAAAGGCTTTTGATATTGTAATTCAAGGTTGTAATCTTCGGCAATCGCACGGAAAGCTTCCCATGGTACGACGTATTCCGGAACCTCTTCCACTGCCTCGTGAAGGAAAAAATTGTATTTCCAGCCAAAAGGTGGTTTAAAAACACCGTCGGCAGGTGTTTTACCTGGGAACCGGACCTGATAAACCTCATTACCCCAGTGAGCTGTATCTTCGGCTTCACCTTCCTCAATTTCACCATCCTCGGCATTGTCCTCGGCCTTCTCCTCGGCATTCTCACCATCACCATTTTCTTTGGCCTTTGCCTTTGCAGCAACCCCACTGTGGAATTTCTCAATCTTATCCGATATGACATGTGAGTTGGGAATACATCCAATCAGCCTGCCACCTTTTTTCAATGCACCCGAGACATTCTTCAACATGATTCTAGCCTTTGCCTCGTTCTCGAATGCGTAATGTAAGCAAAACATCATGCTGACCACGTCAAATCCACCACCACCAAATCGTCCCGGTCCTCCCGAACTATCAAAACCAACCTCCCGAACAATGGGAATCCTTTCGATTGATTCACCAAAGCAATCTTGAGTAAAGAATTCTCCGTGAAAGATTCGAGCTGGTTGTCTATTATACCCTCCTCTACCTCTACCGCCTCGTCCGCCACCTCTGCTTTTCATTTCGCGATATCGTTCCTTAGCTTGATCAATCGAGATATCAGCTGGATCCAATCCAACATATAATTCCACCTTTTGTGGTGCTTGTTGCCATTTTCCTAAATCACCACCTTTACCACAGCCAATATCGAGAACTAGCAGACCCTTTTCTTGACTTGGATCTGGTCCCTCCGCAAATTGGTATTCTCCACGCGATCCACGTTCTTGTGCTCCTGGGGTATAATCTTCATTTGGTGAGAACTTCTGAATGATCGTGCTTTTGACCCAATTATTGAAGCTTCTCAAGCCCTTGATCTTACTATCCGTCTTGCGCCATTCTCTGCCTCGTTGTGGAACGGCATTATAATGCTCCCTAACTGCATTATGAATTCCTTGAGCAGCTGCGATAGCTGCAACTTCCTTTTCACGTTCAATTTGTTGTTTTCGGATGGCTTCGCGCTCAGAATCGCCAATTCTTGCTCGTTGACCGGGACGTTTTTGCTTCCGAACTGGTGAAGGTGATCTACGACTCTTGTAGACATCGGAAGGAGATGGTGATCTTGCAACACGTTTTGCGCCTTTTGTAGGTGAACTTGATCTTTTGCGTTTCTTTGCGGCTTCGAGCTTTGTAGCATTGAAAGGCTGAGGTTGTTCCTCTGGACCACTATCATCACCAGCCATCTTGTCTTGTATAGCACCTTTGAAAAGTATAAGGATCTGCTAGAGATTGTAAAATATATTTTGGACGGAATGAAATTGTAATGATTTGCTGCAATTTTTCGTTCTAGATCAGTGTTTTGTTGAAGAAAAAGGAAATTCGAGAACAAAGGTTGTAGGCAAGATAAAGCAATAAGGTAAGGTAAGGTAAGGTAAGGTTTAAGGTGAACCCCGAAAATGACGGCGGCCAAAATTTAGCCTTGCCGGCCTCGCGTCACACTAGTGCCTGGAATATGGAAAGTAGCTAGGAGCTTCATATGATACGAACCTCATAACAACAACCAAATCTCTCACTTCTTACAAATCGTATCTCAATCACAATCGATTCCCTCTCCTCATACCCTTTTTAAATCCCATACAATAAACAGCCGTCAAGATGGGTTCTGATCCTCAATACGCAAAGTATCCTCTACTGCCAGTCGCCCAACACATCTTCACCATCACAAACCCCTCCGCCTCCAAAGCAACCCAACAAACATCTTTGAAAAGTCTCCAAGATGCAATTACCGAACATAAGATGGCTCCTCTCTACAGATACTTGGCACACCCACAAGATGGTATTCTGAACGATGCTGGAGTTACAACTTCGAGTGCGACGAGCAATGCTATTGGTAGAAAACCAAGTGCAGCTGGATTAGTGGCGAGCAAAAACTCAATACCAAAGATCGATTTACCATGGGATGAGGCTTTGTATCAGAAATTAACAAAAGAGAACGATGAGGAGTTGGAGGGGTTCAAGAAGGAAGAGGAAGAGGCGGCAGAAAAGGCGGGGGAGACTGAAGTACAAGCTGCTAGAGGGAAGCGGGCAGAATTCTGGGCTCGAGTCGGAGATAAGGTATGAACATCTGCGATATGGACTTGAATGGAATACTAATATATGAAATAACTAGGACCGAGCGATTGCTGCATACGAAGAAGTATTTGAGAAGACTGGTGTTTTGGGAACCAAGATTGATCTTGTCCTTGCAATTATTCGCATGGGCCTGTTTTATGGCGACAAGTTATTAGTCAAGAAGCACGTCGACCGCGCAAAGGCATTAGTAGAGAGTGGTGGAGATTGGGATCGTCGAAACAGATTAAAGGCATATACTGGACTCTACCTCTTGACTGTCAGATCGTACAACACTGCAGCACCACTTCTCCTAGACAGTCTCTCCACTTTCACCAGTTATGAACTCTGCTCATACTCATCCCTCGTCGTATATTCCGTTCTCGCCGGTTCTGTCTCACTCAAGCGTGTTGACTTCAAGTCTAAAGTCGTCGATGCTCCAGAAATCAAGGCCATCCTCGGAGATGGTGAGGATAAACTTCTAGCATTATCGGGAGCCATTTCAGCCGGTCCTGGTGCTGATGAAGAGATGCAAGATGTCACAGTAGCAGCTCCATCTGCTGCTAAAACCGCTGTAAATCTCACTACTCTCGGCACAGGCACAGACGTTCAAGAAGCAGAGGCGGCACTCGATTTCTCCCCTCTAGCTCAACTTGTTTCAAGTCTATACACCGGTAGTTACCGTTCATTTTTCGGTGCTCTCGCCGCAGTTGAGGTAAATTTTCTTACTCAAGATCGTTACCTCTACGAGCACCGTGGTTGGTTCGTTAGGGAGATGCGTTTAAGAGCTTACCAACAACTCCTTCAAAGTTACCGAGTTGTAGGTCTTGAGAGTATGGCAAATGATTTCGGTGTTTCAGTAGATTTCCTTGATCGGTATGTTTTAATTCCCTTTCTGTGCCCTTACCCTGCCTTCGTTCTTCGACCTTCTTCTTAACTCCATGAATGCATATTATCTAACATCACTCATCAAATAGCGACCTAGCAAAATTCATCGCCGCAGACCGTATTCCCTGCACCATTGATCGCGTCACCGGCAAAGGTATCATCGAAACCAACAGACCCGATGATAAAAACAAACAATACAACGATGTCGTTAAACAAGGTGATCAATTGATCACCAAGTTACAGAAATATGGACAAGCAGTTAGATTGAGGGGGAGTGAAAGAGCTTAAGAATTAGAAGCTACGAGTTGGGAGAGGGGGTAGAACTGGGAAGGAAAAGAGATACCAGAGATGAAAAGATGAAAAGATGAACTTGCATGCTTGCGTGTATGCATGCATCAATACCTACAGACATATATTTTTGTAAGATTACAATAATTACAATCTTATGATGGCTGAAATTATTCTATGAGTGAGTGATTGAATGAATGAATGGGGATATGATATGTGTCATAAATAACTGGTTTGTCTTCTTCACTAACGTGGAATAATAGAGATTAGACTGGGTATCATTCAATTAATCACAAGCTTGCTAACTATACCTAACTATAACTATAACTCGTACTGTTCACCCTTCACCTATATGATCGATATTTCTTTTCCATGCATTACTTTCGTCTACGTATTCCTATCGATCAGGATGTACTAAGTAAATACCTAGTATCGCACCTACCCAACTGTGGTTATCAGAAGGAAAGCAATACACACAAGTTGTAAGTGCACTGCATCCCCAAGAAGACCATCCATAGTGCTACGCATGCATATTTCTCATCCTCGAACCCCCTCATCTCTCACAGCTACACACCTCTCTCTCTCTCTATCCAACATACCACGTCCTCCTCCAAATCATACCCGCCGCCACAACCGCACAAGCCGTCGCGCCAACCGCAATCCACACACCTGTTCTATCCGGTGCCTCTTCCTCACTTTTGGGAAACGCTTTTGATGGATCCGTCGCTGCTTCTGCTAGTGTAACGAAAAGTTCACTAATGCTATGCCACGTGACGCTTACATGGACTGGGGCGTTCATGTTCATGAGCTGAGCGTATTCATCTGGTTGTTTTTCGCATCTTTGGGTTGTTTTATCGAGATCGGCTTTGAGGGCTGTGCAGATTGAGGGAAGGGATGAGAGGGCGGGGTATTTTTTATGTAGGTCGATGATGTGGGAAAAGGAGTCGGGGTCGGAGGAATCGTAAGTGTAGCAGAGGAGATCGCAGGCGTCGAGTTTGGCTTGATTTTCGAGGATGGCAGGTTCGAGTTCGCCGAGTTCTTCGAGGATTAGATAACACTGTTTGCCGCCTGGAAGTTCGACGCTGTTGACTGCGACGCGCGGTTTGATGGTAGGCCGGTACAGGTCGTCAAAGGGACGGTTGAGAAAGGCATCGAGGATGGAGGATTTGCCTGACGAGGAGGAACCAAGGACGTAGCAGAGAACTACGTTGCGCTCGGTGCGGACAGGTCGACGTCGTCTTTTGCGAGGTTTTGTTATTTTGAGGGCGGTTGTTGTAGAAGGTTTGCCAGGCGTAGGTTCGAAACCCAGGTAGGCTAAGTAGGAGAGGGTAGTGGCAGGGCTAACAAAGGTTGTCATAGACCATTGAGCTAACCAACCTTGGAGAGTTATGTGCCCGGCTTCATTGCGAACTGTAGAAGCTGGGAAGTTCGAATCGAGCCAATGTGATGGAAGCCCCGGAGTAGGTGCAAATAACGCATTCAATTCATTATCATTCAACCCTCCGTCGTTGTCTTTGTCGAACAACAGAAAGAGATCGACGAAGAATCGATATCCAGCGGGACTGAGTTCTGCAGAAGCAAATTCGGGAATATCGAGTTTAGGATGAAGGAAACTATCCTTCAAGCTCAGGCTGTCTGTATAATGATATTTCCGTAGTATAATCCATATAGTCTCATGTCTGCCCTTTTCCGCGAATATTTTGTTGAGGTGAATGAACCCTTTTTGATCAACGCCCTTTTCCATATTCGAATTTGGCGAAGCCCTACTTATCGATATCTTAATATTTTCGAGGTCAGTGGGGGCCAATGGCTTTTCAAAACACTTGACTTGAAAGTCTTGCATTTCTTGGTCATTTAAATATCCATCCTGATCTTTATCGTTCAAGTAGAATATCCTATTTAAAGCCGCGACACACGCAGGCTTCAATATACCTTCCTTGGAATCGAAAAGTGGTGCAATGGGATGTGTAACGGCTTTTTGACATAGGAAGAACACTTCATTAACATTGTGATGTTCCCTTGCACTCGTCCGTATACAAGAATCTATTTCTTTAAACTCTGCCATCACCGGTAACATTTCATCCTCCACCACTTGTGCTGTGTTCGCATTTGTAGTTGTGTCAGATTTATTGGCACATAATACTACCGGTACATTCACACCCAAGGAGCGGAAGTATGGCATCCAGAATAGAGCCACTCTTTCATAGCTGTAATGATCCGAGTATACTAAGAGTATAACGTTGGACTTCCTTATTTCTTTTCGCAATGTATTTCGTTCTTGAGGTTCGGCAGATGTATCGACAATGGTTGTGGTAACATTTTCTGGAGTACCAATGCTCGGAGGTATGGTGATTTGAGGGAGAACTGATTGGATTTTGTTCGTAACAAATACATCTTTGACTAGGGATGTGATGAGACTCGATTTTCCAGTCCCATCATCTCCGCAAACACATATTCGCACTGTTATATGCATGGTTAGCATAGGACGAGACGAAGAGTGAGGAAAGCTTTTAAGGGAAAGGTATCTAACCTGTAGCCATATTTCTAGCCTTGTATGACGAGGCTATTACACTTTCATCCTTGCTCGGAGGTACCAGTACTTGGAAGAAGCCAATAATATCAAGACAAGCTCTACGTTAATGGAGCTACCAGGTTCTTAAAGCTACTCGGTACTTTGACCATAGAAATAAGCTTCTGGATGAAGTGTTAAATGTTAATCTGATGCGTACCTGTGTGATTCCGTGTCCGTACAAAAAATACTCGGACAATCAAAACCGAGGGGTTAACATTTTGGACTTATCAGCGCCACTTCTGTCTTAGTCAATGAAACCTTTCCTTTCCTTTCCTTTCTCCATGTTCAATATTTAACCTTATGGCGGGCGACTGGCGACGTTGACAATGCTCCGTGCCATGCTTGATGAATGTGTAAGAGAGTACGGAGTAAAGTCCTCTTATTAGATAACCTTGCATTCTCCTTTCATTTTCTTACATCATTCTACACATTTTGATCAAATTGAATTGAACTTTCTTATGGTATATGTACAATCATCCAATCTTTTGTATATTTCAATCATTCACATATGCGATCCCCTTAGATCATCAATCACTTATACAAACTGAGATCTTCAGGGTCATTATACAAGCATCTTACCCCACACTTTCGTTCCTGCAGCCCCCAAGTTATAGCTTCATAGGATTACATTTCAAGTTGATGTTGGTGGTTGTTCATAAGGAAACTCAACTTTGATACCTTCCTTTCTCGCATTCCTTTGCATCTCGTCCATCACACTTATTCTTTAGCCTTGGATTGATTTAAGTCTGGTCCAGTAGTACCGGCACACACAATACTGTAGCCGTCATGTTGTAAGTGTCGCATTCGAATTTATCCAGAGTGTTGCATCGAATAAACTCGTGCCAAGATTCGCAATGGGTGTCGCATTGTGTCACATAACTGACGATGAAGATAGTGTGTTACCCCCACCGCCGCGATATCCATCGCAGGCAGCGTATAATCTGGCTGTTCAAAATGGAATGGCTGCGCCAATGATAGAGACGAATAACCTTCTCAAGCACCCTGAGGGATTACAATTGCTTGCTGGTGAAGGTGAGCTTCCAATCGCGAAAGCCTAGCTACTCAATGCTAAGATCATCTCCACAGGAACATACTTGCTGCAGGACGACCTACATCTTGCGACACCTCCTCCTCATCCCTCCGAAACCCCGAATCTAAATCCAAATCCACTATCTACGGCTCCGCAAGCTGCAACGGCTGGGACCAAACTCTCTCTCCTTTCATTCAGCACGAAGCCTTCCGCACCCCTTTTATACAGGCTCGATACGAACAAAAGTTCCAGGACGGGATTAGCTCAATCGAGTATACAAGAACATCCATACGAAAATCGCACTTCTTCCGATATACCTGGAAGTAGTGATGGTGGGGGGACTTCAGTCAATGGTAGTGCAAGAGTTGCGCCATCAATTGGATCCGCACCGGCGTTCGGGGAGGGAAATTCGTTGTTGTCATTTACAGGTAAAGATAGTGGGAAACGTCGCAAACCAAAGAGTGGTATTTTGAAGAGTAATTCTTCGTTTATTTCTCGATGCATCGTCCATGAAAATTTGGTCAAAAGGCTACAGGATCGTTCAATTGATGGATATTTCGCGTTTGCAAACATCAATCGGGCTTTTCAGTGGCTTGATTTGTCTTCTCCAAATAAAGTGAGTTCTATCGCAATCATGGGAATTCATGGAATATCAAATGCTCATAAAAATAACAGCAAGATCATCTTCTCAAAATTCTTTTTACCAAAGCCCATTGTCTTTGTCATGATGTCAATCAAGTCACTAAAGGTCCAAATCATATAGACATTATAATGGGATTTTCAACTGGCGAAATTATCTGGTTTGAGCCTTTCACACAAAAATATTCAAGATTGAACAAAAATGTAAGCAATATTCCTGCCATGAAATTCACTAAAGTTTAACAAGATCAGTGTGTCATAAATTCAACGCCAGTTACACAAATTAAATGGATCCCTGGATCTGAGAATTTATTTCTAGCATCTCATATGGATGGATCTTTAATTGCATACGACAAGGAGAAGGATGACGCATCCTTTGTACCAGAAGAGGTTGGACCTGATACTAATGGCAGTGTTCCAAGTGAAGAGAATCTGGACCCAACGTCAACGCCAAAAGCGAAACTTCAGATCGATAAGTCAGTCCATTCAAAGAACCAAAAGTTTAACCCTGTTTCATATTGGAAGCTCTCCAATCAACCAATCAATAATTTCGCTTTCTCGCCTGATAATAGGCATTTGGCTGTTGTGTCTGAAAATGGGACTTTGCGAGTTATTGACTATTTAAAAGAGCAGTGAGTAAGATGCATCTCTCAAGGTCTTTCATGCTAACCCCCTTAGATTACTTGATATATACAATAGTTATTTTGGTGGCTTGACTTGTGTTTGCTGGTCACCTGATGGCAAGTATGTTCTTACTGGTGGTCAAGATGACCTTGTTTCTATATGGTCCATGGCAGATTCCGCCATCATAGCTCGTTGCACTGGCCATACATCCTGGGTAACAGATGTGGCTTTTGACCCATGGCGTTGCGATGATCGAAATTATCGTTTTGGTAGTGTGGGTGAAGATGGTAAACTCTTGTTATGGGATTTTAGCGTTGGAATGTTGCATCGTCCCAAAGCCGTAAGTCCTCACCCTTCTCATTTCAAGCTGGTGCAGCACATGTCAGCTAATATGAAATTAGGCTTCCGTTCGTCAAAGAGGTAGTATCTCTTCTCGAATGCCTAGCTCCCTTCAAAGAGTTGAAACTCAGGGCACAACAGCTACCGCCGGTCGATTTCGCTCAAACTCAAATATTTCCGTCACCGACGGACAATTAGATACAGTAGATCATCCAGTAGAACCAAGGGCAAAGATTTCTATTCTACCTGCCGTTTGCACGAAAACTGTTGCCGATGATCCAATTTGTTCATTAGCATTTACAGAGGATCATATTATTACAAGTGATAAGAGTGGTATGGTTGCTCTTGTTCATATTTCAATGATGTTTTGTAGACACCCTTGAGCTAATACCATAATAGGACATATCCGCACTTGGAACAGACCAAAAGATCACGAAGAAGCTGATGACGAGGATGCTGATGTGGTAGCACCATCTCAGACTTCGTAAATCAATTATAGAGCATGAGCGTCAGGAGTAAATATGTATATTGTTTGGCGGAGTAGTATTCCCTAGTTTAAGTTAAAGTTAGATTTGGAGTTGTGGCGAGCTTGGGTAAATAGTAGCTAGGTGCAATCTTAGGATGAATTAGGTACAATGTCATGAGGAAACATCAGAGAATACTTTAAGGGAAAGGTAGAATTATGATGAGCTCAGGAGTGTGTACATTGTTCAGTGTTGAATAATTTTATCAATACACACCTACCAACATATGTACCTAGGTACGTCCCTAGTAGTTTGCTGGGTAATCCAAAACGGGGGCGCACCTACCCACATTCCTAGGTACCTACTACGTAGCTAGGGGACATCTGGCAAAGCAGCCTGAAGGCGTAACCTACTAGTGTAGCTTGCCGCTAAGGTTAGAGCTGGCTGACCAAGCGATTCAAGTACGGGAGGAAATTTGACATCATCCTATGTTCATGTTCATGTTCATGTTCATGTTCATGTTCATGTTCATGTTCATGTTCATGTTCATGTTCATGTTCATGTTCGTGATCAGTGATCACATTATCTCAAAAAGAATGTAATTAATTTTGAGAGAAGGTTTCAAACTGCATTTTGGAATTCATGACAGAAAGTTTGACGATGGGCAAAGTAAACGAATTTGTATTGTTGAAAGAACTGACGCTGTTGGAGGAATTCGAATCGAATGCTCTAATATAATACAGCTATTATACAATGAATATATCCAACCCTCCTGCACCAGCTTCACCTGGTTTTTGATATCCATTTAAAGACTACGAATTTGTATTAACCTCCTTAAAGGTTGCACCATCATATGTATGTACGAAGGAAAGAGATGCGCCAACTTCTTGCGATTAGTTACCCTGCTTCATCCGCTCTACACCTTTCATGATTTTGCCATGTATGCGAAATAACTACAATAACTTCTTTTTAATGACCTAGGATGATTCCTAGGAAACCTATATCAACTGTTAGCTCTCGAATGATGCAGGTGTTTGAGAAGTAGTTGCTCAATATCCCTACCGTTGCGCTGCAAACTCTAATAATTGCACAAAAAAGCTCTACCATTGACCAGATGTCAAACCAGAGAAAGATGAGTTAAACTCAACTCAACTTATTCGAGTAAATCAGACCATTCCGGCATATCCTTGATGAAAGCAACCATTGATTTTTCAAGTGCATTTGCTCGCTTGCAATAGATTGTTCCTGGTTTATTGTATACTCTGCAGTTTCTAATAATCAACTTGACATCCTCCACGAAAGATTTCGGTGTATCATAAAGCCCTTCATCTAATTTTTGACCCATCGTTTGTAAATCCATCGGTTGCGTAATAGTCTTATAATAATCTGGGACCATATCTCCATCGACAGGCTCGAGAAAAGGCCATGCTTGCTTACTACGCGTCAAGTGAGATAGAAAATCTCGAAGTGAATCGCTATGACGATTAGATCCGTTTTCTCGTGCAAACGCATCCATGGCGGGTGACCAGCCGGATTCTCGAATGCTAGGAATAGAGTAAGGATCGATAGGTTTAATGATTCCCCTATTAGCCCGTTGCGCAGGAGGAAGATGCACAACATTAATTCTTTCCGCGACGGCCATTTTCACCATGATAATTTCCTTCTGCTTCCGAATCATCCGAGCAGCTTCAACATACCGAATTCGCGGGAGTAAAGTACATTGCACTAGACTCGATTCAATATAATCTTTAATAACACCAACCCATATCCTCCTATCCAGCGTAATATCTCTCGTAAACCCTTGTTTTTTGAAGAAGCCAATAGCGGTAAGATCAGCGTATGCGAGAACCTCCATCACTTTTTCCCCGTAGCAGGATTTAATCTCGTCTTTAAAATGATTTACTAAGTGCGTTCCGTATCCGCCCCCGTGGTATTTTGTGCATATAGCTAGATATACCATTTCCACGAAATTACGCCTTTCCCCCCAAACACGGTAACATATCCCTCCAATTACCTTGTCAATTTGTTGTTGGTGGGGATCAGAGATTCCACTATTTTCGTCCTTGGAGCTTTTCATTTTCATTTTCGTTCTCGTTGTCTTGATCATAGGCTTCCCCTCGATCTTCTTGATCATCACGAGTGTGGTATGTGTAGGATCCAAAACGGTTTTTGCGATATAGGCGGGACTCATACTAGAGAGGGTTTCTCGGACTTTTCTTGGAAGTTGGTGAGAAGGATGAAATTTTTCTGACTTCCGTCGTTTTTGACGGTTTGGAATTTTATCTGGTTGGGGTTTTCTTTGGTGGTTGCTTGCTTTGTTGTGTTAGGTTAGTTTGGGTACTTGTTACTTTTCAGAATGAGGAACTTACACTGTCCATTTTTGCTGATGGTTTGATAAAATAGAGAATCATGTTTTTGAGGCTGTGGGAATGAATTGTTAAGATCTGGTCAGTGGTTGTTGACTTGATTTGGTTGGTATTCTATATGGATTGTAAAGTGAACTGTGGAGGGTATTATAAGCTCATCAGAACGATTAACCTAGAGACTAGCTTAATATGGCCTATTGTGTCCAATCCAAAGAGGCTAGTCGAATTAGAAATAATCACTTTTTAAGTTTTAAGTTTTGAGTTTTAAGTTTTGGGATTGGTGAATGGTGAATGCCAATACGGTAAGTGAGCTGGGTTTTGTGTAACCGAGTGCATTGCTCTTTAGTTTTTTCTTGGATAGAATACCTAGTCATGTGTTTTCTTTCCTTTAAGTAATTATTCTACAGCTTTTGTTTGGTTAAATTCTGTTTGTCGAAAAATATGTGGGAGGTTTAGAGGGATTTACTCTTTTTGTATGTGAATGAGTTGATTTTCTGGGTAATTTAGATAAATGATGTAGGTGATACTAAGATTATTAGATCAGTCGCAACTGCTGATATAGCTAGCGTGAATACTAACATAATCAAGAGAAGCTTCAAGACTACCGTAGTAAAATGGAAAGGAGGAATGTTCGAGCAACCTCGATGAGAAAGAAAGACTCGAGAGATGATATTAAATTGAGGAGGATAAAGGGGAGGAGATAGTTGGAGAGCTTAATACCTGTTAAGTATAGGATATCCAGCAGATTGGATTATCTTTTCAACTGAGTCGTATAGCAACTATCGTGGTTGAGCCATGCGTCTTGCCAGGCTACTGGGAACTCTCTGATTTGTATTCACTGTGTATATCAAGCTAGGGTACTGGTAGACGACTCACCTGAGTAAACTGTGATCTTGCATGTGAATGAGGATACCATACCTGCTGTTCCGTTACGGCGTCAGTATGTAACTGAGGAGTTGTCATACGTGTTTATGTCTTCTGAGCTTCCCATTTTCAAGTTTCCCAATATAATGGACTTGAGAACCCACCAATGTAATGAACTCGTTACCGCAATCTTCGTATTGATCTTAGCATCTGACACGGGAGTTCTTGATTGATTGCTGTGGATGACAGGTGTTGTATATTTAGGTGTTTGTATTTCTTTGGTAGCTAGAAGGAACTGCCAACTTACAAGGCCTCCCTCGCTTAAATCCTTGATATCTCTACCATACAATTGTCAATTTCAACCCTCTCTCGAGCAATAGCGAAGGAAGTGTTGAGCTTCTCTTCTGGTTGGTTGCCTCAACTTCAGCTTGTTACGTGTGGAAACTTGAGGATTTGAATTTGATCATGTAGGCATAACACTAGTTTGCAGATGCGTACCTACTGATTTGGTTTAGTACCTCTGGGTTTGTTCTTGCCTATAGCAATATTGATATGCATAGATTTGCTATCGCGGTAAGTACCCTGTATTTCCGTCAATACGGGTTACCATGCAATACTACATATCTAAACAGTTCTTTAAATACTAATACATTTTCTCTACTTGAAGATGAGATGGATCTCGATCATATCTGTATCATTGACCTCGTCTTTGAAACTAGAGCGAATATCGAAGTGCAATAAGTCCAGTACCCTACTTTTGAACTATCTTTCTTTCCGGCCACTTTCTTCCTCAAAAATCATAAAAATTAATATTTATAACTTTTTTATTTATTAATATAATTTCTTGAAACTTTGAATATAGAATCAATCTATATTTAATACTTCTCAAAAAAATTAATTTATATAATAAATTATAATTTAAAGATTCAAAAAAATCCATGATTAATTTTTAACAATTTTTGATAAAAAGATGGTTCAAGAGGTGGTTGGTCCGAAAGTAGAGTATTAAATTCATTATTAGTCAAAGTCAACAAGTTTTGGGCCATTCGGACTTATGAAACACTAGAATCCTTGAAATTTGAGAAAAGACCTTGGTCTAGTCGGTGTTGATGCCCTCCTAAATGTAGCAAGAATCATAGGGTTAACTGTTCAAACACTTGTTTCTCGCTTAAAGCTGTAGAGTGAGGTTACCGGCAAGTAGAAAGCATGGAGCAAGATATGTATTGAAAACCTGCACGGGGGTCTAGACAGGCTAAAGTATCGTGTTATCATTGGATCATCATTAATCATACAATGATGGATACCTCGCCGGCATCTAGGATGATCATATCTCATTTCCCGCCCCTGCCTCTACCCCTTCCTCTCCCACCACCTCTACCACGTCTTCCACCCCTCTTGTTACCTCGTGAATTGCCCTCGTCAAATCTTTCATACAACTTCTCCTCCCCAAATGCACTATCTCCCATTCTCAGATAGCTGATGATTCCCTGATCATTAACTGCTAGAATAACATTCCTATATCCATGTCTGATTCTGTGATACATTTTATTCGGACCCTCCATGTTCTTTCCGGGTGGATCCCAAGGCGAACTATCGAATAATGATACTACTTCTGGTAATGTAGGCACAAATGTTTCTCTCGCATCCACTACCGCTATGCGGAAATCCGGAGAACCGGGATTGGTTTTTGCAAATGTAGGAATGCTACTGGGTTTCCAGATATGGAAACAGACGCGAAATGTGTGAGATGGAGGTTGGGAGGATAAATCTGATGCTGGAGATGGCTTGTAGCGGGGTATTACGGCCATTTGCCGGTAGATAGAATCGTAAGATCTATATAGACCTGGTTTGACTAATGGACCATATGGAGAATGTGTAATATCCTTTGCGAAAAGGTCGAAAAGCCAGGTAAACATACCCTTTGAATCTCCCGGTGAGGACCCGTGTTCAAGATTTTTGACGGGAATATTTGGATTCCAATCTGGACCTCTCATGACAACATATCCATTTCTTTTCAGATTGGCATAGACATTATATCTTTCCAAACTAATCTTTCCTCTCTCACCATCCAAACCAATAAGCATAGCATATGCAGCCTGTAAACTCATTGGTGCACCCTCGTCATCATTTTCTCCATCGGCCATTTTTTCACTTTCTCCATCCTCAACTCCATTGTAAGAAGATTTATTGGGCCACCATAAATCCAAATTACCTCGCTCAACCAAATATAGTGCCTCCTCCGGCAACAACCACAAACTACTCTTGTGTTTCCCTTCATTTGCCCTCCCAATTGTCCTGAAATGTGGTCCTCTTGGTCCTTCCACCACCACAACGTGATCTGCCTCTAGACCTTTCCTCCACTCTTCTCCTACCAGCTCATCTCTTTCCAGTCCTTCTCCTACACCTTCTCCATAGTAAAAAGCTCTCACATGGGCCTTTGGTAGATGAAATCTTGTATAATCCAATGCATCATGCATTGCTTGCCTTGATGCAGCTAATACACCATCTTGTTGTTTTGTACCGTGAGGTTCAAAATCTTTCTCTCCACGTTTAGGAAGTGAACCTGTCTTTGAATTGAGGGATGCAAGAAGGCGAAAGTCTTGGGTTTCGTCACCTTCTTCGTTGTCATCATTTATTTGCTTGTGAAGTGAATTTATGGGCGCATCCTCATCCATATCTGCCATTTTGTAGAATCAGATTCTCCTTGCTGTGGTTTGCAATACGAAGTGCTGATGAAATCATATCGTCGTAGGTAAATTTTATTTTCAGCCTTGCAGAAAGGCTTGATCAGTTCCGATATATTGCCGCTAGTAAGTCTATGTCGGTAACGGACTCCCCTTTTGAATCAATGTCATATAGATAAATATAAATAGTTTCATAATAATATACTTTAATATGTATGAGTTCGATATAATTATTTGTTTTCCTACAATGTTACTCCCAAATATTATTTATATAATCAAATAGATAAGTCAAATATCTAAAATGTCCAGCAGAATCCGGTCACCGCCTCAGCGCCTCAGCGCACGGACATCTGCCATCTCTTAGAATTTGATAAGATATCGGGGTTTTTGAAGTGGTCTAAATTCCGTGCGTATATAATACAAATAAGCGCTATCCGAGCATCAACAACCAATAGCTAAGGTGGTTTGGCCGAGTGGTTAAGGCGTTGTGTTTAGGTCATTCGAAAGAAAACCTTAATCCCGCAATTCTAACGAGCGTGTAAGTGCGCCCTAACCCCCAAGTAAATAGTAAAAGTGATCTAATGTATTCCTTTCTAGGGGTTCGAATCCCACAGCCATCATATCTATAATTTTTTGCTTTTGAACCCTATGTAGCTTATTGGTTAATTAAAGTTCTATCAAGTAAAACAATCTGTATATTATAATTATACATTTTTATTTTTCAAAAGATATATTAATAGATTATTATTATTAAATTATATTAGTAATTTTTGTTACAAGGAATGACCTTACACAGGGAATAGTGTGTCACGATTCACCATTAGGATTGATGGTGTTACGATGGTAGCAAACTGATTAATTAGGAGAGCTTAGGCCTTGTGCAAACACGATCAGATTTCATCGAATTAGTATGTGATCTTGGTCACCTGAAGATCGTATGCGCACGCACCATCAGAAATCACGTGATAAGGAGCCCTAGGAGCTTCGTGCTCAACTTAGTTATCAATTAGTTTACCTACATTCTACTTGATCTAGTAACGAATTCACTTTCAAGTGAATACCAGTGATAACCAGTGATAAAGCCTTAACCCATAACTACCAATCGACGAACCTTAGGCAGCCGCTGCCTTTAGTATAGTATCGTTACAGTTTGTCCTATACCAATGTAATTGTCTAATTGTTTATCCTAGGATACATTTTATCCTAGGACACTTGTTTTAGGATTCCTAAGTTCCTTGTCGATAAAGAACCCCTTATAAATTACGGTTGAATCATATCACCCTTGTTTTCGGCAGCTAAATCACCCGGCATCTATAATACTACCACAATCCAAACCACGATTCGTGACACTAATATAAGTGGAGGGGTGTTGTATAAGAGATAATGTATAAGAGTGTATCATTTAGTAAATTTCCCTGTAATAGTGTGTTATTTCTAAGTTCTAATTCTTTAATATTTTCTAATATATATAAATAAATAAGAAATATAAGTAGAGTAAAAAGAATCAACAAAAATCTTCCCCTCAACAATCTTCAATCTTAATGATTACCAACACCACTCCCAAACCCCAACCCAACCCACCTCTCACTCCCTCCACACATACCTCTCTAAACTATCATCCACCTTCTCACTCCCAGCAAACCACCCCCCAAACAAACTCGCCACCCTCGTCCAGGACAAAACCCCCAAAACCCCATATAGAGCCGTAATCCCCCACTCCGTCTGAGGAGTAATAATCCCCGGCACCCCAGGAGGAAGTTTCTGAACACCCTCCATAAACGGTCTCATAATCTCCTCATACTTTTTCAATCCCTCTTCCCAATTCCTGTCACAAGCTCCCAGTTCCCCAGCAAGATAATACGCACCTAGGATAGCGGAACTGGTGCCCATTCCCGTGAGAGGAGAGGGACAATATCCTGCATCTCCTACTAGGGCGATTTTACCTTTGTAGAATTGGGGAGGGTTTATTTGTGCGATTTCTTGCATGTAGTAATCGGGGGCTTTGTCCATTCCATCTAGAACTCTTTCGATTTCCCATCCCATATCACTCATTTCTTCTCTCCAGGCACGTTTTTGTTCATCGGGTGACATTTTAAGATAATTGACTAATTTGCTGCTTTTATTGGGATCGGTGATGCTGAGATATATTCGCGTAGTCGTACCATGATGGATATTATCCGGACGCATTAATAACGCACGACCACGATTGGCATTATACCATTTTCCCCATCCATCGTCTTGGGATTGTTTGGGGATGGTAAAGTATGTTGAATATTGATTTAGTGATTTCATACCGTCATTTGGGAGGGGAATAGCAAGACGTCTAGTTTTTGAACGTAATCCGTCGGCTCCGACGACTAAATCAAATATTCTCTGTTTGCCTTTTGCAAAAGTAACAAGAACTCCTTCATCCATTTCTTCAAGTCCAGTAATATAATCATCCCAAACATATTCACACGTCTCCTTTGTACTTTCATAAAAGACCTCTGATAAATCCCCTCGTAATATCTCAATATCACTCGTAAAGGAATTTCCATTTGGCTCCATGGGAAAAGAAGCCCTAGGGTAACCGTTCTTATCTACAAATTGTAAACCCAATTCGTGGGTTACCCTTGAGCGAATGGCAGAATCGAGACCCATTCGTGCTATGACACCGCGGGCAGGACCTCGAATGTCAATTCCTTGGCCAGAGGAACGTAAGAAGGGTGATCGTTCGACGATTGTGGTTGCTATGGAGGCGCGATGGAGCCAGTAGGCTAGGACAGGACCGGCGATACTGGCGCCTGAGATTAGAATGTGAGGTTTTCGGGTGGAGGTGGAGGTTTTGATGGACATTTTGGAGGGAGTGAAAGATCCGTGGTGCTGTTGAGAGATAGGTAATGAGGGGGTTGAATAGTGGACAGTGGGTTTGACCGATTTGAGAGTTGAGTATATAGTGCGATATAATTGGTCTTCAATGGTTGTCACCAACTCCGATGATTGAGCTTTATAAATCCGCCACCAACTAGTATATCGACGGCCAACAAAAAGGTAAATATCGACCGTGTTATACTGATATATAAACCGCAAGTCGAGTTACACTTCAGAAAATGATGATATCATAGACTCAGCGAAATCCGATAGATCAATTCAAGAAACAAGAGTAACTAAAACACAGTATTTGAAAACATGAAATGAAGTATGAAACAAAAATAAGTAAGGGGATTTCGCGAATGATATATAAACAACTCTACAGAGGGAGCGGGGCTACTGCAATAGCTTTATATCCGAACGGAACGGACTATTGGAATGCCTGGATAGCTATAGACTTTTCTGCACGTCAGAGATCCACCCCAATAAGACCGAAAACAAAAAGACGATATACTACCATGATCTCGATGAGAAAACTATTCTCATCAAGCAGTATTGATTGCTGCATGTCAATGTATGAGGTAGGTGGTACCGTTAATCCCAGGCTCGGTGAATACAATCGGCCGAGAAGGACGATTTTTAAAGTCCGTTAATCCGAATAGATGAAAAGATCTAGAGGACAGAAAGACCGATATATATTAGTCCATCGTCTATGTTTCACTTAATAAAGTGATGAATTGTGTACTCAATATTCATTGGTTTCGGGATATATACGCCATCAAAGTGCCGTCAAAGGTTGGGTTTACCGGAGTTAAGTTACCTAGTAATAGCGAGGACTTCATGTGGGGAGCTGCGGGGAAGGGAGTAGTGGGTCCCAGTGCCAGACTACCTAGGTGTAGGGTAGGTAATAAGGGGTCATCTTATATGATAAATACAATAGCTAACAAGGCCAGATAGGTAGATTGCGAAGGAAAAGCTACCTATCTAGCAAGATCATAACGTACAATACGAATATTGGATCATGTTGCCACACTATGAGCCCAACCTGAACCCTACTATACCTTACAGATATTATACTAAATACCCAGGAGTACTGCACATATGTACTGGTGGGTATCTCGTCTTATGGAAAAGCAAAATATCCAGATATATTACACCACTTCCGCTAATCCAATACAAAATGAAACGAACATGTCATAACGCTATACCTTCCGATAATGATGATTGCCAATCTTTCAATAGATGATCGCTGGCAACCCCTTATGACCCGTTACCCCCTAAATCAGATACAAGAATGAAGGAAATAAACTCCAGTTTTGACGCCAACGCGAATAAAGTAATACCCATGACCCTCTTACTCGTGATCGTACATCGTTAATCAACTTCTTCGTTGACAGCTTCCAGCTTCCAGCCTCCAGTCAAATCTTCTCACTTCTGAATCAAGTAGCACTAAACCTCTTGTTCTTCACCTCTCCACTCGGACGTTTCTTTAATGCAATAAATGTCTTAACCCTCCTCAATCTCGCCATCAAGTCCTTATCTTTCGCATCCCTAATACTCTTCGCATCTTCATCATCTGCAAAATCATGTGCTAAATCATTACCATCCTCACCACCAGCTTCATTCATCATAGGTGCAATATAACTCCTTCTCGGTCCCTTTTCATTCTTTTCTCTGCCCGCTCTCAAGCCATGTTCACTCTTCAACACACGTAACACGACTTCCCATCCGGCAAGTTCTCTTGATTTTGAGTTCTGCGTAGCAGCAAGACCGTTTTGTGATATGGGGTTACGCCAAGGACAATATTCGCGATGTTGGGCGATAGGATCGAGACCAGGGACAATAGCTGGTTCAGTTTCTTTACCTGTGGCAGAAATGGATTTGCTTTTGAACATCCAAAGACCAAGAATTCGATAACATGTTTGACATGAGACGGATTCGAGTTGATGACCAAGGCGATCATGTTTGTGACCTTGCCAACCACAAAGAGACATCATTAAAGCCACTTTGTTGATTTCGCTGGAAGTACTCGTTTGCGCTTCAGGAGATGATTTAAGGAAATCTCGGGGAATGTAGGTTATTACGCGATCGATATCGAGACCTTCTGGAGGTGTCATATTAGAAAGGTATGGTAAGTGTTCGGCTCTTTGTTGGAGCTCATCATAACGTTCGCGAAGGGTTTGGATGGTGACTGCAGGTTTATTGAGGGGAAGTTTGAATATGACATCTGCGACATAGTTAATAATACTGAGACAATGAATTTAATCCAAAATGACATACCATCGCATCCTCTCTGTCTCCAGGGACAACTCTCATCATGCGAAGTGATAATAAGTTCAACATATTTATCAATCAACGCGTTTTCTACTGAATTAGTTAATACTTCATCACTGATAGATGTGCGATTGATGCCCTTACCAATATTTTCCGCGATATAAACCTCCTTCTCTTTTCCATCCTCTTCCTTCTTATTCAATTTAACCAAAATCTCCACATTGCAGAAACAACATCTAACGCGCTCCTTCTTTTGACAAACCCATCCCCTCTTCGCCCATTCCACTTCATTAACCCTTGCCGGCTTTGGCGTCCAATCCGTGAGATTTGAGAAAGATTTTAGTCTTTTGAGAAATTCAGCGCGATCATATGGCGCCCATTTAGGAGGTTCCGAATGCGAAACTCGAGTCGCAGAGAGTTTATAAACCGGCGCCAGTTTCTGACGAGCATTATCGAGTTCAGAAGGAGCGGCAGATGATGCGCGAGTTAATGAAGGCAATTGATTAAGGCTTGAAGACGAATAAGATATCCGTGGCTTCTTCATATTTGAATCTGTGTCGTTTCGAGGTTTGTCCGGAGTTTTGCTTACTTCGTGTGCCGATAAGGAGGAATCGGATTTTTTGTTTCCCAAGCCATTAAGAAGGGCATTGAATTTCCTTTTTGTTGTATTCATTGTTGCGGCTGAGACGGTGACACTAATAAGTGACACTCTCGCGGTGCCGTAAAACTCACCTTTTTGTTGATGAGATGATGAATAAAAGGTTCTGTTTTATTTACGGCGGTTATTTACTTGAGTACTGTACTTATTAGTACTGGCTACTTACTCATGCTCAAGATGTAAGACTGTGGTGTGCTCCCTGCTCCTGTCCCTGCCCCTTGTCGATTTGAAGCAGGCTCTGGTCCGTGCCAGGCTTGTCACCTTGCTTTCACTCCGCAGTAGCTTCAAAACTTCCTGCTTCTTGCTTGCGTACTTCAGAAACCCCACCAAGAAAATTGGGACAAGAACAAAGAGATTCAAATACCCCTCGATTCGCTTTGGAGGTTCCTCTAGAGTTCTAACATTTCCTCCTGCATATAATTAATTCATGTCAAAGACTACAAGAAAAATTAAAAACTACTCCAACTACTCCAACCACCTACCACCAAGAAGAATCTTACTTGTATCTTTCTTGATAGTCATACTGGCTTTCTTTATAAATAAAGTTTTACCTCGCCTTACTCTTATATCTCATCATTTCTCCCCTGCCAAACTATCTACTACTTCAAATCCCAAGATGTCTAATTATAGTAAGGAATTGGAAGTGGCTCAATTAGCCGTCCAAAGAGCAGCTATTTTAACCAAGAAGGTTTTCCATGAAAAATCCAAAGGAACATTATCCAAAGACGACAAATCACCCGTTACAATTGGTGATTTCGGTGCTCAAGCTTTGATCATCCAAGCTATTAAGAAGAACTTCCCCAATGACGAGGTTGTAGGTGAAGAGGAAGCTAGCGATTTAAGAGAAAATGCTAAATTGAGAGATCAAATTTGGGAATTGGTTGAAGCTTCTAAACTTTCTGATCCAGAGGCTGAGAAGGTTTTAGGTGGTCCAGTTGAGAGTGTAGATGCTATGCTTGATGCTATCGATGCAGGAAACAGTGCTGGTGGAGCTACAGGAAGAATTTGGGCTTTGGATCCTATTGATGGAACTAAGGGATTCTTGAGAGGTGGCCAATATGCTGTTTGCTTGGCATTGATGGTTGATGGAGATGTCAAAGTTGGTGTTCTTGGATGTCCTAACCTTCCAGTTGATGACTCCGCACCATTATCAGCTGATGCTGGTAAAGATGCATCAGATGATGAAGGAAAAGGTGTTCTTTTTTCAGCAGTATTAGGACAAGGTGCTACGAGTCGACCATTGGGTACTGGAGCCTTAGCAAAGGGTCAATCTATTCAAATGAAGCCAGTTACGGATTTAAGTCAAGCTACATTCTGTGAGAGTGTTGAGGCAGGTCACTCTTCCCATGGCGATCAACATGCCATTGCTACCAAATTGGGTGTTACCAAGGCTAGTGTCCGAATGGATTCACAAGCTAAATATGGATCGATCGCGAGAGGTGCTGGAGACATTTACCTTAGACTTCCCGTTAGCGCGACTTACCAAGAGAAGATTTGGGATCATGCTGCTGGAGATCTTATTGTAAGAGAGGCAGGTGGACAGGTTACTGATTCTCTCGGACGAAGATTGGATTTCAGCAAGGGAAGAACTTTGGCTGAAAACAAGGGTGTCGTTGCAGCTCCCGCAGCCATTCACGACCACGTTTTGGAGGTGGTTAAGGAGGTTTTGGGGCCCAAGAAATAAATTGTTCATATATTCGTCACAAATAAAAGCCATGATACCTTGATCCACTTGTACATCGACACCATAGATATATCTACAATACCTACAAATGACATTATCTCTAGAGATTATTTGGATATTCATCCACTACTTAATCTTCTTATTCTTCAACTTAATCTCCTCTCCATTGACAAAGATTCCCTTCCCCTTATACGGTTCTGGAACTCTCCACTTTCTAATTTGCGCAGCGAAAAGTAATACAACTTCCTTCTCTGGTCCTTCTAACAATATACGTGTAGGTTGTGGTGTGCTCGCTTTCACAAATCTTGGAACGGGTAATTCGATAGGATGAGAGTACCCTACTTTTAGGACAACGAATTGTTGGCCTTCGAACTCGGGGGTTTTGGTAGTTACGTTGGAGGCTGGCTCAACAGTGGCACGGTATCCGACACCGACTAGACGGAGAATAGCACTGTGACCTTCGGACACACCGAGGATGTGATTTTGGAGATAGGCGCGAGTAGTTCCTTCAAGGAAATTGTTAGATCATAAAGGAGTTCTGGAAAATGGCAGAAGGGTTAAATGCTTACCCCACATCGCTCTTTGGTTCTTGACTTCTCTATCCTCCACTCTGACAATTGCTTTCCGTGTATTGACATCATGCTCGATTTTAATAAATGGTTCGATGGACATTGACATTTTTCCTAACGGTCCCTCAATCTTAACAATTGGTTTCCCTGCCACGGCCGATCCTTTCGTCGGCGGCGGTGGTGGGATAACTGTGAAAGTAACCTCTGGGGGAATCGATAACGGTGTGCTTCCAATGTGAGAGTTTCGACATGTTGATGCCGAGAAGGATCGTGAGGCGATGGGAAAGGCGGGTAGGAGAAATGAGGGAATTGAGACAGAGGACGTGGAGGTAAGGACCTGGGTTAGACCTTTGGATCGAGCTGTAGACAACATGGTGGGCGAATTGCTGCTGGTTTGTCGTTAGGGTCGCTGTCGATAGAATTTGAGGTAGGATTAAATGTGGTTAGCGCGGATTTTGTTCATGCACGTGCTTTCGTGAATTTCGAAGTGAGGTTTCAGTTTCCGACTTTGGGAATGTGACGCGTAAATATTGGATGATGGTAAAATTGTCTCGATAAAGTGGACAAGCTTCTTACCAAAACCATATCTTTCAAGTCATGCACAAATTTCTTTCTAAGAATCTCAAGGTAAAAACTAGCAAGTAGTCCGACGTTCTTCAAGTACATAACAGTTACATATCACTTTATATCACTTTAGGAAAGAACAAGAATCCCAGTTCAGATTCACCTCTTTTTCATTTCTTATATTCACTTACTCTGGATCTGTTCATGATCTGTATCTGCGACGACGACGACGATAGCGTCGTCTCCTTGAGTTTTCTCGATTTCCTCTTACTTCACCTTTTCTCTTCAACCTTTTTATCTTCAATTTTTCAGCAATACCAATCTTTTTCAGCTCCAGTTAACTTTCCCTTTCTCAAAGACTTCAATCAACCTATCTATCTCTATTTTCTATCTTGTATTAAGTTTATCTCCAGTTCCTTCGAATTAAGACGTACCAACCATCAGGTTATCTATCGTTTTCTAAATCTACCCTGCTTCTGAGACGCTACTCAAACTTATCTCTGGCGATACTCCATAGAGGTTAGATAGCCTCACAGGGCGATCCAGCCTTCAATATGCTATTTCTCAGACTCTTCCTTCTGACGACCTGGGCAATATCAATATCTGCTTTTGGGTGGAAAGCCAAAGTAATAGATGGCCCCACTCCTGGCGAGCGGCACATTGAAAGAAACCAGAATCAGAATAGTAGGATAGAGCTGACAAATGCTCGATCTCGGAGCAATGAACTATACTCCAGTGCAATGCTCGAGCTCAAGAGACTAGAGGAAGAGCCGATTTGCCACCGAGTGGCTGCACAGCTACTCATGAGTAATTGTGAAGGTTTGGAGGACATCAATCAAAAAGAGTATGACCTCTACAGTGGACGTATTCAAAGACATTATGTGGAGAGCTTGGCTGCAAGTCTGGCAATTTGTGATATGGAACGGAGTAGTATGGTCGTCCCTGATTCTTGCGAGCCTTTCAGGCTACCGTCTTTACTCCGTGCTTCTCAGGAAGCAGATGGAAAATTACAGGTATCACAAAATGAGGTTGGTGCCTGCTTGAAGGGATTGGGCAAAGATCCCTCCCATTGGTTGAGTTGGACCAGTTATAGGGACAATTGTCTTTTGATTTGTCAAGCTGCTCGATCCGACATTGACAAAGGTAAGTCATCAGTTCATCTACGGGAATGTGTCTAATTATTCGCAGATCAATCTATTCTTCTACAGAAAAAACTTGTGGAAATCATGAGACAATTCGCAGAGGACCTCGAGTATGACCTTCAAGATCTCAAGCGAAACGTGGCGGATCATGCAAGAGCAGCAGGTTCCTACTTTGAAGAAGTCATGATGCGGACCGAGGTACTAAAGACCAAGGTTGAAGGTGCGTTCGAGGTCATTTCATCCGAGGCATTGGTAAATTACATTTTCTAGCAACAACTGGTACTCCAATAGTAACATGTATGTCCAGGACGTTGCGAGCACTCTACGGTCAATACTTTGTAGTACTGGCGATATCCAACGAGTTATGAAGAATGTTGTCGATACTGTACTCCAAAGCAATGCAGAGATGGCTGCTGCACAAGAAAGCGCTCTTGTGACCACATCTGGGATTGCAAAATCACGATTGGAAGACATCAACGCATTGGCAGAAAATGCCGAATCATCGTTTGAGAGACTGACTTATGCAATCGTAAGTTACTCCGGACCCTTCTAAGGTAACATGACTAATTATATGTTAGGATCTTTTGATTCCCGTGATCACTTCTATGAGTGATCGACAGGATACTTTGGATCAGGTAAGGTTTTTCGAATTACAAAACCCAAGATGGAACTGATGTTGGCAGAGGTTTGAAGCACTTAGCAATGTTGTCATCAATATGACCACCTTGATTCAGGATCATTCAGAGAGTCTTGGACAAGCCAGTTTTACCGTAACAGGTATTCGAGAGAGTCTTGGGAAAGCAGCCGAGGCCGCAAATTCATGGAATGGAATCATGGGTATGGGTGAACCATTTGTTAACAATGCTCTTCGAATATTGTCTCCCCCAGTTACCCTCTTCTTTGGAAGTCATGGTCTTCCGCCATCCTTGTTTCGCAATTTTGGTCTCTTGGTTGGGGGTATGTTTTTTCTTTTCGAATTCATACAACACATGCTAATAGGATTAGGTTGGGCAGTGGCAGAGACCACGATACAATTACGCCAAACCGAGCACTGGATTCCACGAATTCAAAGACCTAGGGCATCAACACAACTGGCAAGAGACAGAGTACTACAGGAGGAAGCACAAATAACTTTTGGCACTTCCTCATCACACAATGGCATCGGTTCAATCAAAAAAGCACACACGGGCGGGATGAAGTAGAGATGACGGTTTACATGACTTTTAAATTTATTCACCAACGCAAATGGACTCTTTCGGACATCTCTAACGGCACAATTATTAATCTTAGCAGGAGGGACAACAGGATCTCTCAAATTCACGACTTTACGACTATCATGTGGCCAACTAAAATATGGATGAAATGGGTAACAAAATATCACTATTTATTTAACAGTAACTAATTTTGAGGGGCTTTGCATTTGCTGGGGCAATTTGATATTGCTTGCTGAAGGACACGGAGCTACAATGAATCAAACATAGGGGATACATACTGGCACGTATATCTTTAGGTCCGAAAAGCCAGTATGACTTCATTGTTTGAAGCAATTCACGGGCGATTATTAACAAGCAACGTATGGGAACAGGAACATATCTGTAAATAGAAAATATTATTTCGGTCGACCTTTCAGGGGTTCAGGGCTTTTTGCAAAATACTTTCTAAATTGATTAATGTGATGTCGGTGAGGACGAAGAAGCTTTGATATGAAGCTTTTCTAAAGAAAAGCCCCTATCCAATTACTTCAGCCCTGGTGGCCGATTGCTTTTTGCGGTGACATAAAAAACGATAATGCAGGCAGGTTATTGATTGCTAGCAAATGGTTGGGATCAGGTTGAACCTGCTGTTCGCCAATAATATAGTATGTTTGGACTCTCCAATTGCGATATATGTAAATAGGCAGATCTATAACATGTAACATAATTTTTCGATTTCAGTAAATAATCGTCTTCTCACATATATATAGACAGTGAATCTTTTACTCATCATCTTCTCACCCAGTCATCTGTTCAATCAAGTATGTACGGCTTAATTTCGTTTGAGACGGGGCCATATTGGGTGGGTCCATGTAATCGGCCGCAGGGGCAAGTCCCCTCTAAAATTTAACTGCTTCTCTTCTAGAAGTTAACAAGCTCAATACCCTTTAATTTCCCTCCTGGTTCCCCGAACTTCCACCAACTTGCATTGATCGATTCTTTATTGAACATTGCACATCATATTCTGATACTTACTTTCTTTTACGCAGAGTTCATAAATCCTCTGTTAATTGTTGGAGATACGTGAGGGAAACACAAGTTGAGAGGTAGAGGAGAGCAGAGACAGAGATTCAGGTCAGTTGTTTTTGATAGCAAGCCCAATCCCGAACGAAAGCCCAAATCGCCTATTCATCCACTGCCGTCCTGAAGCTTGCGCAATTGGGGACACCATTACCAGATAGCTGTGCTCCCAATTGCGCTGAGATTGAACACGTCGTAAGTTTCGGATCACATTGAGCTTTTTGGTGTATCTTTTGTTTGGCAAATTCTATCTTTTGCGCTACCACTTGAGATTTAGATCTTGCCATTGATCGATTATATGTTACATGTCGCGCTGTTTGGTGGAGTACATATGCACATGTGAGGCTAGGAAGATTGGGTTGGGGAAGTGGACGTTGGTGAATCACACATAAATATCGCTGACATATAAATTTTTACAACTATAGTCGCAGCTATTAGTCCTCCGTTATACAATCTCTTTTCTCTTCGATCATTGTCAACATGGCGGACGTCGAGATCCCAGTCATTCCTCAAGAGAGTCATAAACCAGAAGAAACATCTGCAGAGTTTCTAGACGATACTCCTATTACCCCTGTTGAAGCTTCCGCTGAAGGCACGGCAGATGCTGTACCAGAGGACAATGCCGGAGCAGCATCGGAAGTAGATACCGAGACGGAGAGGGAATCTGTCAAGAGCGCAGATACAGAAAAGACCACATCAGAATCTCCAAATGGTGTTAAAAAGGAAAATGCAGTTCCTAGAAGAGCTGGCTCATCAGCAGCACCAAGACGTCCAATTTCAGGGAGTGCAACCAGGCCCACCGCTTCTTCTGCGATCAAGCCAGCTTCTTCATCCACAACAAAAACTACTGGAGGCTTAAGCAAACCTCCAACGCGCCCAGGAAGTGCAGCTGTTGTGCGAAAACCTACAAGCAGTGCTACACCTTCCAGCACCAGTCATAGAGCTCCCTCCGCCGCTGGAACTCATGCAGATGAGAAGAAATCTACCACTGCCCCTGCACGACGGGTCTCTCTTGCACCAAGCCACACAAATGCTTCAAAGACTCCTGGAACAGCTGCAGAAGCTCGGGCCAGACCTTCCTCGATGCATAATACTGCCACCACAACAACCGCGAGAAAGCCTGTTGCATCAACGCCAGCCGCTGGCCAGACTAGTCCAAAGGCTGCAAAGCCTGCTAGCACAACTGCCCCAAAGCCAGCACCTGCTTCGAGGTGAGTTCTTTTATATCCTCTTTTCAGGCGTCTACGCTCACTCAATACTAACATGTAATCAGCACTTCTACTACAGCTCGTCCAGTACATTCTTCCAAGCCTTCAATTAGCGCTCTTAGCAGTGGCGGTGCAGTTTCGGAAGCTAGAAAACGTCTTAATGCTCTTCAAGGAGGCGGACCGGTCCATCCACCACCAAAGCCATCCGCATTGTCGTCCGCTCGTTCAGTCAGTGGGGCATCGCCTTCGACTGCAGCTGCATCCACGAAGGAGGTCGATGAGTTGAAAAAGCAATTAGTGGAGAGCGAATCCAAGGTTGAAGAATTAAAGAAAGAAATTAGTTCGTCACAAGAGAAACTTCTTGAACTTGGTAAGGCAGCCGAAGAAGAAGCGAAGCGTATTTCAGATGCCGAGGAAGTTATTCGCGCAACGCACAGCGAACTTGTCGAGAAACTTAATGCCGACCACAAAGCTATCTTGGAGAGTTTACAGGCCCAATTGGTAGAAGCCGAGAATGCTAAAGCAGCAGCTCAGGAAGCTTCTTTGGCGGCTCTCGAAGAGGCAAAAGAAGCTGCATCTTCGAAGGGAGCCACCGAACATGCTGAAGCTTTGGAAAAGTTAAAGGTTGAACATGGTGCTGCTTTGGATGCACTAAATGCAGAGTTGGCAGCTGCTAAGGAAACTAATACTGCCGAGCAAGCTAAAGCTTTAGAGGCCGTCAATGCCGAATTAGCTGCGGCTAAGGAGGCAAATGCCGGCGCTATCGCTGCCGCTGCCGAGAAGGAGGCCGAGATTATGGATTTGAAAGTTCAACTTGAGAAAGCCATCGCAGAGTGTGCAGCCGCAACTGAGTCACTAAAAGCTTTGCAAGCCGAGCATGATGAAAGAGTTAAGGCCTTAGAGTCGGATTTCGAATCCAAAGTTAGTGCTCATGCAGACTCTCTGGAAGAGTTGAAGAAGACTTTGGCTGAGGAGCACAATGCTGCTGTGGAGGCATTGAAGATTGCCCATTCCGAGGAAATTGCAAAGGGAAACACCGACGCTTCATCCACCTACGAAACTCAAATCGCTGAGTTGACCACCAAGCATGAAGAAAACCTGGCAACCATTCAAAAGCAGCTCAACACCCAAGCTGACGAGCATGCAAGCGCCTTGGAGGAGTTGAAGAAAACTTTGACGGAAGAGCACAACATCGCTCTTGATGCATTGAAGTCCGCTCACTCGGAGGAGCTTGCGAAGGGTAATACCGATGCCTCTTCGACCTATGAAACCCAGATTGCTGAATTGACTGCAAAACATGAGGAGAGCTTGGCTATCGTTCAAAAACAACTTGATGATGTTCTCGAGGCTCAGAAGGCTTTGGAATCTGCTCATGCTGAGAAGGTATCAAGCTTAGAAGGCGAGGTTTCGAGTCTCAAAGAGAGCTTTGAAAAGACGTCCATAGCACTGGCAGCATCAGAGAAGGAAATTTCAGAAGCTAAGGCTGAGGCTGAGTCGGCCAAGAAAGAACTTGCTTTTGCTCAAGAGCAAGTTGCTCAATTGACTGAAAAATTGGATGGCTTGCAATCTACTGGTACTGAGTCGGAATCCGCTTTAACGGCTGCCAAGGAGGAATTGGAAAAATCCAAGGAGGAAGTTATTGCACTTCAAAAGGCTTTGGAGCAACTTGGTTCTGATGGAAAAGACAAGGATGAGTTACATAGTAAGATCCAGGCGGAGCTTGCAACAACTGTCCAGTCATTGGATGAGAAGACCAAGGAAATTTCCGAACTTTTGGAGAAACACGCACTGGAAACTTCGACACTTAATGAGAAGCACTTGAAAGAATTGGAAACTATTTCAAACGACTATCAAAAAGAAATTGATGCATTATCGGGAGACTCTGGTATCAGAGATGAATTTAATGCATTAAAGAGCAAGCATGAAGAACTTACCAAGACCCATACCGAGATCTTGGAAGCTCATCAGCAGGAACTCGAAAAGGCAAAGCAATGCCACGCTGCAGCAATTGTTGAACTCGATAACAATGATAAAGCTCATCAGCGTGCATTGGAAGATTTGAAGACAAATCATGCCAAGGCATTGGATGAAGCACATGATAGAGCTATATCCGCTAGTCATTCTTCCCATTCTTCGGAACTACAACAGCTCGAACATAGTCATGCTGCTGCCATTGCTGAGTTGAAATCCGAGTACGAGAAAACTCATGCAAAGGCATTGGATGATGTACATGGCCAAGCAATTTCCGCCGCTCAAAAAGCACACGAGCAGGAATTGGAGAAATTGATTCTTAGCCACGCTGAAGATGTCGCTACATTAAAGGCACAGCATGCTACAGCTCAATTAACCCACGACGAAGCTATTGCCGCATTGAAGGCAGAGCATGAAGCCAGTCTTGCTACTGCTTCGTCAGATTCCGAGAGCCAAAAGGCCGCTCAAAAGGTTCACGAGGAAGAAATCGAGAGATTAATTCAAAGCCATGCTGAGGACATCGCCGCATTAAAGGCTCAACATGCAACTGCTCAATCGAATCATGATGAAGCAATCGCCGCTTTGAGGGCAGAGCATGAAGCCAATCTTGCTACTGCTTCAACAAGTCTTGAAAGTCAAAAGAGTGCTCAACAAGCTCATGAACAAGAATTAGAGAGATTGATTCAAAGTCATGCCGAAGATATTGCAACCTTGAGGGCAGAGCATGAAGCCAATCTTGCTACTGCTTCAACAAATCTTGAAAGTCAAAAGAGTGCTCAACAAGCTCATGAACAGGAATTAGAAAGATTGATGCAAAGTCATGCCGAAGATATTACCGCCTTGAAAGCACAACATGCGACTGCTCAATCATCGCACGATGAAATAATCGCCGCTTTAAAAGCTCAACATGCAACTGCTCTATCAACTCAAGATGAAGTAATTGCCGCTTTGAAAGCAGATTTTGAAGCTAGTCATGCCACCGCTTCATCGGATCTCGAGAAACAAAAGGCCCTAGAGGCTGAGTTGCAAGCTGAGATTACCAGATCCAAACAATCTTTACATTCAGCGCAAGATGAGTTGGAAGCTCTTAAGCAAGATTTGGCTGTGGAGAAGATTGCCAAGGCTAACGCTGAGGCTGATTTGGATGCTGCAAGAAACGTAAAGTTGGATACTTCTGAAGTCGATGCCTTACGTCAAGAATTACAAGCTCTCAAGTCTCAACATGAGGCTGCTCTTACATCAGCCAAACAGGAATCGGCAATGGCCACCCAAGAGCTTGCAGCTAGTAAATCACAACTAGAAACAGAAAAAGCTGAACTTGAGAAGGAGAAAGCTGCTCTTGAACAAAAAGTCAAGACCAGCAAGGATGATTACAAAACCATGCACGAGTCTATGACAGAATTGCTTGAAGAGACTAGCAAAGATTGTGAAACACTCGATGCTCGTCTAAAGGAAGCCGAAGCTCAACTTAAGGTCAAGGATGCTGAACTTGCTGAGGCAAAGGTATGAATTCAAATTTCATTAACATTATGTAGTTATATTAGTACTAGGTACTTGAGCTAATACCATATGGTGAAAACAAAAAGACCAAGCTCCCAACTACATCCCCACCAAAGACACCAACATTTGGAGGAATTTTTTCTAGAGGATTCGCCGATACTGATGGTAAGGACTTCAATGGAACGGGTGAAAGCACAGATGCAGTAGCTACACCTGAAAGTGAGCATGATAATTCATCAGCGGCGTTAGCTTCGGTTGGCGAGCCTTTTTTCTAGTGCTTCTGTTGCCCTATCCTATTCTCTTTTTCTTATTTTTTTTTGCACATACACAAGATCCTTTCCTATTCGTACACTGATACCCAATCTTTCCTTTCCGTACCAACTTCGTCTGGATACTCATACAAATTATGGAAAAAAAAACATTTACTAACGTATCTCTTGAATTAATAGCTAGCAAAAGCTAGAGTTACGGTTGAACAATTAGAGAAGATGAATGAAGATTTGAAGAAAGATAATATGAGGTAGTTATTTCCCCCAAACCCAAGCCCCCCCACCAAACAATTCCCTTTGTCCTCCCTCTTTCGCTTTTCCTCTCCTCTTCCTCTCTCAACGGGATTTGCTGCTTGCTTTTTAATTGCTATTACATTGGTATTGAAATTTGCGAAGTGTGAAATCTCGGCTGATATTAGATTATTTTGCTCACGCATAGGTCATTAGAATCAATTTCAGACGTCTTTGGGCCAGCTCGTAATGAATAGGTCATGAGATAATGCTATCCTTCTTTTCGTTCAAAATATTTCATGAGCGATTTCCAAGTCAGCTTTCGGACAATTTTTGCGCATTATGTCTCAGCTCAACTTATGTCAACTTCATTTCACTCAGTTTTTTCAACGTATTTCATGTCGCCAATATTCTCAATCATGTTCCGACTGTTTAATTCGACTTTTTTTTTAATGCATAATCTACATTGCTGCGTCTTTAGTTCATGATCAACCGTGTCTTGACTGAAAAGTCTTTCTCTTGAGAGGAATCCACACTTACGCAATACCCGGAATACAAAATCTTTCTATACCCAAATTTACTTTTAGCTCTTTTGCGATTTTTACTAGTTTCAGTTCTTACATCTTGCATTTCTTGCTTGCATTTTTGAAATTGTTCACTTTTAGTGCGCAGATATGTTGATGGATGGATGGATCTGGTATCGTCTTTCTTTTTTCTTGACACACTTTTTCATAGGGATGGATGGATGGATGATGGCTCGGATGGGTTGATAGATGGTTGGTATGGTTTGGTATGAATGGTGGATTGTGGGGGAAGGATTAGATGGAAATTTGTATGTGAGGTGAAGTAGGGTGAGATGAGTGAGGTGAGGTGAAGCTGTATATGCAGAGTACATATTGTGATATAATGTATGGATGGATGGATGGATGTAGGGGCTTAACTATTAAGTAGTAATGAGAATGAATTAGTGGTTTTATATTGTTATCTAGTGTTAATCTATTAAGTATAAGATGGGTGAGTAGAGTGCTGATAGTGTAAAGTCGATGTAATATAAAAATCATTGTAAAACTTCGAGATTTAAAATAACAAAGCGAGAAGAGAGTTTGAGAAATTATTAAATTATTAAATATGTTAAAGTGAATGGTTCCTGCGTAGCACGTGCACAGGGCACTAGTCCTATTAGGACTAGATTGAGAAGCTCTCTGTAGGAGAGTGTCACGAATCGCGACAATTATAACACAATAAAAGCAAGTACGGAGGTTTGGGCCGCTGTTTCCGAGGGGGTCCTTATCGATAAGGAATCCTAGGACAAGTGTCCTAGGATAAAATGTGTCCCAGGATAATAATTATCCTAGGGCAAACCAATTAGGCAACCGTGATGGCTTAGGGCAAGTGTCCTAGGACATTATTCGTTCTAGGATAAACGTCCTAGGATAATATTTGTCCCAGGACAATTATCCTAGGAGCTATATTATCCCAGGAGATGAATTGTCCCAGATTAGTGTCCTGAAGCCAATAGGAGATCACGTGATGTGATAGCTCTGCTAGCTGGCTAGCAGAGCTAGCATTCAGAGAAACGTTTAGTATATAGTTAGAATAGTTTCATAGTTTAAGAGCTTCGTGCTCAACTTATTTATCAACTAGTTTACCTACATTCTACTTGATCTAGTAACGAATTCACTTCCAAGTGAATACCAGTGATAAAGCCTTAACCCATAACTACCAACCGACGAACCTTAGGCAGCCGCTGCCTCCAGTACAGTATCGTTACAGTGATCTAGACGGCAACCTGTTACGTAGTAACAGTCAACCTGTCCATATGAGCTCAGACCCCGTGGAAAAGCAAACCGATTCACATACAAAATTGTATGGTAATCGGTTCGTAGGACCTCCCCCTCGAGAGCCTAGAGCACTTCCACGTGATCTAGACGGCAAACTGTCACACTCAAGAATACTGGGTAGAGTATCTTGTATTAGAAAATACTAAGCTAAGGAGAAAAGAAGAAGGAAAACAAGAGTAGCGAGTTTTCCTGTGATTAAATACAAACGGGGCATGCCACGTGACCCGAAGGTGTGAGGCGTCACACAAACCTCGTAACACAACCCTCGTAACAAAAGATTTCTTAATTTCTGAATTCAAAATCAATGATATTTGTTCGAATTCAAATCATATTATATTTTTTTGATTTAAATAATATATAATTCAAATTTCAATATTTAATATTATAAATCGGAATTTTTATTCAATTTTGAAAACACTGGTTTTAAGTGTGTGTAACGATACTGTGCTGGAGGCAGCGGCTGCCTGAGGTTTCGTCTCGTTAATAGTTGTGGGTTAAGGCTTTATCACTGGTATTCACTTGGAAGTGAATTCGTTACTTCATCAAGTAGAATGTAGGTAAACTAATTGATAATTAAGTTGAGCACAAAGCTCCTTAACTACGAGACTAAATGAATGTTTATATACCCTATATCATCTTCGAGGACCTCTGGGACCCTAAGGTCCAAAAGGTCCTCAAGGTCCTTGAGGTCACGTGAATTAATGAATCGTGACAGTGATTCTATAATTCACTTACAGCAAGTCTCACGAGTCCGTGTACCCACTGGTGGTATTAGTATCAGTATCAGTGTGTTTATATAATTAACGTCCTGATGATATAATAGATTGATCTTTTCATATTAATATTAATTTTAAATAAGGGTTAGTTTTTATTAATTACAGAAATTGTTTGAATCATCTGCTTCTTCCGAGGTCTCATCTCTAAACTCGACACCAACACTTTCCAGCTTTTCACGGACAGTTGTCGCGTTCTCAAATGTAAGAGGAACAAAACCCGGCGGACGTTGCTCACGTAAATATTGCTCCCTCACTTGGTCAAAACGTATCCATTCTTGTAGTAAACTGCTTTTCCAAGCCTGCTTTTCTTCCTGTACATCGAGATTGTCTTCGAGATTGGGTGGGCTTCCATGAAGTGATATCGGTGAAGGATCCGCGTCATCTTCTGTCAAAGAGGCTGAGAAAGGACTGGAAATTATACACACTCGTTTCGATGCAGGGTTGTTATCTTCATCAGCTTGTCCTGTATCAAGCGCAACCCCCTGTCGTTTGGTTGAGCTTCGACTTTCCGGGGCTGACAATTCCTGTAGTGTATCACCATCCATCTCCTCCACTTGCTTCACCCGCTTGCCGCCTATGTCCTTGACTGTTATTACTGATCGAGCGACGCCACCCCCAAGGAATGCGGTGATACCACCAAAAATTGTCCATGCAAATCTGGCGTATATGAATTGTGGCCTGCAGTAGGTTATCGGATGTGTACGAGTGTTGTGATACAGAGGAACGATATCCTCGACATATTCCATGGCATGAACGACGAAACTATCTCTCTTCGGGTACAAAAAGAACAATCGATCGTCGAATGCTTTGTGAAGATCAGAACGAAGCAACATCAAGTTATTTGTGTCGTTCAATATGACCCGATGATTGAGGCTGTGATTGCTGTTATATCGAAACATAGAGTTCTGTAGATACCAGACCTTTTCCTGCTCCGGGCACAAATGTGCTACTTCTGTTGCAGTACTGTGGTTTGTAATGCGGCAGTATCTGTCACGAGCGCGGACGACGGTACTATATGTCGATGGTGGACCAACAGGCGAGGCAGAAAAGCGCTGGACGACGGTGGTCCATGCGGATGGTAGACGGTCTGGGAACTGCCAGTTTTTGAAGGAAAACACCACCGGCCATCGGTATACGCTCGCGGAAGTAGAATTACTGTCGTCTTCTTCCATTATAGGAGCAGGAAGGTGGTACCAGTAGTCACCAGCAGGGAGCAACGCATCTGACTCGTATATCAGAGGATCGCCGCGGGGGCTGTCCGTTAGCCAGCCTTCATGGCGATTACCTGCGATGATCGCACATGCATCGTGAACAAGGCTATAACAGATCCCTCCTACCGCGGCATCAGGCGCAAAGAGACTGAGAAGCAGGTCTTGGTAATCATCGTATGCAGGATGGTGAATGTCGACACGCTGGGAGGCGGACTTAAGGTATTGGAATTCGGGCGTAACTGCCGGGTCTTCGAGGTCGCGAGGTCCTCGTAAGGTAACAGTAGAAATATTAGCCATATTGGTATAAAAGCAAAGGAAGATATTATTAGTCGATAAGTATAGTGGCGTTGTGCTCGTCGATGGTGCTGCTCTTTGTTGTTTCTTGTATCTGATTGTAATTAACTTTTGTGGTTGTTGAATGGGAGTATTCTAAACTGTTGGTTTCGTGGAGGTTTCTGCCACATGTTACCGCCTTCCTTTTTGGCAGTAACAATGGGTAACCTTATCGGTCAGATAGAGAGTAGTGTTATGAACCACGACTGAGATTACTCGATAAAGTTAGTTATCGGTATTTAGGCCGCCGATTACCGGGGGGTCCCTTATCACCTGCGATAAGGAACCTAGGATAGGAACTCCCAGGATTAGTGTCCTGGGATAAACGAGGGCACGTGATGGAGCCTCCAGGCTCCTGAAAAGGATCAGTATATAGTCAGAATGGTTTCATAGTATAGGAGCCTCGTGCTCAACTTATTTATCAATTAGTTTACCTACATTCTACTTGATCTAGTAACGACTTCACTTCCAAGTGAATACCAGTGATAAGGCCTTAACCCATAACTACCAACCGACGAACCTTAGGCAGTATTACGACGGTACTCAGTTATGACTAAGCCCCGCGTCACATGACTATTTAGTGAGTCACGTGGTACCACCCGTCCCACCGATTTATATCGAGGGGAACGGTGGGATACACGGTACGAAGGTCTATATAATCAAGATGGATTTCCTTTGTATAGAGCTTCGTGCTCAAGATCAATCATTTAGTATACTCTACTATTACTTACGAATTGCATATCATTATTGTCATTACTTAAGTCCCTGCTTGAAGCCTAGTTATAAACCACTTCGAGAGCCTAGAGCACTTCCACGTGATCTAGACGGCAACCCTCGTAACAAACTCGTACTGAATAACCTTACAGAAAGATTAATCACAAGTCAGATAACCTACAATCAATTCTCTGTGATTATTTATTCATCACCCTACAATAACCATAACCTTACACCCTAAAAATCTCTGTATAAATCTCCACTTCCCCTCCCACTTTCAACATACATACATACATCCACAATCTTTGTCAACTTACCCACCCATCACATTTAAATTCAATTAAATGATATCGTGAGCAATCAACACACCCTCAACAAAATAGATCAATTATCAATCAATTATCAAGCGTTTGTGGTTTAGTGGTAAAATCCATCGTTGCCATCTTCTTCTCTCCTGATCAGGAAAGAGATCCGGAATAACGTCGATGGGCCCCGGGTTCGATTCCCGGCGAACGCATCATTTTAAGGGGGATTAAGTTTTTGAGGTTTGAATGTGCTTCAGGATGGAGGTGCGTTGAAATTGAAAGGTTTATTTGTGATGGGGGTTTGGTGGATGGTGGGGTAGGATGGATGGAGTAGGTATGTTCTATTTTGGTTTTGGCATTGATAAGTTTCTTTTGCTTTGGTTTCTGGCTTTTGTCTGTTGGTTGTAGTTTCTAAGGGGAAGAAATGGTTAGGGAGGAGTAATGATAATGAATGAATAGTTGATATTTGTCGGACTTTTGGGGTGTTTTCAGAAGGAGGAAAGGAACAAAGAAAGAAAGAGAAAAATATATAAATGTATATGGAAGTGGGAGCTTGCATTATAAGTTTATGAGTTTATGAGTGGATAGATGAATAGATGAATATATCATTGATAAGATATAAGAGGTGGAGATGAAATGAATCCTTTTAATATTTTCTTGAATATTTATATTTATTGTTACGACGGTATTCAGTTATGACTAAAACCCGTATCACATGACTAAATAAGGGGTCACGTGGTCCCACTCGTCCCACCGATTTAAATCGAGGGGAATGGTGGGAAGGCCTCCCACCGATCCCACTGATTTATATCGAGGGTAACGGTGGGACATACGGCACGAAGGTCTATATAATCAAGATGGATTTCCTTTGTATAGAGCTTCATGCTCAAGATCAATCATTTAGTATACTCTACTATTACTTACGAATTACATTATTGTCATTACTTTAAGTCCCTGTTTGACATCTAGTTATAAACCATCTCGAGAGTCTAGAGCACTTCCACATGATCTAGACGGCAAACCTCATAACATTTATATTTATATTTGTATTTATATTTATATTTATATTTTATATAATTAATAATAGATTAATTATTTAACTGATTGTTATAAGGTTTGCCGTCTAGATCATATGGAAGTGCTCTAGACTCTTGAGGTGGTTTATAACTAGGTGTCAAGCAGGGATTAAAGTAATGACAATAATATTATGAGGTTTGCCGTCTAGATCATATGGAAGTGCTCTAGACTCTCGAGGTAGTTTATAACTAGGCTTCAAGCAGGGACTTAAAGTAATGACAATAATGCAATTTGTAACTAATAGTAGAGTATACTAAATGATTGATCTTGAGCACGAAGCTCTATACAAAGGGAATCCATCTTGGTTATATAGATATTCATGCTCCCTTGGATCCTTTTGGATCCTCAAGCTCCAAAAGCTCCAAGTCACGTGTTTTCTGACGATGCATGCGCATACGATCCTAAAGTGACCCAGATCACATATTAATTCGATGAAATCTGATCGCTTTTGCACAAGGTCCAAGCTCTCCTAATTAGTCAGTTGTTACTATCGTAACAATAGTAGAAGTAAGACAATACAATCAGACAATTGAGAATGGGCTACGGTAATTATATATAATAATAAAGAAAATGAAACTATACCTCTATGTCATGATTCATCATTAGGATTAGTGTCATGAGGCAAATAGTAGTATCACGTGATGGATAGACTGGATAGACTGGTCTATCCAGTCTAGGGGATAGCCTAGGTAGACCAGTCTATCCAGACTATCCAATAGCATTCAGAAGTATATAATCAAAATAGTTTCATAGTATAAGAGCTTCGTGCTCAACTTAGTTATTAATTAGTTTACCTACATTCTACTTGATCTAGTAACGACTTCACTTCCAAGTGAATACCAGTGATAAAGCCTTAACCCATAACTACCAACCAGACGAAACCTCAGGCAGCCGCTGCCTCCAGTACAGTATCGTTACACTCTATTTCTGATAGTTCAAGGACAAGTTCATCTTTTCAATTGATATACCGAAACCGATTTTCCTGCGGATTAGGTTATTAAATCTACTTCCAATAGATGGACGAATAATGAGATAGGGTTAGAATGATTAAAGCATTTCGATAAATATACTATTCGTCAAAGAAAGGGCAAATATCGAATACTAATATTGAATAAGCACGAAAGTTATGAATCAATACCTTTTCAATCATATTGCAAATCAAATGATATTATATGCCTCAAATTACCACCACATTCAAGTCATTTAACTCAACTACTCGATGTTAAATATTTTGACATATTCAAACATTCATATAGTTATCAAATTAAAGGATTTATCAAAGCTTATATCAATTATATTATCAAGATTGAATTCTTTATAACCTTCAAAGCTGTATATTTACAATCATTTATTATTCAAAATATGAAAGCTGGTTTTCGAGGAGCAGGTCTAATATCATTCGATCCTCAATCTATACTCTCAAAACTAGATATTAGAATTCGTACTTCTACTCCTTCATCTACCTCCTTGGAACTTACCAACTCCTGGATCTCTCAAACCCCTCATAATCTAATTGAGGCTCTCTTACAATCAACTCTAGTAAAAGCTCGAATGGCTCGTCATCAATCAAGCTCTCCTACACCTATATTTGAGACTGTGCAAGCTTTAGCTAAAGGTACAGAGAGACTGGCACATGAAGTTACACTTTTGAGTGCTGAGAATCGTATGCTTCGAAGAGCAAATGAGGCATTAAGTAAACGTCGATGCGCCAAAAAAATTCAACTACTGTTGACCTCTTGGGATCTTGGCAGCATATGCATATATATTGCATGATGCATATAAGGAGCAAACAAAACTCAACTTTTAATTCATTCTTTCCTTTTTGGTATACTGTTTGTTTGCTTTCAATATTTTGATTTCAAAGCACTTTAATTCCGAAGGCTGAATACCTAACCTTATTCCTTCATTTTTTTTGAATATATACTCGCAGCTTAACTGCTTAGCTAGAGAATCAATCAATTCAATCTGATGCTCTTTCTGGTCTCAAGAAACCCAATAACTACGTAATGGAGGAGTACTTACTGGACAAGAAGCTGAAGATATATTATCACAACAAGAGGTTGATAATCAGATTCAACGCGACGAGCGTCAAAATGGGGGAAATTCTAATAGGGAATCATCTATTAGTCGATGCTGTAGTAAGTGTGGAAAAACTGGTCATAATTCAAGAACTTATCAGAATAGTATAATAGATCCTAGATTATTAGATTCTTGATAGTTTAAATCAATTGATTCAATAATTGTTGATTAAAATAAGTTTAAAGTGGTTGAATAAGTGAAAAAGTGGCGACTCGCTGATAAACCATGTTAATAATTTAGTGAACAAATAATTAACTATAAATTTATTATATTATATCATATCATCTTATCATTTATAGATCATAAATCATAAACTATAAACTATAAATAATTTAAAATACAACACATACTTGCATCCAAATATCCGATATCAAAAAGTTCATAATCATCGCTCATTCTCATATTTATCATCATCGTAAATCATTCCATACATGCATACAAAACGCGAATACCGTCAAGCTTAACCACCATTCACCCTAACCGGTACACCTCAATAATATCAATACAAATCATTCTTTCCATCATAACTCGTATCAACCACCTTAATCTCCTCATCGTATGATGGGTGTTTTACCAGCTATCATCCCTATCCCTACGACTCCTAACCGAATCTCTTCTTCCGCATTCACTTCTCCCATCCCTCTCTCTCTCCCTCTCCCCCTTCTCACCCCTTCCTTTCCCCTCCCCCTTCCCATCCTCCCACCTCTCAACCACAGCATTAACCACCAACCCCCCCGCCGCCGCCCCAATCAACGTATAAATCTTCCCCCTATCCCCCAAATCCTTCCTATCCCTCCCCGTCTGCGCCTCTTGTAATTTCTCCGCCGCCCACCCCCCAAGCAACGCCCCAATCGCACCACCCGCTAATCCCTTCGAAGAATCCGTAAATAGACCTTTAGCTTCACTTTTTAATCCGTATCTATCCGCGCGATCTTTTATATTTTCCATGTGGGATTCTTTGGTTCTGTGGGCTGTTTGCAATTGGGTACTGTGCAATGGGCGGGCTCTGCGTTGTGTGTCTCGTTTGCAGAGTCTTTGGTCTGAGTTATAATTAGAGGGGGAATCTCGTTGATTGTGGATATCGTCGTAGGAACTACGTCTTTGGATATGTTTTGGTCTTTGTATTTTTTCTCGATCGTATCGTTCATCAGAATCATCATCACAATTATAATCCCCTATCTCTTTCTCTTTCATCCCTAACAAATGAATCTGAGAATGGTGATATATGTGGTGGAGGAAAATAATACGGATATTGATTATCCGATGCTAATTGTGAAGGAGCCACATATTTAGGAAGATATTCAGGTCGTAAATGTGGTGGTTGTTGACTATAAATTGGATGTGGTGCAGCATCATTGGAGTGATGGGATTCTTCGTAAGAATTCCCATATCCATATCCTATACCTCCACCTATACCTGCACCACTATGTCTCGGTATATCTCTGAAATCTCTCTCTCTCTCCCTTGAATCCCAATCCCTCTCCCGCCTATTTCTTTCACGTTGTCGAGATGTATAATCAGGTTCGGAATCGTAGCCCGCTTCTTCGATTTCTGGATCCCGGTATGGTTCTTCTTGTCTTGGGACTCCACTACTCCTATCTTCTTGATTTCTTGAATCTTTTGAATTTCTCCGTTCGTCTTGATATTCTCCTTGATCACGAGAATTTCTTCGTGCCTCCTCTTCCCTACGTCTTCTTCTGCTGTTTTTAAAAGGAACTCGTGGTTTGTAAGTTTCTTTCCTAAATGCCTTGTCAGGAATTTTATGAAAATGTTTGTCCACTAAAACATCAGTTGCTTGGAGAGCTACTGGGGCATAATCCATTTTGTTGAATTAGGGTTTTGCCGTTGTATAGTGTAGATTATAGTATGGTTCGTAGTATACTGATGGGTGGGTGGTAAGGTCCGTTCCTTGATTAAAGTATACTGCAAGGTTGAACGATGATTCGTATTGGATGGATGAAAGGTATAAAGGTCTTGGAGGGATAGAATTGAGTTTAGAGGGTAAAATTATAGAAAGGATGATTTGTGATTGGTCTCTTGATTTCTTGGTAGCGACGTATAGTTATAAGATTGATCTGTGATGATAAAATTGATAGATATCAAAAATAAAATAAAATCGTTGAATCTGATAAAAATGGTATAGGGATAACCTCGAAAGAAAATCTAAAATGAAGGGATAAACCTTCTCCAATATATCTAAGTTTCCTCTTACAACTATCGTGTTACCAATTAAGGGTCATGAGGTTTATTTTCACGATTTGCAATATTTTGGATGCGTGGCAACCATTCAAAGGAACCCGATCATTTTTGGGGCTGATGAGGAAGCAGATAGTGGGATTGATGATTGCAGGCAGTATGCCGTACTTGAGTAGTGAAATTGTATCATCGTGCATAATTAAACTGCATGAGAAAGATTTATAAAGGGGGGACTAAAAGATAAAACGACTAAAACATTTCAAACCAGGTTGGAGATAGGTTGGATGAAGCCTCAAAGCCTCAACTACGTCATCATCCACGCGTGACTCTGATGCAGGACACCGATAATCATGATCCATTTTTGTGACTCCATCCGAAAAGTCGGGAGAATCCAACGTTCGCAACCAACATTTACCAAGATCCAATGGCCCAATATCAAATACATAGGGCACAAAGGATCGACAAAAACCATGAGCCGGCAATCAAATACTTTGCATATCCGGTACCAAATCGCACGAGTAACTTAGTAAGACTACTTGGAAATGGCGGTATGATGGAAGATCTAGAGATAACTACGTACTCTTTTCATTGTCGTACATACAGTTCCTGAATGGAATCTATATGTATGATGATCGAGGATATGTACCACTAGACTGGGGACTTTTTAGATCAGGGCCACTAATAGACTATGAATCTAGACCATTTGAATGTGTTTATGAAGATACATTGAAAATCCACAATGTAAGTGCCTGGTGGAGGTTCATTCGTTTCACACACGGCCAGAAAGTTTTCAAGTAACTGTGACTAATACCTAGCATTCCATAAGGTGTGAGGTTATAATTAAGAATTAGAATCAAGAAATGACCCCTAAATTCACATGTAAGGTGTGTCTTTAGCATGAAATAAACGAGTTTATCTTTTAGAATAGGAGTTGCTTCCCTTGTACGAGCTAGTCCTTCTTAACATAGAGCAGAATAGTTCCACTACAATCCACCTGAAATCCTGGAATTGAGCTCGCGAGAACAACTTGCAAGCTTGATTCCAATAGAAGGACAAGATCTCTGTATAACCATTAGTGAACTGAACGTAATAGGTAATGTTATATTTTATCATTGCTTTGTTTGACTTATTTTTGCTATAATCTAGGCGTATTTCGAATCGCTATACGGATTAAATATAATAGATAAAGGATATAATTAATAGATCTATAAAATTAGATTTTAATAGAACTTCTAATTGGTTATATATAAATAGAATCAGTTAAGGGATTGAATTATAGATTATTTTATAATTTAAAAAGGAATCAAATATATGTTACGACGGGCTACACAACTACCAAGGCACGTGATCACAAGTGATCAGTAGTGATCATAGAAGCATGAAGGACTATATAATCAAGATGGATTTCCTTTGTATAGAGCTTCGTGCTCAAGATCAATCATTTAGTATACTCTACTATTAGTTACAAATTGCATTATTGTCATTACTTTAAGTCCCTGCTTGACGCCTAGTTATAAACCACCTCGAGAGCCTAGAGCACTTTCACGTGATCTAGACGGCAAACCTCGTAACAATATATTCTGAATTGGGTTTCTTTTTTGGAATTTATAATAATAATGAAAGAAGTATTTTATTAGAAAAAGTGAGGAGAGATATAACTCAAATGAGTAGAGGAGGAAGAGGATTATATATCATAATATCATGATATAAATCATAGATTAATTAATTATCAACACACATTTAGATCGATCATAGTACAATATAATAACCAAATATAACTACCATCACAGTAAAAACAGATTATATAAACCAATAGCAGAAACAAAATCACAACGAGCGGTTACGTACTGGTACTAAAAGCCCAACCAGGAGGCTCAGACAAACAAGCTCTCTAATTACTCCCGACCAGACCAGGCCAGGCCAGTCCAGTCCCAACCATCTCATCGACCAATCCAATAGTCAATGTTGGAAAACCCAGTGACCTCGAGCGCAAAAAAATACACATACCAAGCAGCCAAAAAAAACCACGCCCAGTGCCCCCCAAAGAGTGGTACACTCCCAACTAAAACTTCCATCCATCATCCATCATCCAACATCCCGCACCCCACCCCCAAAAAACCATGCCCACCTTCGGATTCTGGCGCAGCGAAGAAAACCCCTCCAAACCCAAGAAAAAACACCACCAACGACCCCCGCCAAAAATCATCTCCATCCGCTCAAAACTGCACCCCGTATTCCACGCCCCAGGCGTCAACGTCTCTCCTCAAAACCACTATTCCACACACGTATACCTACTATTCCAACGCTACGATACCATGAAATCCGGGCTATTCTCCGCAACAATATCATTCCGCACCATGTATAATGATTTCAAAGGAATGAAACGATTGATATATCACCTTAATAGCGAAGAAGCAGATGCCGCCAATATGATATAATGGAAGAATTTAAAAGGTGATGGGGGAATTCGGAAGGATATCCAGTGGTAAAATTGGGATGGGTGCAGAAGGGATGAGAATAGGGGGATGTTGTATGCGAAAATTGCCGGACTGTTTGCCGTTTCCTGTGAGACCGGATACAATGGATAGTGTTGAGTGGGAGGGAGTTGAGGATGAAAGGGATTTCGAGATGTGAGTGGATTTTTAAAGGCGATTGAGGTGCTTAAGGAGGGGAATTGGGAGAGTTTGCCCGTGGAACAGTTTAGGGAGAGGCATGTTGAAGTGAAGAAGGTTGGTGGAGGTGGGGATTTTGAGGATAAGAAACGTAGGTGGGAAAGAGGGGTTGATAGGGCGACTCGACATTTTGATTATTCGGGTGATGCGCTTACTTATAGGGAGACATTGAAAGAGCTTGGTCCCAAACTTAGGCTTTCGTCAGAAGCTAAACAAGCGAGATATTTAGATAAGATTATGAATGATGTTGGGGCGGCTTTGTATTCTAAACATGAAGAGCCAAGGAAAATTTTAGATAAGTATAGACGAAGAGGTGAATGAGCAGGGTTTTAATGTTAGTCTTGCGGGAATGTTTCGTGCGCGAAGCAAGTCAATTTGTCGAAAAGTTATAATTTCTAGAGTCGGTGGGCTGCATACTAAAAGAGAACAGAAGAAAAAGACAAGTATAGGAATTACGATATAGAAAGTTAATATCCAAGAAGAATGTTATAATATTATTCCAAACTTAGCATGTCAAAGGAGCTTATGCGAGTCCTTGGCATGCCGCATTTGAAAAATTGCAACTTCATTGTCTGATTCAACACCAACACACGGTTAGCTATTAATGCTAAACCGAGGATCTTGTTCACACGAGTATAATGATGATATGTTCCATAGTCATACATCTGGTAAACCATTTATCGTGCTTGCCTCGCTCTGAAAAGCAAAATGCTCCGCATCATCTGTTCTCAATACGAATATAGCATCTTGCGTAAGTCAAACCAATGGTCAGACTAGGATGTACAAAAATCCAGATTAGCAGAATAGATGTGAGTTTTGAAAATCTGAAAACAATCCAACATTGGAAATGATTTCAATGTTTTTAAATGATTTGAATAATTATTCCAAACGATTCCAATGCATCCACCATCTTCCCATCACCAAAAGAAAAGCCCAGCACTATTAGTATTCTCCGACTTCCGTTATGACAATAACCAGAACTACTATTCTAATCATTAAACACATTGCAAATACTATCTTCTAGATTTACAAAGATGGAATTACAAGTGAATGCTTCCTAGAACCTCTTGCCCGCGGGTTATGAAAACCAATATGAATGATTCACCTCACAGCTTATAATATACACGCCACTTAAATACGTGCAAAAATCAGTACACTAGCCCTGTAGACGCGTATTCCATGATCAAGATTCTAGATTGCTGTGTGATTCAATTTGTGATGGACCGTAACTATTTCTGGCAATTGTACGGCGACAGGTTAGATACAACTATCTAATTATGACCTACCTAGCTAGTAAAAGTACTGGAATTTTTTATCGGCGTGCATACGAACAAATTACATCGTATTTTCACAACGACAGCTCTGCATTCAAAGGCTTTCTATAAAACATTTACATACATCGACTTCTCTTTAGAACCTTGCGTGCAATCGCTTCCACTTTTGCAAGAAAGTCGACTTCTGACAATTTCAAAAACCTATCAAAACGAAATCCAACATGCCTCCCGACAGCCATATGTCACCATTTATTAAAGCTGTGATTGAGAAGCAAAAGTAAGTACAATTACGCTTTACCAAAGACTGATATATAAACTGCGAACGTAACGGAAAACAAATTCAAGTGCTTATTGCACGCCAATCTTGCCTTTTAGTACTATATTGAACGTCGGCTGATGAAGTATTAGAGAAAAAGATCGTAATATTGTTCACGTCAGAGGAGGCAAATATCGAAACGCATACACAGTCGAAAAGGACATCCTTTACCAACATTCACCATATCTTGGAGAAGCTTGCGAACGCTATTCAGAAGGACTTGAGTGTGCCACTATAGAATTTCTTAAGACGAATGATAATACTTTCAAGCTCTTCAGAGACTGGCTTTACAAGCAAGAGCTTGGCAGCGCTTATGAGGAAATTGCTGAATGGAAAGCCGAAAAGGCGAAAAATAGCAAAGGGGCTGACCTTGACAACAAAAGTAACGAAAGACCACTCATAGGCTTCGATGAATCTAAAGGAAATGACGACTTAATGAAGAACAGCAACTCAAAGGGAAAGATGATTTTAGAGACGAAAAACGGTGATCTTGACGACAGAAGTAATGTAGCACTTACAAACTTTTGTTATCCTCATATGACTGCTCTTCTGGATCTTTACTTATTTGCTGATATGGCTCGTGTACCAGCTTTGAAGAATCAATGTATTAAAAAGTACTATGAATTTACAAAGGCGACGGGATACATCACAACTTCATGGCTTTCCTACATGTGGAAGTACACAACAAAAAATATGTTAATACATAAATTCCTCCTAGATTTACTCACATGGGAGATGCCTCCTTCACTGACTGAAACGAATTCGAAAGACTTCCCTGAAGAACTAAGACTGGAGCTCTTAGTCAACATGGGATACGTCATTCAGATAGCCCGTCATGGCTCATCGGGATTGGAAAATAGTAATCCTTTGAGAGATTTGTCCAATTACTATGAAAAGATTGACTGAAAGGATGCTTGAGCGTTAGCGCAGGGCGGTTAGTCTATACAGGTGTGTATCCTTGTACAAAAACCACATTTTGCTTAAAAGTTAACAAGTGCTATTCAGTCATGTTGTATGGTGGTGTTGCCTGTGAGGACTTGTCTTGTTAGATTTGATAGTTAGGAGGGAATACATCGCAGAAACCAAACTCTTACGAAGTGTTAGAAGACCATAGGAGATTGTGTGTTTGAAATTAGTGTGCTGCGAGCCAGTAGAGCGGCGCATGGTCAGGAAATTCTCCAGACTGCAGTCCAATAATGCAAAGCCTTTGAATTGTAGAATCTAATTGGAGTTTCGTGTTTTATTTAGATAGTAATTAGTTGAACTTGAATATTGAAAGTATTTGAAACAATGATTCATAGTCAAATATTCCAAATCTTCCAACATTGGAAATATATGTCTAGACTGCTAATCCAGACTATTGATATCCTGTAAGTATTTGACTTGATCACAAGAATGAAAATAGGTAGTTTTGCCTTTATTAATAATAATACATTCTTGTTCAGATTTCTCAAACTTGAAAAACACTTGAACACTAGATATAACAACCACAGCAAAACAAATATTAACTTTTGATTCCGACCGCAAACATGTAGCAAAGTGAAATTAAAGCAAACGAAATATTCTCAATTCTCAACGAGTAACCGAAGAGAGTAGGATAATACTGACAAAAATTGTATCATCTAAGACGGAAAATGAGCAGAGTTATATGAAAGAGCAATATAATAGATATGAGTACTTCATATATGTATTGCAGATGTGAAAAATGACACTATTGATAACTAGCAAGCCGGGACTTCCCTAGCGCAGAAGTCTCACTCAATCCAGATTATAGATAAAGATGATGGACTTGTTTTAGCAAGCAATATGAGGCAAAACTCATCAAACTTGACAAGTTGAACTTCTAGATGGTATGAGTAAGGTTACCTAGGTAAAGAGGTATTTCTAAACATTCCGAATTCGAGGGCACCAGAACTTTCGTGGTGAATCTTCATTTGCTGATATACCCATATAGAAACTCTCACCAAGAGTAAAGTATCTATTTACTGAAAAGAAATCAACTCCTCAAATCAGAACACAAGATCATCTTCTGTTTTACGAATATAGAAATCATATTATTTGTGTTGTGCTGCGTTGTAACAAGAAAAGTAAAAGTAAAAGAGTAAAAACCACACTTCACTTCAGAATGCGCATCACTATCTCCACCCCATGCCATTCTAAAAACACCCCTACCTCCTCTCCTTCTATCTCCCCCACCATACGGCACCACAATCACAATCATAGTCACACCAAAAGAATCCCACCACCGCGCAAAATCACCACTCTTACCTTACACTCACATCAAACCGCGCCGCATCTGTCCTTCCCTCCTCTTTTCAACCGATCCCCTCCTCTGCTATCTCTATAAAAACCCAATCCCAAACCCAAAGTCAAAGTCAATTCAATACAATCCAAATCCAAAGCAAAATCCAAAGCAAAATCAACACCAAAAACCAAAAAACATGTCCTCCTCAACCAACCGACTCCCCAGCGCACCAGAAAAATCCTATTTCGAACAGCAGCGCGAGATTTTACTTGGGGAAATAGCTGTTGTAAGATTTATATTTTTATTGCTCTTTGATTCCTCTTTTCTTTAAACTCTATGGCTCTTCTCAAAACCTCAGAACCTCTTGCCCCTCTCGATATTTCCTGTTTGCTTTGCCCAATTCTCCTTCTGTCCTCTCTCGACGACTTTACTATATCTTGCGCCTCCCCTCTGTCAACTACCCGGTTTAGCTTTATCTAGCTTAAATAGCATTGCTCAAATCTGCCCTGCTTTACCACATCTTTTGTGTTTTATGCAATTAGCAATTAGCATGCGCAATTCGCAGTTCCGTCACAAAAATCACCAGAAAAGATAAAGAACAATCATTAATCAAACCCACCCCTCTCTAGAGTTTCGAACACGTCCTCTCGAGTATAAATAAACTAAATCGTTCATTAGAGGGTGTTATTGCCGTAAGTTCCTCTCCTCTATTCCGCTCCTCTTCCCTTCATCTCCCCATTTTCCCTCCCTCACCCTCACCTTCCCTCTTCCCTCCCCTCACTCCCTCCATCAAACAACCCACCACCACCACCACCCACCAAAATCTAACCTCATCCCCCTCCCAAAAACCAGGTCGGAAACGAATTCTCTTCCGTCGAAGCCCTCTGGTCCCAATTCGAAAACGTAATGGCCAAGAATCCCGATCCCTCTACCTCACCCGAAAATTCAAATTCAAATCCAAATGTAAATGCAAATGCATCCGAAGAAGAAATATTTAAATCCAGGAGGAAAGAAAACAGAGAACTAGAAAAAGGAGAGGAAACGATTATGGCCGAGGAGTAATGAAAGATGAAGTGCGGAGTTAGGGGTTTAGTTTGCAGAGGCGAGGGAGCGAGGATTGCGTACGTGTGTGTGGTAGGGGGAAAGGATAGGAGGAAAGGGGAAGGAAGCGGAGTGGAAAAGGGGAGGGTTGGCTGGATGGATGAGTATGATAAATCGGGACAAGGATGAATGAGGATATGAAAGGAGTTATGGTTTGCAGTATGATACCCTTATTTACATTTACATTTGAAATTTACAATTTACATTTCACAATACCTCATAACATCACGAATTATACCAAGATCACATCATCCACAGCATTCCCAACCGAGAAGAAAACCAAAGCTAAAAAAAATTATGTATCCGTTAAGAGTATGTTATGCATTGTCTACCCACAAAGTTTCGTTATACATAAGAAAGAGTCGATACGATTCGCTCGCTCATAATCAGTTTGTTGCGTTCACAGTTTCCCTCAAATTCCCTAACTGATTCACAAGAAAGTCCAAAAAAAAAAACAACCCGCAAATCAAAATTTAAAGTAAAAAAATTACCGGAGAAAGTCCAGTCCAGTCCAGTCCCGTCCAGCTCCAGCGGTATGAGAGTGTGATGAAAAAAAAATAAGTAGAAAAAAGAAAGAAGAAAGGCTAATGACTATGCGGCAATGCTAATGAATGCAAGGCTCAATTTCCTAAAATCTGCACCATGATTGCAGATTTTCACAATTATACACTCCCCGTAACATTATGCAGTTCGTAGGTCGTTTCAAAATATCATGCTCGTGTCGTGCTTTATCGAAATGCGTAATGTTGATCATGTGGTGAAGGGATGGGTCATTACAAGAATCGACAACTGCGCTTCTTCTTTTTCGGAATGATTACACCTTGGGAATTTGATGTACCCGGTGGTGTACTAGATGATGATGAAGTGGTTGGTTGGTTGCTTCGATCGTTGACGACAACTGTGTTGATGGCTTCTGTAAAGATTTCCTCCACACCGGTCATTTCCTTACTACTACACTCCATGTAACGAGCTCCCATTTTTCTTGCAACAGCCATTCCTTGTTCGGTAGTGACGGGTGTGAGACCTTGAGTTTTGAGTAGATCGATACAGGTACGTTTCGTTCTTAAGTCGGATTTCAAACCGACGAGAATGAGTGGTGTGTATGGGCAAAAGTGTAGAACTTCAGGATACCACTGTAAATTTGATTAGTATGATAAACTGGCCATGAATCCCCTTATTCATCTCACCTTATCCATAACATTGTCGAGGGAATTCGGGCAATCGATGGCGAAACAAACAAATAACAAATCCGTCTCCGGGTATGATAGGGGACGGAGACGATCATATTCCTCCTGTCCTGCGGTATCCCACAACGCCAATTCGAGTGTCTTTCCTGTTTGTTGATGTGTCGGATAGGTAATATAATTCTCAAATACCGTTGGAACATATTTCTAAATACGCGTTAGCCAAATAGCAAATTGACTGAGCTCTAAACACAACAGGTATCATCGTACCTCTGGAAAATATCCCTGACTGTAACTTATCAAAAGACAAGTCTTCCCGCATCCACCATCCCCAACCACCACAATCTTTTTTGAATATGAAGGACCTTCGGTCATGTTTGTCGCCGCTGATTCTCTCCCAGTTGAAGCATTGCTCATCATTGTGCTAACTGTCCCGTCACTCGATCTCTGACTTTGTTCTCTCCGTTGAGTATTTTTCCTTCTTGGAGTCGCGTCGTATTTTTCGGATACACTTTCTCGCCTTGAATATTGATTTGATTGATATTGAGTAGCCATTATATTATTTTGTGGTTGTTGCTTTCCGAAGCTGAAGATGATGTTTTGAGAGCGACGTTGTACCAGTGAATCCGTATGGAGTCAATGAATGACTTTTTAATGACGCGAACCTTATTTCTTTCGACGATGATTATTATTAAGCAGGACCCCGTAAAATGATCCCAAATGGAATATTTGATGATAGAATAAGCTTGGGATGATGGATAAAAAGTTGTGGCTTGTGTGGATGGAATGGTGGAATTGATGGAATGGATAGAATGAGATTCAAAGAATGGAAGAAAGTCTTTGAGAGGCTTCCCTTTAAGGTTGGGTTGGTGGTGATAGGGTTAGATATTAAACTTTGCTAAGGTGGTCTGGTTAGGAAGGCTCGAGTTATTTACAATTGCATGGGATAAATGATTGCTGGGGCAACAAGAACCCACCAAAAATAAATGTGGCAGGTATGACATACTCTCTGTAGAGCAGCTTGGAATTGGATGAAAGAAAAGGCTGGAGGATTTGTGGTTTATACTAGGTAGGTACCTAGGTTTTTGGCTCTGTGGCTCTGTGGCCAGCGGCTCATTCGTGTGGCTTGGCTCTGTGGCTAGTGATGTAAAATGTTAAAAGGCTTTACTTTTGACTCCGTAATACTCTGTATATGTAGTGAGGTGAGATAATAAAACGGCGATAAGTAACCGGCAGTTCATTCATATCCAACCCCCCATCCATGGTCAAGCCTTGTTCGAGGGGTTCGATCGAAAGGAAGATCAAAATCAAATCAAATCAAATCAAATCAAATCCATGCTATTCTTTTATTGAAAAACCTTGGTGTTGCTTCAATCCCAATAGATCCATGGACGGAATAGCCTTATTAATGTTTAACGTTCTTCTTCAAGGGAAAGGTGTTTTAATATACATTCATCAGAAATCCCCCCTCCCCTCTTAATGAGAATTGATTTTCTGTCGCTCATTCGTCTTCCTTTTCCCTTTCTTAATTAGGATTTCCCCTCCATCTCGTTCCTTCCTCTAACCAATTACCTCAACTCTTACCTCTCTGTAAGATAAGAACTTTCTAATTTCAAACGAGCAAAATATTTAGATGCTGCTTCAACGAATGCATCCATGTGTCCGACTCCAAATGGCGACGGCCTAGAGCTTGAGAAATCAAATAATAACCTTAACAATCTTCAACAACCATCCATTTCACTTACTGCACCTTCCGCAGATGTTATCGACGCAGGCTTGAAAAGTTTAGATCACTGTGAGTATAGTGATTATGCATTACTTCTGCGCAAACTGCTCCTTTACTACTTTTCGTTATCTTGCTATTAAGACATCTATTGCGCACATCAACAGATGTAGCAATACCAGATTGTCGAAGACGTTCCTCTTTGCCACTCGAATTCTCTCCTCGAGTCTTTGACGAGGCCATACTCATTCGCATCAAAATTACTCGATGAAAGTGTACTGACAACGACCCCGCAGATAAGCGCAAACTTCCACCATGGAGATACAATATGCGACAGGCTTTATTGCCTTTAATTCGATGGGAGACTCCATATTTAGCTTGGATGCAGGATAAAATGCGATCTCCAGCACTGGACACTTATTTCGCTGTCACTGCGAACCTTGGAACACATACTTTTTTCATGATTGTTCTTCCAATTCTATTTTGGTGTGGCCATACATCTTTGGGAAGAGGGTAATGGATTTCATGACTGCTGGTCGCAGACATTGACTAACTGGATTTCAGGATGGTTCATATATTAGCAACTGGAGTCTTTTTAACAGGATTCATTAAGGATATGTTCTCACTACCCAGACCATTATCTCCACCTCTACATCGTATTACTATGTCAGGATCCGCCGCCCTCGAGTATGGATTTCCATCGACCCATTCTGCTAATGCCGTATCGGTGGCTGTGTATGCGCTTTTCACTCTCCATTCTCCAGAATGTCAACTGCTTCCTACAACGAAACTAGCTCTGGAAATTGTCAGTTATTCGTACGCCTTGTCTATTGTACTCGGACGGCTTTATTGTGGTATGCATGGTTTTGTGGATGTGATTGTTGGGAGTATACTAGGAGCTCTGATATCTGTCGTTGAGTGTGTGTATGGATCAACGATTGATAACTACCTTCACAGTAGTACATGGAAGGCTCCTGTAACAATCGCCATTGTCATTATCATTCTTATAAGGGTCCATCCCGAGCCGGCTGATGATTGCCCATGTTTTGACGATAGTGTCGCATTTGCAGCGGTTATGATAGGAGTTGAACTTGGAGGTTGGCATTATGCTTCCGGTGGCTGGGCCTGGAATATCCCAGTTCCAGCAACTGTTCCATTCGACCTGAACCACATGGGTTGGACCGTTGTAATTTTGCGAGTTCTCATCGGTGTATTGGTCATTTTTGCTTGGAGAGAAGTCATGAAGCCAACATTGCTGAAGTTCCTTCCACATATTTTTCGGGCCTTCGAAAACACAGGTTTAATCTTACCTCGAAAATTCTTTATGCCTGCTTCAGAATATAACAACATTCCATCGAGACTCAAGGTCGATAATGTCATGCCATCCGTATCCGACTTACCAAGTTTGATTTCATCTATACGACATGTTGGACGGGGTAGGGCAGTATCTGTTGGACCTCAATCGGCTGCCGATGCATACGAAACTCTTGCTTATCGAGAAAAGAGACGAAGAGATAGTCTTACTGATATTTTCGAAGGGATGAGTTCACGTCAAACAACCACGAAAGAAACGAAAGATAGTTTTGAATCTCAGCAACTGACCATGGATGGTGCCGTAACTTCCGGGATGTCATCGATGCATGGAGGCATGAATTTACTGACTCCAGCTCAATCAAGAGTTGGTTCATATGAACAAATGATGGGGGCAGGACATGTTATGTACAATCCAGGATTATCTACTCCAGGTCTTGAAGGGGATAATGCTGAAGAGGAGGAGATTACTGTTGGGCAGGAAAATGAGCTAGATGAGACGGAGATGTTCTCCAGACTAGAAAAACCTCGTGTGAGATATGATGTTGAGGTAGTCACGAAGCTCGTAGTTTATAGTGGTAAGTTCAGATGGTAATACGGGATTCAAATTAGCCACTAACAATTTTTAGGCATCGCCTGGTTAGCAGTCGAAGGTAATCCTATAATTTTCGAAGTCATCGGTTTAGGTATGGGAGTACGAATGTATCATGACGTATACCCTAAGTCATTATGAAACTGGGCTTGTGGGATTACCCACAATGCAATCATGCGATTTGGCGGGCGGAGGGGTAACGAATTACTCCTGGACCTGGAGTTAGGTGGTACATAGATTTTAGGATATGTACCTAGTTCATCATAAGGCGTTACGGCAATCGTCTATTTGCAAGCATGCTCATGCTTGATATTCAATTAGGTGAAGGTTTCACATCAATAACGAATAAGCTTAATGCGTATATATTTTCCTAGCACAAACTTTAGAGTATGAAATGAAATGAGATGAGGTTGATGATGAATGATGATATCTCGTTTGATACTCTGTATCTGTATGCTGCTCGCTTGTTAAATATGCTAGCGTAACGGAATAACGGATGGCTTTATGGGATAAAGGTGTGGAGTACTTATTAATACTAGGTAGGTACTCGTATAGCGCTCGTTGAGTTTGAAGTTTGATACTATTATTTACTATACTGTACTGTGTTATGCCATAGTAGGCTAGGTAGGTAGGTATGGTGGTAGGTAGATCAGTAGGGTAACCATCCAACAGGAATTACGAATTGAATTCACTTAACTCCATCATAGCTAGGTAGTTATTGATTGATTGATTCAGGTTCTCTGGGTAGGTATCTTTCCATCGTATCTCATCTATTTATCTATCATTCCTGCTTGATTTTACTTCCTACTTCTCGGCTCCCAAGATTGAACCAACTAGTCCAGTATCCGATGTTACACAGGCGGACAGGGGTGTTCCCGAATCTCCCGTTGCGTTGCTGCGCTGCTGTAGGTAGCATCGGCCGGCTGCTCACCTGTCTTGGAATAACTGCCGAAGACTAATAAGGGCTTTCTTTTGAGTCCTACGCTGACATGGATGGTAGATGTTATGCATCTAGGGGTATCTTTTTTATCCTTTGTCTAGAATGGGCTAGACGCATGCAATGTAGTCTTAAGACTTAACCTCTATTTCCCCGCGCGGTATATGATGTACGGACGAGTACATTGTTCGTCTTGCACGTGTAGTTTAATCGTCCCTGATTTAATACCAGTCATCCATTATCATGACATCCTCCCCTCCACTTCACCCCGCAAGCGGATTAGCATGCACAGTCACCCTCTCAATCACCACTTTCTCTAAAGGCCTATTCTTCCTATCCACTTCCAAGCGTTCCAACTCTCCCAAAACCCTCATCCCCTCCTCCCCAATCACATGTCCAAATACTGTATTCTGCCCATCTAGATGCGGAGCCGGCGCAAACAAAATAAAAAATTGAGAACCATTTGTACACGGTCCTTTATTGGCCATAGATACGATACCTCGTGCGTTGTGTCGTAGTGTAGGGAGAATTTCGTCCGCAAATGGTGTTTCCCAGATGGAGGTGCCGGATTTGGGGGGTGGGGAGGAGAAGATTGGGTTAGTCGGGGAGGGGGCGCCGGTTTGGAACATGAAGGTGGGTATTAGTCGGTGGATTGGGGATTGGGTGTAGTAGGATGAGGCGCAGAGGGCGAGGAAATTCTAGGAGGGGGAGGATGTTAGTGCGTTTTGGGGATTGGGTTGGTAGGGTAGAATGGGATGGGATGGGATGGGATGGGATGGAATAGGATAGAGCGAAGCGAAAAAGCCTCCACGGCAGTGGCCCGCGGAGCGTCATTACTTGAATTCTGATTGTATAAAAAGAATGCAAGAGAAAAGCACGAAATAAAAGGATAGTATTTACCTCAGCAGTTTTCGGGACACTTTCGCAGAAAACTTCGATTTTAATATCGCCTAAGCTGGTATGTAAAGTTACTGACATTATATGATGGGTTGTTTGATTCTTTTAAGATGAATGAATGAATGAATGAATCTCTTTTTCCTTTGTTGGCGTTGCGATTTCAATATATGTAAATGTATGTATGGTATGATGGTAGTGGTAGTGTTTTGGAAAATTGGCGTGGTAGCTGAAAGGAAGGCTGAGACTCTCAGGTGCTTTTAATTTTTATATTGAAGTGAGTGTGAGGCTAGGAGTGTGGAAGGCTAGAGAGGAATTTATGGGATTTTTATGGTTATTGGGACAAGTCGGTTAGGCAAGGCTGATATTTTGGCTTGATGTAAGGTCAATGTGTAAGAGTTGTGATTGGGTGAGGTGGATGGACGGGATTATGTAAGATATGTATGATTAAGCATGATATTGTTGTGGATCGGATCTTCAGAAGCTTGTTGTGTTTTGAGTGATTTGAGAGATGGTTATTATTTCTGTCATTTCCATCATTTTCATCTAGAACTAGGTACCTGGTAGTATTTATGATTGATTCTCTATTTATATACTTGTGATTGTGAGCACGAGAGATATAAATCTTTATTAAACAAGAAAATCAACATTCTTGATATTTTTCAATGATTACTATAGTGACATACATGCATTGAAACTCTTTCATTGTTGATAAGTCTTACTTTAACCTGATTTTTGATGTTGGATTTCATTATCTGTAGGTACCTAGGTAGGTATCCAGGTATATCTTTCAGCTTGGTTAAAGTCTGGATTGGATGTCTGGACTCTGGACCACCAACTAGACGAAAGCATCAAACCTTCACACCACCATACTTTATCTTGAGCCTTACCTTAACCTTACAATTTGAATCATCCTCCCTATCTACCTATCTATCACCCAGTTACCAGTCACCCAGCTACCCAGTCACCCAGCTACCCAGCTACCCAGCTACCCAGCTACCCAGCAACATCCCTAGCAGCTGCCCACGCTTCATAATCACCTACAATCTACCTACAATTTCAATTACATCCATGAAAAGAATAACCGCTTTCAATTGTTACTGAATTTCAATTTTTAATTAATTAGCTATTCCTTTCAATAAAACATCTAATCCTAAAAATTTCATACCATAATTTCTAGAAATTTCTTCCTTCACTCATTATTCCCATTATTCATCAAAAACATCTCTCTCTCACTCACTCACTCTCACACTCTCACACACACTCTCTCTCCCTCCATTACTTCTCCAATATCAAAAAACAAAAACAAATCAACCTTCCACCAAAGATCCAAGGAAATCCAGAACTTTCTCACTCGATCGCATACTAATCGAACTTTATAACCAAACTACATCCCTTCAGTACGGAATACTCTTACTTACAAAAAAGAATCATCCTCAGATGAAAGCTTAGCCTTGCTTATATGTTAACGAAAGTTATATCATCGACACGCAACCCCACAATTCGCGCAAACTGACTTACCGCATACATACAAACATACATATATACATTTACATATGAGACTCGAACTTTCAATCTCAACTCACACTGCTCAACAACATTGTTTCCAAGTTGGCGCAAACCTGCGCGGTGGCGCCAGTGATCTTTGGGTGTGCACGATATGTCTGCCTTTGTCCGAGTTTCCGGTCCTCCCAACAGTAATTTTTTAGTTGGTTATCCAGGTATTTCTGCTACGCTTGTATGTGTTTTTTTTCCCCCTTTAGATTTTGATCATCTGTTTTGCGATTGCGAGTTCCATGAGGATCTGGGATTAATTCGTGGATTATAGCCTAGGGTAGAGGGTAAAGTAGAGATTCGACCCCTCACTGGAATTTCTGCGCCGATAGCGATATCATTGGTACGAATATGTTTACAGCGAAGGGAAACGATACATCCATCCGCGGAATCGATAGCTAAGAAACATTTGGGGACGCCTCGAAGAGAAACGACGGATGTGGTTGGGAAGGAGTTGCTATTGTTTCGATGTACAGCAGGCAAGGAAAGCGAAAGTGTGGTTTTGATGGATCTACCTTTCGTTTTATTCATACCATTTGGTAGAGGAGGACAGGAATCAAATCGAAGGATCCCACCGGCCAGTCTACAATTACCTAGTCGCACAGCGGAAACTTATTATGAATTGGTGGTTACCGTGCAACAGGGTCAAGAACAAAAAAAATTCGCATTTCCAGTTCCGTTGCAAAGATATGACACTATTTCAACATTTGGCATGTACAGGCGACCGGAATTGGCAGAGAATAATTCGGATCATCTTGTTACTTTGAGAATCTCACTACCTCGATGGTCATTCGGTCCCTCGGATCCTGTTGATGTTTTTATCACATTATTACCCAATCCTATCTGGTTAAAGAAGGCTACCAAAGTAGTCATACAAAAGATTACAATTGGGATAGAAGAAGAAATCACATACAATCCTGAAGGCGATGAACCTACGAAGAAGATCAATCGAATAGCTAAGCAGACTGCGACGGTGGGAACGAGATTACCAGAGGCGGGATATTTCACAACCCTTGGTTTAATATATCCATCAAAGGATTTAAGGGATTCGGAGGGAATTATTAGGAGAGGAAAAGCGGCTTTTCCAATGCATTTTGTTAACTCTTTTACGACGACGGCAACTTTATATAAGATTGAGTTCTTTCTTGTTATAAAGGTATACATGTTTCTTCTTTCTTGCTTGCGGACTATACCAATACTCTGTTTCACTGATTCCACTCAAATTTTGAAAGCAGAACTAACATAACCTAAAGGTTCATCTATCTGGCGCTCGAGATATCACTCATCGTCAACCAATAATAGTATGTCCATTAAATGGACAAGAATGCAAAGAGGAAATGGATGCGATTGAACAAGCGGCAAAAGATGCATCACATATTGATCCTACGAACCCAATGTTACCTGCTTGTACGATTATTAAGGCGAAGGATGCAAGTGCTTTAAGAGCACTAGGGTGGACAATGGTTGGAGGTTTGAGAAAGATGGTTATTGAATGAAAGGGTGTGGGATGAATGAAAATATGAATTCCCAAGGGAATTTTATTTGATGATCACGAGGTTGGAGTGATTTGGATTGAGGTCCTTGATTCGATTCGACTCAAAAGTGATGATGAGGGATAGTTGAACCGAGGATTACTGTGAGGCGTGAACAAATACGATAACTCGCGAAATCGATCGATGAAAGCGAAATTCGAAAGGATATCCTCGTCATACATATCACGATAGTATGGAACATAGCGACTTGTTCATGAAGGACGATCACATCACATCACGTTACCTCATGTGAGCAAGAAGAGCAATGGTACAGATTCATGATTGAAAGTGGATCGACATGAAATTTTACCTCGAGCGTATATGCTCGTTTGGGGAGATGAGTAGGGAAGCAAGTAGCAATGCAATGCAATAGAACATAAACGGGGAGAGAAACGAATGTGAACACGAGATTAGTTCGAAAGAGTGAAAGGAAGGGAAAGAATGGGATTGATTTAGTCGGCTTGGGGTTGCTTTTAGGTAATGATTTTGAATGAATTTCAAGGCATGACGATTTGTTGCATTTTCTGGTAGTTGGGTTGGGATTTAGGGCGGTTGAAGCTTGAGTTTGGAGGCATGGTTTGGAAGTTTAATTTGGATGAGGAGTTTGGAAGAGGAGTTTGGGGGCTAGGTTTGGATGCGAGGTTTGGATGCGGAGTTGGATGGAAGTTGCATATGGAGTTGGACGGGGAGTTGATAGGGAGTCGATTGTATATCGATTGGGCTGGGTTGGGTTGGATTTATTTTATATGATATAATATGATATGATATGATATGAAGTAATGTGTTTCTGTAGGGAAATAATAGGATTTGAGAGTGCCAGTGTGGTTTGGAGTGGAGGATAATGAGTGGTTAGATATGATTAATGGTGTTGATGTTGATGTTATTTAATGTTGATATTAGTGTTGATATTAAGAAGAATTCTAAATGAGGTGATGAATACTGAAGTGATAATGATAGAGAATAATATAATTTTGAATTTTTCAACGTTATATATTGATCTTATATATAAATCCAAGCATCTAAGCATCCAATTTGTTCCGGTATCGTTACTGTCGATATTGTATTCCTATGTACATAATTTCATGTCCTTCCTTATTCGACAATCCAATCCTCCATGTATCCATCCGATCGTATATCTACCCAAGCAAAAATCATAAACTTCCTCCCCCTTGACCTCTGACCTCTGACCTCTGAGTTGCCTCCGCTCTAATCTGGATAGATTTGAAATGAGAGTTGAGATATGGTGAGATGAGATGAGATGAGATGTAAAGAGAGATGAGAAAGAAAACCACTCCTTTCCCTCAAAGAAACCCAAATGCTAATCGCTAAATGAAGTAGAAAAAAAAACCTGCCAAAAAAAGATAAGAGTGAAGAAAGTAAAGCCATGCGTAAGATGTAAGATATTTCATCCGGAAGAAATGACTTGAAGTTCATATACGTAAACTACACCATCTCACAGCACACCACCAAGCCACACAACAAAAAGCTCAAGGCGAGAAAATCTCAACCTAAACCTCAAGTAAAAGCGGATGATGACCCATTTTCTTTCCCTCCTTCTCTTTTCCTTTTGAACTACTACTTTTTTCCGTCTTACTTCTAAAAATACTCAGAGGAGTCTTCTTTTTCTTTTCTTTGGATTCTTTTTCTTCTTTCTCTACTCGTTCTGTTCTTTCTCCTCGTCCTGAACCCATCGATGCATTATCATCATCTTTCTTTGAGTGACTCGATCTATGACTCTTAGAACCTTTGCTTGACTTAGAACTCTTCTCACGAGAAGTACGACTAGATTCCAAATCATCCTTTCCTTTAGCAGCCGAAGGTTCAAATTGAGAACTACTACTTCTGATAGGAAGAGTTTTTGATCGTCGAGGTTTACTCGTCAACCGACTCATAAGACCTCTCGATTCCTCATCATCCTCATCAATTCTTTCCTCAGCAGCTCGCTGACGAATTCGCTCTGCATTTCGACTTTCCTTCTGTCGTGCAGCTGTGGGTGTGATGTATTCACCATCAACACTCGTACCTACACTTTCCAATTCTGCATCCACGATCCCTCGACGCCAGATATCAATACTGCCTAATTCTTTCTCGTACGCTTCGCATGGCAGCGCTTCCTCGTATTCGTGCTGCATATCTTTGGGTTCCATGAATCCGGGGGTTCCGGGGTAACCGGGAGTAGCGGGTAAAGCTTGCATGGCCATTGGAGCTTCCAATGGCTTTTCGGGAGTGGCTTGGAGCTTTTTGATGATTTTATAGCCGTTGAACATTACGATTGTAACGCCTAGGGCTACGCCTCCGGCGATGAGAAATTGAGGGGAGGCGAGGAGGGCAAAAATAGCTGGAGAACTGGCTTTGAGCATGGGAAGTATGGAGGGAGACATTTTGGTTAGAAGTGCAGAGAGTTCTGCGAGGGTAAGGGCTACGGCAGCCATGGCTTCGGGATTGGCTTGCAGATTTGACATTATGCCTGTAGCAGTATGATGAAGACATTGGGCTTCGATGAGAAGACTGTCTAGTTTACTCATTGTTTCATCGAGTTCTGCTGGAAGTTGTTGTGGGACGATTGCTTGTTCATATTCGGGTTCAGGGTCAGATTCTAGATGAGGGGGTAAATCTCCATACGCTAAATCCATATCGATTCCGTCGTCTTGAAGATCCGGTACGGTTTTCGCATGAGGGACTAATTGACCAGCCTGACAGGATGGAGGCGCTGTTTCTCTTCTCACGAGATGACCTGGCATAGGAGGAGTTTGCACATCCGTATGTCTTCTCACTAAAGTCATTTCCGTCCCGGCAAATGGTTGTTTATACATGGCGAGAGGAGGATCATAAACGTCCTCTTCTGGATCTTCGTGGTGAGTTTCCGCGGGTTGGTGTTGAGTGGTAGCTTTAGAACCATGAACTGAGTGGCTTCGTTTCGATCGATGAGAACGATGTGAGCGTTTACTCGCTAGACTTTGCATGTCATCTTCCTCTTCCAAATCATCGAAATTCAATTCGTGACGAGTTCGGGTATGTGAGCGATGAGATCGGTGAGAACGGTGGGAGCGTCCACTAGCCATGCTTTGCGTATCTGGAAATTCCTCATGATTCTTGAGTGTGAGGGGAGGACGAGAATTTGATCGAGGTTCTTGACGAGAAGAATGTGAACGATGGGATCGATGAGATCGTCTAGATGCTACCGATTGTGCATCATCTCCCCCTTCTCCAATGTCTCCAACATCTTCAATTACATACTGAGATTCGTATGCTCTTCTTCGTGCTCTCTGTGTTCGCTCCTCTTCCCGTTGATAATGCTCTTCTCTTAATTGTGCCTTCTTCTCTTGGTATGCGGCCTTTGCATCTTTGAAGATGTTTACCAGTTGTTTTCCCTATGAAAGGTGGTCATTAGTCACAACACCTCGTGTATGATCCAATATCATCGGATGGAGGGGAACCAGGTAAAACTTCGGAAAAATCGTCGAAATACTCACTGTGCTCACTACTTTCCCGGATTTATTGATAATGGTAACGGTTTCCGCCATGGGAGCCATTTTAACGTATAATTTGATTATTGTAATGAAGGATATTTCGTGAGAAGACCAGCTTCTTTCCCCCGATATTCTGTATTTATGAAGGTTTATAAAAAATGAAGTGAATATTTTTGGCTTGTGAAAGGATAAAAGGTAGATGGATACCCTGAGCTACTCTTTACCGCCAAAAAAGTGCGGTGAAGAGCTGATAGCGGGGGAATTTAAGTGGGAATTGTTTGAAAAAACGCAGGACTGAATCCGCAGAGTGGAATGAATGCAAAAGGACGCAGGTCAACTGAATCTCGTGGAGTGAGGGATTTTCCCAGATTATGTATGAATTGTGAATAATACTACGGGAGTAGAGATGCAGGAGGTGGAGATGGTTCACGTCTTCATAATTATGGATGGGAAGTCCATATGTACACGATGAGAGATGGGATGATCGGATATCACAGCTTGGAAGAGGAGATGTATCGGAGAACCGAACCGATTCACATATATTTAGGTGGAGTGAGTTCTTCTACGTACAGGGGAAGTAGAAGAGTTGGTATGCTTGTTTTAGTGGTACCGTGGTTAAATAGCAAGGGGAGGGAAATCTCCTGTCAATCAATGAGGCGAGAGAGTATAACTCCGTATTCTCGATTTTACCCCTTCATTGGATCACTCCTACCATTACCTCCACTAATACTCACAACATCTTCAAAATCATTGGACTCGAATCAACCAAGCAAAAATCACCCTTCTCAGAGAAAAGAAACTGGACCTGTTTATATGGGAAGAATGAATGTCATCCAATAGGGTATTCTTCCCTAAAGCATCCTCATGCATTAGAGTGGAAATCCACATCTCCATCATGCCTCGTGTCGTCAAACTTTTGGTCAAGAGGAAAGATTTGTTAGGCTTACATGCATCTAGGCAAACATTTCCTTGAAAATAATAACCTAGGTATGGATTTCTCCCTGTACTATTAAATCATACTCTAGGAGTTTTAACCAGTCGATTAATTATTATGGATTCCGAAGCATGCGAGGTCAAAAATCAAGCATTTTCTCGATTTACCGCTACCAAACATCAAAAAATCAACAATAATAATGCTGTTTCACTTCCACCACGCAGGTCGAATATGTGCAGATGCTCATATCAAATACTGTACGGAGTAGGATATGCAGAAGAGAGGAGTTATACGGAGTTTTAATATATATAGTCCACTGATTTACATGACAGTACATATCATAATCGCTGTACCTACGGAGAGATACATATGGAACCTATGAACAACATGAGATGGATCAAATCCCATCAAGTTGGTAAGATAAGATTTTGGCGGATATGGACGGATATGAATCGATATGGACCGATAAGAAGATTCAAATTAACTTCTCCACGTTTCTTTGAAACAGAAATGTCGTGGCACCAGCTGGCTTATTTGTGGCTGTGTCTTTTTTATGGGAGGATGTGGCTGGATGGATAAAATAGAATCGTGATTAGTTTGTTGCTCTTGCTGTTTGTTTGCTTCTTGATTTGAGTTTCTTCTTGGCGTTGAGTTGCTGGACATCGGCATTTGCTGCTAACCATTGTGGTTTAGTTATCACATTGACATATTGATATAGGGTTCGATTCGCAATGAATTGATGGCTTTTGCGGTTCGAAATTGGCAACTACTCCGTATTTACTTTTGTGATTGGGTTGCACATAGGTCTGATGGAAGTTTCCAGATGGATTTTACGAATGGGAGAATACATTGCTAGTGTATCGCATGTATGATATAGTTCTTGTGTTGGATTAGTAGTTCCGCCATTCCTCTTTCCTCGCTGCTGGCCCGGAATCATACGGGAGAAGATGTACTCATCCGATAATCTCGTACTGGAGCGCCGAGCAAATCCTATTGGCATGTTCTGACTTCTTGTTTTTGCTCATGAGCTTAGCATGTTTACTATTTTGTATCCTAATCTGGAAAACCCACACATCCTCTTGCAGTTCTAGAATTCAAGGCCGCCCTCATTCATCAAAGGCACGACAATATAATATCTTCATCGTTTCTAGTAGAAGCGATGTTTTTTAATTCTCTATTGCAGTTATACTTTGGCTTCATTGGTCAGGTAATTATGGAAAAGAGAGGTAATAGACGGGCACAAAGCTTTCTCAATATTTGCTTCTGTCGCGATTGGTGAAAATCTGAACCAAATCCCTAACCTTCTCATCAATCTTTTGAACCATCTTCATCCACCTACCGAAAATGTTCGATTTCTTCATCCTCACCAAACCCCGAGGCCAAAGCAAAACACACCTAAAAGTATGGGAACGACATCTTTTCGCTCAAATGCGTCGTAATACCAAAAATCCATATCTACATCCATATGCACTCCCTCTTCTAGACGATTACGTGAGTTGTAATTCTGGGGGAGCTTATAATTACATGGATTCGGAAGATGCTAAGAAATTACAAGAGGCGGCTGATGAGATAATTATGCAAGATGGGGAGGATTTCGTGTTGGATTTAAGTGGTGAGGAATGTGCGGATAGAAGATTAATGTTTGGGAAGGCGAAAGACCTTTTTATGGAGGTGGAGAATATACAGGTTAGTATACTTGTATTTTCTACGCCATCTGAACTATTGTTCGCATGCGTACTCTAAAATGGCATAGGAGGTCAGCAAAACGGAAAAGATTGATTATGTTCCGCGAAGGGGTATGGTTTCTTTGGTGTTTATGTATTCATTGTCAACTCTTATGATATGGATGACTGGACAGCGTTTATACCAAATTGTATTTCTCCATGGTATGGCAACTGCTTTGACGACTGCTTTATCGGGGTTGTCCGAGAAGCGTTCATGGTTCTAAAGTGCGGTGTTTTCAAAAACCTGGACTAGCGTACTAGAAGTTCATTTGGAAGCCTTAAATGTTTGAAAGCCTTGAATATTTCAACATATGAAGCTATGGATTTTAAAATGTCAGACTTCGTAAAGCTGCCATGACCGAAACTTATTTCCCCCTTCAGACCCTCATCATGGGCGCCGTAGTCAACCATTCGTGATCCCAGCCCGAGCTTTCACCCAGTTCACGAAATAAATGCCGTACCAGAAGTACGTTCCATGTCACATTCCAATGTCCCAATCTAGCCCCGACAATCAAACGCTTTTCCACCTTCCTGCTTTCAATTCTCCGGCACCCTTCGCACCTTTCTCCTCCTCATCCCTCCCTTTCGTCTTAACTGGGGCGGCTTTGCTGAGTTAGTAGGCATCTACACAAGGAGTCAGGCTTCTCACCAATCTTCGATCAACAGAATCGGCACCGAGCCCTTATCTGCGGTTCCTGAACGATGTGGTGTGGTGCCGGGGTGCTGCAGAAAACAGCCCCAGATCCCGCGGCTTGGCCGCCGCAAACGTGCTTAACCTTATGGAATTCGTGACCACAGATACTAGAGTAGTAATGGTACCAGCCGCAGGTACAATCATTAGGGTTGGTACGGGAGCCGATCAGTCGGTTGAACACATCAGCTTCCATTTGGCTTTGGGTTATTGTGTTTGGTAATGCAGCCATTTGATTTGCGCGAATCGTGGTGATGCGGTTACTTTTGATCAACGATATGTGATATGTAGTAGCGTTCCGAGGGCTTTAGACTGATGTTATGATGGTCAATCAAGGAAATATCGTTCACACTCGCACTACTTATAACAGTCCATGACAGGTAACACCTTGGGTGTCTTTCCGCTCAAAGGCGTGTGTTTTGAAGTAAGATCTTAACTGAGTACTGTTTATATGTTAATGGATAAACTCGGGAAATTGAGACAATCGATGCAGTTCTGCTCTTTCATCAGCTGCTAGATTAATCTGTGTGTTTCGAAGTAAGATCTTAACTGAGTACATCTATCAGTATACGGTATCTCATATTCTTTACGTGTCAATAAATAGACTTGGAAAATTGAGACAAACGATGCAACTCCGCTCTTCCCTCATCTCCTCGATTAATCTTATCAAATCAAAGTCTGGACGGTAAGCCAATCAATGTCACAGTCTCAGAATTGATCAGCTCAACGCAAGTTTCCGGGTTGCATTGACTTTTAAGAAGTTGTCAACCTCTCATTGGATATTTCCTTACCCTTTCCGAGAAACGAATTTCTGAGCCTGAAACAACCCTTTGATAAGTTGGAAATAGTATCATGAATTGAATTAGAAAATAAAGAAAGAGCAAAGTACTCTATTTCAACATAGTTTATTTAGTGTGTATACCACCAGGGCACTTGAACGCTTGGCTCATATGATACTCTCTTTGATAAATAACATTTAATTTTTCCTTAATAAAGAAAGAGCAAATTGCTTTATTTCAAAAGGGTTTATTTAGTGCGTATATGGTCGAGTCTCCTTAAACGTTTGGCTCATATGACCCTCTCTTTGATAAATAACATTTACCTTTCCTTAGTAAAGAAAGACATTTGACGAACCCACCCTCTATAGAATTAATAACCCCCCCCCATTCATTCTTTGCCACTCTTACCTATATCTCCCAAAAAGAACAGCAATCGCATTTTTCCTTGAAAAAGAAAATCGATTCAGTATGATTCCACTCGAAGAAAGATTCGCCATCCACAGTAAATCGTGCGCTGGCGCTGATGATGACCCAAGATCCATTTCCGTTACCAATATTTGGGATTGGGATCAATTGCGCATGATCAAAATAAAAGGCTTCTTGACGAATCTCCCAGCTGAGGAGGAAGTAGAACGTTCGATATTGGCGCAATTTGCCGACTATTTATCTCCAGAAGTTCGTGCTGTTCAGCTTGACCCTGATGGACTCATCTATGGAGTCTCCCTAGACCCAGAGGAGAATGAGACGAGTTTTGTCCCTTACCCTCCGTTCTCGATAGTGAAATCCCTTGCTGGATGTCGCACGATCAAGCACTCCCAGCTTCAGGAGCTTGATCGGCTTGCACCAGGTGTTGACTTTTCATCATACGAAGACGAGAATCAGAATACACGAAAGGTTGCCTTTAAATACCAGATGTCGCCCATACTCTTCAATTTACAAAGGGCCTGGGGCGAGATTCACCTTCTCAAAAGCCTGCCACCGCATCCCAATTTAATACCGTTTGATGGCGTCGTTCTCGAAGATGTAGAGTCCCGTGTGATTGGATTCACTATGAAGTACATTCCAGGCAGAGCTTTGAGTGATCTAAAGATACCTTTCCGATTTGAGTGGCTACAACAGCTTACCCAAGTCGTGGACTTTTTAAACTTAAACCTAGGGGTCATGCACCAAGATATTGAACCACGCCATTTACTTATCGATCCTGACACACAAAAGCTCCTTTTATTTGACTTTGATCAGGCTTCCTGCGGGATGAAAAGATTGTGGGAAGGTCGTGACGACATTTCTTGTGTTGTTTTCACAATATACGAGCTCATAACGAACGACTCTCACTACGCTCGGATGTTCCGTACGGACCGAGATAGAGAAATGGTGCAGAATCTTCCCGAATGGACCCCGAACCGTGAATTGGATGTCGATGTTTCCGTGTTTCGCAAGTTTTTGGATGACTGGGTAAAAAAGCGGCAATCTGGTGGCATCATGGAACAATATCTTAACGCGCCTAACCGACCTTGATTGCCGGATGAAGTACCGGTTTCGCATGACTATGATGTCCCATTCCAACATGGCATACGTGCGGATGGTACGACGTGTTGGACGACGGGTCCGCGGACTGTGCGCATAGCAAAGAAACTTGGGCAGTATTGCTTTGAATGGCAGAGACCATTACAAAGCAGGATGACAAAGAAAGCTCCAGGTAAGATCTTGAAAGCCACATTTCTCATGTCCGCTCTTGATTGTTTACTGACTTTGCGTTATATGACAGCTGCAGCCAGCAGCCGAGTCGACTGGATTGCGAGGAGCGAAAAACCCATCATTGATTGATTGGGAGTTTCGTGGTTCGGGGATATATGGTGGGTGATATATGGCGATGTACGGTCTAGACTGGCTATTAGGTTTGATATTATGGTAGGAAAATTGTAGATGAAAGGGGCTACAGGGCATGGTCATGATCATCCGAGGAAACATTCGGGTGATTATCGGGAGAATGACAGATCGATAGTGTGGGGTAGAACGATTTTCTCTTCTCAATGTTCTTTTATTATTAGACTCTTAGGGATAGCAATACACATATATATACAGCATTTACTTAACCTCAGAAAGGCCTCCACCCCTAGTGTCCAATGTTACAACTATCGCCTGACTGAGGTGTACTGTACTTATCTTCGATATCTTGATCGTCATGCTTTGATAGAACCGTTATCGCTGGGAGTGGGGTCTAATGCTTGCCTGCGGGGATTCATAGATTCACACTGATTGCCAGACGAGGGAAAGATATCCACGCTGAAGATATAGCAGATATATCAATTAAGGCATCCTCATTTGCACATTAAAAAAGACGTCCTCGAGTTTCAGCCGTCTACGCACTTGTTGTTTTTGCCCGGCCCCCAAGTCCAACAGAGTAGTTTCCATCATGGCACTGTCACGTGTCAAGGAATATATATCCCATCCCTACGAGCATCCAGGAGAGAGGAAGTTAGTACAGAAATTAGGTAAGTGCTAACCTGGCCATGGTCGGTGGAATTTATAATCGATATTGGACTAGATAAAATCACTAATAACTATAGACTTCTTCATTTTGACGTTTTGTTGTCTATCATATTTCACGAATTATTTAGATCGATCCAATTTGGCAAATGCGTATGTTAGTGGGATGAAGGAGGAATTGAAATTCGTGGGGAATCAATATAATCTTATTAATACTGTTTTTACTGTTGGGTATGTGTTCGGTTTCTGTTGTACTTCCTCATACACCATGTCTCAAGTGATTCTGGTTGCCACCTTAGTTCTTAGCCGTCGTAGACCTCGTTGAGATTTCACTATACCACCTGAATTACGCCATATTATATGGCTCCATCATACTGACAGCATGCTAGATATATCATCGGACAAATCCCTAGTAATTTGGCACTTTACTACATCAAACCTCGCATCTTCTTCCCTTCAATGATGGTTTTGTGGGGCTGCCTCACTATGATCACTGCAGCTGCTCACCATCCTCGAGATATAATGGCCATTCGTTTCTTTCAAGGTCTCGCTGAAAGCACCACATTTGTTGGTACACATTACATCCTTGGATCATGGTACACTCCTCGCGAACTTGGAAAACGCAGTGGCATATTCACTTCTTCCGGCCTTGCTGGTACTATGTTTGGAGGCTTCATTCAAACTGGTATTCACTCATCCTTGAATGGTGTAAAGGGAATGAGTGGCTGGCGCTGGCTTTTCATCATTGACGGACTTATCACTCTTCCCATTGCCCTCTATGGCTTTTTCTTATTTCCAGATACACCTACCACCACCTCGGCATTTTATCTCACACCCATCGAGCGTGATCTTGCCATAGCACGTGTTCCGGAAGTACCTGAACATAGTCTCTTCAAGTTCTCATTCTTGAAGACAGTCCTCACATCATGGTACTGGTATGGTTTCGTAATTCTATGGGTCATTGCTGGAGAAACCGAATCATTCTCCTCAAATTCTTTACTTTCATTATACATGAAATCCACCAACAAATATACCGTATCTCAACTCAACAACTATCCTACCGGCGTTCCTGCTGTCGGTATTATATCTACTCTTTTCTGGGCGACCCTCACCGATTTCCTCAACGGCAAACGTTACCTCGTAGCATATTTCATTGCCATAACCGGAATGGCAACATCCGCTATGATTCTCACGACTTCTAATGTCCCAACAATATTTGCAGCATATTACTGGGCCGGCGCTGTATATGCTTGTCAAGCCACTTTCTTTGCATGGGCCAATGAAGCTATGAGGTTTGAAAATGATGCATTGAGGGCAATAGTAATAGCGAGTATGAACTGTGGTAGTAATGCCGTGAATGCTTGGTGGAGTTTATTATTTTACGGTGCAGACGAGGCACCTAGGTTTACGAAGGGTATGTGGGCTATGATTGGAACATGTATCGCTATGGCCATTTGGACAACCATTTTATTGTTAGGCCTTAAGCGAGCAGAAAGGAAAAGAGACGCTGGTGCTGTGGTAGGAAGAAACCATTTTGGAAGTGGTGATTTGGAGGTGATTGCGAATGCTGGAGCGCATTGTGATAGTAAGGCATAATGATATTAGATTTTCAATTCCTGCCGTCTCGTCAAAATCCAATGTCGACCTATAGTGGTTTCATCGGAATAATTTACTATACTCATGACTCATGATGGAATCTGGACTCAGAGGTAGATTATCTTGAAGAGATTTTTCAAGATGAATAATTAATATGACAATAATAACATGAAATTCTTTTACAAACGAACATTTATTTTTTCTCTTGTGTTACAAAGCGCTTCGATATTAAACAAAGAAATACAATCTTTATTTCTCAAGTTTATTAAAATACAATATACTCAAGTATATATGTTACGACGGGCTACACAACTACCATCACATGACCAAGGCACGTGATCACAAGTGATCAGTAGTGATCATAGAAGCATGAAGGTCTATATAATCATGATGGATTTCCTTTGTATGGAACTTCGTGTTCAAGATCAATCATTTAGTATACTCTACTATTAGTTACGAATTGCATTATTGTCATTACTTTAAGTCTCTGCTTGACGCCTAGTTATAAACCACCTCGAGAGCCTAGAGCACTTCCACGTGATCTAGACGGCAACCCTCGTAACAATATATTATATAAATTATCTTTGAAATAATCTATCTTTTCAAATTATTCTTTATTTTATATATTATAAATAATCAAAAACTTATAATCTAATATTTAAAACTGAATTTAATTGTTACGAGGTTTGCCGTCTAGATCATGTGGAAGTGCTCTAGGCTCTCGAAGTGGTTTTGTAACGATACTGTACTGAAGGCAGCGGCTGCCTAAGGTTTCGTCTGGTTGGTAGTTGTGGGTTAAGGCTTTATCACTGGTATTCACTTGGAAGTGAATTCGTTACTAGATCAAGTAGAATGTAGGTAAACTAATTGATGACTAAGTTGAGCACGAAGCTTCTATACTATGAAACTATTCTGACTATATAATGAATCCTTTCCTGAAACCCTGAGGAGCCTATGCTCCTGGAGGCTCCATCACGTGATCACTACTTGCCTCAGGACACTAATCCTGGGACGATTCGCAACCTAGGATAATATAGCTCCTAGGATAATTGTCCTGGGACAATTATTATCCTAGACACTTGTCCTCATACCTATGTGGTTGCCTAACCGTTTATCCTAGGGTCGTTATTATCCTAGGACATATTTTATCCTAGGACAACTTGTCCTAGGATTCCTTATCGATAAGGGAACCGCGGGAAACAGCGGCCCAAACCCCGATACTTGGTTTTATTGTATAATAGTCGTGGTTCGTGACAACAGGTGTCACACTCAAGAATACTGGGTAAAGTATCTTGTATTAGAAAATACTAAGCTAAGGAGAAAAGAAGAAGGAAAACAAGAGTAGCGAGTTTTCCTATGATTAAATACAAACGGGGCATGCCACGTGACCCGGAGGTGTGAGGCGTCACAACAGGGTCCTGATAAACCACGTTATTTCATTTTTAGATTTGATAATAAATTTTAATTTAACATAAATATAAATTATTCAAAGAAAAAAAAGAATATAATTTAAGATTACAAAGAGTATGATTACAGAGGTAATATTAAAAACAGTAAAAAAATAATGTGTAAATGACGCTTGATTATTCTGTTATGAAATGTTACGAGGTTTGCCGTCTAGATCACGTGGAAGTGCTCTAGGCTCTCGAGGTGGTTTATAACTAGGCGTCAAGCAGGGACTTAAAGTAATGACAATAATGCAATTCGTAACTAATAGTAGAGTATACTAAATGATTGATCTTGAGCACGAAGCTCTATACAAAGGAAATCCATCTTGATTATATAGACCATCGTGGCATGCGTCCCAGTGCTCCCAGTTGTCCCAGTTGTACTGGGACAGCTGAGCCTACTGGGATCCTCATATCACATGATGCTAATCACGTGATGTTAGGTATGTGAGATCCGTCGTAACATGAAACTACCTAGTGATAATAAATATCCCAACACGAATTGCATGATTGCAATTACCTAATTAGATGCGCCAATACTTGAGATGGTTAATTTCTTCAAGTAGTTAGTGGTCTTCTGCTTCTTCTTCTGCTCCTCCTCCAGCTTCCTAGCCGTACATCTCTTTCCAGCTTCTAATATAACCCATAAATCAAGCCTCGGTATATCGTGCCCCGAAGCTGCAAGACTACAACGGTCACTGACGCTGAACTCTGGCAAAGCCAAGCCCCAATTAGCAAGAGTATCACAGTCAGCTACGGGACAAAATAGCCCACAATGACTCAACTCCTCGATATAAAGTTGTGCCCTAAATAAATCGATTCGGCCAGAATTCGGAAACAATTCTTTGATTTTCACCTGCAGAATATCAGATGTCTCTAACTTGTGAGCGATCATCTGCCATGCATATCCTTTGCCCGAGCCGTATCCTGTATTAATTTCTTGGCACAGAGTACAATCACAACCGTAATACTTGAGGTAGAGTTCGATCATGGCTCCAAGGAGAGCGCCGATATGATCCCATGATCTTCTTTTACGTGGATTTTTATCTCTGCTGCAAATCTGCTCAGCTTGTTTGTCGCAATACGGCGGGCAATCAATTTTGCTGGTGGAAATTCCAGGCCTTTTGCCTCTGAAACCTTTGTGGGTGGAAGTCGGTTCATGAAGAATATACCGTTGAAGGCCTTGAACAGCTTGGCGAGAAATTCGTTGTACTCTTTGTCTTTGAAAGTCTCGAGTTCGAAACGATGATCGTTGTCGCTTGTTTGGATGGCAGCGTATGCTCCGAGACTATCCATTGCCTCCGACACATCTGCCTTTGCCTTAGACACATCTGTATCCTTAGAAGACGGCGGACTGACAACATCGATGCGTTTTAAAAGTTTTTCGACTAAATCCGATGTGTTGTGCAGACCCGGTTTGAGTGGTGGGTCGTCCTTTACAACTGTCCCAAAAATGGGACCTTTGTGAAAGGAATGATAATGAAACATTTTGGCTTCGAAAGATTTCCAAGGATATGATATGATGTTCTGTTGTGTATTCGAAAATGGTGTGTTCGGCTATGCTTTTTCTGTGGCTTTGTGTTGTATGTAATAAGTGTGAAGGATCTTTGTGGGTTCTAATTAAACTGTGAGATATTTAAGTAGGGGTGTGAACTATGCACAGCTAGTCATGAATCAAAATTAATTTAATGATGATTCGAATATTTTGAGTTGACTCACGAAATGGTTTGTGGAAGTCGGAGTCACACTTGTGAAAGTTGGGTTTATATTAATTTGTATGATAATCCAGCAACCAAGATGACAATAGAATGGAATATATATGAAAGTGATGATAATGCCAAAGGCTGTACCTGTCCAAGAAAAGGTGGTGCCAATTGAAATCATCGACTTGTGTCAATAATCATATCAGACATAGAATTCAGATGCGAATCATAAGTTGATGTAGACATACTGACTCAAGGAGGCAGATGAGTACCGGGTGTCGAATGAGAGGGTAAAGCCAAACTAGCTTTACAGCATCAATACAGTATATTTGTAAATATAAAAGTAATCGATGCGACACACAACCTCTATGACCAATTCTCTCGCATCTTTCCTTGTGATTCACCATGCTAAGAAAAAAAATTGATGACACAAAGGCTGATTCTCCTCTGATTCCCAGACCCCTTCTTTGGACCAAATCATTAGCAAAGTAACATGAGTCAAACATTCCCTTTCCAATTTCTCTCAAACGGCATCCGACTTTCCTTTCTAAAATTCATCACGAATTCTTCCTACACCACGAATCCATAAAATATTTTTTCAACAGGAGAGTAGCATCCAGAAGACTGATCATATCCAAATCATCCGGGAACTCGAAGGAGGTGAGTTCTGCTGAGATGGTTTCCTGGTCATCGGATTCGGATGGTACTTTGCTGATTTGGAAGGCCATGGGAAGAAGAAGAGAGAAAGAAAGAAAAGGAAGATGATTGAGGTGTTCAAGCCAAAAGAAAGTTAGCTGATAATGATGATAGTGATAATTGATATGGATAGAAAATTATATTAGATACAAAATACATTTGTAAGCTAGAGCGGGGTGAGGGAAATTCACGATATCGATTGGTCAAATCTGTAAGACTTATTACTAATAAGATTGATTCCAACAATCTTTACCTGTGACCTGTCAGCTTCGTTCATACCCATATAGGATTGCAACGGCTTTTTTGACACTATATAGGAATGATGTCTTTTGCCATGGGGATGTCGTATGAACGGCTTTTGAGACTTATAAAGCGAGCAAAAGACCGGGAATCTCGCCATGGTGACTGCTCCTGTTCCAAATTCACCGTAGTAGTATCACACACAGTATTGTGCGTACCTTCTAGATAGTATAAATGGAATAATGTTACCTAGGTATGTATTGGAACCTAAGGTGTTAGGCCTAAACAAGACCACAGGGGAATTTAATGGTGACCGTCCGCCAAAAGCGTTGGCATAACCTCGGGTTCAGTGGCTTAAAGCATGGTTAGTGCGGGGTAGCCAGTAGCCCAAAAACCACTTCTCGGGAAAGGGATATTTGGAAAGCACCATGTTGGTTTGCACTCTCCATCTTAACCGGTGCCTCGTACAACAAACATATGAGAAGAATGATGAATTCGTGGTAATACATTGCCTTTACAATAATATGAATGTCATCGTCGACACATTCATTGCGATGGGATGGTGTGTCTTGCCTTCGCAGCTAATCTTACATCGAGGCTACCAGTCAGTCGTCTGTTATCTGCTTGATTTCATTGTTGGAGTGTCTAATAAGTTCTCCACGTTCAAGCAGGTCGACATGAATCTTCAAATGTTCTGACTCAGAACTTCTGAGGATGCCTCGATACTACTCTGTAGACGATGTTTCTGGTCAACTTACTAATTGAGCGATTTAATAAATGACTTATTGCGGATAATGTATATCATCGCATCACCCAGACCGAGAAAGAGCCTCCCTAAGGCTGAGGGCGCCGCCAGTTTGGTGTTATCCCGATCCGCGGATAACCTTAACGAGTACCTAATCTTGATTGTTAATGGCATGATTACGGTGTATCCATATGTTAGCACAGCACAGCCACCTCCCACCTCTGATATAGGGGTTCAACGGTCGGACTGACACAGACAGAAGGAGAATAGTCGGAATGAATGGAACCTCATTCAACAAATCAAGAGCGTCTCTCGTATCATATACGAACCTCCCATTCAAAACGGAGAATCAATTTACTAATCACCAAACTCCTGTACCTACAAGTCTCAATGGAGGCATCGGTAATCATGCTTTCCCGTCCATTTCCCGTGCATTTCTCATCGGAAACGGATTTTGACCCTAACACCCTATGGATCAGGAGCATTCGAAAGCCCCATAAACCAAGCAGCAAAGTGGGTTCATTGACCTTGTGGCACTGATATGTGAACATCAAGTGGATAAGGGACCATAATCAATTATCAGACGAATATTCTTTATGGTTAGCACCGGCGACTTAAGGCTAGCCTACTGCACGTTTGCCGGTAACTGGCGCATAATTGCGCTGAAAGTAAGATGATCGTACTCGTACGAAGTAACTAAAAATTGACAGCAACGTTGAAACCCTAACAAGGAATTCCCGTACAACCCGATAGCGACTTATTATTCGACCCTGAGAGTTTGTACTAGGGTGGTGAGTGCATAGGTGCATAGGTAGTGGTGCAGGACTGAAGATGTGGATGGATGGATGGATGGATAGAATGGGTCTCCAAAACAAAAGGAAGAAAAAAAAAACAGCGGCAGCAGCAGCGCGTGGCTAATCATCATATTCCGTCCGTACAGACTGGTGCCTGTACCATAACACGGTCGAATGATATATAGCCAGATACCTAGCTATTATTTTAGTATTTAGTATCACTGGGTGTAACCAGCGTCAACACTCATTTGACTTGATTTCCGTGATTGTTATTATTGTTTACGCTTTTACACTCCTTCACGTGATTCACCTCTTTTGTGCATGCAATTAGGTATCTATTTAAAGGTTGTTTTTATATTCATTCCTCATCTAGCAATTTCATAACTTTTTATTTTTCATTTCATAAGCCTGCTGGGGATTCGTGGCCCGTTCCTACACGCCAAGTCATTCACTGTTATTACATTGGTTGTTGGGTTATTATTTAATCTCCGCCAATCTTACTATACCGCATCCTATTAAAGCTTCGCCATACGAGAAAACCTATTTAAGATCTGTCGCACTAGAAATCGAGACTGACGGACTCGAACACTTTGTCAAAGCAAACACCATGGATTCCTCGTCTGAAGCAAGGAGTGAGAAGGTCTGGTCGTTGAAGGAGATCAGAGAGTTAGTGGAGCAAGGTCACGCAATTGTTATTTCCCGGGGTTACGTTCTGAAGTTGGATTCATGGCTCAATTATCATCCTGGTGGTGCAAAAGTTATCCTACATGTTGTGGGGAGAGATGCCACCGTTGAACTGGATGCGTAAGTTCTTTACTTGACCACGCGATGGCTGAATCATAGCAGCTAATTCAATGTAGATTTCATAGTAAGGATGTCAGGGCTAAGATGGACCGGTATCGAATCGGTAAGCTGGAAGAGCCATGGGTGAATATCATACCCCCTATTCAAAGACAATCACTTCGGCCACCAGAAACCGAGATCGAGAAAGAACCATCGACGCCTATTTCCGAAATCCCATTGGTAGATGTCACCGTCACCGAAAATCTCCTAGCTGTCCCGTGTCAAGCAAATCCCGACAGCGATGCAAGTTCCATTGCCTCTTCAATTTTCGATAATGAGGGTTTACGATCTCGAAATCGAGCAGTTGGAAGTTCAGTCGATTCTGAAGAGATTCCTGACTTGGAACCCAAAATGATGGATGCTTCAGAATTAGAGGCTAAATTCCAAGCTCTAATCGCAAAATTAGAAGATGAAGGTTTATACGATAGTAAACTCTCCGCATACGTGACGGAAATCCTGAGATGCGCAATCCTGTTTTCTCTTTCGCTCGTATTTCTTCGTCTGGGGTGGTACGCAATCAGTGCCGCTTTCTTGGGTATGTTTTGGCATCAAATCGTCGCTACCGCACACGATGCCGGTCATTTAGCCGTAACCCACGACTACAATATCGACTTTCTAATCGGTGGGATCGTATTAAATTTCTGCGGGGGACTTTCAATAGGCTGGTGGAAACGCAATCATAATATTCACCACATCGTTACCAATTCGCCAACACATGATCAAGATCTTCAAATCCTCCCTTTCATCGCTATTTCTCCCGTATTCTTCGATTCCCTCTACTCGACCGCTTCAGAATGCATCATGCACTATAACTGGTTTGCTAAATTCATGGTCCCAAAACAAGCATGGACGTATTACTTCCTCCTCTCCGTCGCGCGATTTAATCTCTACTATCTAGCCTGGGATTTCATCCTCCGCGATCTAGGCACCAAACTCCACCGCAAACAACGCATTTTCGAATTAATCGGACAAATTTTCTTCTGGACATGGTTCGGATATTTCCTCGTTTACCGTAGCATTCCTACGCTCTCCCAACGCATCATCTTCTGTCTCATCTGCCACATGATTACCCTCCCCCTGCATCTCCAACTCACCGTCTCCCACTTCTCCATGTCGACGGAAGAATCAGAGCCCAGTGAACATTGGATCCAGCGCATGTTTCGCACAACCATGGATGTAGATTGTCCGACGTGGATGGATTGGTTTCATGGCGGGCTCCAATTCCAAGTTACGCATCATTTGTTTCCGCGGATGCCGCGGCATAATCTGCGACGCGCGAGTGGATTTGTCAAAGAATTTTGTAGGGAGACGGGATTGAAGTATGAGGTTTATGGGTTTGGGGTTAGTAATGGGAGGATGTTGGATAGGCTTGCTGAAGTGGCCAGACAGGCGAGTTATTTGAAGGATTGTCAGGATAGTATTGTTAGTAAGGGGGAGTATTTGCATGGACATTGGGATTGAGTGAGATTTTTGAGGTCGTGAGGGAGTTTGCAATTGGGGATTAGGGATTAGGGATTGGGGATTTTGATGATGATGCCGCTTTTGTAATCTTATCTAGGTAGGTATATAAAGTTGATAATGATTTTATATTTGGTTGGGAAAAGTGTGTTTATTTGGTTTATAAGATTAGGTTCTTATATATATATGTGTATGTATGTATATATATTCATATATTCTATAGTATTATTAGTGATATTATAAAATTTTAAATTGTAAGTGGGGGTAAGAGTGTTACGAGGTGTTACGACCAATCCTAACAGCTACTCAGGTGATTAAGCTTATGGTCACATGACCCAATATTGTCCCACCTAGAATCACTCAACTACAGGCAGTGAGACATAATGGGAGGCGATGGGATGTATAGTACGAAGGTCTTTATAATCATGATGGATTTCCTTTGTATAGAACTTCGTGTTCAAGATCAATCATTTTAGTATACTCTACTATTAGTTACGAATTGCATTATTGTCATTACTTTAAGTCCCTGCTTGACGCCTAGTTATAAACCACCTCGAGAGCCTGGAGCACTTCCACGTGATCTAGACGGCAAACCCTCGTAACCTTCTACACAAGTGTTTGAAGTATTCAACAAATCATCTTTTTTAAACTTTCATTTTTTTCTTTCTTATAATTGATTAAAAAATTAATCACTTTTTAATTTTAAATAGAACATTAATTTATTAGTATTTTGTATTTTGTGACGCCTCACACCTCCGGGTCACGTGGCATGCCCCGTTTGTATTTAATCATAGGAAAACTCTCTACTCTTGTTTTCCTTCTTCTTTTCTCCTTAGCTTAGTATTTTCTAATACAAGTGTGACCAAAAGGGTGTTTATAGACCAGCAATTGTATTTAACTTAGAATCTACAGGTGAAGAGCACCTGTAGATGGGGATAGCTACTCTATATATACACAAATGAATGGCCTAGCCGTAATGGCTTAGGCAAAAAGAAGTCATATTTATCCCTCCAATGATCTTACTTTACCGATAACCATTGATACCTAGTACTTGTCCGGATCTGATCCTCAGGTCACCTAAATCGCATACTAATCTCGAGTAATCGTATCATGTGTGGACATGGTTAATGTACCTGAGGTTTCTTATATAATAAGGGTGGGAGGAAAGCAGGGATTTCCGTCACAACAAGATACTTTACCCAGTATTCTTGAGTGTGACATATTTAATTAAAATTAAAAAAAAAAAAAACTATAATTAACATTTGTCTTTTTTATATAACTGTCACGATTCACCATCACGTGGGACAAGTAGGGATCACGTGATTGAGCCTCCAGGAGCGTAGGCTCCTCCAGGCTCCTGGAAAGGACCAGTATATAAACATTCATTATTTTCATAGTATAGGAGCTTCGTGCTCAACTGTGACGGAAAAGTCGTAAACGGAGTCAATTCAATTACTTAGAATCTAAAACTAAAGAACTAAGAAGATTCTAAGTAAGAAGGTCTTTATATAAAGGGCTAGTGCACGTGAGCCACTAGTGGGTAACAACCGTCACGTAACATCAACTTAGTTATCAATTAGTTTACCTACATTCTACTTGATCTAGTAACGAATTCACTTTCAAGTGAATACCAACTGATAAAGCCTTAACCCATAACTACCAATCGACGAACCTTAGGCAGCCGCTGCCTTTAGTACAGCAACGTTACAGAAACCTTAGGCAGCCGCTGCCTCCAGTACAGTATCGTTACACTTATATACTGAGTTAAGATATGAGATTATTTAAATAAGTATTTTAAATCCTTCTTTAAGATAAACATCATATCACTAATCAATCTCAATCAAGGTATATCAAATACCTCATACTTTTTCTGAAATAAGCATTGCATTATTAGTCGACTTCAGCAGGGATAGAGTTACTATTTCAACTTATACATGACTATAAAGAGTCCCGAATATTCCCAGTATACTGAGTCTGATATCTCATCGAAGACTGAAATAACATAAACATATACACTTGTTATCGAATAATCAACATGAATCTCAACCTCTAGCTGTATGACAGACTTCGAGCTCTGAAGTCGCGAGGTCTTAGTTGAAATTGACCTTTGGAACGTCAAGTGCCACTAGCTTACTTTTCAAGTCTCCTCTTCAGAACCTCTATAGATCCGCTCCTTCAATTTTCTTCTTCATCTTCTTCTTCCTCAAACAATATACTATATACATCTATAGATACAAACTTGCTTCAATCTACTTGGCTTTTGCTTAAAATCCTTTCAAATACTCTTAATCACCATGTCATATCTTTCAGGTATCGACTTCCGCAAGAAATTCGCACCACTTTTTGAAATAAATCCTCTTTTGACTGACAGTAAGTTAATGGAGTCAGATCTTATGATTCCTTGTTGTATCTTTTATATGCATATGCTAATATAATCAAAAGGTGAAGCATACATGATTCTTCGAGAGAATTTCTTTTCCATGTACCTAATACTTGCCTGTATGTGGCTAAAAAGGCTCCTAAACCACGCTCAGAGGAACAATATTGGATACCGCAAAAAAGCTTGAATCAGTTGGCAGTGACTGGAAGATTGAGGGGGGAAAGGACAACGCTAAGTTCAAGTCCGCACGACACTCAGCTGACAAAATGCGAGACTACTATTGACAATGAATTGCCAGATCGAGAAATTCAGAAGGCCAAGTTTCCAAAGGTGAAGCCAAGAGAGATAATACTTCTTGATGATACAGACGATGAAGCTGAATCGGATATCATTGTAGACGAACGAAGACAAGTCTCTGATAATCCCGATGAAGGTACCGCAGATGTAAAGAATCAGCCGCAAAACGCAGATATCCCTGGCTCAAAAAGGAGTTTCTCTGTTTATGAAATCTCAGATGATTCAGATGCCGATATTAGTGACTACGATTTTGGCTATGATGCTGGGTCTGACCCAGAAATATATCACGGTAGCCAATCATCAAGCTCACCATCTGTGATCCGACCTCTAGCAAAAGTGAAGTCAACCAAAAAGCCAGATCAAGAATCAGAAACTCGTACGACGCCATGGATTTCGAAGATTGCTGGTACTTTATTTGGCAGGAGCCTCAGGCCAGTCGAGAGGAACAAGGATGAAAAATCGTGGGAATTGGCCTTGAAAGAATATCGTGAAGCTATGTCGCTGGCTCGAAGAACCGGGAAAGAGTTCTTACGTGAAAGTAGGGAGAAGATAATGGAAATTGAATATCGGGCTGGAGACAGCATCCTGGTTGAACTTGGTACTTGATCATCTCAATTTGATTGACGAAGATACTAACTCCGAGAAGAAGATACGGACTCCGAACTTCTACATGCGTACATCATATACTTATATGACGACGAAGTAAGTAAATCGTCCACCTCCAACAAAAATTGACAAACTTATTCTGCAAGAGCGAAGGGTCAATGGCCCATTTTAGGTACTTCAAACACGGCTACGAAACTATAATTGGTGAGATAGCGAGTCCAAGAGAGTTATTTCTCAGTTCTGAATGTGCAAATATTTCCATGTACCAAGTAAAGGGCAAAATCCAAGTCGAATTTCGCGGGAAAAGCGACAATAACCATGTCTCAGGAATGGGACCGATCGAAGAAGAGTACTATGCAAGTGTAGACAGGTACTTCTATCGGTTGAACTATGATATCTTGTCTGAAAGTTTTACCAAAGCTTCTGAAATGGTAATACAAAACCCAAGGACTCCTCTTGAGAACTACGATTGCCATGCTAGGGATGCAGCCGATAAGATGAAGAAGGATCAATCTTTGAAAGTATTGGACTTGAATAGAGACAATGGATCTGCTACTGGATTTATCTATCAAGGTATAGAATACCACCTCAAAGACTTTGTATACTTCGTATCCGAAACCACTTCAAAGAAGAAAAAGCCTTATCATATTGGTCAGATTTCACAAATCCTAGTCAATAACCTTGAGGATTCCGATTCCATGTCTGAAACAGACGAGCGCGAAAATGATGAACTGGATGTCAGTTTGTTGGTGAATGTATATAAGCGATATGATGACCATTTTCAAGCTGCAAGATCTGAGGATGTTGGAAATATAATTGAACTTACAACTTCCTATGAGAGACGAGTGTTTCTCAGAAAATCAAAAACCTTAAGACCGGAAAGGGTTGATGGCCATTGCTATGTTAGGCACATTGACGATATTGAAGACTTTAACTCCTACAAAGACTTAGACGACACATTTTGGGTCCAGGATCAGATTGCTCACGATTTGAAAAAAGATTTGATTTCCGTTGAAGATTTGGAACCAATGCCTGGAAAACATCCGAGGTACTCTAAGGAGAGCAAGAAGAGGTTGAAACGAGAGGAAGAGAAAGCGGTATCCCAAAAGAATGGGACGAAGTTAACAACTCTTGTAAGCTTTCTTGCCTCCTTTAAATATTTTGAGGATATATGCTAATTTTATGACAAGGATATCTTCAGCGGAGCGGGTGGATTAAGCCAGGGCTTCCATGAAAGTGGAGTAGTAGGGACTAAATACGTCATCGAGCTCGACACCGCTGCGGCTAAGACGCTCAAGCGAAACTTTCCAGACGCTATCGTGTATAATCATGATGCAAACAAGTTTCTAGAATGGGTAGTAAATGACGAAGCCGATCTAAATGCAGGCATTGTATACGATATGGAAAATAATGCCCTTTTGAAAATGCCTTCAAGAGGAGATATCGAGATGATTATTGTAGGGCCCCCTTGTCAAGGATGGAGTGCGTTGAATCGAAAAAAGGGGGAGCGGTGCTTTAAAAGAGAGTTGATTGCGACCTATCTCTCGTATGTCCATTTATATAGACCGAAATATTTTCTACTAGAAAATGTAATGAGGCTGGTGCACCAGAAGGTAGGTTTCACACATGAATACTTTCTGATAACCTAATAATCATTATAGCTTGACGGTGTTGACGTTCCCGGTCATTCTCAAGGCAGTCTGCGTAATGGCGCAGTAAAATATGCAATAATGATGGGATTTTCAATAGCACCAAAGCCGTTTAGCTAACAAGAAATGCAGATTCATCTTCCGGGCTTTGACATCACTAGGCTATCAGTGCCAGCGCGCGTCTCTACAAGCCGGTGTATTTGGATCACCATCCTCCAGAACACGAGTGATTTTCTGGGCATCCCTACCTGGATATGAACTCCCCAAATACCCCCGGGCAACACACTTGTTTGACGGAAGAGTGCCCAAGAGTCCTCATTGTGTCAGAAGATCTGCTCCTCATTGGCCCATTACTACAGGGGACTGTCTATCAGATTTATATAGCTTCGAATGGACAAACCCTTATGTGACTAATCCAGAAACAGCTGCACAAAAGTCTGATCGACTGAGCCGCAATGAAAATGTTACCCAATACTTATGTTCAGTCTCATCAAGGGCGTTGGAATATGTTGGATTAGCAAAGCAAGCATATTCCACCAATCCTCTAAACGAATACCAGAGAAAGATGCGCAAATAGGTTTCCGATGATCACCTACAGAATCATATCATCCAGAAGCTTTCACAAAAATATACCGAACGACTATGCAATATTCCACTACGCGCAGGAGCCAACTACAGAAATATGCCCAAGGGCCTCTTGCCAAAATTCATGCGACACGCACTAGACAACTCGCAAGATGGTGGACAAGACGAATTAAAGGGTAAATATGGAAGACAGTCCGTGAAGAAGGAGTTTAAAGTGGTGACTACGAACCTGAATTTTAGCAGTGGTGACTGGGTATGTACTAATGAGGTTTTGCCACTAGCTGAGGATAATTCCACAACTAACGGGAGCAATACTAGATACTCCATCCATATTTACATGGGACCTACACTGCGAGAGAATTCGTTAGAGCCCAAGGGTTTCCGGATAGCTTTACCTGGGATATGGATAACACAAAGATAACAGACATCCACAAACAAATTGGAAATGCCGTGCCAATTCCACTTGCACGAGCACTCGGAAACGAACTATGGAAAGTCTTGCAGGACAAATCAAGTGCACGAAGAGAGGTTGACTATGACGGAGAAATGGTTGATCGAGAAGAGGTTAAACTCAACGACGAGTTCGAAGTAAAGCTGAATATAGGTACGGAGGTGGTGGTGGACAGTGACAGTGATGATGAAAACGTGGATGATCAAGAAGATGACGAGCCAGAGGATGAAGTGGATCAGGATATGGAGATAGACAAAGTCATGACCAGCACCGCAAGACAGGAAGGAACATGGTTGAATACTGGATGGAGCAGGGATAATGCGATTGTGCTTGACGATTCAGACTGAAAGTTAAACACTAGCTTTTCGATATTGCGAGAAGATTTTTGGGCCGATTAAGGATTTTTGATGAGACAACTTGGCCAGGTTCCAGATATTGTTAATTCAGGGAATTGTTTGAAGAAAATCGAACTTTATAGAAGAAAGAATGTGCCTGTAAGAGAAACTGTAGTGTCGCATTGTGAGACACTGCTCATCTCATCCTCAAGCTAGATAGTGTTGTCAAGTTTCTTTCCACCCACAGGCATGTAAGCTTCAAATCACATCACCAACTGATCATGATTGAAAGCAGCTCGCTTTGCATAAATTTATTCCATCTCTAGTTACGCGACCTCTATCTAGCAATTTGGTGGTAAAACCATGCTCTTCACCTGAAAGCAAATTTAGCAGTATCAGTATGGAACTAGTCAATCTCTGGACTACAAGACTGATTTATAAAGATTTGAAGGGTGGTATTAGCATAATTAAAAACAATGAATTAAGGAATAAACAATCAAACGAAGTTGTCCATTTTCGTCACTACGAGCTATCATGCCATATTTTTAAGGTTGAGAGGAATGACCATGAGCTAGTCCAATAAAGGTAAAGACCAAAAACCACGTGATTACATCCATGATCTGTTCATCCAGAAGTAAAGCTAAAGTAGCTCAAAAGATTTCATAGAATTACTCGCAGATAAAAAGGTAAAAGAACCGATACCGTCACTTGATACCCGGTGAAATTTGCAGAAGATTTATACCTGTGAATGATGAACCGTCCCTCTTCTCACGGGACACAATGGATTTGAGGTTACCGTAGCCTTTAGTTCTATCTTTAGCGGACACCTTTATCTCAAATCAGTCCACATCACCAGCCTAGTTTAATGCTGAACAGCAGGATTATCGGAGGTTCATCACTCATGATCCGTTCGAGATACCTCAACAGGTCTCGATGGCGGTAGAGAATGTAATATATTCTCATAAGGCAGGGCCTCGGGTGGGAAATCATGAGCAGGATGCGAGATCACCTGAGCAAGATAACCTCAAGCAACTCACCGCCCAACCCGCAATCAAGCACCTTAAATCTTTTCCAGCAATGGAGAACTCAGGCCAATTACGAACACCTTCACCGAGCCCTTCTCCACGTGGCTCATCACCGTCACAGGTTGCTGTGGACGAGTCGCTCTCTGGGAATGTTGAAAAGGCCCCATCTGTGCAAACTGGCAATCAGATTTCCGAGTCATTCCATCAATTTGGGAATCTTCCTTCTCTTGCAGAGAATTATGGAACAGGTGGAACAACTCCGCCGCCTCCCATTCCAAAAGATTCGCCTTCCTCCCATGAACTTGATGACATTCCAGAAGAAGTCAAAAGTCATCGGAAATTGTCCTTGAAGGATGCTGGGGAAGAAAAGGTTCTTAAATTATCAGCTGCTGAGATGACTGAGTTAACCTCAGCTCCCGAATCCCTCCCAATTATCTCGCCCAAAAAAATATTGACTCCCAATATCAATCAAGGCGGTGCCCAAGGACGGGGCCGTAAAAGATCCGGCTCTGACGTACCTCGCATGGATCTTGACGATCAACCGCCTGAATCGACAGATCCTCGCAAGTTTGATACTCCAGAATCTGTGAGGTTCACTTCAGATATCAATGGCGATGGCCGACAATACCCAGAGGAAACTCCAACCAGTGCTGGCACTAAACGACCCACAATATCGTCTTCTTCCCGTGCCTTTAGTGCCCAACCGGCTACAAGTCAATGGCCGTCATACTCCAAACCAAATGCAGTCCCAATATCTCCCAAACGCAGACCATTCCCTATCGGGCGCGGAACAGAACCATTAAACCTCAACCTTGAAGGCTTGAAGTCGCCCGTCATGGCTAATGGGGCGAGCAAATCTTCACAATTACCAGATATACCACCACCGTCGCCAATACCTCAGTCAATTCCTCTCCCTCCAATGTCGATTCCTACTTATCTGCAGCTTGAGCTTTCCGCAACAAGGCCATCGCCATTGTATATTTATCGTTCGGCTTCCACTGAATTTCCTTATGAATCATCGAAAGTTAAATTTGAGCGTTTATTGAATTTTTTGTTATTACCACCACAACTGGAGCAAGTTCTATATTTTGGATCTTTGGCATGTCTTGACGCCTGGCTTTATACCTTTACAATCTTGCCATTGCGATTTTTCAAAGCTTTAGGTATTCTTATTTCGTGGTGGGGTCATGTGCTAGCCAAGGAATGTCGCTTCATTACTGGTTTTGTCTATCATGGCACAAGCCGCATGTGGCAGCGACGAAATGAACGTCGTAACGCCGAATCTCTTTCGCCCACAAGGAGTATGTCACGTCCAAGCAGGCCTTCGATGTCGGCAACAACCTCGTATCAATCTCAAGCTGGGAGACCGACTGAAGCTTTCAGGCGTAGCGGGACTACTGAAACTACTCCTAGGCTAAATGGCGAGCGTAGATCGAGACAAGGTTGGGGTCGTCGCCATCGCCGCATGAAATCTCAACCTTCCTCATTATCCTCGTACAACAAGGCCGATCTCTTACAAGGAGCTGTCATAATTTTCAGTTCCTTCTTCCTAATGAAGTTGGATGCGAGTAGAATGTATCATAGTATTAGAGCGCAATCAGCCATTAGACTTTATGTTATATATAATCTTTTAGAGGTATGTGAAATGATCTAGGTTCTGGAGCAAGCTGACTAAATTTGCTAGGTCTTCGATCGACTTGCGTCAGCCCTAGGTCAAGACATTTTTGAATGCCTATTTTCTGACGAAACGCTAGAACGAGATAGTGATGGTAGAAGTAAAGTATTACGACCTCTTGGAATGTTCGTGCTTGCTCTCATATACAATGTCGTTCATGCAGCAGCATTATTCACCCAGGTCGTCACCTTGAATGTTGCTGTGAACTCTTACTCGAATGCTCTTATTACACTATTGTTGTCGAATCAATTTGTGGAAGTCAAAGGAACTGTGTTTAAGAAGTTCGAAAAAGACAATCTCTTCCAACTCACGTGTGCCGATGTTGTGGAGCGATTCCAACTTTGGCTTATGCTCATGATTATCGCATTACGAAATATTGTTGAGATGGGTGGATTTAGCAGCATGGCGTCGTCTGCGTCAGAAGCAACTAGTCCGTTACGTACGAGCTCAATGCTTCCAAACAGCTTTACCATTCTTCCAGGTTGGTCGGGCGAGGTTTTTTCGCCGTTCTTCATAGTGATAGGTAGTGAGATGTTGGTAGATTGGATCAAACATGCATACATCAGCAAGTTCAATGGTGTCAAGCCAGCAATCTATCAACGATTCCTCGACGTATTGGCCAAGGATTATTACACAAATGTAAGTATGTCAATCACTAATTAGTCACTCCATCTAACAATTCTAGGCTTTTGTTAATCAAAATCTTCTTAAACGTCTGGGTCTTCCTGTGATCCCACTTTCGTGTCTTTTTATCCGAGCTGCATTCCAAACGTATCACATGTTTCTCGCCACTCATCTTCCTCCCCCACTTCCATCAGCTACAACATCTTTATCTGTTGAATCCTCTCCAGCCACAACAGCAGCCTTCGAACATTTTGATACCATTGTCCGCAAAGCCCTCGGTCGTTCAACATTCGGCTTGCCAAACCCAGACTCCATTACGCCATGGTATCTCCCCAGCACCGATGATGTAATCGCATCACTAACGATGATTGTCTTCTTCCTCGGTGCATTCTTTGTCCTTCTCGCCTGCAAACTCGTGCTCGGCATGCTTTTACTAAAATTCGCACGCAATCGTTATCAGACCATGAAGATGCGCGAACATGGAAGCTACGAGACGGGTGGAAAGAGAGTCGGTGGTTGGGGCATGATAGAATTGAATGATGATAAAAAGCGGTGGATTTATGATGATGATCCTGAGACACTGAAGAAATTGAAGGAAAAGGAAAGATCTGCGAGAGATAAGGAGAAGGTCGGGGCGGTGCATGATTTTTCCAAGATTAGTAGGTATGAGATGGCCGCGAAGAGGATATGGTGAGGGCTTAGGGCATGTTACTTTTAGATAAAATAAACATCCCGATTGCCCGTATTTCTCGGTGACGAAGATGATGATTTGTGAAAGCTATGTGATGACTTCACCCTCTACCTTGTTCATTTCAGCAATATACATTCAAAACATGTACACAGGGCAAAAAGATCGAACTCATTATTCGTTGACTTCAGTATAATATCAGTCCCACCAATGTAGGCAGATTTCGAGGTCTCAAGATCCGGGCATCCGTAATTGTCTGTAGATCAATTCATGGGCAGAAGTTTTCAATGATTTTCTGGAAAGAGACAGATTTCTTCTTTTTGCTTGATGCAAACCTTGTGAGAAGAAGAATCAACTGGCTTTGACGAGAGAATATTTCTTGAAATGACACAATTCCGCTGTTTTCATGTAATTTTAACGTTCTCCTCGGATATATAAAATAATCTTCCTGGATCTTTCAATTACATCTTGAAAAGTGTGTAGCTGACTTGCAGCTTTGTGTAATTGTAAAAATTCAGCGAGTGGAAGTGGAATAAACATTAGCATAGGCAGAGATCAAAGTAATTGGGATTCTTTTCTTCAAATAAAATTTAGAAGTATTTTTGGTCCCAAGAGACTTGTTGCTGACTTGGTATCTAAATCGAATGACGAACTAGGAGTATAGCTTCCAGTCGCACCTTCCCTAATGATCACGTGCAACCCGACACGAAGTCGTTAGAGTTACCCAATCATCCTGCAGTCCCTCCCCAAAGCAAAAGCAGAATCCTCTGCCGCGCCAGTTTATACAATCATGGTGTTCATTTGCAGCCTGCCCATGGTTTTAATTCCCACACTCTCTTTATAAATTGAGGAGTGACAACATCCACGCAAGGGCACGATCGCTTTCCTCTGGATTCCGTTGTCTATGCTTTCATCTACACCGCATCCTTTCGCATTTTAGACGTTACTTACACGTCTTCCCAACCAATCACAGAAGAATTTTAATTCATTTCGCAACCTAAAGTCCATGGAAACTACCTAGGTATGGTATATCATATTTGTCGATGCGGACACTCAGCGAGCCCTCTCTATCAGCGAAGGGCAAACGCAGGAACAATCTGTACCATAAAAAACGTGACTCGGATACATTAAAGAAAGGAGAAAGGGGAAAGGATACTGAGAACTCGAATAATTCCCGTTGGAGTGAAGGATCATATTGAGCTGAATCACTCAACACCTCCCAACATTTGTGATAGTTTCTGGAGGGGTCTAGGCTTATCAGCCTCCAATCACGGCTTTATTGGTGGGCGGGGCTTCAGGGTGGGACACAGTGTATCACGCTCTAGCCAGGCTTATCAAACTCGAGCTAGGCTATTTTACAGGCCTGTGAAATAACACGGTTTCCAATGAATCTAACACCAAATGTGGATCGTCCCCACACTTTGCAGCCACCTGCAGAAGGTCGTCACCATAAAAAATTCCTTGATGCGCTGGGCGCTGCTATCTTGTCCTTTTCATGATACGGGCAACCTCAAGTATATCGTATATCCCAGGCACCGCTTAAATTCAAGTTACAATGATAACGAAAGCCCTTGTCGTGAGCAGCCCCGGCGGTGAGTTCGTTTATACTGACGTGGAAGTCGACGAAGACATTCGTGCCACCGAGGTACTTGTCCAGATTGTTGCGACGGGAGTCTGTCATACCGATATCAATTTTGGCCAGCATGATATCGAAGGGATGTTCCCAGCTATCCTAGGGCATGAAGGTCAGTAATCATCCACCTTGTTATCTCACCATTAACAGGTATCCATCACAGGAGCGGGGATTATCTCCAAGGTTGGATCAAGAGTCTGCAATTTCCAAAGAGGAGATTGTGTCATTCTCAGTTATACAAGTTGCGGAGAATGCAAATATTGTGTCCGGAAGGATACAAGCTTCTGTAATGATTGGGAACTCGATAACTTCGGAATAGGTAGAGGTTGGGATGGCAGTAAGGCTTATGGATATCCACCTGGCGAAGACGAATCATCTGAGACGAAAATCACAAGTCATTTCTTTGGTCAAAGTTGTGAGTAAAATTCTAGAATCAGAGAACCCAGTTAACTTTCAACAGGTTTCTCAAGTTACGCGGTGGTTGATGAAAGATGTTGCATTAAGGTTGGAGAGCCTGGCAATGTTGACCTGGATCTCTCGTCACTGGCACCTCTAGGCTGTGGCATCTTGACAGGTGCCGGTGGTATGTTTCTCTTAACTTCTTGAATTTGTATCTGAAAAAGAAGGAATACTAAAATAAAGGTAATAGCGATGCTTAACGTTCTTAAACCATCTCAGGAGGATATCGTATGCATTGTTGGAGCTGGTGCCGTAGGGTTGGCGGCCATCATGGCTCTTAACTTTCTAGATACGAAGCCTAAACAAGTCATCGCAGTAGATATCGTTGACGATAGGCTAGAACTGGCCAAGAGATATGGAGCGACACACGTCATCAACTCAACAAAACATAAAGATCTACCAGGTGCGCTGAAGCGAGTAACGAACTTCGAGGGGATCGATGTTTCAATCGACGCTACCGGCAGATCAGAAGTGATTGGAGACTTACTGGAAGCAACCGCTAAATTGGGGACAGTATGCAGCGTGGGAGTAGGAAAGGTATGTTCAGCCTCCTGTAGTTATACCCTGGCTCAAAGTCTTACTAAATGGACAGCTTGATGCCGACGTGCCAATAAACGTGTTTAACGCAGTTAATACTGGACGGAAGTATGTAGGTTGCTGCATGGGAAATTCCTACCCACCCGATTTCATCCCGAAACTTATAGAAGGCTGGAAAGAAGGAAAGTTTCCTTTCACTGATTTAATCACGAGATACGATGCAGCAGATATGGAGACGGCCAAAGCGGACATCTTGAGTGGAAAGGTTGTGAAAGCAGTCCTCACTTGGGGAGCCCCCGGTAATTAAGGGACAATCCTGCTAACCTCAAACATCCGACCACCTACCAATTGCACTTCAAGAGAATATAGATATGATAGATTATCAAATTAGTGGCAACCACATGCATTGATCAAGGTATGAAAGTATCAAATATAAGTTCAACATTGAAAACCCCGCTTCCGAAGCTGGTTGAGGTAATCTCATTTCCGAGATCAGCGTATTGCAGAACCCCTCTGCAGACCAATCCTCTCCCTCGCGCCACGAAGCAACCCCACATGCAGGGACAACAGGCCTATACTAGGCCTGTAATGCATTATCTTATCATCGTGTGACGTCAAAAGAAACTTCCTATCAGCTCATTTGTGTCCTTTACTTGAAGTCAAGTAAGACATTCAATATATGCAGCTTGCAACTTGCAGCTACTATCCGCTACCATGCCATATGTATTTCACTTCTTCTCTCGACCGTTTCCTTTTGTTTCCTCAACCGTCAAGCTCACTTAAATCTTTACTGTTTAAACCACACAAAGATGGGTTCAATAACTCCATCTTCCGAGACTAGCTCAGCAAGCTCTATCTCAACATGCAGTTGCACCTCTCCCCATCCTCCATATCCCCTTCACCCAAGCGTCTTACCTAAACTCGACCCCACATACAAATCTTTTTATGATACCCATCTTGTAAACAACCAAGTAGTGCATCATCAACCCCTCCATATTTCTCGTTCTTCTTCTATTCTACTCCCTGGTGCTTCAGATCCGCTATCCGTGGGATCTATTTTTGATTTGAAAATCCCTTTCAATGACTCCCATGAGGTAGATATAGGAAATGAAAAGAAAGGAGACCGGATAAATGAGGGGAACGGGGAGATAAGTGTGAGAGTATTTATACCCAAAGGAGAGAAGCCAGACGGTGGATGGCCTCTTTGCATGTATTTCCATGGAGGAGGATGGGTCTTGGGAGGAATTGAAACGGAAAATACGGGTTGTACGCATTTGTGCCAGAGGGGTGAGGTGGTGGTTGTTAGTGTTGATTATCGGTATGAAAATAGATTTTCCTTATTCTACTAGGATGCCTACAAGTTTAAGGCTACAGATGATCAAGTGATCATCACATGAGCCTACACCAGGCAAACTTAACTCAGATCCCCTATAAAATCTCTCCCCTAAAGCTCTAACAAATCTAGTCTCGCACCCGAAAACCCCTATCCCACGGCTCCAAACGACTGTCAAACAGCACTCCTCTCCATCCTCACCCACCCAACGCACTATTCCCTCCCCATAAACCCCACTCTCCTCGCCCTCTCCGGTTCCTCCGCCGGGGGAAACATCGCCGCAGTCCTCTCTCACCGTTTCTCCTCTCTATTCCCCCATTTCCGCATCTCCCTCCAACTACTCATCGTCCCCGTCACCGACAACACCGCCTCTCCATCCACCTATCCCTCCTGGAAAGAAAACGAATTTTCCCCCGCACTACCCGCCGAAAAAATGATGTGGTTTCGTAATTATTATTTACCCGATCAGGTGAAGTGGGGAGATGTAGATGCGAGTCCATTGTTGAATGATGGGGGGTGGGAGGAGCAGCCGAGGACTTTGGTGGTGGTCGGGGAGTTGGATGTTTTGAGGGATGAGGGGATTGCTTATGCGGGGATGGTGGGGAGTGCGGGGGTTAAGTGTAGATTGGAGGTTATGAGGGGGATGCCGCATCCTTTTTGTAAGTTCTTTTTTTTCTGGGGAGAAGGACGGGGTTTGGGAGGTGGATTGTGGATTGTGGATTGTGGATTTTTATTTTGCTGACGGGTTATTTACAGTGGCTATGGATGGGGTGTTGAAACAGGGGGCTCAGACGATTACTTATATGGTGGAGGAATTGAGAGATGTGTTTTGGAAGGGTAAATGAAGTGATGGGGATGTGTTTGGGAAGGGAAAATGAGCTGATGGGATAAGTGAGAGGAGGATACTGCATTTCACCTACTAGGAGAACAACGTATATATTATAGAGAACGGTTCAAAATGTGCGCGGCAAGATTTAAATAAGAGCAAAAATACAATTCCAACTTGAGACATAGACCCAGAATCGCCCTCCCTGATCAAATTCATACAAAGCACCTCAAACCGAACCCCAAACCTCCACACTAAACAATACCCCAACCCGGCTTCCCCTTCTCCTCCACCTCCCCCTGCAAATTAACCTCCTTCCCCCTACTCCTATCCCTCCAATCCACATACCCAACCGCATCATCCGACTCCCTCCACTCCTCCCAACCCTGTTCGATTCTTCCCACCAACTGCGCCGTAGTCGGACGATCTACACTGCGCACCTTTAGCATCGCGGCTATGATTTCTTTAAGTCCCCGCGTATATGTTTTATCGCTCATCCGCGACATGACGTAATAGTAGTCGAATTGTTGGGCTGGGGGAATCCCTGTCATCATTGTGTAGATTGTTGCGCCTAGTGACCAGATTTCTGAGGCGGGTCCCCAGCTTTCGATTCCGGCTAGTTGTTCCTTTATTTTTATTAGTATGGATCTTATCTTATTATTCGAAGAATCATGGAAAATTAAAAAGTAAAAAGGTAAAAAGTAAAAAATAAAAAAAGTGTCAAAACAAACCGGAGGTTGAAACCACCACTCCATCCCCTCCTTCCTCTCACCCTTCGCCACATTTCCCCCAGGAAACCCCGTCACGACAGCCCTTCCAAATCCCCCTAACTTACACTCCCCATATGTAGCTCCACCCCCCGTCCTCTTAAACCAGATCTGCTTAGGACTCACTTCCCGAATCAATATCGGTTGCCAATCATCATCATGTTTCTGCCAATCATCTTTTGAATCCGTCTGTTTGACTCCCGCATGTAACCACAAGAGGGCTTTATTAATATTCGACAAGACATGCCAGCATAAGCTTTCAGGGAGGGAAAAGCGGTTAGGGTTTGGAGTGGCCAGGGCGCGCCAGGCAGGGAGATTGTTGAATTTGGGGTAGTTTTCTGGGTTGGGGAGGATGAGGTCTAGGGAGCCTTGATTCATGTCTTCGTAGACGGCTATGTTAGCTGTTACGCCGGCGTGCTTGGTACATCCGGCGAGGGAGTCGGTGTGGATTATGTCGACGAGACCGATGATGTTTGGATGGTTGAGGATGCGGGAGATGGGGACTCCGGCTACGGGGAGGATGGCAGAGGCGAGACTTGTTTTCCATCCTGGTTTGTTAAGGGTTGATACTTTTTCGTTGGGGATGGGAAAACCGAGGAAGGATTCATTGTCTTTGATTCGGATCAATTGGATGCTCTTGGTGTTGTTATCAACTTCCAAGGGGTTGCGGAGGACATATTTAGGTTGGATAGGAGTGGAATGAACGTTATTGGCTGCCATTATGTTGGTTGGGTTCTTCAAATTGTGATTGTTGAGGATAATTTTGATGTTGGAAATTGCTTTTGACTGATTTGATAACGCTTCTAGATGAACACAAAGGAACGTAGCGAGCTACAAAGTTTCTCGAATTTGACTGGTACGTTTTGAGCCAGATCACCACACGATCAAAGGAAGACAAAGAGCACAAAGAAAAGACGTGTTCATTTGCGAACAATTGTTTGATTTCAATAAATTAAAATTGCGCCTTTAGTAGTTGAAGTCCTCGTAGCTCACTTGTTTTCCTTTAAGCCATTCCACCAAGGTGTCACGTAAATTAGTCCCTGTACATAGATACCATCGATTTGCAGGATCCTCGGATACGTCGCTCTTTTCAATCCTTCTCTCTTGTAGACTGGCCCCAGATTCCTGTAACTTTTTGACACAAATTGATTCATTCGTACCATCACAGCCTCCCATTTCACCTGTGATGAACAATTTTGTATGATTCGAGAGATTGGGATATTTTTCAAAGGTGTCCAGAACCAGTCCTAGGTCAGCTAAACGAACGGTCCAGTAAAGTTGCAATCGTAATAAATCCAGCTCGGAAACTTGAGCAAGGAGTGGTGTAATTCCCACACCCCCAGCAACAAAAGAAACTTTTCCTTCAGAGCCTTGGTCAATAAAAAATTCTCCTCCAAATCCATTGAGTGGTACTTCCAACTCTGATCTGATATTGTGACGAAAGAGGAAATTTGTGACAATTCCAACCTTGCGGATTGTAATTTCGAATTGTTCATATGTATCTGTAGGATCCTTGGAAGAAGAGACAGTAAAGGTTCGTATGTAATCGTCGTTCAAACTCTTTGGATCATCGTCACGCATGTGACTATAGCCGATATCAAGTTCATCCTTGAAGTCCAATGCGACATATTGGCCAGGCTTCCAACGACGGGTTTTATCTGCATCCAAAATCTTGAATCGGAACCTGGCCACAGTTGGTGACAGGACTTTCCTTTCCAAAAGTTTTGCGTGCATTTTCTTGCCCATATCTTTTACTCCAGCAGCTGCCTCGGAAGCTAGAAAGCGTACGGGAGGATTGTACGGTGAGCGTTCACCTTCTTCACCTCGAAAACTTAACCCATCAGTAACATATCTAACATCTTCCACATAAATCTTGACTGCAAGGTTGGTATGTGTTATCAAGTTGGTCGCCTTTTCCCCGGCAAGTATTTCCGTTTTACCAGTAAGGTATACGACATCACCAGTATTGAAATCTGGGAATACTAAACCTGCTTGAGGTGTCGTTGCAAGGTTCCCTAGCGTCTGATAAAGACGGTTACCAGAATACTCAGGGTAGACAATTATAAGTCCATCACTATCGTTGGACAAGATTCGTACAAAACCCGGTGGTCCACCTCTATGATTTGTATCCATGTCCGAATCATGATTCGAGGATGAAATGAAGAACAGGTCGGATCGTGTTATCAAATCAATCGCTTCTTTAGGAAGAGGCAATGTGGTTGAGACGAGTGTAGGCTTTGGTAATCGAGGAATGATGTGTTTTTTGTTGAGGTACTTGGGACAATTGCCTGCAGCTCCGTTAGTATAAAGGACGGCTTTCAAGGAACGATAAGCTCACCTAAACTTTGCTCAATCTTAACAATCAATGACGCTTCTGCCACAGCATGTCCAGCAGTCTCTTTCAATGCACCTGCAGCCATCCTACCATATAACTTAACCCTCTTCCTAGATTCAAGGTCGATCGCAAGACCACCAATCATTCTCCCAGGCGGTTGTTCGTGTTTAACTTGTCCATTCGCATTCTTGCCCAGTAACACTTCAGAGACAGGGTCATATTCAAGGTCAATTGTAGCTTTCACAGCAATAACAGACTGCGCGACGGGCCAGGTGAAACCAGCTTCTCCGCCCCATAACGTAGTCCATGGTCTGCCGGACGAATCGAGTGTGCCGACGGCGAGTAACGGTGATCGCGTTAGAAGATTGGCAGCAAAGGGTGAAAGAAATGGTGAGGTTGGATTATCGCCCTGAGGTACTCGTAGACGTTTGTGAATTTCTTCCTCTCCCGCATGCCATTCTGTTGCCATATGGAAAGCCATTGCGATTTATTTGAAAACTAAATATAGTTGGATCGACACAGCTGGGTATTTCAAGGCGGAATCTGACGAAGGGGAAACTCAATGTTTGAGGGGAAGCAGAAGTAAGGCGTCATTTTTGGTAACATTCCACAAGTTTACCTAGTATTCCTCGCTATATGGAGTACTGGAGTTGGTTTGTAAGAGTTCACAAACAAAGCTCACGCGGGGTCAGCAAGTGGGTAGCAGGGTGATTAGTAATCGGGGAATCTAGAAATGTCTAAATTCATGTTGCATTGCATTCACGTGAGATTTAATTCGGCGTTTGTACTGCATCCCTCTTGAGCTCAAGATTGATTTATTATAAAGTTAATCTTACAGGTCAATTTGACATCTCCGATGATTCCCTTGGCCTACCCGGGCAGCGAGGTCCACTAGGAGACAGAGAGTATGAAGTAAGGACGGTGTAACCGTAAAGATTGGAGCTCTACTGGACATCAGGAGTCATTCTCTGTTCAAATTCCGATTTCAGCATCAGATATTTACCATCTTCACTCTTCTGTCCACAACAGCTTTATCATCGAAACCTTACTCGAGTAACTGAAATACCAACTCTTGTCAAACATCAAACATCATCTACACCAACTCATTAGCCAGCATCTGGTAGTCGTCGTCGAGAAACTTAAGTCATCTTTGTGCAGTACAATGCAATTCAGGGCTGTCTTAATTCTAAAAACTAGTTTAATCCTATACATTGAATCTTACTTTTGATCAATACCCAATCCAGATCGAAATTTTCATACAAGTTATCCTATCCGCTCAACCTAAACGACTTGGATAACCAGCTAAAACCTTCAAAGAGCGAATTGATATTTAGCTCAAATCCATACTCTTCATTTCAAACTACTGTTCCATTCTCCCTAGCCCCTTTAATATGCTTTGTACTCTCCTGCAGGCGCGCCATTCTATGCTCAATACCGTCCGCGCTAAAGTGATGTATTAACCCTTGGTACGTCTTCTCCATATTTTTCTTCGCAATCTTAAACATCTGCTCCTCATATTCGCCAACAGCCTGTTTCAAACTACCCTCCAGATCCACCGCAAAATTATCTCTCTGCCTCGACAGAGCATGCGCAAGTAACATCGCATCAGTCATAGCAACGTTAACGCCAACACCTGCGAAAGGGGTCATTAAATGAGCTGCATCTCCGAGAAGTGTGACACCTGGACGGGAGGGCCATTTGAAGCCGACAGGAAGCATGTATAATGGCCTCGTGAGAAGACTGTCTGATGCTTCAAATATAAGTCTCTTTAAGTCGTCATGAACATCTCCGAAGTATTGTTCTGCGAGCTGTTTGCGAGCCTCGATGGGATCCTCCCATTTAATATCAGAGTCCTGAATCCAGGATTCTGGTTTGCGTACCCCAGCGTAAACTCGAATGCCATCATAGCCGTTTCTCTGACAAATAAACATCCGGCCTTCATCAAACATGAAAAGACTTCCTTTACCGACGTAATCAGAAAGCCACTGCTTTCTCTCAGAAACATTGAAAGCTCTCATTTCAATCATACTAACACCGGAGTACTCCGGGAGCTGCGCTGAGACAAGAGGTCGAACCTTTGACCAAGCACCGTCCGCTCCAACAACGAGGTCAAATCCTTCCGCAACATGGTCTGCAAAATGAAGATCGAATTGTGCTGGGTTGGTCTTGCTAGACTCAACACGGATAAGTTTGCGATTCCATTGAATCGAGTCCGGCTCAACAGAATCCAGAAGAATATCGCGCAGTCTTGCACGATCGATCTCAGGACGATCTCTAGCCTGACGATTAAAGTCCTTTACCTCATCCTCCTCATTTTCATCCCAAACGACAGTTCCATTCGCTTTCACCAACTTCATGGAATCTGCTTCTGGCAAGCAGTGTTTTCGGAATTCGCCAATGAGACCAGCTTCACGAAGTGCACGTTGACCCATATCGGCGTGGAGGTCGATCAATCCACCTTGAGAACGAGCATTTCGATCAAGGTCAAGCTCAAATACTGTGCACTTGATCCCGTTGTGTTGAAGCAGACGGGCTAAGGTCAAACCACTTGGTCCGGCACCTGCTATGGCAATTCTGGGGAGTGGCATGGTTATTTTTGGGTTTTGTTGGCGACTGAAAAGGCTGTTTGAAGGGTTTTTTGATTACGATGTAGAAAAGAGTTTGGAAAGCTTGCTATAATGATAAATTTGTTTTTGGATGCCTATAGAGGAGGATTGAGCTCCTTATATACCCGTAAGTTGCTCAAAGATGACAGCCATATATTTGGACTCTATTGATAGCATCCAAGCAGCGCAGCGACCAAGGGCAGAGAACATCCTTGCTATCTCTGCTCGTGAATCGTGAGAATGAAAGCATATTTTCTGGTCCAAAAAGGCTTTCATTTTACGACGGGGTTTAAAAAGGAGCGATTTTGCGCGACGGTTAAATCTTAAGTCCGACGTTTTATTCCGGTGATACTAAGAAGACTTTTGATTTGCCGTTGCGCAAGATGTGACTCTCTTGAGAAAACTGGGACTAGAAATACGCTAGTCACATCTGACACAATGCGTCCTGTGCGCCACGACTACACATCGGACTGTCCACGGATTTTGCACGAGCCTGCCTACTACAAGCTACTATTCTTTTTACAGATTCCCGAAATGATACGGTCTCAATACAAAAGTCTACAAAATTTGCTAATTGCTGAAGTAGAGTGGCTTGAGATAATTTCACCAAATAGGCACACAAACACACCATGGTAGGGGTACCAAGAAGCAATCGATGTGATAACTGTCGAAAGAGGAAGAAGAAGGTTAGATTCTCCACCCGAAGAAATGATTAGTAGCTTATGGATGTATTTACTGATGAAACGAGACATAAAGTGTGGAGAGCAACGTCCATCTTGTGCAGAATGCATCCATAGTGGGTGGACTTGTCCAGGATATTCAGCCCGGTGGAAATTCATGGACGAGACGGCTAAACTGGCTAAGCTGTATTCTCGGAAGAAATATATTGATGAATACGATACTAAGGACTCAGGTGTGATCACCCCGGAAGAGGAGATATTGAGTTCTACGGAATTTTGCTCAACAGTGTTTGTTATGGAAACCTTCAGAGACGCCCCACCGGGGATCTCCCGATTTCATGATGATAATTCCCTGGCTACGACCTTGGTGTACTGCCTAGGATGTAAAGTGAAAGGAGACCTAATTCCTCTCTGGCTACTTGGGTCTTTTTACCAACATATACCCGGTCGATTGGGCCACAGCATCGCGTTAGATGATGCAGTATCATGTGTTTGTAGCTTGTATTGCGATAGATCTTTGAATGAACATACCAAATCGAATGTCATCTACAGGAAATATATCCGAGCCTTATCTTCACTGCAAAAATGTTTAGCCGATGAATATCTTCGTTTCCAGTCGGAAACATTATGTGCGTCACTTTTGCTGCAGATGTGCGAAGTGAGTCTCCTTTGATATCTCTGAATTCAGCCCTATATACTAATAAAACTAGCTTGCTGTGAATATCGATAAAGGAAGATGGGGTGATCTCGCCCGTGGAACTGCTAAGCTTATTCAAGCCCGTGGTGTTTATCGGCATACGGATCCGTTCGATCTCGGAATGCTTGAATCCCAGTTGAGTTACATTGTATAAACGCCATTGAAGTTCCTATTCAGAACTACGGGATGCACTTCTGACATATGAGCTCATTATAGGTTATTCAATCTGCCAAGTCCGAGGAAGATTGCTATCTACGCCAGCCGGAATGGCGTGCATTGCTTATCGATATGACGAAGTGGCCTCGCGATACAATTACTGCAAAGGAACTTACTTCCATGAAATTACGCATTGAGCTTTGTCTTCAGCTATTTGAACTGCCCAGCATTCTTATGGAAGCTTCTTCGCTTCATAAGAAATCCGACGGACTGCCATCCAGCATTGATGCTACTTTGATGAATAGAGCACTTGCGATGTGTTCCAACATGAAAGAGTGGCTACATTCCGAAGTCGAGCCGCATATATATCCAAATCCATTGGGGAGAACTGCAACTGCAATTGAATATCCGGACATAATTGCGGCTATTGTTGACTGTGTAGCCAATACGACACTTCTAACACTCGATAAAATTATTTGTTTGTTACACCGTGGAAGCATACCAGAACACACAATCGACACGTTTGAGAGCCCGGAAATGGTAGAAAATTGGTATCGTCGTGCACTTACAGCGTTTGAATTTGTTCAAAATGAATCAACTTTTGCTGCTAAACCTCTAGGGGTTGGATTGCGACAATTTCAATCATCGAGTCCCAAGCCTCTTACAACTATGTAAGAGCAAAGCATGCGTAACGAGAAACTCGGCGTATAGGTGCAATACCACATGGCTAATATTCGCGATCTGTGATGGGGGAGTGGGTACGAATCCAAAAACGGAACAATATCGCTTTTCTTTCTCTGGACCTTGCAGTATTCCACACTATATACATAGCTATAGTACAGTTTCGGAGACCATAAGGGCAAATCAGAAATGATACAGCAAAAAACCATATCAAATATGCGCGATGGACGGGCACTGCCGTTTTGAAGTGGAAAAGGGGATAGATCGCTATACATCTCAATGCAGATTGTCAAACGAGGCAGAAGCTCGGTCAACAGTATCATGATTTATCATCCACTTCCGTTCCATCAGTCACTCAAAAATTCAATAGATGCAATAGGATGTGCGCATACGGATTGTAGAGGAACAACCCAAATTCAGTCACTCAAAAATTCAATGGATGCGATGAGGATGTCCGTTTTACAGCCTATAGAGGAACAACTCGAACTAAAGCGTCTCAATACCACTAGGTGAAGAGCTCTTTCCACACCTACGAACTCTCATAATCTCGTGATAGGTGAGCATAAATATGACCTAATTTATGGTGGAATTCTCAAATGAGGCTTGATATATTGGCAGCCAAAACGACGATCTTTGATGCGAGGGACTCTTAATTCCTGGGAAAGCTACTGGAGTAAAAGCGGGAGTGGATTGCAGCTGCGGACAAAGAGCGGAATTGGACATCAAGCAAAAGTTGAAACATAGAATAGTACACATTCAGCTTTTCCGCAATACTTGAAAAAAAAATTGTCTTAAGAAATGAATATACCAACATCCAACCAATATCATCCAACCTCACAAATCTGGTAAAAGCTTATTAGGCCTCCCAAATTGGAAATATCCCCCCAGTATCGGATCAAACGTAGGACATATATTCGCACCTCCCAGAAAAAGTACCACGAGAGGAAAATCCAGCGAATCCGCAATATCCCTCAATAAACTCGTTATCCCATTGAGAGTATTATCCCATAACATGATTTCCTGCGCTAAAATCAAGTTACAATAAAGATCTTTCGTTTGGATTATTAGATTATTTGCATTTTTTTTTCATATGATAATAGTGGTTTAGTGGGTGGATTGGCGATTTTGTTAGTATAGGTAGTGAGTGTATTAATTTTGTCGAAGAGGAGATGAATAGAGATATACCGGTATCTGTGTCAGTATCATCTTTTAATGTATTAATTTGGTGAGACAGGGGTTGATATCTGTGAGGTTGATGGTGGATAGGACGTTATTGGTAGTTGATGTGAATGTGGGTATTTCCTGAGTGCTGGTGAGTATGTTTATATGGGTGTTGTAACCCTATAAGGGGATTAGAATCGATTTTCAGTAGCGTGATGATGAGAAAATTCTTACAGCAATTTCGGCTACCTATTTATTGGCAACTTGTCCGAGGCCTGTTGTGAGAAGTTCCTGATCGAAGGGAAGAGCCTGAGGAAGTAAAAAATAGGTTTTGTTCTTTAGGCTTGGTATTCCACTGCTGGATTGTAGCTGGCATGTGATTATGGATGTGAAGAGAAGAGTAATTATCCAAGTATGATGCATTTTCATCGTGCTTCGTTTTTTTGGTGTATCGAGGACGGGAAGGAATTGGGTTGTAGTTTGCGGTTGTGAAAGGATGTCGATTATCAGATAGACAATTTTGAAGAAAGCCCTTTCCTCACTCGTGTAGATGAGAAACGTTCGATAATTTGAATTATGAGGTTATTGTACCAAACCGCTGGAGCGATTAACAGAAAAAAATCAAGGGAGCAATACTCGAATATACAACAAGCTGAGAGGATATGATGGTTTTTATCAAATACTAGGAGATTTTGAGATGTATATATCATAGCATCTCCTTGGTGAACTCAAAAACTCGCAGAATTAAATATTCAGGAAACGCAGCAGATGCAAATCTCAAAATGCACAGGGGCTTAGTGTAACGATACTGTACTAAAGGCAGCGGCTGCCTAAGGTTTCGTCTGGTTGGTAGTTGTAGGTTAAGGCTTTATCACTGGTATTCACTTGGAAGTGAAGTCGTTACTAGATCAAGTAGAATGTAGGTAAACTAATTGATAACTAAGTTGAGCACGAAGCTCCTTAACTACGAGACTAAATGAATGTTTATATACCCTATATCATCTTTGAGGACCTCTGGGACCCTAAGGACCAAAAGGTCCTCAAGGACCCTATGGACCCTTCGGTCCTCAAGGTCCTCGAGGTCACATGAATTAATGAATCGTGACACTTAGACGACTTGCAAAAACAGTTTGATATGTTACATGAGATACTAAAATAAGACCAACAAAGTGCTTGAAATATACCAAAGAAAATGCAATCTCAAAAACAATCCGAGTGAGACTGCCGACAAGCACAGCTCAAACACATGTAAGGCACAGCTACCAACAGTGAGATGTTTGGTACCCCTAAATAGAATAGACGTCTTGACTTGCAACGAATTTAGATGAGCAGCCATGTTGGAATACAAATCAAGCTCGCCTCTGTCCATGTCGATAGCTCGATATGGCGTCCCTAAATAAAACCTGGGGTGATCCAAACAACTATGAACTGTATTTCCACGAAAGCACCTTGATTTTGGTGTTTAGCTGGAGACGCAAACCACATTACGATCCAGTTCTATTCAAGGTCATCGTTTGCCGGATTCCTATCCACACGGGTACCTACACATCTTGAGCATCATGCTGACCATCTTGCTACACGGCCCCCTACGCATGGTTCTCCCAACAAGGCCCTCACAACTCTAGCCCGAGGTTTCAACTCAAGTCTTTCGTGAAATCGACATGTCGACTATCCACAAATTATTGAAGTATGGACAAGTATTAAATTGAGTACAACGAAAACAAATTCAAGGCTGTCAGACTAAATTCTTGAAACCATGAGCAGAGATATTTCTTTCAAGTTTGTGTCAGCCTGCCTGAAGCCATCGCGACTTGCATGGCATACAAGCTGATGGAAAGGAACGCAGCAACGCGCGGAATCGGTCCGTAAAGTTTATTCAGATAATTAATATGATGGCTTCCCCTTTGCTCGTATGAAAACTTGTCGAATAAAGTGTGGCATAGAAATTGAGACGTGACAAGCCAAACCCGCTTCTCCTAACATTATCTAATCCCCCCCCCCCCCCCCCCCCGAAGTCGCTGGCACTTCTGTGAAGGTGGAGTTGTAGCCATTGTTATATACGCTCAAGCAATAAGAGCAAGGCGATCCTGATAATGTATGGCAATTAAAAACTAACTGATGACATTCGCGGCAGTTGAACTTAGCTGGATCTGTGGTGCGATGTCGACAAGGATTAACGCTCAAGTCATGACCAAACCTCAGCAGGCTCTTAGAAGCTCTTAACAAGTCTTTGATGATATGACGCTTTCCATTGAATGAAAAAAAGATATGTATCGCACACGTATAGTTTAAAGATCCAAGTGCATCTTGAGCGAGTAGTTGATGCATGGTTCAGGCCCATAGGAGATAATCCGTTCAAATCGTCTTCGATTATGATTACACGCACTCGAAAGGCAGATTATTGTGACTTAGGAAAAGATGTGAGTGGTTTCTGACAGTGTTCATATTGAATGTATTTGGGGTCACATTCGACAAGGTGTGAGGGATTTGGAAATTTTGACACCCAGTACGCAGCATCCGTTTGGTGACTAAGCAAGCAATATCCACCGCATTTTGTATTTTCGTCGGCCTTGAGATTCAGTGGGAAGAAGTGTCAAACCATTTATTTCTAATATACAGACAAATCCAATCAGTACGTTATGAAATTTCAGCCACACCAATACTATTTTGGTAGAACGAGGCAATTTTTCAATCCAAATATCATAAGGAGGATTCGTATTTTAGAACTCCGAAACTCTGGCCATCAGGCAAATGATGCGGCTCCCACACACTCATGATGGTAGAATCCGAATACCCCTTACTAGTACGATTCTTGAAATACCACTGCGAGATTCGAGACTTCCATGGCCACTCTTGGTAAGGTACTAGAAGCTCAAGCTACGGTTTGCACGTATCTCAAGCTGAAATTCTCGGAACGACCGTAACGTCAAGTCGTCCCATCTCATAAAGGGGCCAAAAACGAATGTTGATAGATAGATGATGAACTGGATATACAAGCAGATAATCTTGGACATGCGTGGAGCTTGGGAAATGTCGTTCGAACAGCCACCGCTGTGTACTACGGCAAATGTTTCACCTCCAAGGTCAACGATGTTTCCGAACCTTAGTAGTCGGTGAACCTTGACCATCGAGCATGGGTCTGCAAATTAAGGTTGCCATTCAACAAGAGGCTCGATTTTAGGTTCAGACAAGTGTCTATTCCGGAAAGCTGCGGGTATGGGGGATGGGTGACGTTGGAAACTGGACGCGGGGGTCCTTTCCACGATAGTTTCAACTATCTCTGCGTGCGAAAGATGCAACTTCCTATCGGCCGGCAATTCTTTCGGGTAAGGTCATAATATCATTCCTGTATTGTTTGTGGATTTCAAATCAGGCATTGAGCTTTGTCACATACTGGTCACTCAAATCCATTACTCATAAAACGCTGAGAATTACTTGGCGGACCATTGTCCAAAACCAAATCCCACATACAAAAGTCAGCATGTGTATGTATAGGTATGGTTACAATCATTTTGCCACCAAATCCCACATGTCTGGGCTGTTTCCCACTTGTGAAGCTTGCCTTCAAAATACTTCTCATCTTCTCTTGCAAGAGATTGACCGGTATTTACTTACCCGCCTGAATCTCATTCAAATTTATTCCGATTCAATTGCCATACCCGTTGCCGTGCCCCGCTGCCTACTATGCTATGATGTCGACCAGAGACATCACGAAATAGGTTGATTATGATCCACAAATTCAGCAATTCACAACTGCCGTGTATGATCAATCGCTCAATTCACGACTAGTATACTTTGAAGGATTTTGCACCAATGCAAAAAACCAAATGTGAAACAAGAGAAAAACGGTATCAAAGGCCGAGGCTTGGGCCAAAACCAAAATCAAAAACCCACAGCAAATTACCCTCATGAATTTATAATCGGGGTGGACATTTCGGCAATTATGTCTCTTCCAACTACCGATTTCTTACTTTGAATCAAGACATCCCGTGACAGACTTACAAAATCTTCCCCACAGAATTTAGCTCCCCACATCATCTCACTCCCTCACTCCATTCATGCATAGTCTTTGCATCATCACCAACATTAATTGTCCGTGTACATACAATTTGAATTCTCGGCACTCTATACTCAGTATTTGGGTTCAACCTTTCAAATGAATTTGCGGCTGTCCCACGGTTTCACACGCTCGTGTATGACGGAGGCGATCTGCTTATGCCGCACATACGTGTACGAATGACGGGTTTCCTTAACTTTCGCATATACGATCCGTTCGTCCTAACAGCGGGTGGGTGGCCGGAATCAAATCATGGATTGAAAGATATGATTATCCCCGTTCTTCAGTACTTTGAAGAATTCATTCCCGTCCGTATTTGCCGAGACCGTTGACTGCTACCCAATTGAGTAAGCTGACAGCGGGCTCTAAGGAATGATCCGGACATTGGCGCGACAGCAAGCTTCTGTTCGTCTAGTTCCCTCGATGGAAACCAAGAATGATGTCCGAGAATCAATTTTAGAGTGACGTTTTTCATGCCAGAAGCATTTAGTGTTCACTAGCCTGGCTTCGGTGATGCTTTTATTGGCGAGTCAAAGATGCAGTGTCACTTGAGTAGCGGAGAAGTGAAAATGCTATCAATGTGCGGCAATATGTCATGGTATTTGCATGTGCAGTGTCATCTATCATTACTGCATGTCTGATCTCATATATATACATACATCTCCTCACTCAAAACTTGATCCAAGGCCAAGCAAATACTTCATTGTTTCTGTTTCATCGTGCATTTTTATTATATTTATCGACGAAATTCTCACTGGGCGTGCAAGGGACAGCCCTACACTTCTTGACTCCTCACTCTTTCACGATTCCCGACGTTGAACCTAAATCTGCGATAGCATTGAAGCTCTCCACAAAATTGACTTTCTACCAGGCATCGAATACACTCTTGTCGAAGACCCACTCATCATATTATGATTGATCGATTATAACTATAAGTCTACCGCGAGAGCTCAGAGTTCTTCTGGCGTGCCAGTACCTTCCACCGACAAAATGATCACAGATACTCTTCTCACTTTGGCTACTGAGCATTGGCCTTCACTATTGATTGTTGGATTCGCCATCTATCTTGCTACCAATCGATTCAACCGAGGTCTAAATAAATATCCAGGGCCAACGCTTGCTTCTTTTACGGATTGGTGGAGATTCTATGATGTATACAAGCGTCGAGCAGAAGTGACCCAGCAGAAGTTACATGCCGAACATGGCGATGTTGTCCGCCTTGGTCCTAATACTCTCTCATTTGCAGACCCGAAAGCATTGAAAACTATATATGGATTAAACAAAGGCTTCGTCAAGGTATCTCAGTATTTACCCGGTCAGAAGCCAGAAGGTATGCTGATACGCTATAGTCCGCATTCTACCCCGTTCAACAAGCTGTGAAAAATGGCCACCCTCTCCCATCACTCTTTAGCACCTTGTCTGAGCCTTTCCATGCACAACTTCGACGTTCAGTCAACTCTGCATTCAGCATGTCATCTGTTGTTCAATACGAACCACTGGTCACTCGTACTACCGAAATCTTCCTCTCTCGCACCGCTGACCTCTATACTTCGCTAAGTGGTCATTCATCATGCGACTTTGCAAGATGGTTACAATTTTACGCCTTTGACGTAATTGGTGAAATGACATACTCTAAACGCCATGGATTTCTCGAGGAAAACCGAGATGTCGACGGTATAGTATCCTACCTAGCAAATCTCTTCGACTATGTTGCTCCAATTGGGCAAATTCCCATCCTAGATCGATTATTCCTTAAGAATCCTTTATACTTGCTAGCCGCGAAATACGGCCTCATAGACGTAACGTTCCCGGTCGCCAAATTCGCAGCTCAACGTGTACAAGAACGATATCCCAAAACAGATGGAAATGGAATCCTACCCACCGTCGACGCGGAAGTCAAAACAGACATTTCACAACCAGATTTATTGTCGAAATTCATCCAGGCAAAACATGCTAGACCAGAATTTATGACGGATGATCTCGTCATGACAATGGCTGTCTCGATGGCTTTTGCAGGATCTGAAACTACAGCTATTTCCCTCAGTGCAGTGTTTTATTATTTACTGAAAAATGAACGCTGTATGCAAAAATTAATGCGCGAAATTGATGGAAAAGCTATGGAAGGATATTTTGCAGATGGTAAAACGGGATTGGTCAGTTGGACGGAAAGTCAAGGATTACCGTATTTGGATGCCTGTATTAAGGAAGCTTTTCGTTTACATCCAGCAGCTGGGTTACCGCTTGAAAGAGTGGTGCCGGAACAGGGATTGGAGATTGCGGGGGAGTGGATTAAGGGAGGCACGATTGTGGGGTGTAATGCTTGGGTGATTCATCATAGGAGGGAGATTTTCGGAGAGGATGTGGAAGTTTTTAGACCGGAGAGATGGTTGGTGGATGAGGAGAAGGATGGAGAGGCGGAAGAAAAAAGAATTAAGGAGATGAATGGGACGATGTTGATGTTTGGGATGGGAGCAAGATCGTGTATTGGGAGGAATATTAGTCTTTTGGAGATTTACAAGTTGGTTCCTAGTTTTTTGAGGAGGTTTGAGGTATGTTCTTTCTTAATTCCTGTCTCTGTCCTGTTTCTCGCACTTTGTAGAAAAGAATGGTATGAAATAGATAAGTGAAATAACTAACATATATCCCACATAGATCGCACTCGAACACCCAGATCAAGAATGGACCTTACGCAACTCATGGTTCGTACGCCAACTAGATTTCCGAACCACGTTTCGCAATCGGGAGTTGGTGCAACCTTGTGCACAACCTTCTGTGTAGCATATCATAGGATAGATAGTGTAATTTGTACATGCATTTGGTACTCGAGTAGGCGTTTGAGCGATATATTTTCATTTTTGTGCTTGATTATGGATGGATGTATCGGATGCATTGGGTATGGATAGTACGGTACCTGCATACATGAACTTGTAATTAAAACGTTATATGAATATGAGTATTAAATGATGTATGATTGAAATGAAATGAGGTGAAATGAAATGAGTAGATTATAATCACGAAATGGAAAATATATAAATACATCACACGATACAATATAACCTTATGCAGGTACTAATAAGTAGATATAAATGGAAAATCTCTTCCAGTGCTCATGATCATTTATTTATTTATTTATTTATTTATTTATTTATTTACCAAGGTAACTTATTTTTCGTTTGATCATTTCGCCAAAGGTTAAGGTTACTAGGTAGGTAACTTACTTATTAGATATTTACTACTCAGTAGGTATTTACAGTTCACATAGAATAATATACGAAAATTCTCATAGGATCTGATCACCACTATTGTCAGAGAGATCATCTGATCTTACCTCCTAGCTACCTACTAATCTAGGTATGTATGGTATGTTACATTACATCTAACCAACACGTGATAGCGGCACAGCTACCTACCTAGTAGCTGCAGGTAAGATTACTACCTACCTATAGTACAGAGTATTTATCTTCCCCGCCAATCCTTCCAGTCAGCCTAGCTGATTGGTAGATTTTCAGATAGATGGTAGAGTTAGAGTGGCTCATGGATGTATGGTAAGGTAAGCCCAACCTCGTCTTACTTTTTTTTGGTTGGTGGTGGTTGGAACTAGGTACTAACTTCGTATTTTTGTTGGTGTTGGTGTTGGTTTGTATGTATGCGTGGGTTTGTATTGAGGTGTGTTGGGGTGTTTTGGGGTGTGCTGTACGGAGTATGATGGTTTGGGTATGCGGTGTTATGGTACTTAGATATCTTGGAAAGATGGAAAATAAAAGAGAAGCGTGGGTTTATGATGTGGTGAGGATGGGTATTGGATATTTGAATGAATGGATGGATGGACGGGTAGTGAGTGAGTTGTGAGACGAGTAAGTAGGTAGGTAGGTAGGTGTGGTGTCTGACATGCATTGATACTACGACATTGAGAGGTGGAGGTGAATCGCAATATTGATGCAATATTGAGGCGGTATTGAGGTAGGTGGCTGTACTCTGTACAATGCACTTTTTGCTTTAATTCAATATTATAAAGATAGAAATAGAAATATAAATAAAAACACCCAGAAATAGATATATTTGGAGGCTGCGGTTGATCATGTTGTTAGTTGGTTGATCTACTGCTACGAAATAAACAACCAATAACAAATAATCAAACCAACCAATATACTGCGCAAAGTAAAGCAAAGGCGGAGTACCAAAACATCGAATAACTACCCCAGTAATTCATCTACCTAGTAATTGCCTACCTACCTACCTACATACATACATACATATTCTTCGTCGTGGCGCAGAACAACACATTATCAGTACCTGAATATCCGAATACCTGCCCTGCATACCCAAAAAGAAAAGAGACGCAGAGAAATACACACCACAGCAGGGATACAAGCGGCGAAGTAACACAAATCACCCGGTTGGCTAGTAGTGAATGGGAAAATGATCATGGAAAATAAAACTGTTTGTAAGGCTGAGTATCTAGGTACGTATGTACGTACCTAGCAAAAGCATTGGGGTCTATTTTTGTGTTGCAGTAATAAGGTAAGAGTACAACAGAAGGAATTTGGGGAAGTAGGTATATAAAGTTCGTGGGTTCTCGAGGTTTGGAGTTTGATATTACAATACAATACAATACATCAACAGTTTCTTTTGCAAATTCCTCACTTAATAACTTTACAAGTTTATCATAACATCTTTCTTTCTATTGCCTACTCAAAATTAAATACATTTCCTCTTCACATTTCAAAACAAACTCAAATAGCAAAAATGCATCAATCAATCATCTCACTCTTCGCATTCGTTTCCACCGCAGTCGCTTCTCAATACAGTGTCGTCGTTGGCGGTAGCGGACTTATTTTCGTTCCAAATGCCTTGACTATTCAAGTTGGCGATACGTATGTTTTCCTCATACATTATCATCTAGGGAGGTTAAAGTTACTAATATCGATATAGTGTTAAATTCCAATTCTTCGGAAAACACAGTGTCGCACAAAGTACCTATAACAACCCATGTGTTCCCTCCGATCATGCACCTATTTTCTCTGGTGTCATCTCTGGTCCTGATCCTTCAAGCAAAGCCGATGTATGTTATTTTATTCCCATCAACAAATCCGAGTCATACTAATTTATATTTCTTAGACTCCAACCTTCATCATGGATACCCACGTCAACGGTACTTTATGGCTTTACAGCTCCGTAGCCGATGAATGTCAAAAGGGAATGTCAATGGAAATCGTAGTTGGCAATAACCCCAACCCCGATCAAACTCTCGACAAATACCAAGCTGCTGCCGCCAAAGTCGCTTCTAGCGTTGCTCCTGATACCGTTGAAGGTGGAACCGTCGGTCCACAAAGCGGTCCAACTGATGGTAATTCTTCCGCCTCTGGATCAGCTGCCTCATCAACTGGTACCGCTGCCGTTGTTTCTGGAAGCACAACTGCTACTACAACTGCTTTATCCACCACCTTTACAAGCAAGGCATCTACAGTAACTGCCACCCGATCCAGCGGAAGCGATTCTGCTTCGGCCTCTGGGACTGCGGCTCCTGTAGTCGCAACTGGTGCAGCAGGTAAACAGGCTCATGTTCCAGTTGCCCTTGGTTTCGCGGGTATTATTGGTGGGTTGGCTGCTTGGATTTAAGTAGTTGGAAACATCCGATGTGTGTATTCGTGGAATATAATAGATCGGATTTGGGGAAAGTAGATTGTGCAGAGCGATTTCATCTCTGGATCATCATTTGTTTTATGAAGACATGATGAATGGATGCATGCATGTTAATGAGGAGTTTCCTGGCGTTGATGTTCATATGGATGGCATTAGAGAACAATGGGTAGGGGGGATGTATTTAATGCAATCGAATGAAATAAATGATATTTGAATGATTTTGAGGATATACTGATGTTGTGGAAAAGTGTTTGTACAAAATTTGTTGGTTCCTTGATATCTATTCGATCTGCCCACGTTATTCGTATGATATATGGTTTCTTGATATATAGAGCCACTATTATGATTTCGAAGGCAAGCGTAAAAGCAAGCGGAAGAAGTAAAAGGCACAAAAGCACGTGATATCTCTAATGCCAGACAGAAACTAGGGTAACAAATCTTGTGTGTCTCTATAAGGTAAAGATCTTAGGTTACGTAGGTAGGTAGTCTACTATATCCCTTCATCAGATCTCACCGGTGCTCAATTTCAAATCACTGAATGGCATAGATGTATAATCCTAAGCAATTTCAGACCTTCACTGACAATATACCTGTAGAATTCTATAGGTAAATTATCATGCCTTCGTCTCGGTAATTATGATAGTGCCTCAGAATTATCCGATAAATGGTCATATTAGGGAGTGCTTTTCCCCAATCTAGGTGTGTATACCCTCTTGCTATCATAGCTGACTTTTCTACATGCTCCATTGTGGCTTTTGGTCCAAGAGATATATATGGGATGTAGTATTGGTCTACTATTCATCTTCTACTCCGTCTAAAGTCCATCGACGCAATTGATGGTAAGATCTTCTACTCGATGCGACTTTTCAAATTCATAATGCTAACTCTTTCTAGAAGTTATTGATCCCTATTGTTATATTTCTGGAACAGAACGTTGTGACAATCTTTTAGTAGATGCTATTTTTAATCCCTTCTTTACATATCTTCATCTTGCTGGACTAAGACTCTGTGATTTCTCTCTGGTAGCAAGTCTGAGGATATTCACAGCCATATCTAAAGCATTTTCTTGTTTTCACTCAATGTATCATACGCCTTCGCTCAAAACTGGAAGAATGCTACCACGGTTCCGGAATTTCTTGAATGCATCAAATTTACAATCAAAATTACAAATTATAAACTCATTGATTCTTTTTCTCAAGCATCGCTGCAATTGAGATATGAAAGTATTTGCTCCAAGATTATAAATATTACAGGTACTATTCTCAAACTAACTGAATGGTTCTTCGGTGTTTTTTGCGAGAAAATATCCCGGTTTGTAGAGAGATTCATGGAGAACTTAAATCACATATCAACACGATTGAAGATGAAAGTTTCTTGGATGGAGAAGTATAACCTACGACACAAGTATTTTGTGCTGGATGATCCACTACTGCAACTTGAAGATTCGCTTGTAAGTAGAAACACCATACATTACTTGGTTTGACTAATCAGGTATTATAGGTGTTTTCGGGGGTGACACAAGGAATATTATATTGTTCTTTAGCAATTATCAAGAGTTAGTTGACTTTTGTGCTCTCCCTCCTGTACAATACTAACTCACGCCGTTTTACAGCAGTCAAAATATGGCGCCATTATTCAAAAATGCACAAATTCTCAGTAGGGAAGCAATAGATGTAGGTACTCCCACCTCTTCTGCAGGTTCATCTAGCTGATTAGGTTTGTGCAATACCCTTTGATAGCGGCAAACCATTACTGCTCGAGTGGAAAGATATATCAATTTCTTCAGACTCACAAGCTTTCTGTAATGATGCAGGATGTATTGTACAAGTTGGGCCTTTTGGGATTACTCTTGAGAGCTCTACTTTTCTTGTTGTCGGTGAGAATCCTCGTTAGAATGAATGTTATTTTGCAATGCTATTCTGTGTCCTCATTCATTTTTTAATTGATCTACATACCATACTAACGCAGTCTCGTTCAAACGAATGATGAAGTCAGAAGAGCATTCTCATCTAACATTTTCTTCTCTCGGGTGAAATGGTTCACGCTTTGTTTACTCACTTCCTCCTATCTACAAAATATTCACTGTAAATCCATCTCTCAGCATCCGATATCCCTACTTCACAAACACATAACCACGGTCTGTAGCTAGGTAAATCAACCTCATATTTTACATTCTACATACAACTCCTGATTCATTTACAACTACACAGTAGTTAACTTCTTGCTTGCTTGCTTGTTCACCTCCAAATTTCCAAATTCTCCGTTTTGCTTCCTTGAAAATACACTCCACAGCGCAACATAAAACACAAAACATAGCAACGAGAATACAAAAAGAAAAACCACACAACCACCCGCTAGCTATCCAAATTTCAAAACGCGCCTAACTACTTGCTTGCTTGCTTGCTTCCTTGCTAATTCGCAATACTCATAATGCATACACTATGGCCTGTAATCGATTACATCGGTATGATCCATGAAGTGCGTGTCCATGAATATTTCCCCTTCCTCGCCGTTCCTTCATCCCAATCTTCACCTCTCATCTCACCTCCCAAACCCAGAAATAAGCAACAAACAAATAGAACACAATACTAACCACCTACTCTGCTTCCTATATAGATGAATGACGCATATAAACTTTCGCATGGAACGTTCCACGCGGCGGTTTGCTATGAGAAATGTAATGATTTACTTGCGCAGATTGGGGTGGGGGTTTATTTTTATTTTTGTGAGTTTGGAGTTTGTTTGTTTGTTTGTTTTGTAAGATCTTATGATTCTTTTTGTATATATATGGAGGTGTTGGATTGTTATTATTTTTTACTTGAGGTTTACGTGCTGTTTCTTTGGATCCTTTTCATACTCTACTTTTCTCCCTCTTCAATTCGATCTTTAGCTTTCCATCTCCTCTCAAACTTACCAATCCTTGATACCCTTAGTAAGAGCACACACCCACATTATCCTCGCTCTTCTCGCTTCCCCAAAAACCCCCTGTCCACCCCTCAACATCTACATTATGCCTCCCTCCAAATAACCACTCTCCTCCCACACATCCATATACATCAACCCTCCCATAACCCCAAAAATCCCACCCCGATCCCCCCTTTCACACTCCTAACCCACCAATACCAAACCTCCATCCACACCCTCCAAAAATAACACAAACCTTCAGCACCTCCACCCCCTGAAAACCCCACGACAAAACATATTCCACCATCGGCTATGGCATTGACGCTTTCAAAACCGAAGAATACGAAATGCAAATTAAAAATTCGATAATAAGGGATTATGAGATGAAGGTGTTTAGAGCTCCGGTGTTACCGTTAGTGGAAAAGAGTAGAGAGGAGGTCGGGAGGGAGAGATATGAGAGAGAGATGAGGTGGTGGAGGTATTTGGGGAGGGAGTTGATGAAAGGGAAAAGGGGGAAAGAAGGGAGGATGTCAGGATGTTGGGGGGAAGTTATTTGAGGGTTTTTATGGGGAAGGGGATTTTGAGTTTTGGGAGGGGGTGGGAGGGGTTGGAGGGGGTGGCGATGTATAGTGGTGTAAGGGAGGGAAAAGGGGTTAGCGAGTGGAAGGAGAGGCTGAAGTAGGTTCATGGAATGGGTGGAATGAGAAATTCAGCTGCGGTGATGGATAAACCGGTGAACAATATGGAATCAACTACAACTTGGAATCCCTTACCGGTCATCATGCACCGAAAGGAAAAGTTAAGGATCTCGTGGACAAAACTAACGACACAGAGGAGAAATATAAAGGATATGCTAGTACGAGCGGCTGTGGATATCTATGGGACTTTTAAGGATCCTTTTTTCTTTTTTTCCCCCCCAAAAAAAACAAAAAATAGCTAGGCAAAATGTAGAGTGGTGTGCAGAGTCTAAGGTTCAGGTTGTTCGACATTTGCATGTCGAACGGTAGATGAGCGGGTGATAAATTTCGCCATAAATACAATACCTAGGTAGATAACAAGAACAAGAACAAGGTAAGACTTATTTGAGATCGCTTTTTAGATTTTCAGAATAGCTAGGTAGCTAGCAATGATGAATGAATGAAGTGATCAATGTTTATAATGAACAGAATACATAGTAAGATTATAAAATCACATTCGTATCATGTCAGAATTCTTGAAAATTTAAATGATATCCCCACTAAGGAAAAAGAGAAGCCTCTCTGTCGGTATGTGCTCCCATTTTCTTCCATTTCACTTATATCAAATCTTTAAGAACATGCATGGTATATGAATCGAGTATAATGCTATCATTTCTCATCTAATTCGTCACACCGAAAACTATCTTATAGCTCTTTCCTCCACGGTAAATTGCTCGACGCGAACTTCTCTTCCTTTTTGAATATTGTCTGTCATGCGAATGAAAGTAAGAACCTCCTTGATTCCAGAGCGGAAAAACTCAACTGAGTAACCATCTATTGATTTTTCAGACCAAGTTGGACGTTCAAGCAGAGCATATAGCCTTGAACCAAGAACATCACTAAACGAATAGGATATTCCATCTATTTGTGTGCTATTCCCTCAACTGGTATCCTATCAACCCCGGATTCCTCCACAGCCAAGTTCTCTTTTGGATTCTGCGAATCATCCTTCATGAATGGGAAAGTAAGAACCTCCTTAATGCTATAGTTGTCGGTCAAGAACATGACCAAACGATCAATACCCATACCCCAACCAGCAGTTGGTGGTAAACCGAATTCCAAAGCTCTACAAAAGTTCTCATCGATCATTTGAGCTTCATCATCACCTTGATCCTTTTGTCTAGCTTGCTCTTCAAATCTGAGACGTTGCTCAAATGGATCATTCAATTCTGTGTATGCATTGACAATCTCCTTCTTGCAAACGAATGCTTCATAACGTTCGCACAAACCAGGCTTGCTACGATGGTGCTTAGCGAGTGGTGACATCATCTTTGGGTGCTCAGTGATGAAAGTTGGGTTGATGCATGTCTCTTCGATGAACTCCCCTACGAGCTTATCGAGCATGCGGGCATTAGTAAGAGGAGGTGAGCACTCGACATTCATCTTCTTGAGGACTCTCTTGAAGAATTCATTGGATTCGTCATTATGCAATTCATCCGCAGGTGGGAATTTCTCTCCGGTTGCTTCTTCAAGAGCTGGAATCATCTCAATACGTTTCCATGGTGCAGCCCAGTTAACTTCATATTCTTCTCCATGTTGGGTATGGAACTTGGTTGTTGTGCCTCCAGTGATGTGCTTGACAAGACCAGAAACCAGCTCTTCGGTCATATCCATGGTATCATAGACATCAGCATATGCCATATAGAACTCGCAGGTTGTAAATTCTGGGTTGTGTGTAAGATCGATACCCTCATTACGGAATTGACGGCCCATTTCGTAAACACGATCCATGCCACCAACGACAAGCATCTTGAGGTAAAGTTCTGGAGCTATACGCATGAACATGTCCATGTTAAGGTCATTGTGATGAGTTTTAAATGGCTTGGCTGTAGCACCTCCAGCAATTGAGTTCATCATTGGAGTCTCCACTTCATCAAAGTCCCTATCGTCAAAGTAATTGCGAATATATCGGACCATCTTGGAACGAGTCTTGAGAACCTTTCGACTAGAGTCGTTCATGATCAAATCAAGATATCTCTGACGATGTCTCTTCTCGTGATCCTTGAATCCATAGTACTCATCTGGAAGCTGTTGCACACAGGGTGTAAGTAGAATTATCTCTGTCGCAAAGATCGAAAGCTCTCCCTCCTCTCCCTTCTCAATCTTGCTCTTTGGTGCAGTTCGTCCAGGGTATCCAACAATACCAATGACATCACCACGACGTAAAGGTTCATGTTGCTTTTCAAATGCTAGCGCTCCTTCTCTAGACTCTTGGAGTTGGCACATAACCTGGATTTTGGTATCCCTAGTCTTGACATCGTAGAAGACCAACTTGTTGCCCGAGGCACGCTTGTTGTAGATTCTAGCCCCGACGCGTATTTCTACATTCTTGTCGTGTTCTCCTGACTTCAAATGACCGTAGTCCTTGACGAAATCCTGCAAATTGTAATTCACATTGAATTTGTGTAGATAAGGGTCGGGGGAGTTGGCTTCTTGCTTGTAGTATGATTCTTGCATCTTCTTGACTGCGCGCGAACGAATTTCGAAATATTGCTGCGTATGGTTGTCAGCGACCGAGATTGGAAATCGAAGAATGGGATAAATACCCTTGGATCCAAATCCTTCTCCTCAACCTCAGCATTAGTCTTCTTGACCGCGGCGGGTCTTGCAGGAAGAGCAGCAGCTTTCTTTGCCTTCTCTTCTTCCTTCTGTCTCTGCTTCTGTCTCTTCTTCAATTCGGTCTTGGAGACCATCTCCCCAGTGACCTCATCGAGAAGTTTGGCAGCTGATTCTGTTGGCGCCGACATGATTACGATTTCGATTTCTCCAATTGTTGACGAACAATGGAAAAGAAAGGTGGGGGGTGTTGTGGTTTTATTTTCAAAATTATGGTGGGATAAAATTTGGCGGGGAAGTTGAGTCACTTTCACATTGTGCACTGACTGGAAGTTATAGCGGCATCAATTCCTAAATAGGGCGGCACTAGCCAAATTATAACCCTTACGCGAAGAACAAAATGAAGCTAGCTCTATATCAACTACTTTAGGTACCTATACCAGTGCGTATATACACTACCTAAGAGCAACTTTTCAGTGTTCGAGCTCAGATTTGACAATCAAATGGCTCTGTCAGCTGCGGTGAACCTTCAACAATGAGAACTAGACGCTAGACTAATAAGTACTTTATGGCGCCCGTCATTTGTATCAAGCGCTTTACACACGGTATATGCATAGGTTACCAATTGCAAAACAATATCGCTTGAGTAGGTTACTCTCCGGGAGAAAGATAGATACAACGTGCATCGTATCCTACTATAGCTAGCATAATCACGACTAATTACTCAACCTTCCACTTTCTCACTCTTCATCCCTCGTTCTTTGAAATAACGCACCATAATCTCATTTCTTCTATCTACCGCCATCTCAATTGCCCCAGAGTCCTCCAACTTCGCACCATGCTTCAACAACACGTCCGCCGCTCTGATGTCGTTATAAAAAGCCGCCACAGAGACCAATGGAGGAGGAGCGGTATCCGGATCCTGGTTTGGATTCGCGCCTGCCTATAACAAGAATTCCAAAAACTCGACCGGCTGCTTGTTCATACATGCTAAGGCGATGGGCGTACCACGTCTGTCGAACTGGTGATTGATAATTGCTGCAGCTTTGGACAAAAGTGCTGAGATTAGTTCTATGGATGGTGAGTAGACAGCTGCACGGATAGTTTCTTCCGGAAGTGGAACAGATGGGTAGTTCGACAGAAGGAAACTGACAATTGATGTTTGTGACTTCCATGCTGCTGCATTCAGAAGTGTCTGGATAGTTTCTTCGGCAGGATTCTCCTCGTCGGCAAGTAGTTGTTCTAGCATATCGAGGTTGCCCGCAGATGCGGCTTCAACCATGCCGTAGGAATGATTTGTGTTCATACTTTTAAGCCTGGTATGAGAAGAAACTAATTTTCAGAAAACGATGGTCAAACTTAAGAAAGGATGCAGGTATGGATATTATGGTTTCTTCTTGTTGGTGCTATAATGTGTTTGAATGTCGTTGAAGTAAGTAGTCAGACTTTCATGAGGGTTAAAATAACTGCGTAACCTTAGCCAAAAGGTCTCGGATTTATCACAAAATACAAGTTTTAGGGTTTAACATCATGCTTATTAGTCAGCCTTGTACTGTAGTATGTTATACACGTCTTCACTTTTAGCATTCTACTGCATAAACACATGCAATCCTACCACGTCAAAACTACATTAATTTGAAATAGCCATTCTAAGGGCACACACGGAGTCTGATTTCAAGGTCATATTTCCTATCACCTCGTGGCTTATGTGATTTACAGATTCTTGCTTCAAGTTATTTGTGGCAGAGTCGAGAAGGAAGCACCACAATGTTGTATGCGGTATTTTCTTTAGCTATGAATGATTTAAACTTAATTACAGGGAGAAGCTAAATTATAAGTCCCATGAATCCTTTGGCCAAGTAAACATTCACTGAAGGAGTGCCGAACTGAGTTGACATCGTTTTCATGAATTTCTTTTGCCGGCAGTGTTTCAACGGCTGCATGCCGATGTTACTTCCTGTTATTTCACTTTGGAAAGCCACTAAAGTCTACTCTACTCGTAAGCTTCATAAAATTTTGTTCTCCTGTCGGTTTTGGAAGCAAAGCGACCGCATTCCTACGATATTTGAAGTAAGCTCAGCTTGAAAATTCCCTAGAATCAAGGCCATAGAGGGGACATCAAAATGAGATCGAAACATTTCAAAGTGAATATAACTCATGAGAAGCCCCGTGGAAATCGAGATTAACAGGACAAAATCATTCAATTATCACATTAGCAGTTTCATACTATCCGCATAAATCACAATTAGACAAGTATCAATCATGAAGTTCTTCGCTACATTCATCGCTTAAATCAACCTCATCTCTTCTATTACAGCAGCTCCAGCAACATCATTCAGTCTCGAAGCTCGTACTAAACAATTTCCATCTGTGGACTAGACACTATCGAGAAATGGGTCAAGGAAAACAATATAGTCGGTGCTAAAATCGTCTTCTCGCGGAACAGCCACTAACCAAAACACAAAAGGCTACGCTGCTAAGATCGGTAGAGAATTCTGTGGCTCCGTATATCCCGCCAATCAGCTCCTTGATTGGATCCCTGAATGTGGTGAAGGCCATGAGCAGGACAAACTTGTTCCTCGTAAGACTCAAGCAGCTGTAGGCCAGGCCTATCTTATGCTTCCAAATGGCCAAGCTCTTGCACCTGATAGCGTTTGGAGTGTGTTATTCTCTCCTGATGTTTCCATATGAAGGTATTACAACTCAGATAAAGCTTTTTTTTACTTAGTTGTTCTAGAGAGATGAGTTTCGCAAAGCTGTTTAACTCGTACACAAAGTTCCACTACAATCAATACTAACTTCCTAAACAGCACAAAATGAGTGGTCTGCACCTCGAGCAGAGTCCCGATGACCGCAGTTAATCCATTGAAAGTTGGCGAGACATTGGCGAATTGGACTCCTTACAGTCACTGAAAGCATGACCTGAGAAACAATGGGACGGCTGCTTAGGATATCCTCTAAGTTTCAACCTTGATGGATTTTTATACGCGTGAAACTGGATTTGATTTTCCGTTCTTTGTATTTTGTATTGATGTCATTATTTGTATTAATATAGATTTAGTAGGATATGCAGCCACGTCAAGTCATAACGATTTTGTTACTAAAATTCATCGTTCATAAATTTCAGTCAAACTTTAGTATCTAGTATTCTACAAATTGCAAATAATTAGAATTGTTGCCCGAACTATCCGATAACTTGTGAGGCTGTAGATCATGACGCCATACCATACAATGCTTACCGACGAATAGAAATAAACAGTAGCATCGCTGCATAGTAAACATAAAGACTTACACGTTTTTTTGTCCTACGAAGATGTGTACGTACCTTACGCCAAGATCTGATGGAAGATGTTTCTTATTCTGAAGAATATACGAGGAGTCTTGGTTTTAGTGAAATCACCTGGTGTCACTAGAGTAGAGTATAGTAGATGCAATACGATAGATGATCATGCTGTCAATGACACCAGAGCATGATATGCATGGTTAGACGACATCAAGTTTTGCTTCGGGAAAAAAAAATGACTTGGGTATGTCTGACATCTGTCTTTCGAATTGTACGGTATTGTAGTTTTAGAAATCTTTCACATATAATTCTTTCAATCATGGCAGCGTGCTAAGGAATTATATGGGCAAAGCATGTGTGCTATTTCACCTAAAAGCTCAAGTCACAAAGTAATCCGACTTTTTCAGCATGAAATAAACAACTGCAAGAAAATGTTGTACCATAAAATTGGAAGGGCGACACTTGGCTCAAGAGATATTTTTTTCCTTTTATAATTATTATAGACTCATACTTAAGTCTAGTAGAGTCACCGAATCGCTACATGAAATTGCAAGAGTATGCTTGTGTCAAAGAGAGCATGCGAAAGGAACAAAAAGGAGGAAAGAGTAAGGGGACAGAACCTTGATTTTTCATGGGCTTGTTCTCTTCGGTGTGTTAGTAAATTAGGAATTTATAGAAATGGTTTGATATCATCCGTATTTGACATTCAATATCAATGCCATACGTATATACATTAGACTTCTAATTTTACTCCTTATTCCTAGTCCTAACCTGATGTAAGATTTCCTTGCCTCGTGTTATTGCTTCTATGATTGTTCTTGAAGTCATTGCTACTTTTTCAGTACTTCCGCTTCATGTTTCCTGTGATTAAAACTCAGATATTTTAACTTCTGTTCTGATAGGATTTGGTTATCTCTACTTTTGGCCCTGCCTCGCCATAATCGGCCTCAAGTCTCCTCCAACAAACTCAGTTCTATAGTAGACGGTTGGCGGGAGCCCGAAAGCTCCACCGGCTTGCTTTCTTCTTGGGAATCGGACTTTAACCAAAGAATACCTCCAATGATGCCTTCCACACAATAATTATTGGCGTACTATCGCGCTTATTCAACCTTTAGTAGCCAGATGCATAAGCGTAGAAGCAGAAATATCTCCCGGCAAAACCCGCAAATAACGTCCTACTAGTTGGTCATTCTTCAAGGTCGTTGGTGCAAGACCGTAAACTTGACAGCTTATACATTCGACCTTTGGTTACCGTCCTCGGGAATTTAAATAACAGCTCCGATAATTCGGATAGTGCTGGCTGCAGTGGTATTTTCCAATCGAGTCAAAGCACTATGTTTACACTATTCCTGGATTTTAAATCTGAAGGCAGCAAACATGGCTATATTTAAATCGATATTTAGAGATCTTTTGACTCAAAAACTAGCTTACTCGCTGAGCAGTTCGAAAGTACTCACCTGGGCCCCAATTATAGTTGTCGCTTCTGGGAAGGCCCCTTTCAACCTCCTGGTTTTAAATACCACCTATCGCGACATATTTTACGATGCTCACTTTGGATGAAATCGCAAATCCTCTTTACGATAACACTAATTTATACTTTGCTAGTGTTTCGATGTCCACATCCATTCGCGAACTGTGGTTATGGAAACTTAGCTCGGCATAGCTTAATAGGATCGCCGAACCGATTAGCGTGGCAAATAGTAAAGGCTTGAAAGCTAGATATTTAGATAGTCCATCCTGGCCTGCAACTGTTGAGATTATGTTTGGGGGATTCTTGTAGAGAAGAAAGTCGGAGTGTTGAATGTAGATGCCTTTTCTCCTGTTTTGTACTTCCCGTTAATGACTAGATTTGGTCAAAATAGACTTGTATGGTGAATTATAATATCATCTCAGGGCAAATTTCTAGCCATCACAAAAGACAGAAGCTTTTCGGTCATACTCATATATTTCATCCATGGCTATATTTCATGCTATTAATTGTACTAGATGGAGTTGATGGGTGGCAATGTTTTGAGATGTTTACTTTATCCGATGGAAAGAGGGAAACAAGTTAAAGGACCAAGCCTTTGATCAAGTTGTCCAGCCATGGATAAAGCAATGTCAATGGTGTCGAATTAGGCTGGAAAATTTAGTTTCAGGTACAAATTCTTCAGATCGAATTTTCATGTCCGTCATTAGCACGTACAGTGGAGATGCAGATACCCACTTTGGAAGGATAGATGGAAGTTTTGGTAAGAAGAACGCAGCACAGAACGTGTAGATGATTATACAGTTTATAAAAATCTTATTAAATGGATAAATAGTTATTTATCTCTAATCTGCTGATTTTGATTTTGATACCCTTGAGATATATCTTTGGATGAAAGACAATACTGACATAAAGTTCAATTACAACTTTTATACCCAAAAATAGAAAAGAATGTACTAAAAACGATTCGAAGAGTATATTTCTATCTATATTTGACTTTAGCATCCTGGCCCTAGCATCCTAGAATGCCTAGAAGCTATGAACCAATAATGGATCAAATTATTGTGAAACGAATTTATACACCCCACATTTTGCCATGTTCTGAACCCCGTCCATCGCCTTTGCATAGTGGAACAATATATTTTTGACTGTAAGATGGCATTCTTCTACTCTAAATATCCTTCAACTTTTATTGACCACTACACTTATACGAGGTCCATATTACATCATACATCTATCGCTTGCTTAGTAGCTTACAGAGTGTAAAGTGTAAGTACAATGAAAATATTTAGATGCCAAAATCCCGACTAGAGACTCTAATTGAAAGCTATTTTTGTGCTTTCCAAAATCCCAAGAAATCAATTTTCAAATTTCGACTGTGTGTTCCATAACGAGAGAGGTCTCAAATGAACCATTGTCTTTTAAGTTCTGAGAGACCTCAGCTCTACGGAGTAATTGCCTCAACTGGGGTACCTTGGTAAACCTCCGGAAGACTCGCACATATAAGGTTACCATCATGGTTGGCAAAACCCATGTTGCAGGTCAACGATTTTCCCTAGGGTGCAGCGATTTGAATGGGTTCTGGCCACGATTTTCGACTTCTCTTCATATACCGGTATCATGCCTGGAAATCATCGAGTTTGCAAACTTCTTTGGTTGGATTGAATTAAGCTATGTTTGAGGTCCGGTATCTTACTTGTTGGTACCGATCTGAGAGGAAAATAAATAGAAAAAGAGAACGAGTACTTGGGAATTTGGGTCTGAATGAAAGGTATTCAAATGTTGCAACAACCACTTAATGAACTGTGTCAAATATTGACAATTTACTCCGTACTCCACGTGATGTCCACTTATTAAGAGGACATTAAAGTTTGATGCGCCTTGAAAAGTTAGGCATGTGGGTAGCATGTATGGAGCCCACTTTGCGAGCCGTCCTGTAGCGTTACTTTAGCAGCTAGACAGCTTCGGCTGCCTTGACTTCTCCTGGCTAGTTCAAATTCTAGTGCTCACTGGTTCAATTAAAGCTAAGTAAGGGGCCCCAAGTAAGAAGTTAGAGCAATGAATAACGAAAATACAGAATACTCATTTCGATTGGCCGACCCATACCCATATATTTACAACCAAATTTCACGATTGCCGTGGCGGCCGAAGAATAGAGATTAAGGTTACCATATTCTTCGAGGATGTTATTTTTATTTAATGATTTCATGATTTCATTCTATTGTTGAGGGGCTCGTTTATTAAGTCACATGGCCCCTAGCTTCAGTTTAGTTAATTAGCTCGGAAGGTAGCTTATTTACCCTGCTTATTGTCTCAATCAATACATATACTTTCCCTCCTGCGTCTATTTACTCTCCTCTACCAGCCAATGGACTGGAAATCTGTATCCAAGCAAGGACTTAAATGATTAGGTAAGAGCATACTGGTTGTCGCTTCCCCAAGTACATGAAGTACTGCTTCAGGATGTGGTTTCATGCCGCGTAATGTGAATCGATGTTCGCATGATTCTACGAGTAGCATTATGCCTCTATTCTACAGAGCTTATAAATAGATTGACCTGCTTTCTTGGATCTTTACAGAACCTTCAGGGCTTCTCCTGAACCAATGTCACATCATTACTACATTGATTTTGCGAGGATGCCGAGTAAATTAGAGCTGAGGAATATCCCATCAAAATTTGGGTATCACGAGAAACCGAATTCTAAATCTCATCATAATTTTTCAACCCGCATCCCAACGAACTTGAAATTTTCTGGGCCCCCAAACGACGTATTGAGATCTAATGTTTGATTGGAGAGGCCTAAGCGTTAGTGCGGTTTTGAGCGAAAGCTCTTGTATTACGATCAATTCTATTCTGTCTAAGTCCCGTCTCTTGGCAGGTTATGAAATCTATTCCAAAACCATAGACTAGCATGCGGCCATAGTTTTCTTGTTTATGCAAACAGGCAAGTTATCCTTAAATTTTAGGAGAGACAAACATCTATTTTACAATTTGCATTAGCACGAACATGGAATTGAAACATGCGAATCGCAATATATTGCTATAGAGCCACTCGAAAGGTCTTTCAGCCTTCTTTGGCACCAGCCGACCGTCCGATACCATTCTTTTCGTTACTGGATTTCTAGCATTCCTTGTCATACATATATATCCAATTCCATGGCATTGGGCAGTGCCGGGCCCTTTCCTTAGTGAGCATTTCAGCGATCGTAGATCCCCGGGGGATTTTTACGGGGGTTTTTACGAACATGCCAATCTATATCCTAGCAATTCATTGTCTTATGCCTTCCAAACATTCGTCCGTCTAAAAGGCAGGGCAGCTTCGGAAGATAAATTCTTACCATCCTGACCTCCTAACCATATAGAACGTTAGACGTTTGAAGCAAAGTTACAAGCCCATATGCATAAAAAGAGATCTCGCCTATCCATTTCAAAAATTCTTGTCGAAGTAGCCGATGAGAAACTTGGCAATCAACGGATGCCTGATCACCCAAAAATCTGTAATATATGGAGCTATCACGACTTTTTACTCCCCCCCAGGATCTGTATACTTCAGGATGAACTTTAATCGGGGCTCAGAGCGTCGCTGTATCGTGACCCCTGTTTCAAGAGATCATCACACCATAGCATGGTACACCCTGAAACAAAACACACTACCACCGTACTATGTAATTACTGACTGTAATGAAGTTTTGGCCGAGCCTTTTCCTGGCATTGGAATGGATCTAACGAAAGTTTTGCCTTTAATTCGGAACGACATAGTCTGGAGCGTTATGTTACAAGCGGTATCCGTATCCTCGGGTTTTTGTTATATGACCATCTTTCTCCCGTTTTGTTTCCTATTTTGCTCATTTGTTCAGGTGTTTATTCAATTTTATTATTGTAATAAGCCCCCTCTAGCGATGAACCAACTTCGGTGACGGCACTCCCAACACTCAATACTACCATGCTCACATTACTCTCACCAAACTATGTGTCGAAACCTACCTCTCGCGCGGACTTAGCTATCGCATCGATTGCATTTGGATGGACTCTCGGGTTTGGATGGTTAACAGCATGGACGGCATACAAGCAAACGAGACGAGTTCGACAGCGCTATGGTATCACTCGAGTTCACACCCCATACGTGGTAATGATATGGTCTGAACTTGTTGTGTGTTTGACCTTTTCCGTCGTATGCTGGCTTCATTTGTTTGATGATGTTGTGCCTCCCAGGTATGTTTCGCAATTCGAGGTTCCTGCGTCCGTTTCTCTTACTAATATGACATAGCTTCGCATTCTACTTCTGTATCCTGACACTTTGGGCACTTCAAGTTCAATTTTTGCTTCAAATCATAGTAAATCGAATCAGTATCCTCTTAACTTCAAAACAGAGAGCCGTTCATCTCAAAATCGTCGTCGCAGTCATCATCACCCTCATCAATATTTCGGTTTATTGCATCTGGATACCTGCCCGACTCCAAATATCAAATACATACATCCATCTTAACGAGATCTGGGATCGCTGCGAGAAAAGTATTTATCTGGTGGTAGATGCATTGTTGAACTTCTACTTCATGAAAACTGTGTACAGCAAGCTCGTAGGAAACGGCTTGAAGAAGTATAAAACATTGATTAAATTCAATGCGGTGCTGGTGGTTTTTTCCTTGGCTATGGATGTGTTGATCATCGGAATGATGAGCTTGGATAATTCTTTTGTGTATGTCCCCCCATTTCACCCATTTTGAACCCAAACCTCCAGTCCCACATGCCACTCAGGGTTATCGCCCCTCCTTCTCCACTTCAAAGCTAACATCACAACCAGATATATGCAATTCCACCCTCTCGCCTATCTCGTTAAACTCAACATTGAAATGTCCATGGCCGAATTGATCGCTAAAGTTTCCGCCCTCCCCTCCAACTGGTTACCGCCCAAAAAACGCACCGCATTAAAAATCGGTATTCAAACGGATATTTCGATTAAACATGACGATATAGATGATTTACAAACATTAGAGTTGGAAGACACGATCAATAGTCCCGCACCGACGATTAGCAAGGAATTCGATCACGGGAGGCCGGTGGTATTTGCGGGGGAAGATTATGACGATGAGAGAGGAACGAGCTCGAGTGCGATTGTGGATCCGAGGACCAAAGCGGGGAAAGGGGCAACTTGGTCGAATAGCTGACCCAGTGGATGAGATTAAAGAAAAAAGAGCAACGAACAGACAAATCAATGATTATGAAATTTTTAGTAAGACAATAAAAACAAGGATATTAATACACTAGGGAATAATTGCTTATCTGATTTTAATGACGATTCTCGGTATAAGTATAAGCGTTAGCTATTGACCGTTAACTTCTCGCACATCACTCGGCCTAGTAGCCCGCACTGATATCTCCCTATCTTATCCGAGATTAGCTGCTGCGCGTTTGTCTAAAAGCCATGTTCCACCACCCGATGTAACATAAGCTGAATATTCTCCGGAGGCGCTACAGTGTAGTTCGTTATCTGGCTAATATATCTGAGAGTATTGATGAGACGGGTGGTTTGTTAGTGGATTTTTGAGTTAGTGGAAGTTTCCTTATGCCGGTAGTTTGAGATTTGAGATGGGAGATTTGGAACATTTTGCAAGGGGCCGTATTGTACGACAGGAATATGGCGGTGTCGCTTAATCGTCACACAACATTACTGTGGGAATTTCTCCTTAAATCCTTCATAACCTTTGTATTCGCTCAGCTAAACTTGAAGGTACTTCTAAAACTCAAAAAATTCCTAGTCCTTCATCGCTCGCATATGTGCGTCATCCATTACGCCAACATTCCGATCAAAATAGCTTGAGATCGTTGCACAAGTCTCACCATTCATTCATAGTCAATGTGTACTAGTACTTTTGATTTTCATTCGCTTCGTCGCCCTTTTAGTTAGGATCATTCTGTAACGGAATTGTTTTGATGGTGTATTACTGTTGATGATGGTTTGAGAGAGAGGATAATGACGTATATTGGTTTTATTTATTGGGTTGGCGTCTTGAACCTCGGTCAGCATGACGAGCATGATGTTTGTGGATGTTATGAAAAGTGAACTAGTGGAAGACACGAAGGGAGGAGTGCGTGCAAAACATTTTTGATAAAATGTTGATACATAGAGTAGGAGCAGGAGTAAGAACCGGTAAGTAACTGGTTGATCTACGAATCGCCGGGAGTTAATGTGAATTTGGTGCAGAGATATACATTGTATGGTGGGGTTGTAGCATTGGAAAGGGATGGTCATTATTTTTAATGAAAGCCTAGCTCTTTGATTGTTCCAATACAACTTCGACTAGGCTAGCTCAATTCTGTGATGGTACTGAAGATTTTGGTGTTATGCATGCCGAAAACCGCTCTTTACTACGGTTTCTGGGTGGAAAAGAAAGTTTTGATTAAGCAGAAATTCCACTAGGTTCGTACTTAAAGAAAGTCAATGGGGTAGAGGGCTTCTTGGTAAAAAGTGGATTTGGGAATGATAGAACAATTGGCAAGTACTCAGCCTGGAGCCAAAAGTGATAGTAATGACAATTCATATTATAAATTTTATTTTAAAAAGAAATCTAAGTGTTAAAAGGAATGACCTCACACAGGGAATAGTGGGAAGCTGATAGGGCAGAACTGAGGTAATATTGGTCTAGTAGGTTAATCTCTCTTCTAAGTTCTACGGAAGTGCGAAGCTCTCTGTAAGAGAGCTTCTCAATCTAGTCCTAACAGGACTAGTGCCCTGTGCACGTGCTACGCAGGAACCATTCACTTTAACACTAAGTTCTATTTATTCAATTTTAGAATTTGATTTTATAATATTATTATTGTAAATTCTACTTTTCATGAAATTCTTTTTTTAAGATTTCAGGTTTATCTTTTGGTTATAAATTCTGTTTTTAAATATTGTGACGGAAATCCCTGCTTTCCTCCCACCCTTATTATATAAGAAACCTCAGGTACATTAACCATGTCCACACATGATACGATTACTCGAGATTAGTATACGATTTAGGTGGTCTGAGGATCAGATCCGGACAAGTACTAGGTATCAATGGTTATCGGTAAAGTAAGATCATTGAAGGAATAAATATGACTTCTTTTTGCCTAGCCATTACGGCTAGGCTATTCATTTGTGTATATATAGAGTAGCTATCCCCATCTACAGGTGCTCTTCACCTGTAGATTCTAAGTTAAATACAATTGCTGGTCTATAAACACCCTTTTGGTCACAAATATAAATATGTTTTTTATTATAAATTTTTAAATTTTTTAAATTTTTTATAGAAAAAAGTATAAACAAAAAACCGTGAAGATTCTGGTTTTTCAAAGTTAGAGTTGAGATAATATAAAGAAATTAATGAATAAAATAAAACTATAAAGATTGTTAAAGTGAATGGTTCCTGCGTAGCACGTGCACAGGGCACTAGTCCTATTAGGACTAGATTGAGAAGCTCTCTGTAGGAGAGCTTCGCACTTCCGTAGAACTTAGAGAATGTGTGATTCATTTACAAGACCAATATAGCCTCAGTTCTGCCTTATCAGCTTCCCACTATTCCTTGTGTAAGGTTATTTGTGACGGAAACCCCTGCTTTCCTCCCACCCTTATTATATAAGAAACCTCAGGTACATTAACCATGTCCACACATGATACGATTACTCGGGATTAGTATACGATTTAGGTGACCTGAGGATCAGATCCGGACAAGTACTAGGTATCAATGGTTATCGGTAAAGTGAGATTATTGGAGGGATAAATATGACTTCTTTTTGCCTAGCCATTGCGGCCAGGCCATTCATTTGTGTGTATATAGAGTAGCTATCCCCATCTACAGGTGTTCTTCACCTGTAGATTCTAAGTTAAATACAATTGCTGGTCTATAAACACCCTTTTGGTCACATCATTCCTTTTAACAAAATCTTATATTAATTGAAAATTACAATTTTTAATCTTCAAGATCTTGATTAATAAAATTGTGAAAAATCTAAAAAATTTCAGAATTTATTATTATATAAATAACAAATCTAATTTAAAATTTCAAAAAATTATATTTATAAATAAGAAAGTTATAAAGGTCGATTTTTGTTATTTTTGGTGGGGAAAAGTGGCCCAAAATGGGGGTACTGTTACGTGACGGTTGTTATCCCACTAGTGGCTCACGTGCACTAGCCCTGTATATAAAGACCTTCTTACTTAGAATCTTCTTAGTTCTTTAGTTTTAGATTCTAAGTGATTGAATTGACTCCGTTTACGACTTTTCCGTCACATTATCTAAAACTCATTTATTCCTACAGCCGGCGACGGCCTCTTGAACAATATCCACATTCTTAATACCTCTGTTGGATAAAATCATCGTTTCCGACTTATAGAGAAGACCTATTCCAGTGGCATTCGATACCGCTGAAGAATGGTAAATACAAGACAGTCGCCTAAGAAGACTGAAAACCCTTTTACGCAAAATCTTTCTACTACCTCTCGTGACCCTTTAACTAGGACCCCACGATTTCTTCGTTCTACTATTCAAGTTGACGCCGAGGAACCTACTTCTTCTACCACTGATTCTGAGAGGAGCTCACCAACTACGCGATTATCGAAACCTTTCGAGTACAGCAATATGCCTCCAAAAAGAACTCCGGTTTCGAAGATCCAAAAGACCGCTGCGTCGCCATCTTCTCAACTATCGGATCTACACGAACATCCGCAATACCAGCTGATGAGAGATGAATTGGAAGCACGCCTCCGTGCGGAGATTATACAAGAATTTGAGGCAGTCAAGGAAAGAGAAGCCCGAAATCGGCCATTACTACAGCAAGGTGCATCCCCAAATCATACGATTCCAAGTATTGAAAGAGAATCTACCAATCCGGAGAGTTCTGCCCCGCCTTTGAGTAGGAACGTTTCTTTCGCATCTGCACCACCTGTTGCAGACAATCGTTTTAGTACCCCTGTTTCGTCGATCGCTTCTACAAGACCCGACAAGATCCCACTTTTATCTGCAAAGCTAAATACAGGAGTGGAGCCAGATATCTCACCGGAGTTATGGCGAAAGAATATTGAAGTTCGCTTCCAGCAATACAACTATGCATTCAATTCCGAACTGATCCGAATGGCATATGTTATGGACAACGTGGAAGGAACCGCCCGTACTTTCTTGGAGCCTTATTGGCTTCGAGATCTAGCTGCAACTGCAGAAGAGTTAATTGACCTGGTCGTCAATTTCCTTTCCGACCCCTCAAAAGCCGAAAAAGCGAATGATAAGTATCAAGAGCTGGCAATGACTAAGCATGAAGAATTTCGGACGTTTTACCATCAGTTCCGATCTCTGGCTAGCCAAGCTCAGATTCATGATGAGAAAACTCTTCGTATTGATTTACGGAGGAAAGTCCCCCTCCGCCTTCGCTCTTTCGCCGCTAATGATTACCGGAAGACAACCTCTCTGCAAGATTATGTCGATTCCCTAACTCATTTCGATCAAGAGTTTCGTTCCCAAGAAGTTACAACTGGTAAAAGTTTTGGTGCTTACCGCGATCCCCCGGCAGTTCGCTATTCTAAATCCCAAGGAAAAAAGAATAATCAAGAAGAGCATCCAATTAAGCAATCTAGTAGCAATCGCAACACCGACCGTCTACAACCTGATACTCCACCTTCTCAACTCTTTATACCTTCTCGCAGTGGTCATCCAAAAGGTAATAATCCCGATAATCACCGCATCCGTCAAGATAGCGAGAAACCGAATGTAAAGTTCAAACGAAGAGATACTCCTCGTATTAATGAGTTAAACCCTATCGATCACACCGACAAGAAAGCCAATCGTCTTCAACAGCTCATAAAGGATAATCAGTTTGACCCTCGTATCCTAACAGACGAACTACGCCTTGATACTACTTCCGAAAAGCTAGTGGATGCTATCGATCTTGCACCTATAGCTCCCGACCTTAGTATTGTAGCACGAGTTCTTCAGGCAAATCGCAATTCAAAATCATTACAACCTCTTCGTATTCAAGCAAGCAAAGGTGACCCTCACTTCACCCTCGATGAAGGATTACTGCTCTACCAGGACCGATTAATCGTCCCTGACACCGACAACCTGCGTACTCTTCTTATTCGCGAAGTGCATGATCAAGTGTTTACAGCGCACCCAAGTGTGAACAAAACGATCGTTATGTTAAGCCGTCGTTACTATTGGCGAGGCATAAGCGCTTATGTAAAGCAATACATTCGCAACTGTCATATGTGTCGACGTTCTAAGGTTCCAAGAGATAAGATCCCCGGACTCCTTCATCCACTCCCTGCCCCCACTCGTCCCTGGGAATATGTTACGATGGACTATTGTAGCTTCAATAAGGATAAGTATGGATATGATAATATATTAGTCATTATTGATCGTTTCAGCAAACAAGCTATTACTATACCCTGCAGGAACACAATCACCACTAAGGAAATAGCTCAGCTTTATATATATCACATTTATCGCTACTTTGGTCCTCCCCTTACTATGCTCTCAGATCGAGGCTCCGTCTTCATTTCAGCGTTTTGGAAAGAGTTCAACACTATTCTAGGAACACAGATCAAGCTCAGTTCAACTGATCATCCTCAAACCGATGGCCAAACAGAGATCTATAATCAGTATTTGACACAACGGCTACGCCCTTTTGTCAATTACTACCAAACTAATTGGTCAGATTTGCTACCTATGATGGATTATGCTCAACTTACTCTTCCATATGATTCCCTTGGAGGCCTTACCCCCTTCGAAGTTGTTCATGGATTTCCCCCTAGAGATCTATGGGATTGGCGAATACAGTCTACCGAACCTAAAGACAAGATTAATATCGAAGAAGCTCGCTCATTAGCTCGAAGTCTTCACAATGCTCAAGCATTAGCTCGTCGACAAATCATTCTATCCCAGGAACGAATGACTAATCAAGCTAATAAGCATCGTCGAGAAGTCGATTTCGATGTTGGTAACAAGGTTTGGTTGGATACCCGGTATTACACAACCCAGCGTCCCTCTAGAAAGCTAGACAACCCAGTTTCAGGACCCTTCAAGATTCTCGAAAAGAAAGGTCATTCCTATCGGCTGGAGCTACCTAGCTCAATGAAGATTCATGATACCTTCCCGCCCGAAAAGCTCCGCAAAGCAGCTGACGACCCGCTTCCTGGCCAGCACACTGATCCTAGCCCCCCGATCAATATTAGTGGTGAAGAAGAGTGGGAAGTTGACGATATACTTGCGTCTAGAAGCTGGCACAAACAAGTAAGGTATCGAGTATCCTGGCTCAATCATGATCCGGATCCTACATTCTACCCTGCCTCAAACTTTATGTATGCACCTCATAAGCTGCGTGAATTTCACTTAGCACACCCAACTCAGTTTGGCCCCCCAGCACTACTTATGGAGTGGATTAAGATGTATGAGGAAGAAAGGGATGATTATGATGAGCTAGCCGACAATAAAGCGATGGATGAAAGCTCGAGGGCGAGCTTTTTCAGAAGGGGGGGGTGATGTTACGTGACGGTTGTTATCCCACTAGTGGCTCACGTGCACTAGCCCTGTATATAAAGACCTTCTTACTTAGAATCTTCTTAGTTCTTTAGTTTTAGATTCTAAGTGATTGAATTGACTCCGTTTACGACTTTTCCGTCACAGGTACTAGACTTAATACTTTCCAGGGCCTTTTTTATTCTTCTTCTATATGTAGGTTTTCAGTTGATCAGTTCATTAACTACTTAGTCTCAGTAACTTCAATGCTTCCTCCCATTCTATCTTTCCTTCCAATTCATAAGCTCATCATCTTTACTCTCATTTCTCAACCTATTAATGCCCATTCAGACCCACTTGAACGAATTTCCATCTTCCAAATCATTTCCACCTCCATATTCCTCCTCCAACAACAACCTCCTCTTCCTAGCCTCCACCTTCCTCTTCCAACAACAACCTCTTCTTCCTAACCTCCCACTCCCTCTTCTTCTCTAACCTCGCCCCCAACCCCCTACAATCCCCCTCATGCCTCCCCATAACCCAACAAAACTCCCCCCCATCCGTCTGCGCCGCAATCATAATCCTCGTCCCCCTCGGCATCGCCCCCACAATAACATCCGGACGAAAATACAAACATTTCCGCGGAATCTCCGCTATCGCTTCTTCATCCTTCACTGCATTTTTCTTCCGATCAATACACACGTGGATTTCCACTACCGCTTTCTTACTACTCTGTATCCATGCCCTTGCTATCCGTAACTGTTTCTGCACATGATACCAATCATGCGTAGCGTGGAACGGAAATAATTTTACTCGTCGCGCGGAGGCGTCGCCTCCCGGGGCGGATTTTAAGCCCCGTGATATAGAGGCTGTGCGGATCGGATGGGTGATTTCTTCCTTGGGGATTTTTTGTAAATAGTATTGATTTGAACCGGGGATGTCTTCGCGTGGTGCGAGAAATGTTCCATCTTTCAGGTGGTTTTCTAGTATATTTTTTAAAGTGGTGTCGTGGATGATGGGATGGGGTTTTATGGTTGCGATGGTGGGTTTTTTAGTGTTAGGGGTGGGTAGGGGTTGGTATTCTATGGAGGAGGGGTCGATTAGTTGGACGGGGCATGATTCGGGGTCAGTGAGGGGGAAGTTTTTATATTCGGCTAGTTTTTGAAGGCCGACTTTGCTGGGTGTGGAGGCGTAGGTGAAAAGTTTGATGGTTCGTTTCTGTTGTTGGTAAGTTGATGGGTGATGGATGGTTTGGAATTTAGGTATTCTTATAAACCTAGTTGATGGTGTTGATCGGATGGTAAACATTGAGTTTGTGTAGATGAAGGTTGGGATATTTATTAAGGCAAGACTTGATTGATCTTGAAGCTCATGATATCGATCAATTTGTAAGATGTGCTGAAGTTCATGAATAATTCCAAAATTGGTTCACCGCTTTGGCAGAAATGAGGTTCGACTAAATTCTTCGATAAAGTTATGATACTGATTGGATTCCCTTTAAAACATCTATCTTTCTTCAACAATAATACCTAGTCTGCCTCCACGGCAGTGGCCCCCGGAGGGCCAGCGGAGCGTCATTTCAATTGATCCTATTGATTCTTGAATTCTTTATGGGGGCAAGCCCCCAAACCCCCTTAGCTCGCTTCGCTCGAAGATTTAGGATTTTATTATATTGGTGACATTTACGATATTTAAACCCTTCTTAACTACGTATCTTGTTATATTAATAAGGATAATGCCTCCGTAGTATTTATTTCAATACTGTGATCTTTAAGAATCAAGATGTTTATTTTGGATGCGAGATATTTTTGATTGATTCATCATTGAGCGTCTCGGTAGGTAGGTAAGTTACTTTTAGTTTTACCGGACTCCGATGTACCGGAAATCTACTGTACTCCATACTTACTTGCTTCTATTCCATATTTCCTCGATGTTTCAAAATATGTGTATTATTAGGTCAATGCAAGTTAATAACCAATTATTTTGATGCGATGAGGGTTATGTGTAAAGAAGTAAGTGTCGGGGATTAGTTGATTTGTTCTTTATTTGTTTGTTATTAGGTAGGTAGGTATCTTCAGTAGATCGTTCTTGATTCTTGACTTATTGAATTCTTGGGTGACAGCGGGTGGAAACATTGAGATGGATGGACGGCGGTAATGATAAAGTTTGAGAGTTGTATTGGTGAATTTGGAATTCACATGGTGATGAAATCTATTGGAGTTTTCGTTGAAAAGTATCTGATTTGTGTAAGGGTATAAGGGTGTAAGAGTGTAAGGTTTATTTAAGATGAAACGTGCGAGTACGAGTAGATATGAACAGAGTAAAAGGGGAATGACCTCAAAATGGTTCATGCTATCAATGGTGGGAAGAAGAGGGAGATGGGATTGATTAGTGGGTGAATTGAATGATTGATTGTCGATTAATTGGTAAGAGGTTCACATTCGGGTACCTGACGGATAAAATGATAAATTCAAGCAAGGTACGTGATTGATTTAATTGGTGGAATGAATGAGGGTTGTGTTCTGACTATACCATTTTAGAATAAGTGCCAATATTGCTAGACTCCAACTAGTAAAGTTTACAATTAATTCCCAGACATTTAACCAATCAAATGATTTGTATCCTCAGATTTAACGCGGGATATGATTATCCTTATCAAGCAATGATGATTTATTATTTCTACCTTATCATGATTGCTTGAGACTTGAAGGAAGTGAAAGGAACCAATCATGTAATAAGATGTAGTATTCTCGGTACATACAGTACGGAGTAATGCTTCATGTCAAACATCAACTATGAGATGCATCTGTTCATCCATTGATTAATATTCAATCTTGGAATCTGTATCTATAGATACTTCTTATCCTTTTATCCAGTCATCTACTCCATACGCATAGAGACAACTTCAAACATCTTTTCCCTCACACTTGGCTTCTTGGCGCATTGTTTTGTATTACAGATAGAGGATAGCTCAGTAAAGATCTAAACCGGCTAAACCCTTTCCTCACCATCAGCCACCCAACAGCCACTCATAGCCACAGAAAGGTACGAGCGTGTCAGGAAAATCAAAGCGAGCAAACCGAGTGTCGCCTTAAAATTGTCTCAGTTGCAACTCCACCATTCGTTCATTCGTGCATTCATTCATTCCCCTCCTCAGTTCTACGGAAAAAGCTTTAATCTTTCAAACAAGATCATACAACAAACATCTCTTCTTTCCTTTTGTCTAGCATATCTCCTCTCTTCCTCTCTCCCTCTCTTATCTCTCCATCTTTTCATCCCAGCAAACCTCATTTCTACTCATCAAACACAGCTACATCCGAGCACCAAGTCCTCTAGCGAGATCAATTGAAAACGATAGCCTTTGCGCGCCGCTGGACTACGCACCCAATCAATGTCTCATATTGGATAGTTTGAGGGAAAGGGATAAACTCGTACTCAGTCACTACTCACTCTCAATCAACGTTCATTTTTCGATTTCAATCTTGTCATTCGTTTATTATCACCATATACTCAATCGCATTGGTACTATAGGGAATCTTCCATTGATCAAAAGAAAAATCAATTCCAACCGCCAACTTCCGACCATTCCACAACGACCTTCCTGACAGGGACCGACGATCAAACCCGCGCGCTTCAGAGTAACATACGAAGGAAGACATTCTCACAAAAAAGAAACTCAAAACAATCAATCCCTTTTTTATTGTATTGATCAAGTCAAGTCAAGTCATGTCAATTTGATCTTCAATTTACAAAGACTTTGATATCATCAACTGACTTGGTCCCTTCATCGCTTCATATCATATGAAGAGTGAATATCTCGTCGCAATCATTTCCAATTCGTGAATAGTCACAAATTAACCAAAACATGATTCAACAATAGAAATAACCTCTTTTTCTTTTTTTCTATTGTGTTTCTTGCTTAGCTTTAAGCCACGGTCGATCCGAACAATAACTTATATCCACAATCCTACTGTCCTTAACGTCTTCATCCGTTTATTCGACCTCCACCATCCAAGACGATTCATTGTCTTACATCTCTTCATATCCCTTCTCTTCTCGATTGACCTTTTTTCTGAAGACCAGATACTTTGACAATTACACAACGTCTCAATTGTACATCACCTTCACTTAACCCGCACAAGTCGATACTTCGCAGGCGGAGAACGACAAGTGCATTTATAACTTCACAACATTCCTTTGGTCGAGGAAACCCACTCTTTACAAAATATCCAACAACCCTTCACCACTTCAATTCCTTCTTTTCTAGCCAGGTGCTTCGACATTATATCAATTGTCATCGTGGCAGAGCCAAACGAATTTAATCAAACATATACCCTTTACTATTTCAATCATGGGTTGCGGTTCCAGACGTGTCAAGCCAGATGACTTACGTCCAGAGCAGAAATGGGACTTTATAGTAAGCTTGGATTGAGGTTGAAATCAGGACATAACTAATTCCTCTACAGAGTCTTAACGATTTTAAATCAACATCTTATTTTACTCCTTTCGCATATGCATATCTATGGATCTCTTTGGGTATATCTACCGCTGTCTATGGTGTGGATACCTTCACTGCAGTTAACCTTTTAGCTTTCAATCGTTGGTCGGGTGAAATTCAACCTAAAATTCCCCTCAATGTTTCAAAATGGATCTTCTCTGGATGTATCATTGCCTCTTGGATAAATCTTGGTTTCGAACATTTACGATCGTGGAGAGTCATGCGACGAGGGGCGGTTGCGGAAAGTTACTTGGATAATCTTGCGGTTCGACTTGAAAGTGTCAAAATGGGAAAGAGTGGTCGAGGTTGGAGAAGGTTCTTGGTCTTTGCCGAATTGACTAAATCCAAGAAAGGAACGGAATATGTTGCACTATTTACATATTTCGCTTTTCAATGTAAGTCGCATGAAAAATCTCGATTTTCCCATTCTAACAATTACAGCTTGGATTCGGGTTGTATTTTGTCAAGGACCTCGTCAAGTCATCAATGCATTAACTTTATACTCGGTCTTTCAAGCTAAACTTGATCCAACCGAATCCGATGATGTTGGACATGCTCTATTAACCTTCTTCAAGAATGTTGGTATTCTTGCGGAACAACAACATCAACAAGCAGTTATCTTGTCTGGTATGATCTTCACACTCATCGTTTGGATATTCTCCGCTTTGAGTCTCATCCTCGCCATCTTGTTCTACTTATTGTTCTTATGGCATTATATTCCAAATCGCGATGGAGGACTTACGGGGTACTGTGAACGAAAGATTAATGGTCGTTTGACAAAGATCGTCAGCGCCAAGGTCAATAAAGCTATCGAAGAAGAGGAAAGGAAAAGGAAAAAGGCACTAGAGAAAGCGGCAAAGAAAGGGGAGAAAGTTGCTGGACATCAAGCTACTCTTCCAACACTTTTCGATTCAAAGGATGATGACAAACTTCCGGACATGCCTATGCTTAATAGAGCAGACACGATGGCGACGCTACCACAATATACATCTCGACCAGGTACACCAAGTAGTAATATTCCACAAACAGCTAGCTTCGAACTCGAGAAAATGGATCAAAAACGACCATTACCTCAAAGATCTATGAATGGATCAAGTTATTCTTCAAATGCTTCACTCGTGAATAATGCGAGCGATATGGGAAGGTTACCAGATTTACCACCACTCGATACCGATATGCCATTTCCTGGTCCGCAAAGAACGAATACTGCAGGGTCTCAAGGTAGTCAATGGCAACGTGGTCCACAACAAGGTTTTCAAGGTCCACCAAGAATGGAATCTGCAATGGGTGACCGTGGTTTTACAGCAAGTCCATTTTCTTATGCTGATGGAAGAAATACTCCTGGATTCCCTGGACCACAAAGACAAAATACAATGGATTCTTATGGAAGACCAATTCCTCGATCACATACGCCTATGGGTCCTGGCCCAACTCCATCAATTGGAAGACGTACACCATTTGATCCTGCTATGCAGAATCCTCAAAATCGTATGATGTCACCAGTGGAATATGGATCAGAATATGGACCAGAATATGGGAGACAAACACCATTCAATCCGGCCCTTCAAAATCAAGGTCGTTCATCACCAGCTCCAGGGTCAGAATTCGGAGGACAAAGACCACCATTTAACTTTTACAATGATCAAGGGAGATCATCTCCAGCTCCAAGACCTGAGTTTGGTGGACCAAGACCACGTTTCAATTATAATGATCAAGGGAATTCATTACCTGGTACTGAATCTCATTTCGATCGTAGAACACCATTTGATCCAAGTCTACAAAACAATGGACGCTCATCTCCTGCTCCATCGAATATGAATCAAGGATATGGCCAAAATACTAGAATCCCGCCATCAAATAACCCAAGTGGATACAATGCATTCAATCCGAGTTCAATAAGAACAAATTTAACTTCATCAGAACAGCAAGAAGAACAAAATGGTTTCGACTTCAAAACGAGTAGAATTAATCCTCCTCAAGTTCGAAATTTTACGGAACCAATTCCTAGAGCTGCTACTACTGGACCGGGTCAAGTAAGGTCGACTGGGAATAGAAATGAAGATTATGGGGATGAAGAAATGGGATCTATTCAACCACCTAGAAGAGCGGCGACAGAAGTTGGAGGTTTTGGTGTAGGTGAAGGAAGTCAACAAAATCAAGTTCATCAAAGAAAAGGTTCTGAACCATCTGGATTTGGATCAAGTTCAGCACCTTGGGGAGGTTATAGATGAAAGGGTTTTAGAAGACCATTTTAGTGATTCTAAGTGAGCGTATAATCTGGGTTTGATGTATATTCGAGGGTGAATTTCCAATGGGAGGTATTTACAGCGATGGATTACACACTATGGGAATGTTCTTTGTGGTTTACGTTCTAGAAGGAGATTTATATCTATTTACGTTCTTTATGAAGATGAGGAAGATGATGTGGATGAGGATGAGGATGAACCGGAGATCTTTATAACACTTGTTTATGTGTATGATGGGAGAGTCCGCTCGTGGGGTGGAATGTATTACATTAGAAGAGAAGGTGGTATATGATCTCCGGTAGCATGATAAATGATTAATACGATAGGGTCGGCTATTGAATGAATGGTTTGATGATATGTAGTAACGGTGGATCTATTGGTTTGAAGGCGGTGAGATTCGGGGATGAATGGATGGATGAATGGATACTTACAAGTTAGATACCTTTGGCGTAGATATCATGAGATAGATATGTAGATGGTTTGAAGAGATGAATGATACCTTTACTATTGTCCTTTTAAGTCCTGGAGATAATTATTATGAATCTTTTTTTGCTTTTCAATATATACAATTTAAAAACAAAAATAATTAAAAATGATTTATTTAATTTTTATAAAAATATTAACTTATAATAAATTATTTTATTATTTGATAACGTGGTTTATCAGCGAGTCGTCACTTTTTCACTTATTCAACCACTTTAAACTTATTTTAATCAACAATTATTGAATCAATTGATTTAAACTATTAAGAATCTAATAATCTAGGGTCTATTATATTATTAGAACAAGTTCTTGAATTGTGACCAGTCTTTCCACATTTACTACAGTATCGATTAGTAGATGATTCCCCATTGGAATTTCCTCTATTTTGACGCTCGTTGCATCGAATCTGAATATCTATCTTTTATTATGATATTATATCTGTAGCTTCCTGACCAGTAAGTACTCCTCCTTGATGTAATTGAGTTTTTTTAACATATCGATATTTGCTTAATACCTCATTTGCCTTCCGAAGCATACGAATCTCTGCATTTAAGAGTGTATTCTCATAAGCTAGTTGTTTTATACCTTTAGCTAATGCAATTATAGTTTCGAATATAAATGTAGGAGAACTTGATTGATATCGAGCAATTCGAGATTTTATTAAAATTGATTGTAAAAGAGCTTCAATTGGATTGTAAAGTATTTGAGAGACCCAAGAGTTGGCAGATTCCAAAAGGATCGATGGAGGGGTAGGTGTGCGAATTCGAATATCTAATTTCGAAAGCACAGTTTAAGGATCAAATGGTATTAGTCCTGCTCCTCGAAAGCCAGCTTTCATATTCTGAATTGTAATCGATTGTTGATATGCAGCTTTGAAAGCTATAAAGAATTCAATCTTAGAAATATGATTGATATATACCTTGTTAAACTTATCAATTTGATAATTATATAAACATTTGAGTATATTAAAACATCCAATATTAAGTGGTTGAGTTAAATGATTTGAATGCGATAGTAACTTTACATATATAATGTTATTTGATTTGCAATATAATTGGAAAGGTATCGATTCATGACTTTCATACCTATCCAATACTAACATTCAATATTTGCCCTTTCTTTGTTGACTAGTATATTTATCGAAGTGCTTTAACTATTTTAAACCTGTCTCATTATTTGTTCATTCATTAGAAATAGATTTAATAGTCCAATCCGTAGGAAAATCGATTTCGGTATACCAATTGGAAAGATGAACTTGTCCTTGAACTATCAGAAATGGAGGTATAGTTTCACCCTCTTCATTACTACATATAATTGCCATAGCCTATTCTCGATTGCCTAATTGTATTACCTTGCTTCTGCCATTTCTTTCAGAACTAGTTACAACTATTCCAGAGCATATTATACCCATCATAAAGCCGGTTTCGTCGAAGTTGTAGAAATCGTAATCTTGAATATCATATTTCGCCTGCATATTCGATACCAATCCAAACCACTCTTCAATAAGCTTGGGATCTTCGCAAAGAGCTCTTTGAAAGTTATAAATACAACTAAAACATATCTTTAATTTTATATAATACTTTACGAATCGATAAGCCCAGAGCTTTCCAACTCTCTTCATACCTCTTGATTCGAGAATATAATTCGCTATATCTTCTACACCACTTAATTTAGATACAAATCCTTTTTTATCTATATCGATAATATACTAAATAAACACCTCTTCTTCTTTTTCAATAAAATTAAGATTATTTGCTCGAGTTTCCATTTTATGAATTCAACCACTCATTCTATCTTGTAATGTAGTTCGAGAGACTTTGTAGATTTTCGCAGCCTTTCCAACTGTAAGATTTTTTGATTTTTGAATAACTTCAATAGCTAAGATTATTCTGGCCTCTTTTGATTGTATTTCCATAATAATTCGTTGAAATATCGCGTCTTGAAATTGAATGATAAAAGATATTGAAAAAGTGGCGACTCGCTGATAAACCACGTTATATAAACCTTTGTGTTTATAATTAGTCAGGATCGCTGTGCGGTCCTGGACTGCCAGCGCTCCTCAGCGGTCCGTAACGTGACTTAAGGTCACGTTACCCTAAGTTAGTCATGTGACGCGGCGTTTGATGATAGCCGTCGTAACACTATCATATCTCTCTCGTCTTCAAATATCTCATCTCATCTCCATATTAAATTCTTCGCCTTCCATCCATTCACTCTCTTTTTTCTCAAATAAACTCATTAAGTAAAGATTAAAAAATATCAAGAGGAATATCAAGAGGAATATCAGGCATAATTATTGAAATAGATATTATATTATATCATATTATAACACAACATAACATAACAAATACAATCTGTTTGCTATATAAGATTATTTACTAAAAACGTTTTATAATACTATACGATAGGATATGGTACAATACAGCACAATACAATACTTGATAGGTAATATGACTCGACTTACGAAAGCTACGAAAGCTACAAAAGTATATCCCGCCGCATCCCAAAGTATTACATATGAAATTTTTTAGCCAAGAATTCAAGGTAACGTGGGAAAAGCGAAGCGAAGGTTAGGAAAAGAAAAAACAACAGAAAAAAAGTTCAAGGAAAACTATACATGGATGGACATTGAAAAATTATTCCACATGATTCATCATTTTGCATCCACCCCCCTTCCCCCCCACACTCCCGGCCCCCTCCCGAACGCCAATACAGTGTATCCTTCCCTAACCACCAATTGACCCGACTGGGTACCATCCACTCTATCCCTCCCGTTCAATAAAGTGCATCACATCATGATAACTACGCAGGCCCAGTCCTAGCCAGAACTTCACTCAAATGCTTTAAATCATTCTGTGCCTTTTCATCTCTCTCCAAAATACTCCTGATAGCTTGCCATTCCAGATCTCTCATCTGGTAAGCTTGTGGCATCAAGAAACTAACGGTTGGAGCTCTCGCATACTCGCCCAATATCCTCAACGCAACAGCTTCACCTTCTGCTTGTGCAATTCGTCTTTGTTCTTCTGCATTTTGCTGTTGATATCTTTCATCAGGTTTTCCAATAGGAGTCGAAGGGTGAAAACCACCTTGAGGAACTATAGGACTAGGAGACATAGCTGGACCTGAATGATTTATTGACATTTGTCGTTGAGCGATCCCACCAGCTGTAAGAGGACTGTGAGGATCAGCTGAACCATCAAAGGATTGAATTCTTGAAGGTTGTTCCCATCCACTGCGAACAACTAAGGTTACTAGTAACGAAGGCTCTGGTCTCTCTTCCGGCAAGTTGTGTTCTAAAAGATTGACGACGAAATCCGGGATATTGCCAGGTCCAGGAGGGACTGGAACTAAATATGTATCACGTACATTTCCAGGACCTTTGTTAGTAAGTACTCCATAACGTTTCTTGTCATGAAAGTAACTATACAGATCAAGGAAATCTGATGATGCGGAGGTTGGTGTGATGTTAATAATGACCACATCAGATGGTGGACTATATCGAAGGCCACATAAATATTCATTGGCTTTATCAGCATCAATCCTACCATGAACTTTCAAATCTTTGTGAAGAAGCTCAGACCATGGTGTTTGCATGCGATTGCGACTCAAATCGGGACCAGCAACTTGTTTGGCATATGCTGAGAACTTTGCTACAGAATCCATGCTCACTGTACCTCTCCAAACAATATCCGGATCTGGATTGTCTTCAACTGGAGAGTAAGGTGGTGACTCGTTATCATCTTGAAGCATCTTGTCAACATCAGGATCGTCTCCAGGTCCATTCGCAGGCGGTGCATTTCCAGACATTCTTCTGTAATGATCCATACCGCGCTGTTTGTTGGAAGAAGGATGAGGAGATTGAACACTCGAGAAGACTTTGTTGATATCAAAATTTCCTGTTGCTGAACCTTGTGTGGAACCCTTTCTTAAAGCTGGTTGCTTGGTATCAATATTCAAAGGTGTTCTAGGTGTTGATGAAGTGCGACCTTTATCTCGAGATGGATAGTCCTCAGGAATTTCTGGGACTTCAACCTCGTTTTCTGGTGAGCGAGACCTAGATCTATCACCCATACCAGCATTCGGATCCAACATTTCGCGTCGACGTGCTGCAGACATTGGAATATCGGAGTACTCGTTAGGGTTGCTGTCTCCTTCGATAATTTCCTCGCCCTTGTGAGTTCTGCGAATTCGAGGGCCATCATCCGTAATCATGATCGATTGTTTATCAGCTCGTGCCTTCATAATTGCTGTCTCACGTTTCAACTCATTACTCGCCATATCATCAGTCGTCATGACCGCTAAGGCCTGGGGTGTTAATGACTGTGACAATAAACCATTACAAAGTTCTTGATTTTGCTTTAAATTGGAAAATATCGAGCGTATTTGTTTGATGGAGGCTGACTTATTTGGGTGCGTGTTACGAACGGCTTCTTCTATTTGAATAGCAAGTCGTTCTGCCTTGGCATCAATGGTATCATCAGGTCGTAAGGTGTAATAACGGTCTTCGATAGCATGTGGGATGGCTTGAAGTAAACCTTTCTTAATCAACGTTGCCTGACCTTGTTGCTCGGCTTCCAGTTCCGTAATTTTGGAAGGTAAATCTGACGGTGGAGATGCTCTAGGTGTAGGACGAGACATAGTTTTGCGAACTTTTGATGAAGATTCCTAGGATAAAGTCAGTATATCCCATCTATTCAATCACGATGTAAGACTCACTTTGATAATCTCTTTATCCTGTAATTCATCATCCCTTGCCTTTCGCTTTTGGTTGGAACTCTTCGCAGGCGAGTCTTTCTGTGGTTCCTTCTTGGCTGGAACTGAAGGGGATTGTATTTTTCCATTGGCAGGAGTTACATCGCTTTTTTGGTCACTTGATCTTTTCTTTCCTTTCTTTCCCTTCTTCCTCGCGGCTTCCTCTGCATCTTGTCTCTCTTGCTCTGCCTTTTCCTCTTCATGCTTCTCTTGTCTTGCTATCCAAGGTTGTTCACCTCGAGCAATTCCATCTAGAAGCTCCTTGTGGGCATCCGGCGCACATTGTTCGCAAAGGTATTTATCTGGTGTATCTTCCTCATATGGGCTCACTCCCACGCAAACATTATGTTGCCAGACAGCGCAATTGTCGCAAGCGATCCAAGCAGCTTCATCATCGTCCGTAGTCGAAGTAACTCCACAGACACAACGAATAACCTCAACTTCTTCTTCCTCTTGAACGGCCGTCTTCTTTCCACCCTTCTTTCCTTTCTTTTTAGTTTCGACAGGTTGGTCAAGCTCATGAGCTTTCGGATGTTGTCCTTTTGTCGCTCGCGACGACTTCCTAACATCTGTACAATCCTTGTTAGTTACCTCGTATAATCATATTTGGGGGAGCATATGTGAATTCCTTGCGCAAAGCAAATGGGGGTGGCCTGCGAAGAGGTTGCCATTACTTACCAGCCATAATGAAGGATATTATCAAAGATACGAAGATTCAGAACTCTTGTGGAGGCGAATTTGATTATTACAAGGGATGAATATGCGCTCTGGAGGTGATTTCAAAGTACGCGTTGATGAATTGATTTCACGCGATCACTGGCTCTACGAACAAGCTATGGAGTTTGTTGATAAAAGGGCAATATGTAAAAGAGAAATGAAAAGCTATCAAAAGGGAATGAAAAGCTTCTCTTTGTAATCCTGCCCAAGTACACAAGAATGAGGTCGCGATATTTGCTGCGCTTTGCTTTGCTTTTGTTGACAATCGGGACAAGCTTCAAGCTTCAAGCTTCAAATTTCAAGAGAATCGGTCGCGTCTGCTGAATGCGCGCAAGGTAGCTTCAAAACAGCTTGAAAGGATGGATAATTGATCGTCACAGTGGATTGATGAAGGTATTCGAAATAATGCGACAATGTATTACGATATTTCGATATCTTGGATGCACAAAAAGGCCTTTGGTTGTCAGTTGAACTTTCGGTGTTTATGTTTATATGACTCCAGTCGAGACACGGGGAGAAGGAAAAAAGGAAGGCGGCGATTGATTAATTTTCACCAAGATAATGGATAATGAACAATTTTGCGGTAAAGGTAAGGCAAAGAGACGAGGCTGGCTTAGAAATTCCAAGGTTTTCCAAGGTGCGGGGATGTGATCATGTGATGTCGGGGAATGTGAGATCCGATATGGAGCTGTTTGTGGCTGTGGCTGTGCAGACGGATGAGTTAAACTAATTAAGGTCTAGCGCGTGCCAGTATCCAAGAGCTTCCAGCTTGGACCTAAGATTACTGGACATTGAAACTGTCAATGAGCTTCAGCCTCGAAAACAACCATCTCGGAATACCTTCACTTCCTAATTCTATGATATTCAGGAACTTTAGCCTTGGAATCCGAAGTCATATTAACGAAACCAAAATAGCTGGAATCTCGAATACCTTTACCTCCTGAAACAGTATTCTTGGTTCCATAAACCGTTACCCAAAACACAACAATTATCATGGCGGATGTTCGTTCCCTTCTCAAAAATGAACGAGCTGCTCGTCGCATACAGCATAAACATGCTGGTTATTCAACCGCTGGTGCTCTAATGTGCCTTGTCTGTCATTTACAAATGAAGAGTGAATCATTATGGGAAGGACATTTACGATCACCAGGTCATGTTATGCGATTATCAAAACAAGAGGCAGACCGTGAGCGCAATGCGAGAGCAGATACAAATGGCAGCGAAGAAATTAATAGAAAAAGAAAAGCAGACGATGAGGATGAGGATATAGATTATGGGTCAATGAAAAAGCGCAGTAAAGCTACAACCACTGCAATGGAAGGATTTTTTGTGCCAGCTACAGAAACATCAAAAGAAAGATCTGAATCTCCCTCAAAATCGGCGATACCCCATGATATGCAAATTCCTTCTCGTCCCGCAACACCAGCAAAACCAATCAAGTCGCCGCCTCCGGTCAAACAGGCTACAGTGGATGAGGATGAATGGGCAGCATTCGAAGCAGATATTGCGGCTGCAGATGTTCCAGCAGAGATAGGATCGGAAGCTATCATATCTGCACCTGCAATGACCACTGCAGAAGTAGAAGCTCGATCCGCGGAAGAAGATAAGAAACATAGGAAGGAAAAGCTAGAAGCAGAGTTGGAGGGGGATAAAGAAGATGCCGAGAGGAAACTACAAGAAGAGTTCGAAGAAATGGAAAGCTTGGAACAGAGGGTCAAACGGTTACGGGAGAAAAGAGAAGCTTTAAGGTCGAAAGAAAGGGAGGCAGGCGCAACGGAATCAATGATAGCTTCATCCGAAACTCCAGAAGCCAAGGATGCATTGGAAGACGATGACGAAGAAGAAGATGATGATGACGAGGATGATTGGGATGGATTCAGATTAAGGTGAAATCCAAATTTGGATTGTGTAATACTATGGAGGCTGGTCATGTTTGTGTTCGATGCGGTCCGATTATACCCTATTTAATAAAGCAGGATACCAACTCCTCTGTTATGAGGATGTAAAAATCATTTAATACTTTATGAGGGTATACTGTCCTTGGCACTAAAGCAGTGAAGATTACACTTTCGTGGGAAAAGAGCAATACATTTATAGCAAGTGCTAGCATTTTACCTCTCATCAATGATCGTTGATCAAAAAGCCTTTGACATGTCTTCGACCAACACAATGCCACCAGCAAATGAGAATTTTCTCTCATTCCATTTCCAGTTAGCCACATATACACGCTCATATACTTGCTCATGTACCTCCTCATTTACCAAGCAAGAATTGACGTCAGTTTGATTTCTTCTGCTGTCTATTCTTTCAACTTCCAGCCTCGAGCAGACGCTGGATGTTGAGACATCAGCGTCATTTTAATGGAAGTCATTGTACTAGCATTTGAAGTTTTAGCTACTTGTTACGACTTGAAGCAATACAAGAGACATTGAGACCGTAAGACTTCAAGGACATAGTTGTGGGAAGTATTACAAAAACCAGGCAATCTATTTCATATTATTCTCAAACAAACAATTCCCACCAGGACTCCAAGTACCCATCAATTGCAAATCAAAGCCACTTCCCTAACCACTGTAAGCCTTGCTTCATCGAATCCTCCAAGCACGCTCTCTCTTGAGGATCATCAGGATTACCTCTCACAGCAAACCCATGACGTCCAGGTTTGTAAATCCGATGTTCCATCTCCGGTACGCTCCTCCCCTTCTCGCCCTCCTTATGAATCTCCTCAATAATACCTTTCGACTTAATATTAACCGCAAGATCATTCTCCCCCCATCCATAACTAACCGGGACAACCAATCCATCTACGTCCCTTGGAAATACCAAATTACTCGGATGCAAAGCCACCACTGCATCAATCAATGGTTTCTTCCCTCCTTCAATCGAAACCATATTCTCCTCAAGACCAGCACGAATTGCATATCTTCCTCCCCAACAAAATCCTACCATGCCAATTTTCCTCTCCCCTTTCGTCTCAACCCTCAATTTCTCAAGAAATCCATTACAAACAGTCGTACACCTCGCTTCCTTGTGTCTTCCCATCCACATCAAAAAACTAGGCATACTAGCCAAAATCCCCGTATATTTCCCCAACGTGCCCTGTTTTGTCGCATCAACGGGAATCAATAAATCAGCAACCTTCAAATTTACAGGATCCCCTTCGAAAAAATCAGGGAGGTACACGAGATATTCCCCTGATGCCCCGTAGGCGTCGGCGAGGAGTTTGTTGTTGGGAAGGAGATGTCCAAATATGTCGCTGTAGATTACTACTGTGGCGCGGGTAGTGAGGGGGTTACCGACGACGTAGGTGTTCAAGCCGTGGATGGTTTCTTCATGGCCGATGGGAAGGCCGGCATGGATCGTTCCCTAGAGGGGGATTAGTTAGGGGTTTTTGGGGAGGAAGTGGGTCGATGTAATCTTACCTTGATACATTCATTGCATTGTGCACCCATTTTGTAGATTGTAATTTGCAGTTTAGGGTTTGGAAGTTTCGTACTTGATAATTAGAAAATTAAAATAAGAATTTTCCTACTCGCGGTCCGTAGTAAAATAGATCTCAATTGCAAAGGGGTAATCGCTTAAAACCCGTCGGCTCGTTTGTTTGTTTGCTCGTTCACTCACTCACAAAAAAAAAGCCGAATCGAAATAAAATCTCCAAATAAATCCAATAATAGATAAAAAAACTCAGTTATGTGAATATACAATTCCTCCTCCCAAAATACGATTATCACTCTACATTTATACTTTTTTAAACAATCTCATTCCTTTCCATTCCTGTACTTCAGGGGATTCGGCCGTGCAAGCCATAACTCGGCACTTTCTCGCGCTCGCGAAATTCTCGGCTCGGTTTGGGTCTGGGGTCTGGGGATGGCTTTTTTGTGCCCCAGTTTTATTATTTTATTGCGAGGGTGTTGGCACGTGATTGATTCGCTTGCTTGGAGTTTGGGAATTGTTATTATTGAGGGAATAGATTGCGTGTAGGTGGGTAAGGTGGGGAGGTGATAAGATCTTGCAATCTTATGTACGCTTAGTGGTTTATCAGTATGTTGTCACGATTCACTATTAGGATTGATGGTGTTACGATGGTAGCAAACTGATTAATTAGGAGAGCTTAGGCCTTGTGCAAACACGATCAGATTTCATCGAATTAGTATGTGATCTTGGTCACCTGAAGATCGTATGCGCACGCACCATCAGAAATCACGTGATAAGGAGCCCTAGGAGCTTCGTGCTCAACTTAGTTATCAATTAGTTTACCTACATTCTACTTGATCTAGTAACGAATTCACTTTCAAGTGAATACCAGTGATAACCAGTGATAAAGCCTTAACCCATAACTACCAATCGACGAACCTTAGGCAGCCGCTGCCTTTAGTACAGTATCGTTACAGGTTCCTGCGTAGCACGTGCACAGGGCACTAGTCCTATTAGGACTAGATTGAGAAGCTCTCTGTAAGAGAGCTTCGCACTTCCGTAGAACTTAGAAGAGAGATTAACCTACTAGACCAATATTACCTCAGTTCTGCCCTATCAGCTTCCCACTATTCCCTGTGTAAGGTCATTCCTTTTAACAGATTTAAAAGATTTAAAAGATTTAAAAAAAGATCAATAACTATAGATTCGCATCTGCTTGAACCCCTCACCAATCCTAATTAAAAGTATTGTTCTGCCTACTCTTAGCACCATAACTTATCCCCTTATTATCCCCATTGTGAATTCCCACCGTGCTCCCCGTGTTCCCCGACTGATTAATAACCGTCCCAACTACCCTCCCATTCAACTCCTCCTCCACCGAGCTCTCAAGCCACGGATCACATCCAGATCCCTCAACAATATCTTTCAGATCTTCCAAATTCGCCTTGCTAATCCCCTTGCACTCCTCATTACTCAGCGAGCGCAACTTCTCGCGTTCTCCCTCGGGCATGATACTCTCAAGTCCATCAATCAACTCAGAGATGTTCGCTACAAATTTATCGAAATGTTCTTTTTTGTAGAATACCCATTTGAGGCCCTCGTGCGCTTTCGTTATCTGAGTTTTACGCTTATTGAGAAAATTCTTAAATCGGGCTCGAGTTTTCGCCAAATCTTGAGGGATGCATGCTTCTGGATCAAGTGTCGATGCACTATTTCCATCGAGTTTTTTCTGCACTTTTTCGGCTTCTCGTCGTGCTTTGCATAGACGATCGTGGATTTCCTCAAGTATGCGCATTATAGAAGCGAGGTTGCTCGGATCTTCATTGGGGCTCTTGCTGAGATTGTCGATCTGAGTTATATTGGCTATTTCACCCCAGCGGGAAAGTCGCAGTTGGATGATATCGAGCTTTAGCTGATGCGTTTCAAAGTCGTCTTTGAATTCTCGAGCGAGTTGGATGTAGCCTAGTGTGTCGATGGCAAATTGGAAAAGGCCAATTGCTGTACTCACGTTGTCTGCCATGTTTTTTGATGGAGGAGAATAATATTAATTTGTTGAGTATGTGTGTGTATTAGAGGTGAGATTCAATAAGTTGAGAGGAAGAAAGAAAGGAATGGTGTCAACAAACTACTGGCACTGAGATGTCAGAGATGATATGTATACAGTTTCACGGTCTGAGTTAGCAACTAGTCGTTTTATATACTCCTTTTTACGTTGGTCTGAAAAAAATGATGTCGAATACCTACATATTTCAAAGTCCTTAGTAGATTAATTGTTTGGGCATCATTTTCTTTTGGATTTGTGTGCCTACTCATATTTCTGTAGTTAGACCAGTAGATGCGAGCCAGCTGGTAATCATTGCGAGCTGAATGCATGTCACTCACAACGCATATGCATATGGTTCAATAAGGAAGAGTTATGCAGGAAGGGTGGGGTACTCCATAACTAGGGTGTGGAAGCCCACAGCAGAGCCACGCACGTTAACTTCAATACGCTAAAACCAAATCCACTACTTTGAGGCTGCGCAACGGTTATCTGCCCCGCAGATAATGATTTGGTGGGAAATCTGTAGGCAGTCTATTGATGAGGCGGAGTAATTGAAGAATCCGAACAAAAATTTGTAAATTAGGAGATATTTATTCCAAACAAATTTGTGAATTATTTCTATATTATTATATCAGCCTTTGTGTTAATCTTTTGAAATTACATCATTATATCGATCTATCGGTTAATGGATTACCTACAAATACTCTGTCTCGTTGAAAGAATTTGAATGGATATCCATTGATTATTTGTAGGGCAGATAATATCCTTAGTAGATTATTTACAAGGTGGATTATCTGTGGACATCCATGGATGGCGGATTATTTATGTGCAGCCTGACTCCCTTCAACAGGTCATAAGGATGATAACACCGAACAGGTCTTCATGATACCAATGAAGAGCCTCATTGAAGGCGAAGTCGTAGGTGATATTGTCCACATGAAACAGTGTCCCTTGAATCTACTGCCTTGTCCATTCATCGTAGTGTGATTCTGATTCGCGGTAGTTCGCTAACAACTCCCTGGCAGTTCTTATCTTTTCTCATCATCAACCCGTTGTGTTAGGATCATCCAAACAATTACCTGCTTGCACCATAGCAGTTAATGTTGCATGCTAAAAATACCCACTACAGTGGCAGGTAAGCAACAAACAACATGATATGCATTAGTTGTCACCCATACCTCCAACGCGAAGCTGTTGAGCCGCACCAAGGACTTAAGACGGCCCTGTGTCAACAAGAATACTATAGATCATATTTTCCGTTGTAAACTCTAATTTCTCTTTCCCGCCATGAACAGCGGCGCAATGTCTGGGAAATAGCTACAGCATTAATCAACACAGCAATATTGGGTTTGGTGCAGGGAGTCAACTATGGCGGCACCTTTCACTGTTAGTTTCAAGTACCTGTATTGCAAGTCTTATAGCTAGTAGGACTGACATTTATAGACGTCAACGACAGGCCCGGAGAAAATCCGACTCCCAGGCATTTCGCACTGCAGACACACAATAAGATCAAGGAGGAGTGGGAAGACCTTGGAACTTGCAGATGGCTGTTGCAGGAGCACGGTTTTCAGTCATGGTTGAAAATGAGTGCAAAATATTCCTTTCTCTGGATTTATGGTCGTCGTAGGTACACATGAACGGCAATACACAATCTTGCGCTAATTCCTGAATAGGAGGGTGTGGGAAATCAACCCTGATGTAGGTGCCCACTTTGACTACCATCATCCTATACTTGTGAATGAGCAAGAATTCATCTTTTTGTTGTTTTGACCGTCTAACTTGTTTAGGTCTCGTGTAGTTGAAAGCATATATCAGGATCAATTTCCAAAGAGGGGTCCCGATGCTATCCACCTACTGTACTTCTATATCGGCCACGAAAAAGACCAAAAAGGTGACAAATTTCGAAACATGTTGATGACCTTTTGGGAGCAGGCGAATAATAAACCCGAGGAACTATCCGTCAATACCTTCGGAAAGGATTGCAGTCTACAGAAAATTGAGAGCCAGCTACATAGTCTGCTTGCTTCATCGAAACGCGACATATATATCGTCATTGATGCACTAGATCAACTTCCCCCAGATTCTCAAAACCAACTAATTAGTGGGCTCAATACCATGGTTGAAATCCTCAAAGAACGATCGGGCGGTCGTCTAAGTGTCGCTATCAGTTCTTCCGATCACACTGGTATCGATCAGCTACGAGAGCATAAGCTATTTTGTCTATTTCCTATCGAAGTTAGACCGGAGCACAGTAAGCGTGATATCAAAACGTACCTGACACAAAAACTCCAATCGGCACTGTTTCGGAAACATCCAAATCTTAGAACTCAGGTCTTTGACAAACTGATAAAAGACGCAGATGGAATGTCAGTATCATATCATACATCATTCCCTTTTACTCCATCTGACATGAAGACTTCAGGTTCCTATGGGTCCACCTCCAAAGATTGAACATTTGCAAGATGGAAATGAAATCACAAGTCTTACATGCCCTGGAAAGTCTTATTCCACCAGAGGGAATGGAAAGTATTTACCAAAAATATGCCGAAGATTTTGAGCTATTAAGAGACGAAATCCAACGGCAAATAACTCAAAGGGCAATCGCTCTATTATCACAAAGTACAGGATCAATATCAATAAAGGTCGTTATTGGAGCGCTCTCTTTGGATAGCAATGGAAGAGTAGAACCAGATCTTCATCAGGAGCTAACCGATAATCCTGCTCAAATTGTCCGTTTTTGCAACTACTTGCTTCGCATAAACGACAATCTTGGCATCTTTGAATTCTGTCATGGAACAGTTTTTGAGTTCTTTAGAAGTTACAATCCAACAACCTACAACCACCGGATTGCCAAGATATGTTTATCTCACTTGGGCTCGTCAGAATTCTCTCAAGGTCCCAGAAGTGACGCTACGTGGTACAGTCCTGGTAGCCTAGAGCCGATTTTACGGAGTCATCCATTTTTACAGTTCGCATCTTCTGAATGGGCCACTAGCATTAAGAAGAGCTTCGCATCTCAGTCTCCACAAGACCTCAAAAAAAGCCACTCAGACGTTTTGAAGCTGCTCAAGACACTTTTTGGGAGAGGCGGAGCAGCCGAAGAAAAAGGGAACCTGCAACTGGCGTTCCAGGTGCACTTGCTTAATATGGGCAAGATAATGCCGAGAGGAGTTACTCATGACCATATCGTCAGCTATTTTGCTCTTGTAGATTTGTTTGATATTTTCAAAGAAAAGGGATGGTTCGACCCAAAGAAACTTGACAGCGATGGGCTGAGGCCGATCCATTGGGCGATACGAAACGAGAAAGATTTTGGCGATGTTGCACTCACTGTTGAAAAGTTGATCCAGTATGGCGCCGACTTCAATGCGACAGACAAGGAAGGCCGCAGCCCGCTCTACTACGCGGCTCATTGCGGGAATTGGCAGGTAACACAACTACTAATTGGTAGGAAAGCAATGCTTAATACTACAGACAAAAATGGAGAGACCGCTTTGATTGCTGCTTGCAGGAAGCATCATGAGAATGTTTTATCGCTTCTCCTAAATGCTGGAGCAGACGTAAATATAAAGAGCTCGTTTGGCACTGCTCTACACGTCATTTCCTTGATTGGATGTTGTCGTTGTGCTGAAAAAATACTGCTCGATTGGAAGAAGCCAAAGACCATTCAAAGGGACGGGCCATTTGGCACTTCTCTGCATGCTGCGGCATTTTACGGTCACTCGGATCTTGTTAAGATCCTTTGTTCACAAGGTATAAACTTTCGTGCAACGCACAGAACATACGGGACTCCTGTGACAGCTGCGGCTGCGGGGCTCAACCCCGGCCTGGATCCGGCCCCTTTCAAGAAAACTATTAAGGAATTGATCAAATATGGAGTGAAAGTCAATGACCAAGGGGGTACAATCGGACCCGCTCTTCGTGTAGCTGCATATCATGGGAGCCCAGAGATCGTTCTTCTACTTTTAGAGGAAGGTGCCAAGGTCCGCAAGGCAAAAGGACCAATGGGTACGGCGTATGAAGCTGCAGAAGACCGTGGGCACAAGGGAATTCAAAGAATTTTATTGGAAAGCGATTCAAAAGCCGCATATTACGGTCGAGCACATGCGTCTAAAAGTAGTGATCCCCAACAAATTAATCGCAAGGCGTTTAGGGCAGCCGTCAAAGCAAGTAGCATGGACAGAATCAACATCCACATCAAGCAGTTGATCAAATTCTTTGATAAAGAATATAAAAGAGGTGATACCAAATTTCTCAGGGCATTAGCCAAGCTTGGTAAGGACGCGTTCGAGGATGTGATAATGTTGGCAACAGAGTCCCGTGATAACAACCACACGGCAACGAAGAGACAAAACCATGGCGGCAGACTGTCACTTCGAGGCCTTCTGTATAGAATTTTCTGTATGATTTCAGAAAATGAAGATGGCGAGTCGGTCTCAGGAGCTCGGTCCTTGCATGAAACGTCTTCCCATCTCCACAGAGTGTCATCTTTTGTGCAAGATGGTCTCGGAGAGCATTTCCCACAAGTTTTAGACAAAATGACTCAGGCTGCAGTGAAGATCTTAGAGAATGCCATTGCGAGCAAGGACAGAACTGTCATCAGATTGATCGCTGAAACATGGGTCGAAGCACTGAACGATCTCGTCTCATACCCTGGCTTTGGAGAGCCAATGCTGAATATGGTCGTTCAGAAGCGTGCGAACGAACTGAAGGGACATTTGATCAACCTAGACCTAAGTCCGGAGGAAAGGTTGAGCAAAGCTGAGGCCTTGGCTATGGTCGGTATTGAACTACTTTTGATGGCTGTTGAGCGCGGTAAGCGGTTTAAATATTTGTCCTTTGTCATTTCGAAGCTCTGGATCAAGGCTCTCGATGATGTGGAGGAACTTGGTGAAGCAGGACAGGCGCCAATACGGGAATTTATACGAATATTTCAAGAACGATTCTCGAATGCAGTCATGATCGGAGATCAAGTCAACGCCGAGGTCTGTACACAAGCTGGTATTGAGCTCTTGAGAGCAGCATCGTTTAGCCCGAGAAAAAATTTGCTGGAGAAACTAAGCAATGAATGCGTGATACTGATAAATTTCTCTCTTGAGCAAAATATGGCGTATATGGTAAACACGCTGATCGACCAGAGATTAAAAGAATACCAAGAGTTCTTGAAGGATGATAAGCATGTCGAAGCTTTTGGTCTCGCACTTGCAAATATTGGGGTTCTCCGTGCGGCTATTGAGCAAAGAAGTGATCCCACTACATCTATATTACAGTCAACCGTTGAATCGGCTGTGGAATGGACGCAAGAATTTCTCACCGACCGTAATAAGTCTACTGCTGAACCAGCCTCAAGGCAGCACCTAGGAGCCATCGTTGACGCCCTTATCAGCTTGATTGCGATAGCTGAAGAAATACAGCCCGGCCGATTGAGAAGTTTAGCTTCAAATATTCTTGATCTCGCGAAACTTGCTCTAAGCAACGACTATAAAGAACTTAATGAGGTTGTCAATCAGCGTATTGAAGATGCTGATCAAATTGTCTCCCCTTATGAGCGAGAGGAGCGGTTAATTCAAATTGCTAGAACAAATTTTCTTTTCCTTGACATAGCATTATGTACTGAAGAAAGAGATACCATCATTCTGGGGATACTGGAAGGGATGACTTCAGGCAGTTTGATTAAGATGTTGCCGGATTTTGTCGAAAGAGATGAATTAGCAGGATATGTTAGAGCTATTGAGTTTTTACAATTTAATGCAATTTAGAACTCACACATCCTTTTAGAATCTTGGAGACTGACTGAATTCATTCTTTCAGTTGTCCATTGCTAAATTTTCTGTACGTTGAACTTTTAAATTGATGTGCTCACGGAACTTCTTCTCCCTGACGTTATGATAATGCGTGTGAAGTGGTCGATGGTCATGAAGACCAGTTATTTATGCTGAAGAGAGATGGATGCTAGCCTTTCATAATTGATACACTTCTTATGATTGTTGAAAGGCTTCCAGAGAGTCGAAGTCCGTCGCCATTGCGTTGTAGCAATGTTGGTGTTGTGAGAAGAAAAGAATTAGAAGTTTATTACAAGCATTAACCAACATCCCTGCATCTTGCACGTTTTCATGTTACGTCGGACAGTAACATAGATCACGTTCTTGATCACATGATCAAGAAACCGACAAATTGAGATCGGCTTTGCGGTGATCGAATTGTCGGGCTTATAGCCATCGGTTTTTAAGGAGGTACAAAGGTCTATATAATCAAGATGGATTTCCTTTGTATAGAGCTTCGTGCTCAAGATCAATCATTTAGTATACTCTACTATTAGTTAAGAATTGCATCATTGTCATTACTTAAGTTCCTGTTTGACATTTAGTTATAAACCACCTCGAGAGCCTAGAGCACTTCCACGTGATCTAGACGGCAAACCTCGTAACAGTCAAGGGGACCAGAACTTATACTGAGATCTTTATTGATGGATATAATGCGAGATATATCCTCTTGATCAAATTCTCCAAAACCTAAATTGTTAGACACACTGATCATATATCGGTACCCAGTCCCTTTGATCTCCCACTGTTCACATGAACTCCGACCCCGATCTAAAACACCACCCAAAAATTGTATATATGATAACCTTATAACTCAAAGAAACTCCGCATCAAAGAAAACAATCAATAAAACGATTATCCCACCTGCCGACGAATAGATATAATAATGCAGACTATTTATGACATAATCTCAATTCTCCATACCCTGCGCGGATTCAATCCATTCATACCAATTCACATCCATGTCCAAATCCATATTCATGTCTATATCTCCAAAAATGCCGGATGAAAGGTCTACCTCAGTCCAGGGAATTGACATTGCATCTGGAATTGCGGATTGGTTGTACCAGTCAATTGGGACTGTGTCGACTGTTGCTGGTGTATGTATTCCAATGCCCGATCCCTCGCCTTCTATTTGTTGAGGTTTGCCAACAAGTTCACGCCAGCGTTCAAGGAAAATGTTCCTACAATTTCCGTCGTAAGATGGCACGGGACTTGCTGGAAGCGGTATTTCTGCATCATCTATTTCTAGCTGGATCGCTGAGTACGAATCCTCTCGTAGACTTTGGAGCTCTGCTACACGATGTTTACGTGTCTTTGTCATAAGCTTCCGCAGCGGGACCCAAATCCTTGAACTTTGATCTCTTTCTGTCTGATTGGTAAACTTTGGAGGAATTAACCATTTACTATGAAGAGCAGCCCAGGCTCGTTCAATGATGGGAGACCATCGACGTCGCGAAATCTCTATCAATAGGTAAACAATCGCATGCCAATGAGTACAAGTCTGAAAGAGCCATCTCCAATGTCGACATTCTTTCTTGGAGTTGAGAGCATGGTTGTATTCTGCTACCTCGATGGCAGATATGAGTAGCTTGGTTCGTATATTTTCTGATTGGTTCTCACTGGGAGAAGAGAAAAGGACTGGGAGATTGAGAATGAGATTCATTTTTGAGACGACCATGCGGGCTAAAGTAGAGAAACACCACGATGCAATGTTTTTACCCCCCACATCAAATTTAAGAAAATGTCGGTCGACCAAGCCGTAGAGATCATTTAGGAGACGAATTTGAGTTTCCGCGGTCAGAGGGCTTTCTCCCATACTGGAAACCATCAGACGTCTCATAGCATCACACATCTCGGCCGAAATAACTGTGAGAGTCATATCGGCTACGCCCTGACGCACTGATGGCATGTTCTTAGTATGAGGCTTGAGGTCGGCATCATCAATATTGAGTGGAAACTTTGTGTCAACACTATTGCTAGTGGTGCTTAATTCCGTACCTTGATCCTCTGATGCTCGTAAATCCAGTAGACAAACAGCCCACCATACTCTTCTACGAGTTTCAATCTCGTAGGGTGTAAGTTTGGTAAAATGGGAGCCATCCCGGTGGAGCCCTAGTGCCTGTGCCATCCTTATGACTAGGCCAGTCATCATCCATACAAACCTAGGACTTTCCTGGCGTCGAACAAGAAAAAGAAAAATGACCAGGGCTTGTACTAGAGTCATATCTGGCTCGGTAAGAAAGTCGGCTTTTGCAAGAGAGTGCTCTAGGCCAAGTCGATACTTAAAACTCAACTCGGATTTCGTACAGTCGAAGTTGGCAATGATCTAGTGATAGGACAAAAGTTGTGAGAATAATGACTAATATTTGACGTCCCCAGACTTCTCAAACTCACCTCATCTTCCTCCATTGACATTATTGTAGCATAGTAGATGGAGAACATCAAAGCCTCGTTTGCTGGCGTTAGTCTCTTTTCTTTATTTTCACGTAAATCACGAATTTCCTGGGTAAGAAGCGGAAGATCTACGATTCGCATGAATATGTGTATGTTTTCCGAATACACATTCAACAGAAAGGGTATCTGTGACGGCAAAGGCCGTAATTTCGAGAGATCGGAATCCGAAAGGCTTAAGTTATGTTTGAATAAGAACCCGTGCCTCTCCAATGGCGTTCGTTCTTGTTCCAATGTGGAGATTGTCTCCTCGGAAGGTTCTTCCTCGTCTGATGAGATATCAGATTCGTGTATAGCCCCACGAGCTTCCATTTGTAACCCCTCAATCTACTCTAAGGTCAACCAAACTAGCTTGTCTAATTTATATGGCAGATTTGATGGGGACACCGTCAACCAACCTACCTCATCGTTCATACGTGCCCAGAAACCACTGCTTAAATAACGACTTCGGTTGACATCCCTTAGGACTAGCCTTCCAAATTTGTTCTGTACCTCAGAAGTACTTGCTACATTCGCCAAGGTATCTTTCTGACCGTCGGTATTGTGATCAAGATTGAGATATGAAGTCTCAGAAGAATCAAGTTCGAACAATTCATTGCCATTGGAATGCGCCGATGTAGCATTGGCTTGCTCCAGCTGACCTTTTAGCTCCTTGACCAAATTTTCAAGGTTATGTAATCTCTCAATAACAGGATCTACTTTGGAGCCGGTTTCTTGTGTTGGCTTTGCACTGTTTGATGCTACTCCCAAGTTACCGGCACGCTCAAGGCGACGAGCCCATCGAGGAGGTCGGTCGGTGGAAGGGACAACGCATGGAATATTCGCCCTTCGGCAATTCGAACACGGCGACAACTTGTCACAACGAACCTTTCGACTCCGACAGACAACGCAGCTACGTAATTTTGCTGAATTTGTCGTCGGTATCTTGTCGGATACCGGGGTCGAGGCAGCCATTTTCTTGCTGTTGAATAACTCTCATATACGTAAAATACCGAACTGGTTCCTACCAGTGCAATAAAGGACGACTTGTTGTACGCCTTTCTGATATTCAGGGGTAGTCTTTTGAGAATATGGGATAAACCTGGCCTGACATTTGCTCACCGAATAGAAGACGGCTGTGTTCTATCAAGAATGGAGAATTAAAGCTCCATGTAAGCTTGTAAGCATGTAAGCAGGACTACGGTGATCGATACTGCGTGATGAGCCGGGTGTATCAACTGAACAACGACAACAACATCGAAAACAATGTCAATAAAATAAGTACAACAGCAACTAACTTTTTAAGAGTTAATCTTCCAATGATACTTCTTATTATGAAGGGTTTGATGCCGTTGTTACCACATCACTCAAAAACAGATATAAGAAGATAACAGAAATTCCAAAGTGTAAAAAAGTGATGATATGAACGGGTAAGTTTAGCACGTACAGTACTAGAGCATGAATAATTAGCCAAAGGGTTTTTTACACTAAAACTTAATCATTTCATTTATATATTTTGATAATAAAGAAATTTATATTATTGAATCTGTTAAAGTGAATGGTTCCTGCGTAGCACGTGCACAGGGCACTAGTCCTATTAGGACTAGATTGAGAAGCTCTCTGTAGGAGAGCTTCGCACTTCCGTAGAACTGTTACGAGGTTTGCCGTCTAGATCACGTGGAAGTGCTCTAGGCTCTCGAGGTAGTTTATAACTAGGCGTCAAGCAGGGACTTTGTTACGTGACGGTTGTTATCCCACTAGTGGCTCACGTGCACTAGCCCTGTATATAAAGACCTTCTTACTTAGAATCTTCTTAGTTCTTTAGTTTTAGATTCTAAGTAATTGAATTGACTCCGTTTACGACTTTTCCGTCACATACTTAAAGTAATGACAATAACGATATGCAATTCGTAACTAATAGTAGAGTATACTAAATGATTGATCTTGAGCACGAAGCTCTATACAAAGGAAATCCATCTTGATTATATAGACCTTCATGCTAATCGTCCCCTTGGTCCCCTCGGTCACTTCGATCAAGAGACCGAGGGGATCTAAGGGACCATGTGATTACATAATTGGTCACATGATATGAGATCCGAAGCCGTCGTAACATTTGATACATGAATATACAAATTTCAAAAAATAAATTAAAAGTTTTTAAACATTATTGAATATCGAAATGTTTGAAAAATTCAAATTTTAATTAGATATTTTCAAGATTCAAAATTATTATGATTTATTAAAACAAATGAGTTTTGGTGTAAAATGACCTTCGTGTAACGATGCTGTACTGGAGGCAGCGGCTGCCTAAGGTTTCGTCTGGTTGGTAGTTGTGGGTTAAGGCTTTATCACTGGTCTTCACTTGGAAGTGAAGTCGTTACTGAATCAAGTAGAATGTAGGTAAACTAATTGATAACTAAGTTGAGCACGAAACTCCTATACTAAGAAACTATTCTAACTATATACTCGTCGTTTCCTTAAGTGCTAGCCATGCTAGCTGGCTAGTATGTCACGTGATCTCCTATTGGCCTCAGGACACTAATCCTGGGACAATTCATCTCCTGGGATAATATAACTCCTAGGATAATTGTCCTGGGACAAATATTATCCTAGGACGTTTATCCTAGAACGAATAATGTCCTAGGACACTTGTCCTAAGCCATCACGGTTGCCTAAATGGTTTGTCCTAGGATGATTATTATCCTGGGACACATTTTATCCTAGGACACTTGTCCTACGATTCCTTATCGATAAGGACCCCCTCGGCAACAGCGGCCCAAACCGCCGTACTTGCTTTTATTGTGTTATAATAATCGTGATTCGTGACACTTCGGTTAATTATCAATGCCCGGTCACTGTACATATTTAAACCGGCGACGACGTATTGACGCGCATCAGCAAATCAAGCTTGTCACGTCGCTATAAAACTTGACAAGATTTGGATAAAAATTATAAAAGAAAGCAAAAGAGGACAATTCAGTAGCAAGCTCAGCTACCTCTGTCTTCAGGCGTGCAATTCCTTTCCTGTGTTTCTAAGCCAGAACGAGCTTCAACGTTCAAGTTATCGATTTATTTCTTGAACTCTACCATGTTCTTTTACAATCGCAATGGTATTGAGAAAAAGGATATATCGTTCCGTCCTATCATCCTGTCCTATCGTTTCATCCTTTTGACCTTAATCGTCATCTAGTTTTCTCGTGGTCAATAATGATGAGCATTTAGCGAGGGCAACGTGAGGATCCTCTAATGATCATGAGAAAAATTCGGTACATTGGCTCGCCTTCTATCCATGCCATTAGGCCCGTCAAGATTGTATCGAGAGATACATCAGCGCCGTATTTCCCTGTTTATGTAAATTTCTCGTTTCCGGCACAGTATGCTAAAATGTGAAAGCTGGAGAAATGTATTCACAGTATCAAGAATTAATGAACATCAAGGCTCTTTAGGAGCTTGATCTGGCTACTTTCTTCCTGTAGGGTTAGATATGGAAGGAATTAGGTTGAAATGTGTGCACAAGAGGTAGAGAAGTAGAAGGCGGAGTTTTGAAGTGAGAGTGCAGCGAAGTTAGAATGCTGGATAGAAGACGCAATGCGAATTATGAATATATGGAAAGTAGATGGCTTACCTCATACATGTCTTGAAACATTTAAATAAATGTTCAAGTCTACTAGATCTGCTTTAGCTCCTTTGATACCCTCTCTACGTATAATTACATGTAAATACGCCTCACCTAGAAGGGTGATAGTCGTTACTGTCTCCCGTAATACAAGTGGCATGCTAGAGTCTAGAATCAAACACATCTTTCCACTAGGCCTAGCTTGAACATGGATCATGTATACTGATGTATCCGCTACTTGTGATTGGCCGCGACCAGCCACTCCAGTTTTGGGAATTCGCCTGATAGAACACGAATCGACATGAAACCTGGTGCCCTGGGACTTCCATGCATTAACTGTAGGAAATATAGCACCGTCATCTTCCGCATAATTTTGGCAGTTCATCGTCGGAAGCTATTGCTAAGTTAGGTAATGATGATGAGGGCATTGATCTAAGCCGCAATTATCACTCTAGCTACTCCTGTAGACTTAATAGAAATTATAACCAGATAGACACAATTGGGTGAATCATGCAGGTTTGAATGTGACAGAGTGCTGGACTGTGCAGTGTGTTGCTTGAAGAATTTCCATAAGCTGATGTTTAAGGTGATAAGGTGAATCTGAGCAATCGTGATTGAGCAGAAGGTAAGGCTCTCAAATATTGAGTTCCAAAATGGGCCGCATGCTAGCCTTGGTGCATTAAACTGGGGATAAGTATTGACCTTTAGATTGCTGTGTCAAGCATCTTTTCAAAACTAAGATTTTGCAGCTACTGCAAAATCTTTGATACCGAGTATATAAAACAAAAACCGAATATGCTTTCTGTTATCATGCTGTAGTGCTAGCCAATACACCTCGCTTGAATGCCACTCATTCATATCTTCAACAAAAATGGACAGCTGCGAAACGTTAATTAGAACCAACATGATTAAATTTCTCTCCAACACTTCACATCCCACAGCACTGCGGCTGATCATCCAAACTATACTCCTTCGACAGTTCGGAGAGTTTCAAAGGCAGCGGAACTGTAGCTAACAATTTCTTTTGTGACAATTTCAGGACCACTGCTCTACAACCACGAAGTAAGTACAATCCCAAAGGCCACCTGCAGTAAACCATACACATATCCCAGCTCCGAAAACTGATTAGATAATATGCTGAACCAAACCCCATCTGACACATTCCTCGATATGACTTTCTCATACTGCGGGTGGTATAGCTCGGGGGCATGGGAGCTTATATTTCCAAATCAATGCTAGACTAGTAAGTATCCAACCCTCGAGAAACAGAGTTGTAATTCACCTCTAAACGTAACATAATAGCTGAAGGTAAACACTTTCTCGTGATTTTCGCAGTCCCTTCAGTCGACATATAGCCGTCCCGTGAAGAACTGAATATAGTTTGTATCCGTTCTACATCTCGCCAAAATCACCACCACACCCAAAGAGAAACCACAGCATATCCATAATAACCGTGATAAATATCCCGAAAAATCCCCACAATCTTCCATGATCATGATGAAATACTCGTCAACGACAACTTTATCTCCGCTCTCCTGCGCTCCATGGCCAGCTCAACCGACTCCAATTCAGATTCGGATTCATTGAAGTAAGACTAATACTAATATTTGTCAATATCTTCACTTTTTCTAGTCCATGGAGAAGGGAAAGCAAAATTACGTAATTCCTCGAGGTCTTGAGCCCAGGAAAGATCCTTTTGGTGAGAATAATAAAGGGGATAGGATTCTTGAAGCGAGTCATGATCAGCGCTGGATTTTGCACAAGGTTGATTAGAAAGAGCTTAGTCAATCATTATTCAGCACTAATTAGATGTTAGTTAACGTAATTTATCACCGAGTGGGCCATATCACCGAGTGGGCCACTTTCACCTCAATTTACACTTTCAAGTACATATTATTCAACAACAATTGAATCAATTGATTGAAACTATTAGGAATCTAATAATCTAGGATCTATTATATTGATTTGACAAGTTCTTGAATTATGATCTGGCTTTCCACACTTACTACAGCATCTACTAGAAGATGCTTCCCCATTAGAATTCCCTTCATTTTGATGCTCATCACATTGAATCTGAATATCAATCTTTTGCTGAAATAATATATCTATAACTTCTTATTTAGTAAGTATTTCTTTTTGTTGTAATTAAGTCTTTTTTGTATATCGATGTTTGTTTAATATCTTATTTGCCTTTCGAAGTATATGGTTTTCTGTATTTAAAAGTGTATTTTCATATATTAATCTTTTTGTACCTTTAGCTAAAATTAATATAGTTTCGAATATAGATATAAAAGAGCTTGATTGATGATAAGATATTTGAGGTTTTATTAAAGTTGATTGAGAAAGAGCTTCAATTGGATTGTGAGAGGTTTGAGAGATCCAAAGATTCAAATCGAAAAAAGAAGAAGTAGGTATATGAATTCGAATATCTAATTTTGAGAGTACAGCTTCGGGATTAAATAATATTAATCTAGCTCCTCGAAACCCAGCTTTCATATTCTGAATTATAATTGATTCTTGATATACAATTTTAAAAGCTATAAAGAATTCAATCTTAAAGATATAATTGATATATACCTTAATAAATCCATCAATTTGATAATCATATAAGCGTTTTAAGATACTAAAACACTTAATATCAAGTGATTGAGTTAAATAACTTGAATACAATAGTAATCTTATATATATAATATCATTTGCCTTGTAATATAATTGAAAAGATATTGATTCATGATTTTTGTACCTATCTAATATTAATATTTATTAAAAGATTGGGTGGAAGAGGCCTCTATATTGACTATATTACTACGTGTGTAGGCATATTAATCTCCTCTTGGTATCCTCAGAGGGGACCAATATGCCTGCTTATGGTTCGTCTAATCTAGCCTGTTTAGGTAACCGTATTACTAATCACGACACGTGATTAGTACCGGTAACTTCTATTCCTTTTAACAATATTCGATATTTGCTCTTTCTTTAATGAATAATATATTTATCGAAATACTTTAATTATTCTAATCCTATCTCACTATTTATTTATTTATTGAAAATAGATTTGATAACCCAATCCACAGGAAAATCGGTTTCGATATACTAATTGGAAAGATGGATTTGTCCTTGAATTACCAGAAATGGAGGTATAGTTTCACTCTCTCTATTACCACATATAATTGCTGTAGCCCATTCTCGATTGTCTGATTGTATTGCTGTTACGCCGGGTAACAAGAAGACGCTCACGTGTTACCAATATCATGTGACTGACTCAGTGAGGATCAGCAAGCTCAGTACTGAGCCATACTGATCCTACTGATCAGCTAGAACACGAAGGTCTATATAATCAAGATGGATTTCCTTTGTATAGAGCTTCGTGCTCAAGATCAATCATTTAGTATACTCTACTATTAGTTACGAATTGCATATCATTATTGTCATTACTTAAGTCCCTGCTTGACGCCTAGTTATAAACCACCTCGAGAGCCTGGAGCACTTCCACGTGATCTAGACGGCAAACCTCGTAACAATTGCTTTATCTCTGCCTCATTGTTCAACATCAATTATAATCATTGCAACACTTATAATCCCTATCATAAAGCTTGTTTCATCGAAATTATAGAAATCGCAATCCAGAATACTATATTTTGCTTGTATATTCGATACCAATCGAAATCATTCCTTAAGAAACTTAAGATCTTTACAAAAAGCTCTTTGAAAATCATAAATACAATTAAAACATATCTTTAATTCTGTATAACACTTTACGAATCGATGAACCTAAAGCTTTCCAATTTTCTTTGCATTTCTTGATTCAAGAATATAATTCGCTATATCTTCTACACCTTTGATTTTAGGTGGAAATCCTCTTCGATCTATATCAAGTATATATTCAATAATCATTTTCTTTTTCAACTGTGTAATCTTATAGCAATTCGCTCGAGTTTCTGTATATGGAGTTAAGCTATCCATTCTGTAGCTGATCGTTGTACGAGGTATATTATATAATTGAGCAGCCTTCCGAATGCTTAGTTTTTTATCTTTTTAAAAAGCTTCGATAGCTAAGAGTAAACGTGCTTCTTTATTTGTAGATTGCATAATAAATGGTTGATAAAACGTGTGTTGAATATGAAGAGTGTGAATTGAGGTGAAAGTGGCCCACTCGGTGATATGGCCCACTTGGTGATAAATTACGTTATTAGTTATTTATGAATCTGGGTTCAATATTGACACGATCGAATCTCAGGAAGTAATAGCTAGGCTGGCATGTCTCTGAAAAGATATATTATTAGGATAGTATAACGTATATTACAACATTAGATATCTCTTTCTTGCGATTGGGAACAGTGATTCCTGAGCCGCAACTTAAATATCTAGTAAATGAGAAATGTGAAAGTGTAAGAGGAGCTAACCTATCCCAAACGCTTTTAGATAATGTATATAAAAAGTACCCACTACAGAAGATATAGAGACTATACCAATAAATCGAATCCTAAATATTCCCATAAACATTTCTAACTCCCACACCCTCTTTCCCAACCCTTTCCCAAAACCTCCTCAAACCCAAAACTTTCGCCCTTGCCGGTAGCTCCCTTCGCTCAACCTTTCTCCCCCAAGTTCCTCTCCCCACAACACTCTCATTCCCATCCCTCCTAGCAAACCTTCTAACTAACCATCTAACCTCCACCTTCCCCTCCCTCGTCCCCTCAACCTCCCTTTCCCTCTCCCCTACCCTTCCCTTCCACCCCTCCACCCAAGCTCTCAGCCCATCTTTCACCCTCTCTCGCTCTACCTTCCTCTTAATACCTACTAAGCCCGGCGCCACCTTTCCATGCCCATAGCATTCCTTCGGCAGAACATTCTTTTCCACCAATGTCTTAATAGACGGTCTTTGTCCAAGCTGTTTGTTCAATTTGATTTTAATGAGATTTCGACCCAGACTGCGTGCTGCGAGTGAGGTACGCGTTATGTAGATACGTTGGCTCATGAGGTCCGTGAGAGGAGCTCGATGAGACAGACGGCGGGAGAGGGTATGCGATGCATCGTGGAGACGGTGAGCGTGGAGAAGAGGGTCGAGGGAGAGTGTTCGGAGATGGTGAGATAGCTGTAGGTTAGGTAAATATGTTAATTGATGCTTATCCGAGTATGGAATGGACTCTGGTAGAATGACGAAGTCGACTGTGTGAATAAAATGGAAGAGTCAATTCACTTACTCTTGAAGCAATTAATAGATCGTCGACATCTAGATATGATAGAATTTCCAGAATCAATTCATCTGGAAACTGCGATAAGCTGAGCTTTCCGATATCGTTATCGTTTTTTGTCTCGGATCGCGATGTATCTGCTATCACTATGGCTCTTTCATGATTTTGCGAAGCTGGTTCCATCATATTGAGAATGGAAAAATGGATTAGCTGCTTGTTTGAGAGAAAATAGTAGCAAAAGTAGATTAATTAAATTGATGTTGTCTTTGGTAGTTGTCGTTCTCGTCGTCGTCGTCTGAAAATAGCGGGGTTCAATCAATCTGCAGCAGATGCCGTCACGGTCGGAGGGAAGTATCTGAGACATTCCGAGACGAGGAATGATAAAATCTTAAGTGTTACAATCCAAGCTATCACAACAACTTACATTCCTCCTTACAAATTTTATCGTGGTTCAAGGAATGGATGAAAATGAGAGTATCATAATGATTGAAGATATTCAGTTGATACAATTAAAAGGGTGATTGAAAATGGGGATGAGCCGTTGCTGGAATTGAATTTCCAGATCTTCTCGCTCAAGCCCCTTCATTTGCCTCGCATAGAGCAAAACGTCCTTGGAGTTCGTGTTGTATGTAAGAATCTACAAAGAAACAAGCAGGAGAATTCTATTTTGAGGTCAGAATATAGTATCATTAGTATCATTCTTTGCCCCCATCATGCATTCAATAATAAATACATACAGTACATATGTAATGATGATCACCTCAAAAATGTAACCCTCATTACTCAACCATGCTCTTTCTTATTCCTTTACCGTCATGGTGCACACCATCTTTAAATTTTCTCTCCTCGAGCTCTCCTCGATATAAACCTTGACTCTAACTAGAACCAAAAATTCATTCTCACCACTCGTCATCGCTCATCACAACCCTGTTCAACACGCTCCATCATTCCTGCGAACCCCAAACACGACCTCTTATTCTCGGACTCACTACTCCTTACACCTTCCCGGACCGTCCATCTCTTCCCACTCAACACCTCCCGCAATACGAAAAAGAAAGTTAGCAATCCATAACCCATAACATATTGCCCTCCGCGTCCCACAACCAGGCCTTCCTAGAGCCGCAAATCAGTCTCCTTCCTACTCCGTACATGCAAGCTTACTTCTGTTCCCCGCACATCGAGCATCAAGGCGCAACTCATCACTAACTAAGGTTAGCTACAAAACTATACAAACCCTACACACAGGACCGACCCGCCGACCCGCCAACACACATTCCAAAGAAAACGCGCCAGCAAACCAGCACCAACCAGCTTTCCTTCATCAGCCCTGCCCTGTACACTAGATACAGATAGCCTATCCCTAAAACAACCCTCCATCTCCGTCTCACATCTATCGTGCGTGCTAAGAACATGCGTACTAGGTACAAAGTAACCTTACAAGGCACCATGTTTTACCGTAGCGTGTATAGCGTATCCCCGTACATAACTTTCATGTAAGGTTGAGGCGCATACATACATAATGTCAAGCTAATACTGTACGTTTGTATGTACAATACATCATAATCGAGCCATACATCAAATGACAATCTGGTATCTCGACGTGGGGATTTCTAGCGTGTTGCGAACTAATCTTACATTTTAGTTAGTACTGATAGTAAAGTAAGTCTTACAATGATCAATAGATCTATCAGTAAGGCGTTCTTGTGACGACATTAACCCGAGTACGGAGTACGATACAACACAATCAATCACTCAATTTGATCCAATTTCTATCAATCGCTCATGTAAACAAACAAACCTACGTGTTTACATAGATCTTACTAGTGATATCCATGTGTTCACTCCACAAAAAACCGTAATCCGAACATTCCCAACAACTTTCCCGTCATCCCAAAGAAGCCCAACACTCCGGAAGCGACTTCACACTCAAAATTCCTATCACAATTAGTCAATCAATAATGCAATCAACCATCTCACGATTCCCATCCAATACAATCACCCACGATCAATCAAGACAAGGCGACAAAAGAAGTCACCATCGCACTCAAGTACTGAAGTAACACAACACACCACAACAGAAAACCATAAAACCTCAACTCCAAACCTCCAGGCCCCGGCCCGACCACAAGGTCTCGACCGCATCTGTCACGGTACCACCACCATCTCACCCAATCAAAAACTCCGCAACCCTTCTACATGGCACCGGCTCCGTAACGGCCCGAGAACATATCCTTCCAAGTAAAGTTTATCCAAACCCCTCGCACCCCTCGAAAATTATCCGTTGCTAGCCTGCTAGCCCTAAATCGCTGAACGCCTCATATTCATGCGCGTCGACCCGAATACTAGCCCGCATGTAAGAAAGGGTTAGGATAAGGGTAAGGGTAAGAGTACGTACTAATAACTTCCTATGCATGTTTTGGTATACTATACTATGCTATGCTTGCTATGCTCTTTCACCGTGTGCAGTGGAAACTCGATCCGAGCTCCTGTATACCATGTCTTGAAAATTATACGTGCATCTATCCATTCCATCTACCTAGCTAGTACCTTTCTATCTATCTATCTATCTATCTATCTATCTATCTATCTATCTATCTATCTATCTATCTGAATCTTACCTGCTTACCTGCTTGCTTGCTTGCTTTACCGTACGAGTCACAGCTACCATTCATTATCCAAAGAAATCGCACCGATGAACTCACGCTGTAACGCCGTCCATTGCCAAAGTGAAGAAAATATACTCATTCATTGGTTAATACATTCATGTATAGCCTATTCCGTTCACATCAAACTGAATCGGGCCATCCATCCATCCATTCATCGGTCAAATAATCATCATGTCCGAAAGTCCAAGATCCGCGCACATACTTCTGCGTGCGGTCTAGAGATTATGGAGAAAGTTTTGTCGTACCGCATTACCTTGCCTTGCCCGTTACGATAAAGTAGTGCGTGCTGCTGCTCGATAAATGGTATAGAAGGGCAGACTGACCTGACATATACTGTCGACCCCAAAGATGACCTACATATGCAGCTGCACACGTTGCATATCACTCACTAATTATCATTGATTCCTTCCTAATATCTATTTCTAACATCACGTACATACATACATGCTTACATATTAAGTTTTCCTCGAACTCTGACCTCGTAAACTCAGACGACCATGACAGATGTTGCCATCATGTAAATAACTGGCTCAACTATTGATTCGAAAAGCACGCACCGAACCTGGTTATCTGACCACCTTGGAAAACACTACATACAAATCAAGTAAGCACTATCACATCTTGCTTTCCATTGTACAGTCCACTAGCCAAGCCATTTTTAGCTTATTGGTTCCATTTTCTAGAGGCTTCCACACAGAGCCCCTCTTAGCCAATAACTAAGGAACCGCCCCTCCCGCGGAGATCTCTCCAATCAAGTCCTCCAATTCGCCTCATTCCTTTCTTTTACCGGTAGAACCTGCCAATTGGTTTCATTTGAGCACTGATACTTTGTCCCATTGGCCAATTTCACCTGTCCCTTACTCTGATTCCGCATCACCAATTCAACACATGATTCAATTCAGTCCCGACAGTAAGGTCGGTAGTATTCGCGCTTTTATCGTTTCGCGCCTTTATCGTTTCGCGCCAAAATTTGTGACGTTCAAAAATTCAAGAAGTTCCAATTCACGACGAAACCTGAATGCCTCTGATACTGATTTGCGTTTGTTGATGTTTATTGTTTTCTTGGGGGGCGTAGTACTCTAAATTTCTCGCTTGTGGACCAATTGAGGGGGCTTTTGTTTATTGTTAACCTTGCCGTCCGCGAAGGAAAGGGGGCCAAAAGGAGGAGCATTCATGGCGTGAACACCGACGAAAGCCATGTTTTCGACATTAACAGTAGAATCCATACTTGAATATCATCTCATCATACATAATTTCACTCTCCGGGCTTTCGATGATCTCAGAATTGACTCAATTTCATCACTGTAGGCGAACTCAGCTGGCTCCTGATTCCCAACCCCTCATTTTTCAATCTGATCGGTGTGCCAGGACGGGCTATGGTGCATTCAAATGATGATAGTCCTCGAATAGAATCTGCCTCGCTGGAATGCCTTTCCTCCTTACCATCCCCTAATGGAGGGAAGAAATGGCTCATCGATAGCGAATACCCTGATATCATATGATAATGGCACATAAGATTGGCATAACACCATGTGAACTTCGAGTTATAGAAACCCTGATCCACGCAACTACAACGCAAGGCAAGGTAAACTGAAGGAAATGGCCACTCAGCTTTCATCCTATGTTTGTGACATTTTGCGTATCTAGCTTGCCTATGGGCTGACTGACACCTTCCATGCAAACACGACAGAAGCACCGGATATCTTTTGCCCCCCTCAGATGCACATCCGATCTTTAGAATCACATACCGTTGGTGTGACGACTTCACTGCATTCGGTTTCGCCACCGTTACAAGCAACACTCGCCCTATACTGCCTCGTCTTTGACGCCCCGTCATATTACCTTTGGCAATCTGCACGCTGACCATGCCAATACTGTACATCACATATCAAAGGAGGCAAGAAGAATGGCTATCATCTGCATTATCGGGTCTTTCCTCGAATGACCATTCAGGGGTAATTTGAAGGATTACCGGCAAATCTTTACTTCAGTGAGGATGATGGGACGCAATAAGATCGAAGACCGGAAGTGATCAAAAAGTGAGGCCGCATATTCTCTTTAGAATATGACAGAATTATTCTCCGGTGAGAAAATATGAGGGAAAAGAAGAAGGTGGTAGGTGTAACCTTGCCAAATTGCATGATTGCAGCCCGACAAAGCCGTGGTTTGGAAACTTTAATATTGTAATCTAGTTGCAACTTGCTCGGCCAAACTTAGGTCGCCACGTCAGTGACCACCCGAGGGCCTCTATTGGGACCATTTTCCTTCAAGCTACGTGCGTGGTGCATCGTGTTAATCAACAGCTTAGCGAAAGCGTCGTAGGTCTGAGATGCGACGTGAGTGGCGAGAATTTGTGACATATTGTAGCTAGGCAATTCGGGGTATGTTGGTTTGCAGATGCATTGTATAGATGATCTTTGCTCCAAGGCTTCGTCCCTATCTGACAACACATCGATTTCTGACCACCTTGAGCTCGGCAAGACGGAACGGACTTTCGAGTCAGTATGCACATCGAGGCCGTCTTCTGCACAATCTGCGGCCATGTTTGTTGCAGAAAAAAATAACTAGCATTCCATGTGGCTTTCAATCACCAGACTGTAAAAATATGTCCTGTCATCAAGCACTTCTTTCAGGCAGATATGAACTGACGCCAATTCGGTCAGAAAGGCAGGGAGTTATCAACATGTGACAGCATTTCAAACCGAAAGATACTGGATTCTAGCATCTCAATATCAAGGATATAGATTAGAGAAAGGACTAGAAGGAAAGTGAATGGCCAATGGCAGTATTCCACCACAGCCATTACATGAGGGTGATGGCGATCGACCGACCATTCTTTGCAAAGAGAGTCCGGTTGGTTTGGAATAGAAGTGACCGGCAACTGTGTGATAGGTTTGGGTCAACATCTCTCCACAAAGAAGGTTGTTGCGGTCCGTCCTTGGGTCTAGCGGGTCTCTCGTTGCAAGCAGAGAACGGATGATCCAGTAATCGGAAGGAAGACTTGTGGCAATCAATAAAAGCAAGGAAATGACGGGACAGGAAATTCATAACGTGATTACCATAGCGTAAACTTCTACACTCGGTCAGGGGGTGCAAATGGTGTTGCAACGGACTGTGATGTGATTACCGATGCAGCAAATTCAACATGATGAAGTGTCCACCCTGTCGAGGCGAGCGAGGTAACTGAACGCGAGAGAATTTGGACCAAGCATCGGCAGAGTGGCAGAATTCGATAGGTGCCAATTTGCCAATTCTTTTGGCAATTGGGCCAAGGATGTGATTAGTATCATGTATGTCTTGGGGAGAAAGGCACACAATATGCACTTCGTTTGTTGGTCCGAATGGAAGCGTGGAAAGCTCGAGGGGCTAGTAGACAAACACGCAGGACCAGGCTGGAAGGATTGTGACGGCGTGGTGTTCGGAACATAAACAATCCTGTCAAAGTCGTGTATAAATACTCCTCTGTATATCCCTAAGTGTCGAGCAACTCCCATCATCAAGCACATCCTCAAATACATCTCAACAAACAATCTTTCAGCTCTTGCATCATCCTCAAAACTTCATCACCACCCAGTCCGACAATCTCACTTGAGACATCATTGCACATCGTCTCTGATCAAGTCATCTCAATCAATCCATCAAAAACATCTCCATACTTCGGCCGGTAGGTTTGAGCCATCAACTCTTGTCGCGTTTCATATGGGGTGTCGTATAGAGTCCAGGCTAACATGAATGGTTACACATAGCTCCCATCAACATGTGTTTCTTCGACCAATGCCAATTCGTCTGCGGTGACTATAAGTGGGGCCACTTTCGACAACATTGTGCCAAAGAATATCGTACGGGCGAAACCTGTGGCATGAAATTGGTCATGACCACATATCAGAGTCAGGAGAAGTGCAAGATTTGCACAAAGATCGAAACAAAATGGGGCCGTATCCAAAAGGAACAAGAGCGTGTGCTTCGATGGAAGAAGGAGAACGGAAAGAGTCGCCAACACTCGATCGCAGTGTCAGAGGGAAATATCCGGGATCTGCAACAAGAGGTCAATAATCTCGAATGGCAACGCTCGCAGAATGCTCTGGCTTTGTGAAAGGTGAGAGACCAATCGCTTGATTGAGTTGTGATATCTGATACTAATGTTTTTGCAGTGAAACTTTCCACACAATATGATGGTAAAGAATGAGCGAACGATTTTTTGGTGTTTCAAACTTTTTTTTCTTAGGGTTGTCTTTCTTTTGACGGAGTGAATTGACGGAAGGGAAGAGTGGTCTTTCATTTAAGGATTTTGGGAATGATTGGTTTCTGGTGACAGATGAAGTGAAGTTTTTTTTGGAATTAGATAGTCTCACGACGTAACGATGAAACGATCCTTTGAACAAGTTCCTTGAAATTGCCAATAAAATTCCAATAAACTGTGAATGTAGTGGTATCTTTCTATTAGATCCAGTCGTCCAGTCAAAACGGAGGGGCCCCATTTGATGTTGACCGGGCGCTTAGATGAAGAAAGTGGGCGGCTGCGGAAATTGGTGTATGCGAAGCAAGAACTTTTCTTGAACTGGTGGGGAAGTGAGGCACGATCCGAAATCATAAAAGGCGATCATATCAAAAGATTCATCGGAGAATTTGGCAGTCGTTGATGATCAGTGTGTTCCAGCGATACAATGAAGAAGTTCCATTTGAATGTTCCTTGTTGTGGGTCGCTAGATATATATGTATGTAGTGAAGTATCGTATGTAGGTATGTGTTGTAATGTTGTGTAAAGTTTTCCTATTGCAATTAGCCTATTATGCATACTCCATTATGCACACCTGAGTGGGAAATTGGTTATCACTCGGTCAGTTTTCTTCATCAAGAGGTACAAATAAAGGTAAAAATAGCAAATATATATATGGCAAGAAGAAAGAAAAGAAATCGAGAAACGCTTTCCAAAAATCTTCGACTGGATCCTTCTCTTCCTTTATGAAATTCAGACTGAATGAGCTTGAGTGTAGTAGTAAATTGTAACGTGGCTAATCCTCAATGGATATCTGTGCAGCCTGACTGCAGAGCATGAGAAAGAGACGTGATAGGCTCTGATTCATGATCAAGCAACCAGTAGGCAGGCGCTTTTGACAAAGGAAATGCTTGAATGATACAACGCATAGTCAAATTACGCTTAGCTGGTCCAGTCAGAATTCGATACCCGATACTCCTCCTGGGAAATTACGGCAGCATGATGGGCCGTGGTATGAGGATATTGTAAAGACCTTCCCAACTCCAATACGCCGTGGAACACAAAGATGCCCGTGTAAGTTCGAATCCATGTTCTACTCCATGGCCGACTCTGCATCTGCAAACCCTCCTAATAATGGTCCCACGTCTTCTGATTTGACCGGCTTGTACTTCTTCATTTCCTCCACATCTTCATCATCCGATATCCAACCATCGGAAATTGGGTGGGTACCTTCGACGGGGGTTGGTTTTGTATTGCTCGATTTGTCCTGTGATGGCATCTTGGCTAGAACTTCTTGATACCGCAACAGTCTTGCATCTTGACCATTGTACATGGTGACGGGTGCGAGATCAGCGTTTGGAGGGACCAGGGCAAAGATATCGACCAGATGACTGACGCACAAGTTAGTTAGAAATGGCAAAAATGCACTCGAGTATTTGGCTCCGACAGTGTACGACTGGCGGGCTGAGTGGTGTCGAAGTGGCAGGAATTAGGAATGTTTGGAGCACACGTACTTGGACGTCTGCGCTACGACCTTTTGTAAGGCCTCCGTCTCCCTTTGAACTTCTAGTGGATCTGCTTGGATGATATTTGAATTTTGGTCCCCGAAACTGCCATAATGATGGGGATGTGCATCATCGAAAAGTAACCTTTGATCTTCACCCTATTCCCAAAGTCGTTAGCAAACTGTTTTATTTTGGATATAGCATAGAAAATCAAACCTCGTCCGACGAATCTCTATCACGATCCAAACCAAGACAAGAAGAACAATTACCCATTCTGACTGACTACTTTCTCTCTCTCTCTCTCTCTCTCTCGAGCGCGCTCTCTCTATTCTCTCCGACTTCCAACAACTCAACTCAGAAAGGGATAAATTGATCCCATACACAACACCAACTGTACTACCTACAATCAATCATCGACCGAGGAAATCTAGGACTCCAAATTTGTGAAGACGGATAATATGCAGATATGCGACAAGTATTGTCGAGTTAGAATGATGTTGCGAAAGCAAGGTGATGTTGTTGGAATTAATTTCATAGAAGCATTCTTTAACTTTTTGGGGGATGTTTCGATAAGAAAGTTGATTATGGGAGTTATGATGGATTTGGTGGATTGGTGGATTGGTGGACCTCCAACTTCCCGGCTAAATTACGGTTAAGAATTTTAGTTCGTTTTTTTCTCTTTATACGGAGATGTCGGACAACTTCAGTAAGGTATACGTGAGATTGGATGACTAAGCAACCATAAATAGGTTAATTATAATAAAGCCTTACAAAAATACACATCTACGGAGTTACTCGTGGCTATAGAGAGTAGGTTAATTATGAAGTACTGAGTAAGATTACCAATTCAGCTAGCTAACTTAAGCAATTCAATGAAACCATCTCCTTCATTAACTAAAACTCGATTTAACCTATTATAGTGTCATTCATTGGGCAACGCTCCGCTGGGCCACTGCCGTGGAGGCTTTTTCGCTTCGCTCTAGGACTGGTGGGTTGGTGATGGAAGGAGATGAAGGGGTGAAGGAGCGAAGAGGCGAGGAGGCGAGGAGGCTGCAGGTCGTGCAGTAGGTATACTGGAATGGTAAAATAGGAAGGGTTTTCTCCGAGAGCGATGCGAAAAAGCCTCCACGGCAGTGGCCCAGCGGAGCGTCAACGAATTCAAACCCTCCTGTTCAACCTCTTTTTCCTTTGTTCAATAGGTTCAATATTCAATCAATACATAAGTACAGGCAAGAATCCAACTTATCATCCCTTCATTTGAATTAACATCCTTGGAACAAGAGGACTTCCCCCTTTGGGAGCACGGTGAAGTACTTTTCCTACTTTCTTCACAAACATCACAAAAAGTACATTAACAACCTGTGGTGATTCAATAAAGATTGGAAAATCCGAAATCATATTCTAATTGCTTCAATGTAGATCGTCTTTTCGAATCTCATCTCTCAAACTAATATTACAATTCAAAGGGGTACGCTATTCTTCAAAGTAATTGCAGGTTCCATTTAAAGATCAATTTAAGATATCTGGAATATTTGGCTTCAATATTATACCTATTTCTTTTCTACTGTTTTAATAGCACCGAAGAACCAGATCTTCATTTCCCTTACTCTGTTACTTTGATTTCCGGTACCTTTGATGTGTTTGCTTGTTGTCGAGATTCCACCCCTTACTTAATACCACTTCACCTTGCGAAGAACCCTTGATGTCGGTATATACCTTACCTTACCCTGCAAAGTGTTATTATTTTCTCTAGTTTTCCGGTAACTATTTTTCAATCCAATCTTTGATTACCTGCAAGGCAGTACAATATATTGATCAACGTTCGTTTTACCCGTGTCTGTTGTCCTCGATAGGTAACCCTTCATCTGTTGCAGGATGATAGTTATAAGGAAGTATTTGCTGTTTCTTCGAATTTTTTCATCAGCAGTCATATCATTCTCACATTCATTCATTAATTCCACTCGATTACGACAGTCTTCATTCTTTTGTCCGTCGTTCTATTTACTTTGCATCCATTTCGCAATCGGCATCATCTTCTAGCAGTCTATAATTTCAACATGTTTCGAAGCCGGAACTTAATTGCTTTAGCACTGCTTGCTCTATCCGGATCATCCTTAGGTAAACCTGTTGCAAGCGGATCATGGGTTGGAGAGACTTGCGTTTGTCCACCTTCCGATTGTCCCCCAGTTGTCACTTCATATACTACCATCACAGCTACCCCTATCCAAACTGTTACCGTCATCAAAACTATCAGTAATGAAGTGATCCCGCCAGCGAATATTACTTCCAACCCCAGTGCTACTCCACTAGGCGTCCCGTCTTCACCAATTAATGTCTCTGCCATTATCCCGAACGAGACCATCATCAAGACGACTACCATCTCAGGCACTGGGCTCGTTGTCACCAGTACTATCACACCCAGTCAAACTCTGCATCAAAGTACTATACCTTGCGAAACAATTACTCAAACAATCTCAACCTCGGGAACTATCGTTGCCATAACCACCACTATCACACCTAGTCAGCCTCCTGTTCAGACTGCCACATCAATAGTTGGAACTCCAATAATGAGAACTGGTATGTATTCTTTCTAATATTTTGAGTCTATCATGTTTTAACCAGCCGATTTAGTACCTGGATCTACTATTATGACCACCATTCCTGACTCCATCATCACCTCAACTATTTCTGGACCGGTTGTTCTTATCACAAAGACTATCCCTCCAAGTACTGAAGTCACTTTAGTTCCCTGTGACTCGACCATTACAGTAACTCAACCTGGGACAGTTCTAAGAACAATTCGTCCTGTATCTACGATAACTCTGACAGAATCCGGAATTTTTGTAGCTTCCACATATCCACCATCGACTTTGTGTGTGACATACACTTCAAACATCTATACTACTGTCATAACGGCCATCGCAATCACCAATACTATCTCAGCAAGCACAGTAACGATAACTCAAAGTGGTGAAATTGTTCAAACTACCATTCCTGGATCTACATCCATCATTACAGTCCCAGCATCCGTTATAACCTCAATCGCTGCACCACAACTCATAACTGCCCCTCTCATCCCCATGACAATCGACTCAACAATTTCCGACCCTGGACTTGCACCTACCCCCAAACCTCCATACAATCATTGCACAGGTGGTCTCATTACTCCTGAACCTTCGATATCCCCCTCAGATGGAATCTGTCCAACACCCAGTCTAGTCTTCTCTACCATCACGACTACAGAAACTTTCATTCAAACTTTGACAACGACAAATACTATTTCCATCTCGCTGCCGACAGCTTATCTTTCCAGTTCTCAAAGTTTCTCTAATGGTACTTTATCGACTCCTCTCGAATCATCAATGTCGCAATCGAGCTCAATTCCACCAGTTTCGGTTCTATCCACTTCCTCTACTTCCATCCTCTCGTCCTCGGCCGTTCTATCTTTGACACTTATTCCTTCTTCTTCGCAAATCGCCAGCGCTTCACTTCCTTCCTCCAGTACTGCACTATGAGAAATGGTGGATTCATGGACTAAATGCCCAAACCTGGCGTAGCGCGAGGAGAACTATCCAAGGGGGATAACGATAACTCAACAATGCAATATGCAGTCTCGAACTAACATTTCCTTTATTCTTATTATCTTATAATGTCGTATTTCATTTTATCTTATATGGTGTAGTTGGGTACTACGAACTGGTATGAAATAATATGTATGGTATGGACGGAGTGGTATGATGTGATGTGGTATGGTGTGATGAGAATGGGAATCGACATAGATAAATATAATTAATTAGATTTAATTTTGATAATTTTTTTCCGGCCATGATTTATCTTGACTTGTGGATTTTTGATATTTACTTTGATTTTTTGTTAATGTATTTTCTCATCCGCATCCTCTTAGCTCTTCCCATTCCCAGTATCTCTCATGGTTATCCTTTGGATCATATAAGATCTTGCCTAAAATGGGATTCACCAAAACCTTACCTCTCAACTGTCGCATTGATTATGAAGATCATTAACAAGGAGAAGTAGACAGGAAGTAAGTTTCATACATTTTATCCAAGTACTGCATGAAAACATTCTGCTCGCTCTTGATGCTAGATTTGATTGCTGTTCTCTTGATGTTGAGTAGGATCACGTAGATAGTCACCATGTTGCTGTCCATCATTGAGTTTATTTATTGGACCTGGCTTTCTTCTGTATTTCTTAATTGGCTGCATTCATTGATAAATCATGAAGACTGAATATGCATCCAATATATCGAACTAATTTCCTCAGCTCAAAATGCTTTTAGATTAATATAAATACCAAGCCAATGCTGAAAGATGAGTAAGAGAACACATAGATAGTTCAGAAGCAACTTATTTTCATTAGAGATGGAAAGAGGGACATGACAGCGTGTATCCTCAGATCTTCCTGTAAACACCAAGGAACGCGCTCAGGATATCAGTGGGTAAAATGGATGAATGAAAATTTTGAATGTATAGAGTAAGATAGCGGCTTGATGTAGAGGAGTGATGAATATCCCTTTATCTCCAGCTTTTTCAGGGTATACACATACCTAGTCTTGCCATGCGGAGTAATTGATTACAATAGCGCTTTTCCATTATGACTATTTCACACAAGATATAACCCCAGCTCCTCATCCATCTCCCAAACCACCAAAAAAGCCGTACCCTCACTGACAAAATCTTGGATTTTGTATTATGGATCTAGATCTAAACTAGGATTTGTATATTGCACCAGATATTACAATGGATATATAATTATCATCCATATTTTCTATAAAAAAAAAAAATACTCGATATCCTCTCGATCTCGATAAAGGCCTTTGGGCCTGAATCTCAACCGATGTTCAAATACACACAAAATTCATGTGTCTATGGATACCACGTCAGCCGCTACTTCATACAACACCTTTTGAGGCTTAGTACTAGTTTCAAAAATAGCAATAAAAGTTAGGAAGCGGGAGTTTGATGATGATAAATATACAAAGATATGAAGAGAAATGTCCATATAGCCTTAAGATCTTCCAATTTTTCTGGTGGCGTAGAATATGAGCTATCAAAAATAGTCTTATGATGTTTAAAAAGCTTTAAAAGTGATAAAGAAGATAAAAAGCATCTATGAATATAAAATTTCTACCTTCGAGCAGAGCAAACCCCAAGCAAACTAAAGTATGAGGTAATATTGCGAATTTTAATCTTACTCTCCCATCTAGTCTTACCATATACAGCAAAGTACTTCTGATCCTTATCTCATGACTAGAAATAATAAAGGTAGATAACGAGGATAATAACAAGGATGATTATGAAGGGGAAGTTAAAAAGAGAGAATAATTGATTGAAATAAATTAAAAAGATTAGGAAAAGCTTTATTTGAATTTGAATTTTAAATTATCTGATGTTTAATTATTTTTATAATAATGAAAATCTATAAAAATCAATCATATATTGCAGAAATATTCATAAATACAATCCAAGAAATAAGATCTTAACTTAGGGCTACTGTGACGGAAAAGTCGTAAACGGAGTCAATTCAATTACTTAGAATCTAAAACTAAAGAACTAAGAAGATTCTAAGTAAGAAGGTCTTTATATACAGGGCTAGTGCACGTGAGCCACTAGTGGGATAACAACCGTCACGTAACAGCTACCTCCCGAACAATCTTCATCCCCAATCTTCTCCACTCCCAAGACTCCACCCCTATCTCCAGTCGCTAATCACATCCCAACCCCTTCCACATTCAGCTGCCTAAACACCATCCTCGCCAAATATTCCACACCATTATTTTAACAGCCACCATCAGATCTCGAATATATAATTACCAACTCTCCACCATCTCCCAAGCAATATGTTACCGCATCCAAAATCTCAATTGGTAAATATCTTTGAAGGAAAACCCCGGCAATCCCCCGCATTTCCTTCCCTACACAGGTTACCTTACAGGAATCAAGTGGGGTTTTGAAGAAAGCGAGGGAACATAGAGCTCCTGGAAATTTCAAGCTCGAGAAGGAATTCGATACCCCCTTTGTCTTTCTGATTGTTATCTCGTCACCCATAATCTTGAAGTTATGAATGCATAGGTTACATAAATTGATTATGAAATAATAGATTCTCATTGTTCGGAGTGCAAATTACAAGGTTGCTCAGGGGCTAGAATTTATGTAATCTTATAAAACGCCTAATTTTCGGGTGGATAACCTTCCTTCTCCACTACCTGTCAAAAGCTCCACTAGATTTGACCATCAATTTTGAAGATTGGTTATGTTGACGTAGATTTACAAAAGAGAAAACATATACACTGAGTAAAAATAGATAGCAGCCAAAGAGAAAGAAAACAAAAAGAATTCGACGTCGGCATGATTCGAACATGCGCCCCCGAAAGGAATTGATTTCTAGTCAATCACGTTAACCACTCCGTCACGACGCCACATCAGATTTTTGTTATTTTGATGATTGATTTGGATCTATTCATAATCATATACTACATTAATTATCAAAGCTTGTATCAAAATGTTTTAGGTCAGATATATACTTTCATTACTTCTATGATTATCAGTATTTGATTACTTTTGTTCATTTAATACTTTGCATCTGAAAGTTAAAACTATCCCACCGTATTTCGAAAATACTCCAATAAACTTCGGTGTCAACAGACCTCTGCTGATGCCTTTTTTGCCTCTTTCAAAATCTGCGACACTGTGCCTTTACCTTTCTCGAAAATTTGTGACCCCGTGCCCCTTTCTCTAACAAGCTTCTGAGTCTATGTGCCTTTTCCTCTTTCAAGATTTTGCGCCTCTGTGCGCGCGTCCTTGGAATTGACATGCTCGCTAATTTCCACAATCCCTCCATAAAAATCCGATCTCAGAATTTTTCGTCAAACGCGTTTCCAGCTGCAAAATCTTTTGCTCCAAACCCAGTATAAGCCCCTCCTTTAACCTCCTTTCCAGCTTCTGTATTCCCTCCCCGATCCGCAATATGTGTGAACCCCCACCCCCCCGTCCCCCCCGATTCCTTGTTCAAACGTTCCTCCAGCATCAATCGCAGCTGCATCACTTTCGCTATCTCTTCCTGCCACAACACGATTTTCTGCTTGACTTTAAGTTCCTCCCTTGAAATCTCTTTCTCAATCGCGTCTTCGTCGCAGACTTTATAGGGATCATATTCTTCTTTTTCCACATTCGTCCGAAGGTCAAAGATTCCACATTATGCTCGGCCAACCCCTCCAAGGTATGATACCCATCTTTCAATTCCCACCAAGATACTTGCAGATTCCCATTCAACGCCAATCTATCCATCCATTCCGTCATAACCACAACTCCAAACGAACTTTCCTTGGCATTCCTTAACATAGACACAAATTCTGTATCATCCGAGACCAGACGTTTGCCTTCAGAGTATAGAGGAAAATAAGAGGAAATTGTTTCAGTACCAAAAGCGCATATGTTCACAAGTTTACCAAATTTTCAAGCAAACTGCTTCAACGAAATTGATGTATGATAAGGTGATGTTGGCCATTTATTCTCAAGGTCCCATAGAACCACAACTGTGTTTTGTGCTGCTATAAGAATGTTGGCTTGTTCTTCTTTAACAATTTTTCATGTGTTGATGTAGAAGTTTGATGCGGCTTGAGCTTCGATTTGACTTGTCTTCGGCCTGATGATCCGCTGCCTGGGTAGGTGTCTTCCTGGCTCTTCATCACAACTTTTTTGGTCTTAATGGAGGGGCATCTACATAAAGTTTTTTTAAAATGGGATTTGAATCAGAGATAGGGCATGCAGTCTCTCATTTACAGGTTTTGGATTTGAGATTTGGCTCTAGATTCTTTTTCTTTTTGACGTCCCGACTTCTGAATTTGAGGTGATGAATTCGAATCCAAGGTTGGAGTTGAGTAACTTAGAGCTTTCACTGCGATTGGTGAACTCAGATCTAGATTAGGAAATCGAGAACTTGAGACCCTGGCAGATTTTGATGGATTTGAAGCTTTTATTGGTGTTGATGACCTCAAACAACCTTCTGGGATGTGGAATTCCAAAGCTCCTTCCCGAGCTAGGGAACTCAAATCCAGTTTCCATAACTCGATAACCTGTCCACCTCGGTATACTGCGAACTCGGCGCGGAATTGAAATATCATCTATTATTCACTAAGTTTAAAAAAGTTCTCTGATAAATATTATATAATCTACACTTTTACTTATTAAACGATTCAATAAATCATTATTAAAACCATTTTAATTGATGAAACGAACTTTAAAGAGAGAAAAAAATAAAGGCCCCTTTGAAAAACAATAAAGAACAACACAGAGCTTCAGACTGTGGGTAGTACCTACGCGTCCTTGCAGTCTAAAGATCCTTAGTCACGTGCTCACTTACGCATTGGGAATGCAATCACATGAAGCACACCGCTTTCTGGTTCTTCCTTCTTATCCCCAAACATCAGGAACTGATTTTTCGGCTTTATAAAGAGAAATAAATGTCTTCTGTAGCTGGTGCAGCGGCACTGAGCCACAAGGAAAAACGAGAACAGAAGAGAGCTAAAGTCCGCCTGGAAAAGAGGAATAAACCGATCCTTTTGTCCCCCGGATGTGGTGGTATTCACTGGAACGAGCCCGTTGAGAAACACACCATCACGGAAGGAATCCTTGTTATCGTCCAATTCAAGCTTCTTCATGGCCTCACGGTACATGACACATCTTCACCGGCAGGGAAATTATGGCTTGCTACGCTTGAATACATTTCGACTATCCACGGCTGCGCCATACGGTATTGGGGAACAGAAACAACGCAAGGTCAAGAATCTATTTTTTTACTCGTTCAGTCCGAAAACGCAAAGCAATGGGGTATATTTCAGCAGAGCCTTGGGATATATTTGATGTATGAAGTTATGACTGGCCGACCAATGAACAGGTGTTTACGTCTTACTTTACCAATTCTCGTGGAGCTACCGAATAGATTAAAAGTTCTGAGATTTAGATTTGACAGCAAAGTGTTTACTACAGTTAGCGAGAAAGTCCTCAAGAACTGGAGAAAGTGGGAAATCCGTTGGAGACATGAGGGAATAGAAGTATTTGGTAATTGGCTGGAAGATGATGCCGCTCAATACATGGCAGAGCTTGCAGATCTAATACCTGCAGCTGTGAAGGGCCAACATAAGGTATTTCTTGTACTAGCTTGGAATCGGGACGAAGAATCAGAAATTGTACAGAACGACGCGACAGTTCTGGAGGCTGAATTCAAAGAAGAAATGATGACTGATGGAGTCAAAGAGTTCATGATGAATGAGTTCTTGATTCCCAAATCGATTCAGATAAATATCAAGACCGAAAAGAACGACTCATTTCCTGACGCTAAACCTCAATATACTGCTGATAGCTTAGCTTCCTTACTTAGACTCTCCCCTCCACGACGTCATAGTGAGACACCAGTTGGAAACAGCCCGTATTTCTCTTTTTGTACTGACACAACGCATATTGAATCCATTTACGACGCGGCAGTAGGCAAACGTCAGTTCCCTGGACCGAGAGGATTTTTCATGAAGATGGGAACCTTCCACAAAAATGAGTATATCAATCCAGAAAGTAATAGGTCAATTCGCCTACAAAGGCCACCAAAAATGGATTTCTTATGGCTGAAATTTGAGCCAGGAAGACTTGATACCGGTAAATCTATTTCAGAAAGTCTGGTGGAACTCAGAAAAAGCATCAAAGAGGACGTTGGGTACCGTGCTTCTCTCTATTGGGGCCGTTCCCTGGATGATTCAGATGAGTGGGTTTTGATGATAGGTTTGTCCACCTGTCTAATATTTATCTCTTTTTTTTATAAAAAATACTAGCTCACATGCAATGCAATTAGAATGGTATAAAAAGAAAGATCGTCTGCAGGAAAACCTCGAGTCCGTGGATATTGCTTCGACGTCTCAAACCGTTCAAAATCATCTGAGAGATTTTGTGAGAAAAACAGCAGCTATTACAAGGGAGCCTGGGGTCTTCAAAGTCGGGTTCCCCTACCATTCGAATCCGTGCAGACAAGGCTTCCCCATAATGGAAGTCACAACGTTCGAAGTATCGAGCAACGCTCAAACGCAACTCATCTTTCAGGAGTTCTACAACTCATATGAAGAGTAAGCTTCTTATCTCTTATCCCCCTTGCCCAGCTTCAAATTTCTGATAGCAACTATGTTTCATATGATTTAAATCTAATTTTTTTTTATCTCTAGAGGTATCATGGGTATGGAATGCTCTTGGGTGTCATTACTTCGTGATGACCCTCCGGATCCCGCTTCTGTTCCAGTTAAGCAAGCTGGTATAAATCTGCATTATTTCTTTCACAACTATCCTTCATCATCCCCCGTTTTAAATAACGAGGTGGCGGAAGCTCAAACTCCAAATAGGTCTTACTTCACCGCAATAACAATGTGGAGGTCCAAGGATGCAATGCGAGAATGGTATACAGACTCTGCCAGTCAGTGTGAGGATTACGAAAGACTTGGTCATCGGCTCGATCAACTACGTATATTCTGCGAAAATCTTGAGGTGGTCGATTCCAAGGTTTTTGATATGGTTGGGGATTGCTATGAGATTTCAAAGCCACCAATGCCAAAATATTTTGTGTCAGATCAGGGTAAGTTTGCTTTTACTGCGCGCTTTAAGAGATAAGAACCATACATTGGCTTTTAGCGGAGCACAAAACTATGCGCAGTGATTTTCAAACACCGCCGCTTCCATTAGGCTATATTCTTATCTACATATTGCCTTTGTCGTTTCTGTATAAGAGTTACCACCTGATCAACCATTATATGTGGAGAATGATCCACTATCAAACTGATTCATGCAAGTCTTGTCTTACAGGCCGGTCGACGGAAATAATATCTGGATACCCTACTCCAATCTCAGATTTACCTCGTGGAGACAACTTTCTCGAAATTGAATCCTTTGGTTGATATTCGGCGAAGACTGCAGGAGAGAACGGTAAGAACAAAATGCATCTGCAGTGTGTCTGATTCTCAGTTTCTCTAAACCCTTCTTGCTTAAATAACTAGAGTCCACTCGTTGATGTCTCTTCATTTTTCTTTTTACTCTGCATCCAGTGCCCGGTTAGCTCTTCCGAATTATCTCTCCTTCATCTCTGTTTCTGCACGATGTGGAGCAAATTAGGAGCGGCCTTGGTTGCCACAGTTCTCCTAGCCAAGCAGGGTACCGCAGCATCAAGTGCAATTGACTATTGGCTTGCTGCACATCCTATATCAACTAGAACCTCATCTGCTACCCCCACTTCGACGATTGTTCCTAACACAAACACGAACATCTCTCTAATATTCAACTCAGCGTTAAACCGTTGCCCAGCTAGCTGCAGCGAAGCCGGCAATAACCCAGCCAATTGGACGGCTTATCATGACACTCGTCGTCTGGCAGTGTGCAATGAGACAATGCTCCTTGATTTCACTATATACAACTCTTTAAACGACTCAAATACACAGACCACCATCTATGCTTGCAAAACCAATTCAACACAGAGTGAAAGAAGCTCACTGTCAAGACGCGATACAGCTTGTCCATTGAGCAACAATTCCAAGAATGCTAAAGTATCTTTGGAGCTAGGCTGGTCAGGAGCTTCTAGCCAGAATAACACGAGTGATGTCGTGTCTGCTGCAGAGCAATTGAAGACTTACGTTACTTTAAAGGAGGACAACTGTGGTGAGACATCTGCCTTTGCATACGCAGGAACTGTTGCCATCGGTATCTATGTTGGCTCCAGAATCCAGGATGCAAGCTCCATTCTGGAAGATTTCATTGTGGAAGTCACCAAAAACGGAGTTTTCGATACAATTTTCGTGCAGCATTGTGCTGGCAATGGGCTCAATAGCAATTACGCATTTGGTATTGTTGCAAGAATGGATGGAAGCCTTGCGGACGTTCAGGGCACGGTAAAGACTTGGAGAGATAGCGGATGCATTACTTCGTATGAAAGTGCCAATATTTGGAAAAATGTTACCATCAATCTGCCCACACAGATTTGTAGGAGCAATCACACCTCAACTAATAACACATTGACCTTATCCAAAGATAGACGTTCGTTGCGTCAGCGGGATACCTGTAAGACTGTTGTAGTCGCTTCAGGTGATGGTTGTGGCACGCTCGCAGATGAGTGTGGTATTTCCGCAGTAGACTTTACCACTTACAACCCCAGCTCTACACTATGTTCAACCCTGGCGGTAGGGCAGCATGTTTGCTGCTCGGATGGAAACCTGCCTGACTACTCTCCTCAGCCTAATGCCAATGGAACATGTGCAACTTACACTGTCGTAACAAACGATTCTTGCTCGCAGCTCGCAGCACTGAACAGCATCACAGTTGATGATATTGAATCCTTCAATAGACAGACATGGGGCTGGATGGGATGCGCTGATTTGCAAGCTGGCTACAATATTTGCCTCAGCACGGGAAATCCGCCTATGCCTGCTACTGTGGCTAACGCAATTTGTGGCCCCCAGGTCCCGGGCACAATACAATCCACTTCAGGACTGAATTTTTCATTGTACAACCAATGCAACATGAATGCATGTTGTGATGTGTGGGGTCAGTGTGGTACCACTGCCGAATTTTGCACTGAGACTCAATCCCCTACAAGAGCACCGGGAACAGCTGCCGCTGGAACTAATGGGTGCATCTCAAATTGCGGAACGGAAATTGTTGTTGGAAACCCTCCTGCCGAGTTCAAAAAAGTGGGATACTGGGAGGGCTACAATTTTGACCGTCCTTGTTTGAACAAACCCATAACCAGCATCAACACCACAGCTGGATATACGCATGTTCACCTTGCTTTCGCAACTATTACAACGGACTTTGAAGTTGATGTCAGCTCCATCCAAGAAGCGTTCTCTGACTTTCTCAGCATGTCGGGACTCGGGTTCAAACGAATTCTCTCTTTCGGCGGATGGGACTTCTCTACCGATGTCGCCACGTATCAGATCTTTCGTGATGCTATGGCACCTGCGAATTCAAAAAAATTCGCCGCCAATGTTGCAGCATTTGTAAAGAAATACGATCTGGATGGCGTTGATTTCGATTGGGAGTATCCTGGAGAGCCAGATATTCCAGGAATCCCTGCTGGAAGCTTGGACGACGGTGTCAATTATGTGAGATTTTTCGACGAACTGGCAGCCGTTCTTCCAGCTGGAACTACCCAATCAGTTACAGCACCAACCTCATACTGGTACCTCGCTCCATTTCTGATTTTAGAGCTAAGCTTAATAGTTGATTATGTTATTTATATGACCTATGATCTTCACGGCCAGTGGGACTATGGCAGCGCATTTTCAGACGCTAGCTGTCCAGCTGGCAATTGCCTCCGCTCCGGGGCTAATTTGACTGAGACTTTAGAGTCATTGTCTATGATCACAAAAGCTGGAGTTGCATCAAATAAGGTTATTGTGGGTGTTACCAGTTATGGGCGCTCTTTCCAAATGGCAACTCCAGGTTGCTATTTAGATTCTTGTACCTACACTGGGCCGACTTCGGGTGCATATGCCGGAGCTTGTACACAGACACCAGGTATGTTATTATATTTAATTCCAATATTAGCCCCTGGAAAGCTTTGATTCAACTGACATTTACGTTGAAGGGTTTATAGCAAACGCCGAAATCGACAGCATTATTAGTGGGAATGCAACCGTGTTGGGCACAGATGGCTCATCTGTTCGGGTTACCGGCACTCCTTTCGTTTACCTCGATGATAGTTATTCAAATATCGTTGTGTATAACGATGATCAGTGGATAAGCTACATGAATGATGCTAACAAAATTGTCCGAACCGCTTTATATAAGCATTACAACTTCGGCGGAACCGCAGACTGGGCGGTCGATCTCCAATCATACGATGGAGATAATGGAAGCGGCAGTGATGGCAGCTCGATAGTTTATGTCGACCAATCTATTTGGACGGATGGGCCTAGTAGCACTGGTGTTGGAGGTAGTGATGGAACCATTGGAACGAGTGGAGCTAGCGACAACTTGTCGTTAACCTGCGAGCCTCCTTGCATTATCGTTCTCCCTCCATTTCCACTGGGAACAACCACCATTGTTAGTTGGCCTCTTCTGACTACGACTTTTCTATCTTCTTCCGCTGGACAACTCCAAACAGTAACCTCAACAATCAGCGTTCCACCATTTGCGATATCCGAGGTCGACTTCCAAGCGATCACATTGGACGTGACTCAGAGTTCGTCTTATACAATATTCCCCATACAAAGTATAATGCCATCCTCATTTATATATACCCTCCCTGCGTTTTAGCAGACATTCTCCCCTACCGCAATTCCTACGACCTATGGCGTCGCAGCGGGCCGGAATGGAGAAACTGCTTCGGCATCTGCAACGGCTTCAAGCTCAAGCTCGAGCTCGAGCACTGCCGTAGCTGCTGTTGTTTGGTACTCGACACCACATATAATCACTATCCAGCCAATGCCGACACAGTCGGTCATTCTTCCCCCATTAACAAGAAATATCCCTTCCGTCACAGTTTCAAGTGGCAAGCCCAAACCAACAACGTCCACGGCCCGACATGGAAGTCGTCAATGTGGAATCTTCGGATGCAAACCATCCTGCGGATTGTTTGGCTGTGATGGTGGATGTGGAATCTTTGGGTGTGGTGGTGGCTGCAGTCCATTTGGATGTAAGGGGGACTGCCCCCTTAGTTTATGTGGAGGTCTTGGCTGTATTGGAGGAGCATGTGGATCTACTGGATCCGACAACAATAATAATAATGATTGTAGTGATCCTGTTACAGCCTCGGCTTGTACAGTTATTATTAGTAGTTGGAGTACTTCGCCAATGACGGAGTATTCTACAACCACGAAGGCATGTCACTTATTCATTCTACTGTGGACGAATGGCTACTGATTGCGCTAGACTGAATGCGAGGAAACCGTTGCATGCACCGCCGAAGACACAAGAACAACCACCACCGCAACAACAGGTTATCCTGTAACAACAGCAAGCATGACTGGCTTCTACGATTCGGATCCCACGTCTATAAACACCAACTATGATGCTATCGCTTCTTCTATCATTCAAGCCGGGTTAAAATATTACGGCTTTTTAAAATCGACTGCAACAATGGCGACCGCGTCACCCACTGCTACAGTTGTTACCATCACCTCTAATATAGTAGCGACACCAACACCAGAAGCAATTGTTCCTCAAGCAGTCTGTCTCTTGGTCGCCGATGTCCTGTGGTATAGTGTTCAAATAATTACCAACGGTTTCGAGACAGATTTGGGAGCGGCCATTAAAAAGCAAGAAGGTGGTTGTGGTGATCTGCTCAGCTGGGAAGCAAGCGATGTTTCTATTCCTGAAGGATTTGCTACTTGGACGGGGACAAGGGAGTATTCGTTTACATTGCCACTTACCATCAAGGCCGGGTGTGTGGAGAGGGCTATTGCTAGCGCCGGAGGCCCTAGTGGATTGTCGTGTGATAATGTTTTATAATAACTCTTGAAAAAGCGGAATCTGGGTGTAATGAGGAAGTGGACAGGAATTTTTTGTATATATGATTGTAGCGGTTTCTTTTATACTTAATTAAGCAACTGTAATTGAATCCATGTAGACCAACTCGCGAATGGTATGATGTAGGTTAAAAAGAATAATAAAATCTAAATCCTGCTTTTTCATTAGTTCATTCTTTCCCACTATAATTTTTACAAAATATATTATTAATATATTAAAATTACCAACCTTACTCCTAGTAGGTTAGAAAGTTGTTTTACGAGCAAGATAAGACACTAAATTATGAAATATCGAATCAGAACCGAGGGCTTGAATTATAAGACAAGGCATACGAAGTATTCGATATGTATGGATACTTTCACTCTATTATCATTATTCCCTTCTACTTCTCGTGTCACATACAATTTTAAAAAAAATTGATCTTTTGATATCTGCATATTACTTGGTAATGCTATTTTCGGATCGTGTGACCCAGATTTCAAAACTTCAATCGACGAACCCTTCGTACAGGTACAGTACATGTAGCTAGAGATCTGCTAGTCTCAGGGCTTGCCGATGTGTATGATTCAAATGTTACATGACATGACGTGAACGAGTAGCTAAGAATTCTTACGCAAAACATTTCTTTATCTTTCTTGGCTGCTGCAGTGCGACGACGTTCCAGGATTTCCAGACATCCGAAGATGTTCACCTCTTATATCGAAAAGGAACGTGGAAAAAATAATCATCCAGACTGATTAAACATGGAGGATGGAGCAAATTTAGATTTATCTGCCATCTTCCATTAATTAATTCTTTCGAGTATCAAAAGCTACACGAGATCAACAAGCTTAAGCTTCATCATGTCAGAAACCCGTATATACGAACCCAGTACCAGCAGAACTTCTCTATTATATCATTCACTACTAAATCCTAAAATAGAGAATGGTGAAGAACCATACCTACGAGACGTTGAGAGGAGCACCTTACGACGCAATTTTGTATGTGGAATCATTGTCGGACTTGTTAGTGGGTTGTTTATAATTTTGATTATTTATACTGTGTTTTCATACGTTTCCAATTGGATGCTTCCAAACACATTTTCTCCAGATTGTAAGTTTGGGGTCGTTAGCGCGTCGAGCGTATGTAAAATCTTTAACACTTATATCAAATAGTTCCTCTTCATACTGTTATTTTTGAAGAAGACGAAATTTACGCCGCGGCCTCGAGTCCAGATACAAATGATGTATGGGATAATTTAATGCCTCGTAACTCTCACACATAACAGTGCTTCCGATAAAAATGCTGATAGAATATTCGCAGCTGGAGAAGGCTTTGTTCTTGTGGGAAATCCAGAGAAATACGGTCTTCGACCCGGATTGCCATCAGTGAACGGACCAGATCGGTATCCCGTTTCTGTGTTTCACCAACTCCATTGCCTGGTAATCCCGCTTCCCTTCATCTCCTCTCAATTCTCTTCATCTTGCTTAAACTCACCCTCTACCACTTCTAGGGCATGATTCGCGAATCCTATAATTCCGCCCTCCTGGGAGTCCGGCCACATAGCCAAGATGACGAAAATTTCCCCGACGAATTAGCGCACGAGTCGAACAGGGAAGATATAGGTCATTGTTTCGACTACATACGTCAGGCACTCATGTGCTCTGCTGATATGACGATTGAGTGGGCTATGGAGATGCCGGATGGAAAGCCTCCATCTGCAGTTGATGGATGGGGAATTCCCCATACATGTAGAAATTGGAATGATGTGCTGAAATGGATGGCGGAGCATAGGAGCCCAGTTAATTCTTCTGGGATCGCATGAGGAGTTCGCGTGGTTGATGTAATGCATTATGCGATATTGCTGTTTATGTAATTTGGAAATTCTTTTTTAGCCAGATAATCTTCTTTTATATGCTCCATAAATTCCGATCATTCATTCGATGTTCTACATCAGAGTTCATGAAAAAATCATTATCATACGTACTTTAGCCTCAAAGTCCCCCGAGATTGTCCCCCTTACCAGTTCTTTTCCTCACAAATTAACCAACATAACCATCTACTCATCCTTCTCAAAAGACTCAACACTTAACCTCCACAACTCCTCTGGATCCCTACACTGCCTCTCCATCATTCCATCCACATTTTCTTTCCCCCTAGAATCAGCTTTCGGTGGTTCAAGTGTCCCATCTGCAGTACACAATATAGTCTGGAGTTCAAAATCAGCGGTGAGCATTCAACATCCCTTGAAGCCCATCCGATACCCCTCATGATCTAAGTATAAACCACAGCATATGGTAGATTTGCTCCCCACCCAATAAAAGCCTATAATAGATAAGATGGATAAACATACCTGTCTCAAATAATCAAAACAATGCAACCAATGCAACGGATCCCCATGTTCTAAGTGTCCAAAATGATGTCCTTCTCCCGCCCTTTTTCCAGTCCTTCCCTCCTCTGTCCCTCCCTTCTCCCTCCTCCCCATATCCCCCATTTCAAGCTCGCCAACCTTCATTTTCAATTCCTCCATTTCCCTAAATAACTCCTGTACACCTCCCCTCATAATCCCCAGGCAATGAAGGGAATGAAACATAGTAATCCCATATTTATGTTTATTTTTCTTCACTTCTTCGCCCGCTGCACCTTTCTCCTCCCCGATTCTCTTCTCCCCATCCACATCACTACTGATTACTTTCAAAAATCCTCCATTCTCCGGAAGTAGCTCATCCCAAAGCTCATCGTATACATGCGAGAGATTCTCATAATTAGAATGTTCGGAGAAAACAATCGGTTTCGAGAAAGGCGATTGTGGGTTTAGGGAGTAAGGTACAGAGGGTTCAGACTGGTGGGATGATGGAGGTGAAGAGGTGTCTGGTTTTGAGGGGGTGAAAAATGGTATCGAAGATGTTTGTAGGAAGTACACGAGTGTTGTGAGAATAATGGTGAGGAAGATGAGAGAGACGAAAAGGGCTGATGATTGCTTGGTGGAGGCGGGAGACAACATTTCTTCTTTTTGTTCTTCTATATCCCTTTATCTAAATCAACTCGTGATTCGATTCCCAAGATCGCAACACTTGCAACATCATGAGAAACGTGTAACCCTAAATCTATCTCTCAAATAATCCATATAAATACTCACATGATCGCTACCTATTGATATCGATATCTCTATCAGTGTTGTAATTATTACCTTCCTATAAAAAACTAGTTCGTGCTCGCCAAGAAAAGGAGGGCTTGGCACCTTCCACTTTGCTCACTCGTTTAAAAGCGGGTAAGACTCGTTCAACTGCTCTTTTTGGCTTCCCGCCGAAACCCGTTGGAGATGCAAGTGATGGTTCATACTCGGTATTTGTTAGTGTTACGGTACTTAGAGTTAATCCCACAAGCCACTCGATACATAAAGATGTGGTGGATTCACGACATGTACTTGCTCTCCCCAGCAAAGTCGTTCCCGTAGTCTGTGTAATACAACACCGGGCAGATTATCACGAGACAAAAGATCTTTTGGTATGATAAAACGATGAAGTAAATGATTATTAATTCAGATGCCACACTGAGCTCGTGATCCTGTGTTTCTATTAATCTCATGTGCAAAATACGGTGTCTAGCCCTCCTAATCTACCATACAATTCTAGATTGTTTTACTTTGCATTATTAGTGACCTTTCTTCCCATCAAGCTTCATGGCAACACAAGAAAAGAAATCTCAAAAGCATAATGCCTCAGAATTACAACCAGACTTCTCCGCAGACGTCCCCAAACTTGACACTCGTGCATTCATAAAGAGTTCCCAACTGCCAATCAAAGTCAATTTTAGGCCTGATAGTGGAAGCAGGAGCGATATGTTATAACCAATCATTATGAGCCACAAAGTATCCGTACAGTAATCTATATATTGCAACTATGATTCAAAGTCAATATTAATGGGCTCATAAAAGCCACATACATGTGGGACAATGCTTAAACAATGTTAATCGTGGAATCATGTCGAGATTGTCGAGATAGCCTCCAAAACGTTCGTTGTGGGCATACAGGTGTGGTTGAGTAGGCGAATTGAAGGATACCAAGGAGTTTTGGTCTGGCTGTACAGTAAACTTTTGATAGCGTAAAAAATACATTGAATTTTAATATTGTGCATTTTACAACGCTTTACTCTACCGTGCTTCTTCTAATTCCGACAAATTGGTTTCTTAAAAGAGTTTCAGTCTTCGAGAGGTGGATTAATGGTAACCTCTTCGTAAGGTCCTGAATCATGAGCTGCTGCACTGCTATGTATCATTATTTGTGGAGTAGTCAACCCTATAAATAGAATTCGTGACCCGATTACAAAATCGAGAAACCATCTTCGCAATCGTCTTTCCGCTTTCGGACATTGCTTCATCGGAAAGAGCAGACATAATACCCATAAAATTCAAAGATGCCCGAATGAAACTTATCTACACGCCTTCGGGAAAGATCTGGAACCACATCGGCCGAAGGCAACGCTGTTCAACCATCCCAAAACATTGTGTTCACGCGGCACACTAGTCAATCCCACATTATACATGTCAAACATGTATTCACAGAAATGCACAGCATATCGCGTATCGCAACATAACCGTTTACCAAGAGTTGGATTCGATGATCGGGACTGCCATGATGGTCAAAGCGAGTGCAGCTGATGCGAATATAGGAACTGGAAATGCATGGTGATTATAGATTATAGGACTCATGTGGCAGTTACGTAGGTCTGTTGGAATGGTGCTCGACGGACTAAATTGTTCTGAGACTTTGTTAAGCTGGTTGAAAGCGTTGTGGACTGGTAATTGGAACGTATTATATACCAGAAGGGGGTTATATTGTCTCTTCAGCTTATCAAAGTAGTTACTATTTTACCTAAAGAACTTTCCTTTCATTCTCGCCGTGCCGGCAGACATATCAAAGAAGTTCGTTGAAGTGCTTGATTGGGAAGTTCATCCATCGCAGATGATATTGGAAGGTGCTTGAGAAAACATTGCAAGGCCTGAATTGCTCATTGTCCAGTTCGTAAATATCTCGCTTGCTATTGCCTCTTTCATCCTTGCTGCTAAAACAAGACATTCTATTGCACTGCCTTTTCTCCGCCACGCCAGCCCTCATGGTCATCCATTGTAAGCTGCTTCTTTGCCTGCAAACTAGCTGCTCAAGGACTGAGTAAAACCAGTCGCTACGATTTATCGCACAAGGCTCTGGCCGAGTAGACGGTGTAATACTCAGCATCTGTGCATGGCGCCGATCTGGCAGCGGTGAGTATATCCACCACTTTATGTTCTATATTTGAATTTCACTAACATCAATATAGCAGCCATGCGCATCGAGAACGTTCCTCGAGGGCTCTTCAATAATGGGGATGATGCCGAGTCAAATGTGAAGCGGGCATTCTTCAAAAACGGAGATGTTTAGGAGCGTGATGAAGGGAGGATAGATATGGGCATCATTCTTAGTGGTAAGCAATGAATTTATGGGTGAGTCAAAGGAGGTGGGATGAGAAATAATAGTATCTATCACAATGGTTGGCTTTGCTTGGGAAGTGGTGGTTGAGGATGGTGAGAAGCTATTGAAGTTGTGTCTATTTTCAAAAAACGACAAGTATCATCTTCTCTTTAACACTCAAAATAAAGGGCTTTTCATCCGGAAAACTTGAATCCACGATCTCATCTTCTTTGGTAGCTGGTAAAAGAATGTGCAAAAACAGAATACCACTTCCATGATTTTGACCATACTCATACAAGGTCGCATATAAAATTGGTTGAATTAATTTACAGAGTTGAGAAGTGGATAGTCTATACACGAGATAAGCCTAACTGTAAGCCTTTCTCTCATCCCCCAACCTTCCATCTACACTTACAAATGTACGATGAAAGAATTGCAGCTTCAAATGTCTTTTTGGCTAATTATGCACTTCGTATCGCAGAATGCTTCATCTTCACGGTTTGTGGACTTTGTGCTGTCAACTTTCTTCTCAAAATAGCCATGGTTCTTTTTGGGATCCAGACTCTACTGCCTAATACCACTACACCTGTCAATAATGCTAGACTTCCAGCTTGATGAGCAGAAGCGAGAGGAGTAGGTACTAGATATATCAAAGTACTGATACCCAAAGTAACTTGCATCATCAGAAGATGTACTACACCCATCATGCCTTGTGCTCCAGTCTTTGGGAGAGCAGCTTTAACTCTGGGGTTAAAGCGTGAGTATGCCCAGAGAGCGAGGATAGCCGTGAAAGATGTAGTGGCCAGTATTCGGTGGTCAAGCTGTACTGTTGATGGATTCTCGAGCATGTTACGCCACCACAAATCACTTTGATCTGGTCGTCGAGAGTAAAATTCCGAAAAGAGTTCGGATTTTGGTGGGGTGAGTCCTTTACCCATTCGAGGAAACTCATTGTAGATAAGCCCTGCATCGAGACCCGCTACCAATCCACCAGACATGGCCGTTGTGAAGACAAGGAGAGCAAGGCCCGCGACGGATTTTCGAAATACCGATAAAGATGATGAAGATAGGCGGAGAAGATGCGCATGAGCCTGGGCGGGTGTAGTACCGAATAATAATCGGTGATCTCGAAGAATGGAGAGTCCGTTCCAAAGCATCGCAGTGTAGCAGAGGAAGGCAGTGCCAAGATGTGTGGTAAGCCTATATTGGGAAACCCGGGGGTGAGAGCCAGGGGCGAAAAGATCATCCTTCAATCCTGACTTGACCATCCACCAACCAATACCTCCTTGGAAGCCGATAAGTCCCGATATTCCAAGTAGACGTAGAGCCATGGGCTTGGAAACTTTGCGGCGAGCGACGAAGTAGACGGCTGGGATGACGAATGAAAGCCCAATGAATCGTCCCCATAATCGATGAAACCATTCCATGAAATATATCTTCTTAAATTCTTCCATTGTCATATGCGGATTTAGAAGCTTGAATTCTGGCGAGGCGCGATACAAGTTGAACTCACTATCCCAATCTGCAGCGGAGAGGGGTGGAAGGGATCCGGTAACAGGTTTCCATTCTGTAATACTCAGACTTGAAGGGAGTTAGCAAGGTGATCTATATGAAGGTATTTGGAGATAGGAAGGACGAAGTATGCATTCAAAAGGATCTTCATCACAATGCACCTACCCAGATTCTGTCAAGCGTGTAAGGCCTCCAAATACGACAATTCCAAATACACTCGCAGCGCTTCCCAATAACCAATAACCGACGGATTTTGAACTGGTTTCCGGAAATCTGCTCCGTGATGATTCTTTGCTTATTGTCCGACTCGATTTACTTAACGAATCAGCTAGTGAGCTGAGAGGAGAGGCTCCATTAGCAGATTCAGTAATGGTAGCAATATTGCTATTAAAACGAATCGAGCGGGGTGAGGAGGATTTGGCAGGGAATTTTGTCTGTCTCAATATGGGTCGAGGTTGTTTCAAGCATTGATGACATATGAAAAAGTCCCTAGATAACCTAGGGACCGACTTTCTCAGTCCGGGTAATATTGAAGCCATTGATCAAGATTTGAAGTGAAGAAAGGCAAAATGGACAAAAGAAAGTGGCATGGTCAGGATTGTCAAAATGGTCAAAATATGAGTAACTGGTACTCCGTAATTCGTACTCGTAAACTCTAGATCTTGAAGAAATGTGGATTACCTCAGCCATCGAAAGAAGAAAATCCCGGGAAGTGGCGAAACGTTGTTCCTTCGTAAGGTTACGGGGAGTATAGCGGTGAAATGTTCATCCGGTGAAATGATGGGTAATAAGGTGATATTATTGGATACTCACGCTGGTTATTATTAAACTATTACTAATCCTACCACGGCCACCTCCTAATCAAGCTTATCCAAACTTATCACCATCTCAACCCCAGATTGACTATTGTCAGCACAATTTCGCAATACCGAGTACGACAACGATGACAGACGACTCCAATTAAAATAGGAGTTCTTGGTTCGTGTCTATATTTATACAATAATATAACACAAATCCAGCTACCTCGATGAAGCATATATACTTTGGTACATTGGTACATGGTATATGGTAGTGATGTTTTAATAATATTAACCCATATAAGAATACATTTACATATTCAATTCTCACTTCATTCTTTAGGCATGCACCAATTGTTCTCTCCTTTTTACTCTACATCTTAATTAATACCATGTTTTCAGCTCGCAATACCGATAATCCCAATCCTTTCCGACCTGCTCTTCAATATCTTATCAACACCGCGAATTCGAATCTCCCGCGAACACGTTCAAATCATCGAAAAATTCAGTCGGTCAGTAGTTTGGACTCTGATGGGGAGGCCTTTGACAGGATGTCTTCTCGAAATGCAACAACCTCCTCTGAACTTCAGCCATCTATACCCCTCATAAATATATCTCGCAGTCCTTCCCCTTATCGGCCAAGAGCTGCTTCAGATCCTACATCAGAAAGCGATGAAGAATACGAGAATTGGGGCACATCGTCTAGGCGACCAATCCTTTCCGGAGCGGAACCAAAATATACAGGCTGGCGATATGCGCTTTACAGTGGAGGGCTTGGTCATTTCCTTTTTAACACGACGATGGGCTGGCAGTTCTATATTGGGTTTCTCGTCTTTTGGCTTGGAGGGTGTGGCATAGGTCTTACGGTCATGAATAGGATAATTCTCTGGAGTGGGTACCTTCAAGCAAATTATACTTCGCATACTAAGCTTATGATCTTATTAGCCGGAGTTTATAAGTTTCCCTGGCCTGTGACAACTACTTTTATCGAATTGTTGATGACTCACGGCTTTCTATGGCTTTCGGCATTTCTTACGAGATTGGCGAGTCCAGTCTGTATCACTGCAGGTGTGTCGAGTGCGGTTGCGCCAAGTACACCTTTACAGACTTCGAATTCACCTGGGTTTAGAGGAGGTGGAAAGAAACAAGGATTACTTTCGACTCTAGGAAGATTGTCATCTGCGAGCTCCGGGGGTATTGCTGGTGGAGGACTCTTCGAATTTGATATGGCTGTCGCTCGGCAAGTCTTACCTCTTGCTATCATCTTCGTGGTGAAAGTTATATTGAGCAATATCTCTTTCGCTTACGCCCAACTGCCTATATATGTTATGGCGAGGATTGGGATCGTGCCATTTTCACTACTGTTCACGGCACTTCTTGGACAACAGCAACATTCTGCATCCACCATCTCATCAGCCTTGATTGCCACTCTCTTTCTACTGCTCGGCACCATGAAGGCAGGTATCCGCGCCCCGTGGGAGAGTATTGTTGCCGGTGTCTTCTCTTCCATTTTTGTCGCTCTATACCCGGTCCAGATTCAACGTACATATAAAGTCCTCGTGGCTCAGCTTGTTCCCCAGGGCGATCTTATAGGTGGTTTCTCCTCAAGCAACGGCTCTTCAGATTTTTCTGGTTCTCGCGAAGAAAATCGAGCCTATTGGCGTCTACTTCACTACACATCCCTTCTCTCAATTCTCATCTTCATCCCCATTCTTTTATTATCAGGTGAACTAGGAAGTGTCTATCGGAACTGCTATTTCATGGATGTCTTCTTTCATTGGTTGATGGTTCTCTGTGGAGGTACCGGATCATGGGCGGTGTTTTGGTGCACAATTGCATTGACTAGGGCAAGTAGTCCACTTACGACTAGTTTCTTGTTTGTTCCAAGAGCTGCGTTCTTATTACCAATCATGGCGGGGTTCAAGATGCCAGCCTCCAGTTGGATTGGATTTGGTATGTGCTGGGCTAGTTGTGCTTGGTTTCTTTTGGGCCGGATGAGAGAGGGGAGACCTATTGAAAGATTGAGGTGATGAAAGTTCAGAGAGGACTAGCATGATAATTTATTTACAATTTCAAATAAAAGAGTTGGATAAGACGAGGTATAAAATTGATGACACATAATACGATTATATCTAAGGCCTCGTGACTATCCTAATTTATGATTCGAGTCCTCAAAAAAGCCTCAAAAGGATGTCCACATCACAAGGAATGTGTAATCATTCAACTCTGAGCCGCAGCATTTACACATGCATTCACGGTAGCATTTGCAGTACCACTAGTCGCTCCTAGCAGTATCTGAATCGTAGAATTGGCGATTGCAGCAGCGATGGCATTTGTAGTACCATTGACCCTGTTGAGAAGTTCCTCGAACGGACAAGCTCCCTCCATAATTAACTCGGACATTGATCCGAAAACCAATTCCCAAAAATCATGAAAAATCCCCAAAAGATTATCGGACTTGCCAGACTCTTATATCGGCGAGCCCTCAATTGATTCAACACTCGGAGCAACCTATTGTCTGGAATCTGACCCACGGTATCGTGTAGGATGTCGGTTGGAATTACAAAATGCTCCACCAAGGTAAACACCTCCCACCAGAAAAGAAGAAAGCTAAAATTTAGCAGCCTCATGGTCATGGGGCGGTCGCACCAGAAGGTGTTTGAGAAGTGAGGGTATACAATTCCAAAGAATATAATTTGCAGAAAGAGCAAAATAGCGAGGAAGCCGTGGAAGGTCATAATGTCGCTCTAATCTCGGAGTTTCTCTATATTGGCTCGGATATTTGCATCACGTCGAGCATCGTCTTGCTCAGCTGGTGGATTCAAAGGGTCTAAAGAGTCCAAGTGAGCAGCCGCTTGAGATGCAGTCTCAGCTTCGTGATCCTCACCCGCGACACCATCAACACTGGAATTGCTATCATGATCAACTTCGTTTTTGGACAAAGCCTCATAAATGGATTTATGGTTGGATTCGACTTCAGACTCGACATCAGATGCATATCTCAGTCCTACATCAATCTCGCCGACTGGTTGATGCAAACGACGAATCTTCTCAAATCTACCATTTCCGTAGTCCTCTTCTTGGTTCTCCACGTTCCCACTTGGCTCAATCAATGCACAAGGATGATATTTGAACTGCGGTTCTCCATTAAATCCACGTGTAGGAGCTGTATAAGCTCCATGAGAACGTAGAGGCAGACTGCCATTCCTCTTGAATGTATCGCTTCCTTTTTCTTCCTCCTTGTTTTCAGCTTCAATCAAAGGATTGACCTCGGAATCTGAGTCGGATTTTGGTTCTGCATCAGATTCGTCAAAGGTAATATCGTCATCTGATGGAAGCTGACGGCGAACTTTCTCAAATTTGCCGCTCTCTTCGTCTCTATTTTCGAGTTTTAGCTTCTCCGCTTCCTTGGTAGATGCTGAGTGACCGTCGCTGGAGGCTTTCGCCTTCTGGCAGGCTTCAAGCGAGGATTCTTGGTCCCCCATCGAATCCTCAGATGAGGAAGTTACGGCTTGTAAGTGTTAGTGATGTCAAATCATTTGGAAGTGTATATGAGAGAAATACATACGAGTATATCGAGAACGACCCGAACGGTGAGTTGGCATGATTGCTAAGATTATTTTCGGGATTTTATTGTACGGATAGGTGCTTTTACTTTGGAATGAATTTGTCTTCTCTTTTTTTGCTTCTTTTTTCCTTCGGGGTGGGAATGCAATGTGGTCACTAGACGTGAATTAGAACGATATTCATCTAGAACTTATAGAAAGTTTCTTGTCTCCATCTTCGATGGTCGCGTCATAGTACATAATAAACTTTCTATTAATCCCCCTAATATTTGACAGACTGGAGATCACCCAATAATGAGATGAACGTATACTGCTTCTGGTATAAGTTCTAATGAAGTCCTGAGCTCGAAGAGCATCCAATGTCACATCCTTCACAATTACAACCTATTCAATATCGCTGAATGATTTTATATTGTAGCTGTGAAGAAGGTTATCTTATTATTGAAGCTACGACTCATGATTATGCAGACCCATAATCGTTCTTGCCATATAGAGCCTAACATTGCGAATTTAAGCTTTCCCTCCATCATAGCACACTCGACATTTTTAGCCCACGCCAAATTCATCGTCTGCGCTAGCATCCTAGCTTAACGGTTTTACTAACTTCATCCGGACTACGAAAGACACCGGCATTCTATCAAAACCACAAGACTCTAGTGTAAATAACAAGTTGGCACAATTGCCAAGTTCTGGTTTGTCATCCCGACTCAGTAATGTGCTAAGGCTCATTCGGGAAAGATTCGAGTTTATGTTGGACTTGCGGTTGCGGTTGTAAGAATTACTGTGATTGACCCAAGTGGAATAATCAAAGAGATTCAGCTAAGAGGAGAGATTTATGATGCAAGTACAAGTTTATGCTATTATGATGGTTCTCTAGACTTCGTCTCTAGAGTCCTAATAAGGAAAAGCAGATTTGCTGTAAGCGAGAGGGGACAGCATATTTCATCTATCGCTGCTAGATGAGTGGAATTTATAACTAGGGAGCCGTTACAAGTTACAACCGAGGATTGGAAATTAGGAAGGTGAGTCCCTTGTACATTTGCACCATGATCGGTCTCCAAAATGCTTTCAAGTTGTGAATGGAATTTTTCATGTTGCAGCTCATGTTCAAGTGGTATGAGTTGGTACGGTTTTCCGGCTTCTTAGATTTTTTCTTGGGTTATTTAAGCCATGAGAATTTCGTCGATATATGCTTATATGCTTATATTGACTTCGTTGCCGGTTGCTATGGGCCACTAAGAATTAGATCCATCACTGTGAAAGGCCATCTTCCCAACATTGACGTAAAAGATTACTTCGTGGGTCTGATTCAGCAGAATACAGCAGTTTGTAATAGGTTGCAATTAGGAACTTTCGCCCCGACACCACCTAGACATAAGGAAGAAATATTGGAGCCTGCTTTTAGTATGCGAGAGCCCTAAATTTACGCTTCATCCTCGAGATAAACAGAAGAATACAGTGCGATTTTGAAGCATAGGAAAGATCTAGTAGAGTGAAAAATCTGCTGCTTAGGATTGATTCTAGTGGGAATTTGGTACAGTCCATTTGAACGTTTTGCATGTCTCGAGAAGCTTCCATACAATGTGACCAGCTGAAACCAAGGAAGTCTTGATCCAATAACCAGTAATGATGTGGCAGTTGAAACGATGAGCTCCCAAGGGTATTTGCAAAGATTTAACTCCTAATGATATCAAGATAGTAAGTAGTATTAGAATGGAGAGTTTACTTCCCAACATTTGTAAACCTCAAATAAGGCTTTACTTCTCTGACGTCGCCAAACTTCTTCCGCGCATCTTCCGTCTTGACTGTGGGTGGCACAATAACATCATCTCCCACCTGCCAATCAATTGGTGTAGTGACACCCTTCTTATCCGCCGTCTGCAAACTATCAATGACTCTCAACACTTCCTGAGTATTTCGTCCGCAGCTTGCTGGATACATCATTGTAAGTCTGATTTTCTTGGCAGGATCGATAATGAAAACGGAGCGAATAGTAAACGCAATGCCTTTTTGATCAATGTTGGTTGTGTCTTGAGCATCAAGCATGTCGTAGAGATAGGCTACTTTGCGGTCCGCATCGGCAATGATAGGGAATTGTAGTGTCACTCCAGAGATTTCGTTGATGTCTTTGATCCATTCTTTGTGGGATGGAAGAGGATCTGCAGACTGTTCAATCAATCGACACATTAGCATATGATAATGGTTGGATGCAACTCCCATAGACAGCATGTAATGGCAATCATACCAAACCGATCATGTTGACACCCCGCTTCTCAAACTCATCCTTCAATTTCGCAAAAGCACCAAGCTCAGTGGTGCACACGGGTGTGAAGTCTGCCGGATGGGAGAAGAGGATTGTCCATTTGTTGTCGATGAACTTGTGGAAATCGATTGGACCATGGGTCGTTTCGGCTTGAAAGTTTGGTGCTAGATGAAAGTATATTGTTAGCTTTGAACAAACGGTTGACATTATTGAAGCATGAACTTAGGATAAGGAATGGAGATATATACCTTCAGAGCCCAATCTCAATCGCGGCTGTTCAGGTAAAGTGGTTGTGGCGAGGAATCGTCGTGATAGAGGGGTAGTAACTGGGGCTCGGAAGGATTTCTGAACAGGAGAAGCGCGGGGTAATGCACGCAAGGTTCGGGGAACCGCGCGAGTAAAAAGGCTTGCCATTGTGAATAAGAAAGGCAAGAATTTAGACAGGGATCAAGCTGCTGATTTATATATTATCCTTCGAGTCAAGAAGATGGCAAGATTTAAGGTCAAACAGCTAAGTACAACAACTCTGTGACGTGATGATGTATTGGAATTGCCAGGGTAGGGTTAACTTTAGCGAGGCTGAAATGCAAGGCTACTATTGAATGTGGCGGTACGACTAAGGTCGGCCAAGCTCCTCTTCATTTTTTCATTTTTTTGACAAGCTATGATTTAAGTGCTTGAGTTACTGTCTTTGATTCACTTATATGACCCCCGCATGGATTGGTTATGATGTGAATCAAGTTGCAAGTTATACAGCCAGTGCTGCTGCAAGATCTACTCCCAATGGCGACGTGCCTCTTTCTGAGGGACGCTGTCTACCAAGAGCACAATAGTATATGGAGATCTTTGATTAGAATATTTGAGGACTGTCTAAGATGGTTGGCTCTCCCTGTCAAGTTTGTTCCTGTTGAACCTGTGAATATTGTTAGTTGGTATAGGCACTTATTTGATTACATATCCTTATCCTCTCCTTTGAAGGCGAGCTTTGGAGAGGACATCATTGTTTGATGTCTGACTTGGCTTCGGTGTCTCGGTAGCAATACATGGGATCTGAACTAGCTGGAACTTGGCAATGTTGTTTTCGGTGTTTGACCCAATAACCGTGTTCAGTATTTGGTCTAGAGATAGAGCCGCTCCGCTGGCGACTCTGCTCAACTCTTCCATTTCTTCCGGTACGGCTTCCATATCAATGAGTTGTGCAATCAATTTGAATTGCATTCAGCCCATGCTAATGCTCAAGACCATTCATCGCCTTCTTGCTAAGCCACTCCCAATCCTCCTTCTCCATAGATCTACCCTCCTTCTCTTCCGCGGTCTTACACACATGAAGGTATCTCTAGATTCGAGTCTATGTGTTGTCAGATTGTTATCCTACAGATCCAAACATAGATACAATATTTGAAATGATAAGTGCTGGAGTACTGACACAAGGGAGGATTGTGGCTATCAACGCGCCCCGCATCCGCATTTGATATTAATGCAACCTCAGTTCAAAAAAGTTCAAAAACCCGCAGTTTCGATACTGCGCTTGCTTCGAGCATTCATCTTTATATTGCTAAGTTTATATATAAGAGATGATTTCTATTTGATCTGGCAGCATATTGTTCAATTTCGTTATGGAACTTTCTGGGAACCTACAGACTAGACCGAGGCCTCAACATGAACCTTTGAATGTTTTGTTCTTGGGAACTGCCGGGTCTGGAAAATCTAGTATAATGAATAGGGTAAGTTACGCAGACTTCAGGCTTGATTGAAGGTGGCATGGTAACTGGAAACTAGATCATTTATAATCAACTCCTCCCGCCTAATAGTTTTTATGACCCAACACCCGAAGAACTTTCCCGAAAATATGTCACCGTTGATTCCGAACGATATATCGTGGATACCGCGAAATTGGACAGTGAACACTATCTGTCTGTGCATCAGCCACATATTCGATACGCTGATAGAATCATACTGATGTATTCCATCTGCTCGCCTAAATCTTTCTCCGCGCTAGAATCTCTCTGGACTTCCGTAAAACTGCAGAAAGTTCGGGAGAAGAAAGGTTTATACGTTGATATAGTCGGGAATATGAGTGATTTGTGGGAGAAGAGAAGTGTGAAGACCGAAGATGGAAAAGCGTTGGCCCAGATATTGAACTGTGGGTTCTCAGAGTGTTCGCAAAAGAGGGGGAGAATTGTGAAGCGTTGATCGAGGATATGATTAGGATAATGGATGGGCAGAAACAGGGCCAGGAGAAAATATTGACAGATTCGAGACGGAAGAAAGAAGACGAGGCGAGAGATGAAAGGGGAAGGGGAAAAAATGGAGTGGTAAAGAGAATTTTGAGGAGATTCCTGGCGTAATTCTCTCGACGAGCCTGAGTATTCGTTTTGCCAACGGATCGTCTAGAATTAATGGCCGTATGAGCCTGACTTGAGGATAATGCCATATTCGACACCAATTTGTGGTAAAATTAATGATTAATTATACCCTTACATGTGTACAAAGGATAATGATATATTCAACTATTCCTAGTATGGTGGAAGATATTTCTGAAATTTGAGATAACTACGGATTTGCTAGCTTTAAAATTGCCAGCCAAAGTCTGCTAGAAGCTAACGAAAACCATTGAATAGATCTTCACGTGGATGTTGAATTCGAAGTAGTTTTGTTACCAGTCCGGCACATCCTCCCATCGGACGCTACACGCCACTCCTCACTACCCACAGCAGTTGTTGCGTAAAAAAGGTGATCTGGATCCCATTTATTTTTGATGCCTAATAAAGTGCCATAATTCTTCCCGTAAAACGTTTCCTGCCAATTGCTCTGTCTGAAATTATCTTCATTTAGATAAGCTCCTCCGCCAGGGGTAAGCGCTTCGAGTTTAGGGATAATCTTATTTACCATGAAATATTGTGCAGCTACCATTTCTGATATTGGCGCGGAATAATTCCAAGGGGTGGTCATGATCACATGGATAAGAGCATCGCGCCAAGCCGGGAGAAGGGAATTCTCCACAGTGGAGATAATCTGAGGAGACGAGACATTCAAGGCGACACCTGTGTAGGGTATACCATAATTGGTAATATTACGGATGGTAGCGACATAGATCTTGTTGTTTTTCTGGATGACACTTCTTGGTATCAATCGGCCTCCACCAGTATTTATGTCTGGCCCACCCCAAGGACCATATGGAAGAGGGCCAAGATAGTTGTTGTAGTGTTCAAGATATGTTGGGTACTCTGTAAATGACACTGTATAATTAATGCCGAAAGTCGTGAGGGCATTGGTGAAATTGGTCATTATCCCTCGTACATCAGATCGAGTCTTATTGTATGCTGTCATACCAATTATGCGGAAAGCAGTAGAGGAAACGCCGTAGCCAACCATAGTTCCTGCATCGACCATTGCAGGAAGGTAAGAATGAAAGGCTTCCACCCCTGCCCAGAATGTTTCGATATTGGAATTATCAGCGGCTACTGCGAATGCAAGAGATGCACCGCTAACGACTGTATCAGGATATACCCTAACGGTAAGAGACATGACAACTCCATAGGTACCTCCTCCACCACCGCTCAAAGCCCAATATAGATCCGTGTTTTCGGTTCTTGAAGCAGTGACTACATCTCCACCAGCGGTCACAACTTCCCAGGAAAGCGTCTGATCAGCACCCATACCGAAATTACTGGCGAGAGCGGAATGACCACCTCCTTGAGTGTAACCTCCGGCGATTCCAACCGTGGGACATTCACCACCCACTGTCACCAAGCCTGCTTCATGAGCAGCCTCTAGAGCTTCGAAGCCTTGAACACCAGCACCAATTGTCATAGCTTTGCCAGTGTAATATTCAGATGACCAGTCAGAGAATGAGATACTCTTTAGGTTATGTGTCCAAACAGCCAATGCGTTTGCACCGGTCGACTTCCCCAGATAGCTTGTACAGATTTAGCGAAATATCAACATCGAGTTCAATCGAGTGGACACTTACTCATGACCAGTATTTCGGATTACAAATCGAATATTATGACTCTTTGCAAACTGAATGGCAGCAATGACGTGCTCAGATTTCGACACATTAACAGCATAATTGACCAAGTTTCCCAAGCGACAAGGACTTGATTCGTGAGAATAAGGATCGCAGCTCTGGTTTCCGAGGATAGCAAAGTATGGAGCTATCAATGAAGAAGATGAATTAAAACTAAATCAACATAAGTTTATTGATGTTGATGTCGGTTGGTATTTTCAATGACTTACTGCAAACTTGGGTTGGCCCAGGTAGCTTGTAGATATGCGCATTCACTTTCATTGTAATTGGGATCATGACATGGGCTCGCGATGGGTATCGTAGCTACCAGTCTACCATTAACTGTTCTGTTGAGTTTATTCCACTCTATTCCAGATGGCCATGTTGGATCTCCAAGTAGTGCTCTGCAATTGCAATGCTCAATTTCCTGTGCAGATACTGTACATAACAGCTGAAAAACAAGAAACAGAAGTTTGTTCAACACCATTGTCTTCATGACACGGGCTCGTTCTCACCCATAGACAAAGGTTTGAACTAAAAAGAAAGGGAGAAATCATGTTGAAATAAACAGTACAAATATATGTGAGCTTTTTACTTGGTAGAACGATCTGTATATGCATATCTTCAAGGCGGGGTTTTGTTCAGCTGAATGTAAGTACTAGTACGAGGAAGGAAATAGTTGAATCGATTCGCTTGCACATGGCTATGATCTGCGGCGCATGACTGTACATTTTAGATGAAGCCCAAACTTTCAACGAACCCAACTTGCTAGGTTACTATTGAAAGTTTTATCAGGAACAAGACTCCTAACTACTACCTTTTATCTCTCAAATCGCAAAGCCCAGAGTCCTCAACCATTTATGCACAAATTAGCCGAGGCATTTCCTTGTCAAGTATTGACATCTGTTTCTTACCCTAACTTCATTAATCGAATGCATTGAATTTGAATCTACGTTGTCATCCATCGAAATTTTCGATTGAATTTCAATTGCAAAGTCGTGCCCAACTCAACAAAAAGCACCCAATCAGCCATGCGCAAACTTTCCGAGGATGCGGTACCTTGATGTCTAACCACGGTATCGGAATGCCTTTTTATTCCGGTTGGGAATGAAGGAAAGAAATGTAAAATTTGAAAGCTCGATTATGCACTCGCCCTGCTTTTTGACAGCTGGGAGGTAGAATATCGTCATTGGATCAATATCGCGCCATTGCGGTTGTGCTCGAGACATAGTCAACAGCAACGAACTCGAAGTTTGTGTTTTGAAAACGTGTGAAAAAGGAAGAATTCGCCAAAATTCAAGTTCTAGCACCAGAATGTCTTACTCTAAAGACAGCATGTCAGGTAACATGACAAATACTCACTCGAGGATTATGAGTACCCAGTTTAATGAACCAAAAGGGTTAAACTTGGCCTCGATGAAGCTAATTACCTTGCCACGCGATTAATCGTCCACCGCCTCTGTACCCTACCAGTTTCGCAAAACGTACACGTAGGGTAGGATGGGCGACGGTAACTTACCGCTGGTAAGTAACCGTTTATTGGTAGAAGTACGGACCCTCAGTAAGTTGCTGGAGATGGTCCCACTCTCAGCAAATTCCAAAGGAAAAACACTTGGTAATTCCACCGCAGACGGCGCAGGGTGAAGAAAAAAGACCAAGAGACCTCGAACAAGCTTTGAAAGTCGAATGCAGACCTTTTAGAAATTATACTTAAACCAAGCATGAACTATTAGAACTAGCCAAGTATTAACTAGGGGTAGGTAGCTTTCTCTAGTTTCAGATATGCTCTCCCCACAAGCATGGGGTAATAATTTAAAAATCTGCTGAAATTAACATAACCGAGGCGTGAGTATGAGAATAATGAGAGATATTGTATCCCACTGCAAATCTAGACCCATAAGAGACTTGCGCCGCGAAATCGCCACAATGCGGGCCATGTACTTCCGTGAACAAAATCAGACATACGAGGAAATGACATGACATATTAGGCAAAAGTTCAATTTTGGCGCTACCCCGGATCGCAGGATAGATTCTCCCAATCGCTAGGCCTGTTAGCGAGGTAAATCCGGGGCCACGCAGATACCCCTCAGTCTCGATTGAGTAAAATCTCCGACGCAAAACAAGAATCCTTGTCAACATTTATTATTCCGTAGGATTTTACTAACAATCATTTGATCTTTGTATGCTTCGAAGTGTTGGTGGAAAACGGAGAATCCTGCTTCCGTTTCCTTTTGGGTACCTTGGTTCTAATGTAGTTTGTGCACGTCGTGAAGGTTTGTGTAGTCAAAGCTTCATAGAAGGAACATCTAAAATTGTACATAAGCCATTGAATCCCCGTTCGTGAATTCCATCTAAAGGTTGAATCATCCATCCATTTTGTAGAGGTTTTCTCTCAGCCAGGAAACCAGTTTTCAACATGTTGGCCGACGAAAAAATAGGTGCGGAGGAGACACACCAAGAACATGTAGGTGCCATTGCGGTAAAAAGGAGTGACAGAGCTGACAAGTTGAACGTAGAAGGACGAGAGTAATATAGCTCAAGTCAAGGTTGTGACCGGCGATGAGGCTTTTGCGCAAGCGATGTTGAAGGAGCCACCAAAAACGTGGTCGGCTCGATCCTTTATACTATACGCCTGTGCCGTGGTAGCTTTCTTCTGCAGTACATGCAACGGATTCGATGGCTCTATGTTCAACTCCCTCCTCGCAATGGAGCAGTTTAGAAAGTACTTTAACGTTCAAAACGATGGTGCTTGGACGGGCATAGTTACATCGATGTATTCGATCGGAAGCGTTGTTTCTATTCCATTCATTGGACCAGCGATTGATACTTGGGGAAGAAAAGTCGGTATTTATATTGGAGCATCGTCGATTGTCTTGGGAACGATAATCCAGTCCACCACACTCCACTCGAGTAATGCGATCGGACAATTTATGGGCGGCAGATTTTTGCTTGGATTTGGTGTGGGAATAGTTGCATCGGCAGGACCAACGTGCGTAATGACAAGTCTCAAGTCAAGCTGAAAACTTTAAAAGCTAACTTGTCACAAGATATGTTGTTGAAACATCGCATCCTGCCCATCGAGGTGTTGTCACTGCTGTAAGTCCATATAACTCTTGAAACATAGGTAGTGAAACTGAATAGCTTATAGTTCTATAACACATTTTGGTGAGTTTATACATAATGCACAATACTTCATACTCTCCAAGATAAACAGTTTTTTGAAACCTCAACCTCACCAGAAACCCATGGCTAACCCTAGATAAGGTTTGTTGGCTCAATTCTTGCTTCTGGAGCTGCACGAGGAAGTGCAAATCTAACTGGCAATATGGCTTGGCAAGTTCCAGTCTGGCTGCAAATGGCATTTCCGGGACTTTGCATCTGCTTGGCATGGGCTCTTCCCGAAAGTCCACGCTGGCAATATGTACACGGCCAGCGAGAAAAGGCGAAAGCAATGCTTACACGATATCATGGCGAAGGGAATCCGAATAGCGTTTGGGTCGAAATGCAGCTTAATGAGTATGAAGAGTTTTTGGAGTTGGATGGCGCCGATAAAAGATGGTGGGATTATCGAGCGCTGTTCAAAGACAGGGCTTCAAGATATCGTTTAGCTTGCAACTGCACAATCGCTATATTTGGGCAGTGGGCCGGAAATGGTATATGTCAAATACTCAGTTTATGATCCAATGTGCTGACTCGACGTCAAGGTCCACTTTCGTACTTTATTTCAGCTGTTCTTGACACGGCAGGAATCACGAACTCGATAACACAACTTAACCTCAACCTGGGTCTAAATGTCATGCAATTTGCGCTTGCTCTATTCGGTGCTACGCTCGTGGATAAAGTTGGGCGCCGTCCATTATTATTATTCGCAAACATCGGATGCGCCATAGTCTGGATCGGAGCCACCGTCTCATCGTCCATCAATTCCAGCACAGGTAGCAAGAGCAGTGGCGGAGCTGTTGTGGCCATGATATTCCTCTTCGATGCCATCTTCAGCATAGGTTTTACACCTTTACAAGCATTGTATCCAGTCGAAGTCCTGAGTTTTGAGATGAGAGCCAAAGGAATGGCATTCAGCAACTTTGCTGTGTCAGCAGGTATGTTCTTCCTAGCTTACGCTCTCAGGCTTTCCAACTAACTACCACTGGTAGCGACTCTTGTAAATCAATTTGCATACCCTGTGGCTCTGGAAAAGATCAAATGGAAGACATATCTTGTTTTTGTGATTTGGTGTCCAATCCAAGCTCTTGTGATTTACTTCTTTATCCCTGAGACGAAGAACCGTACTGTAAGTTGCCATCGGAATTCTGTAAAAAAAAAAAAGAGCACATCTGACCCTATGTTATAGTTGGAAGAATTGGATAACATCTTCCGAGCCAAGAACCCGAGGAAAGCATCTCTGGAGAAAAAGAAGTTAGCTGTTGACGATGGTGCAAACGTTTTGAAAGTGGAAGAAGTCATTTGAGAGCGACGACGTCAAGATGGGCCAGAGTGGCGGTGGTGACATATCATATATCAAGATTTTTAGCAATATTAGCTAGACGGCATCCTTGCAATTCTCATATAGTAAACTTTGCATTTATAACAAATAATAACAATTGATATGGGCTGCAATACTGTTGGATATATATTTCTTTTGGAATGTTGCAAATGTATTGATTGACAGATAGATAATCTATCGAAAAGGTTGTGAAGTCGGTAGGAGCTTTACCCAATAATTAATATGGACAAATATAGGGGAGTTGCTGATTGGCACAGCATTTTTAGCGCTAAATGCATCACAACTGATTTTCTTGTCAGCTAATAAACGTTATCGAAACCAAACACAAACACAATTCAACACAACACAACAATGAAAATACCTTCATAATCTTCTTCAAACACAAAAGTTTCCCACACTCACGCTCTGTACCGCATTTTTCACCAAGTGCTAGGCACCACATAAATCTCTTAGCCGCGACAATGCTCTCCAGACTGCGCATACCAAAGCAAAACGACTTTATCCATCGTGCTACATTCTAGCGACTTCTGCCCTCTAAGATCTCACAATACACCTATACCCTGAAGGATGGAAAATGTCGAGTTTGCGAGGTATTGAAGATGGTTCACTGCCACTTTACAAATGCATCTGTGCTGGACAGGTCATCGCAGGAGAAGTTGTGAAGATCGTTCTCTTGCACAACTACGGACCTGGAGAGACCATCTCAAAGAGTTCTGCGTATTGAATCTAGCCGCACAAACCTGCAGATTATCCAAATTCTTATACTATACTTTTGGGTGTGTTTGGGTGGGATTATATTGCTTTTATTCTTCCGTCACACCAAAGCACCGCCAGCATGGCAGACACAATGCCTTCTTAGCCTGAATCAAACTAGCAAGTGGTAATGTTTGATCCGGATATTTAAGTTGATAGAACCCCAGAGCTGCTTCATAACTCAATCCAACCTTATACTGCATTTTCCTTTCGCATACTTTGGTAATGGAAGGTATACTTCTGTGGCTAGCTTTTGCTGCGGCCCGAACGAACTAATATCTAATAGAATACACAGCATGGCAGTAGTCCTGCGGAAGCAGTCGACAACTTGTTGGTCTTACTACATGATGTCTAGCCTTTAGGCCCTTGAGACAAATGGCTTGATGAGGCTCATGCACGAAAAGAGCCAAGAACGGGAGTTACAACTTGTTGGTAGCATAAACACAGGCTTTGAAACTGTTTGACAGCGTACCTCCGTGATCAGGTTGGCATGGTTGTGTTTTTGAAGGGATAAGTCTCAGTCGAGTGGATAAATTATTGCAAAGTCAGTGAGTGATTTGTATAGTTTTCTTTTTTTGCTAGCTTCCACAAGCTGTTTATGAGATACCTTATTTTTGGGATTAGTTAGTAGCCAGAGAATGCAGAACTTGCCAATCAATTCCCTAGAATCGCAAACTAGCATTTATACACCAGATTGATACAAGCATAAGCTACTCGAAAGAAGTGCTCTCTTATGTGGAAGCACTTTCGTTGTCCACAGACACTGGCAAATTTGTTTCTTTTGGAAGGAAATCACACCGTGTTTGGTATTTGGCGCTCGGTCCTCTTCTCTTTAGGCACAATGAGATACAAAATTATCACAATAATGAACCTTTACATCCGTGATGACTTCGTTAGCATCAACTGGAATTTAAGCCAATCGCGCTAGAGCGGATAGTCTACCACCTTTGACTATGTAGCTGGAATTAGTCAAAATAGTTGTGTTAAGTAACAGAAGCAAGAGAAGTGACCTGTGAGAACAGATTTTATGTTGCTTTTGAGCACAGCTATGCTATTGTATGGTGCGATCTTGATGAACAATAACACAATCGTCCATTTGGAGGAATGCTTAATTCTCAGCCGTTCAGAAACGGAATTCTCTCAGCAGTGATGAAATTGACACTAGCAAATTAGACGGGGGGTGATAGCAAATCTGAAGCTTCAGTGGTGGTCAAACCTGTCGTTCAAAAGCGTACAAAGTAGCGGGGCAGCAGGCCCCATGAACTTCTATGATGAGGTGTTCCAAATTTGCGCTGACCTTGAAGGGGATACCATGAGGATGAGGTTGATAAAGTTTAAAAATAAGGTTCTAGTGGTGATGAAAGGAAGTTACAAGTCGGTAATTGAATTTTCTTTTTCCGGAAAGTTCTATAATCCATCCTGCTTCTGCCCATAGGGCAAATTCCGTACCAGAAATGTAAAGATCGAGACCGACAGAAATTCTTATTTGAGGTACAATGGGCAATTCATGATTTGACAAGTGAGATACAAAGACTTTATTCCTTTAGAATGAGTAAAATTGAGGATGTTTCCTGCATTACATGAAAATTGAGAGGAATTCATGTCTCTAGACTTCTCGGACCTGCCACGTTGGTCTCTGTCGCTGCAAAGTAGCCAAGCAACTCTGCGAGCTAGTCAATCAAATGGATCAAGGGACTTTTGGAGTAACTAAGATCCCTGGTAACTATCACAATTTTTCTTCTCAAGATTATGGTCTTGCGTATCAAGCTTCGGTTAGGAGAGCATTTGGCTTTGAAAAAATATCCGTGATACTTTCAGATTGAAGACGGCTGTGTCTTGATATAATATTACCTAGTTCTGAGAGCCGAGGAGGGGAGGTTCAATATGGCCGGTCGAAATCGAAGTAATCAACATAGAATCTTCTTACACCCCGACAGATAACAGTAGCTAGTATTCTTGGCTACATCTTAGCCGTCTTGGCATTTCACCTCACTCGAATTTGGATCTCAAGCCAGCATAAACATTCCTCGAATGAAAGTTGGAGAACAACACTGAAATGTACAAAAAGAAACGCAAATAGCTTTGATGAAGTTTATTTGATATTGATCCGGCCCGGATGGTAATTAATTACACAACTCCCCAACAAGCTCCGACGCTTATCCGTGCTTGTCGACATTTATCATTAAAATAGCCATTGATGTCTAAAACTTGTCAACCTCATTATTGACAACGTTGTTGATCCCGGAGTCCAATTGGGAAGGTACTCCCTCCTTGCTTGCAAATGAGTCGACGGCTGTGCGAAAGAAATGTCAGAATCCAATGAGCACAGAATAGCTAGATGGCTGGACATACCGGAGTCTACCATGGTATCTTTGGTGCTACCTCCCATACCATTGGAGTTGTTTCCCATATTATTTCCCATACCGTTTTCCATATTGTTTCCCATACCATTTCCCATATCATTTCCCATGTTGCTTCCCATGTTGTTTCCGTTATTTCCACCTTGTTGCATTTCACTCTCTCCAAACTCCTTGATATCTTGTCCGAGACCCATGATCAATTAATTAAAGTGATAGGTTGTGGCGTTGGTCTATATCAGATGTTAGATTCTGCTGAGCCATGGTTAGGTAAATCTTAGTTTGGTCAATCTTAGTTTGGTCAGCTCACTTCTTGTTTGTTTGAGTCGACAGGTTAAAAGCGATGTTTGACGTGTTGATGATGAAAAATAATGAGGAACAAGTGGAGGAACAAGACTCCTTATACATGCACATTTCCCTACAACTTACATCACAATTATTCATACGAACCTGCTTGATTGTTGGTCTTCATGAACTTCGCATCCAGCTTCGATGTTGCATCACAGTTAATGCATCATGATGTAAGATACTTTTCCAATCGCCCGCACTCTGATCTCCATATTAATCAATCTCTCCATCATCATGACACTCAAATTTAGACTCCACGTTCTGGGTTACAAGGGCTTACTCCGTACAGCCAAGATAAACCTGCTCTTATCAGAAAACCCCTGCAGTCTTGCATGAACAAGCGTCATGTTTTTGATGGCGCAGAACAAGGTTTGTGTGCCTGTCTCAATGCTTGATTTCCGATCGATGTGCACGCCAATATATGGGGAAAAGCTTGATTGAACCAATGCATAGAACGTCTAGTTCGTTATCTCTGCCAACATATGTAGAACGACTAGATGGATACCTACTTTTTGGACCGAGTAGCAACTATAAAATGTAGACGAGTAGGACTAAAAGATGCTAATGATTGTCTGTAGGTTCTTTCGCAACTTTTTTCATTCCATTGCTTGATCTGATGTATTAATAAGGTAAGTAGAGGAAAGATAGAAAGATAGTAAGTATATCTTGGCCCTAGGTATATAAAATAGTTCTAGAGGGTACGTTTTGAGACATCAAGCACGTGACTCACCACGAGGTCTTACATTTCAAATAAGGGTTACCTTATCAAGATAGGCAATCGATAAGATTAAGCATTCAGACATCTTCATCTGGTGATCCCTTCAGCCTGTTGACAGTCTTCTATTTGTATTTGCCGTTTGCATTGATATTGGTTTTGCATCTTTCGTTCATTCATTATATCCTCATTGCGCAATCAAGGCACTTTCTCTTAAACATTCTATCTAGATTCATCGACCTTATTGACTCCTATCTCTAACGGCTTCTACGTACAGTCCAACCTAAATCCTTAGATAACCACAAGCAACATGGAATACAAGATGGAATACAAACAACCTTTACCAACATCCTCCGACAAAATAACTCCTCGCATCATTATTCATGGCGGTGCAGGTAATATTCTACCTGCGAACCTTCCACCTGCGAAGTACAAGCTCTATCACGACTCGCTTCTTCGCATCATCTCCAACACTCATTACTTTCTCACCTCACCATCTTCTTTCCCCCTCCACAAAACCTCTTCTTCTACCACAACAGCTTTGGATGCTGTCACCTATGCAGTCACACAATTGGAAGACAATCCTTTATTCAACAGTGGACATGGCGCGGTCTTCACACGCGACGGAGTCAATGAACTGGAGGCATCGATTATGGTTTCTAGTGGAAAGAAAAAGAGAGGAGTCGGCCTGATGGGATTGCAACACGTCAAAAATCCTATAAAACTCGCACGCGAGATGTTGATACGAGGAGAACAAGACCTAGAGGGTGGGAATGGAGAACATAGGGGGCCGATGAGTGTTGAAGAGGAAAGATTTAAAGAGACACATGGAGCACAAGGACATTCACAACTACACAAATATTCAGCAGAGAAACTGGCAGAAGCATGGGGCTTGGAGATTGTAGATGAGAAATACTTCTTTGTACAAGCGAGATGGGACGAACATATCTCGGGTTTGAAAAAGGAGAAAGATGGAAACGGACATGCATCATGGGATGCCCAAGAATTTATACCACAAGGGACTTGCGGTGCCGTTTGTCTCGACTCGGATGGAGTGTTGTGTGTAGGTACAAGTACTGGAGGTATGACAAATAAATTGACAGGGAGAATTGGCGACACACCAACGTTAGGTGCCGGCTTCTGGTCCGAGGAATGGGAGGATACATCGGCCGACGAAGATTTGCATCGACTCCAACAACTCCGTCGAAGAATGCGCAACCAAGGGCCTATCATAGATTTGGGTAATCAGTTGAAAGCAATTGTTGCGGATTGCCTTCCAGGCTTAAATTTAAGAACCTACAACCCGATTTCTCAAGAATGGCTAGAAGACGAAGCTCTGAGTGCCAGGAAATGTATGAGATCATCCGCTATGTCAGGTACTGGAAATGGTGACTCTTTCCTTCGCATAGCAGCTGTACGCACCGCATCAGCAATTGCTCGTTATCGTCCTGGAACTTCCCTACAAGCCGCCATCACTGAAGTTACTGGCCCTGGCGGAGAGCTTGTTAAATCGGCAGGGGACCGATGGAAGAAAACGGGTGAAGGCGAAGGAGGTATCATCGGTATTGAGCTCAAGGTTGTAGTTGATAAACATGGCCGAAGGAAGGATGCAGTGAGTCAAGTCGTCTATGACTACAATTGTGGAGGGATGTTTCGCGCAGCTATCAACGAAGATGGAAAGGCTGTAATGAGAGTATGGAGGCCTGGTCAGTACCATGGCTTGGAGGTATATGAAGGTGAAGGAAGAGAGTATGAAGTTGCTGATTGGGTCGACGCAAAATAAGGATTCAATCGATGGGTTTTGAGGGCTAGTATGATTAATGATTAACACGGTTCACGGAGCCAACGTCTGTTTCCTCGGTTTCGATGTATGTTCAAGGTTAGTCATGTTTAGTGATGCAGTTTTATGAAACCTCTAGTGAGGGCCGTGAAGAACAGAGTAAGATAATTCCCCAAACTACTCTTCGTTTCAAGGCACAGAGGTTCGGGAATCACGTGGGACTTACAACGTAAACCATCCAATTTTTCAAATTCTTCTCCATACACTCCATGGATTTTCATCAACATATCACCCAGCCGACTTTCCTACGCCCAACCAGCAGCATTGTTCCCCTCATGAACCTTACATCTCGAAATTCTCCGTCCAAGAATCCACGTGCACCCTGATTCTCGCCGGCTCAATTATCCCTCCTCAAAATTATGTCTCCTACCCGCGTCTCCGCATCCTCCACAAAGTCCTTACCACTTTTCAGCGCATCTTTGACTGTGTCTTAACTCCACTGCAAAGATTTTTTCCGAACCTCAATCCTCTTCGGATGCCTCCTTCCCGCATTTTTCCAGGGATGCTCATCAGCCGGGGGTGGGGAAGTTCTTAGCATCTCGTCTTTCCTTGTCGTCAATGGAATTAGTATGGGCCATTTACCTAGCTTCGATGTTGATTCAATTCTGCTCGGATTAAAGCTCAATGCCGGAGACTTCGAGTTGGTCGAGAAGGTCTAGGACGTTCTGCTTGCGGATTTTTTCTTGCCTCCAGCCAGTCTGTTGCATTCCGTGCGAGGTACACATGTTTGAGGTCTTCCGATGGTTCATGATTCGCAAGTTTTGATTTTCCGAAGCGGCTATGATTATTTGGCTTAATCTTCTAGAGATCTTGTGTCGTTTAATATACGAAGAATATGATTTGCTACGCAAACCGGATATAAACCTTGAAGGAATTCCACCATTGAACAAAATACGTAGATGTGACAGGATTCATTTTTTCAAGTACTTTTAATTCACGATGGTGACTTATGACTGGAGCAAATTTATGCCTGAACTTCATTTAATATATGGATGAAGGGAGAATTAATACTATCTATCTCACCTCTCAATCATATTCGTGGCTGGTGGGCCCCATAATTGTTCAATAACTCCCATCTTTCAACTCCAGGCCCTTCCCTTTGTGCTCAATAATGAGAATCTCATCCTTTTTCTCACCCTTTTTACATAACACTATTGCCTTCCTTCCCTTTGTCTTATTTACTGTGTTTTGAATAGCACTAATTAGTTGTAGAAGTTTCTGTAATTTTCCCTGGTTTGCTACTTCCCACTCTCGCATGTCTTCGCTCTTGTCACATTCCGTAATATATGATTTTTCAAAAACTCCCTCGTTATGATTGGCTATAATTAGATGCTTGACTTGTGAGAAGTAGAGTTGCGGCATCCATTTAGCTCGCGTCGGAGATTTTCCTACTTTCGCGGTTTTGACCTCTATCATCGGAAGGGTGCACATTTCAATTTCGCTTTTGACAATTTTGATGCCCTGGTAAGTTGACTCCTTCCCATTTGAATTGATATTCAGCAATTGTAGGCTGTGTCTTGCCCGATCCAGATCCAAACTTTGAAAACTTCTTGTAAGATCCTTTGTACTCCGCACGTCGTAATATCCATCAAACTCAAATCTGACCATCCATTTCATGCCTCCAATCTCGTAAGCAGCCATTCGGTAGTGTCCAATAGTCTCCTTCAACGAGTCGTCCTTGTATCTTAAGAACGCCCTCTCAAATGGAATACCATAACCTTGAGAACTATATCTGGCGACTCCTTGCTCATTCTTCTCAAAGATCATAGTGTTTCGGAACATCTGGACGTTGAGTTCCCATGAATGGCCAACCTTTCCACCAACGAAGTCTAGTAATTTTCGAAGCACATTGCGGTCTATGATAAGATCCGTGGAGGGGAGAGTATGTGTATCTGTACGCGCAATACTAACGGAAAGTGCGGCAAATAACGAGTTCATTGATACTTGCATTTGATATGCTTCTTTATCCAATTTAATGCCAATGCTCGGCTTTAGTGTGGTTGGCAAAGCAGGCGGAGACCATTTTGGTGGGGAGCTAGGAACCATGGTAATTGGTTTTTCATTTGAGATGTTGTAGGACGCGACATTTTTAAATCCCGTAATTTTGATTAAGTTTTTGGCCTCGTAAGCCTCGAGAGAAGAAAGGCTGACAGTGGCAATAACTGCGCCTATGTTTCTGGAAAATTGGACTGGCGTACGTGCTGTGCTAGTGGGATAGAAAAACTTGTGACCATCGGCATTGCAATCATCTATCAACTATCATTATTGTTTCGATTCCACTGTTCAGTGAGCTTCATTCAAGGAATACGAACCAGTATTAGAACCAAAGGAATGCGAAAATTTACAATTTGCGCCTCTCTAGCATTTGCCCTCGCGCCTCCAGATATAGCAAGGCTTTGTGGTTTCTACATTCATCTTGTGATCTTTCGTCTACATAAGGTTGGTATCGGATATTTTTGATGGCAAAAAATTTGAATTGAAGATATAATCAGAGAATTGATAGAATTGATTGAATATTATCAGAGACACTTATCCATTACGGAATCGGCTTTTACTCTGATCCATCTCCTCAGCGAGATTTGCTGCCCACGTGCCAGAATCTTGTCCTTCCTAAACCATTCATTTCTTGAGACTTGCCTGTCACCTGATACTAGAAAAATACCACTACTCGCGAACTCCGCGATTCATATAATCTCGAAACTATCAAATTGTTTAGCCCCATCTTTCACTTCCTTTACACTATTACATCTAATATAGGATAGTATTTTCCTATCCGACTCGATCCCCATCTTCATAGAAAATATCTATTCTCCTTGTGATTCGTAAGTAGATAGATCTACACATTCACATTCCATACAAAATATCCATCACTAAACTCATTATCTAAGCTACAGCACACACAGAACTTCTCAAGTCACAAAGTAAGAAAGCTCGCCTACCAGGCTGGTATCATTCAACTATAATATAACACAATGCTAAGCCGACTCATTTCTTCTTCCGCACTCTTTCTCCAGAGCCGATGCATTCACGTACTCACTCCCCCATTCAACATCATCTGACCCCTACCCCCATCGAAATAAAAATGCACTCCGATTCATGCTTGCCAGCCCTCTTTATTTCCTGGGCAACTCTCTAAACACTTTCCTAAAGATCAACCGACTATTGTACAGATTATTAACTCTGATTCTTTCGTTGTCTGTTTGTTTTATCACCCATTAGCAAGATTCTTGTCGTGAATAACCAACGCCACCATAGGTCAGATGACGCAGACGAAATATAATAGGAAAAAGCAATCTCACCTAAATGCGCACTATCACTCGCCTGCCCGCATGGCAAATGTGCTGCTGGGGCTCCGAACTCCTTCTCTAAAAACCGAATACTAGGGATTGAACCTCCTTCCCTGATATACAATGGTTTCCTTCCCCTCCCTGTCCCATTTTTGGCACCCAATCCCTTGCGTTCTCTACTTTTACCATAATCTATCTTATCATTTGCATTCCCAAGCCCCTCAATTTCTTTCTCATGTCTTTCGCCAGAAATGTCTTCTGCATCTAATGATAATGATGCAAGATCTACCGGTGCAGTCGCCAAACTTGTGTGGTCACTCCCCCCAGTTAGACTCGTGGTCGTCGCTGGTGTAGGCTTAAGGCTTGGGGATGCGTTGATTGGACTCGTAGGTGAGTTTTCCTTTTCTTTCTCGACATGTTTAGGACCCTGCACACTACTCCTCCTCGTGTGATTCGTTATCGGTCCCCAAACCTCCATGATCGCTTCCTCTAAAGTCCTAAAGATTTCATTCTCAGGGTCACCAAGCCATGCATCTGCCTGGTTGTCGATTGATATTGTTAAATGATTATGCGTGTCAAGCTTCGCAAAAGCATCTTGGAGGAACTTTGAAAGGGATTTGATGACGTCGTCGACTTCTTGGTTGGGCACTAGACGAAGGGAGATAGCCGCGCTAGCATGTGATGAAACAAGGGAACCATCTGGTCCAGAGACTTTATAACGATGGAGTGTCAAATTTGGTTCTCTCCATCTTGCCATGATTGATTGCTTGAGATTTTCGGCCGGTCCAAGTTCTGGGTTGCGACGGAGGAGAGTTGACACAATATCATCGTATCGAGCCTCTTCGGCTGGAGTTATAGGAAGGATGTCATCGTAGAATCCAGGAATTTGGATCCTGTTGTGAAGCCCTTTGAGTTTGGCCAAGATAGCAGTCAGATCAAAAAGTGGCTCATCCATCATGAAACTTCCATCAACTCCACTATGAACATCTGGATGTTTGCTATTAACCCTGACAGTGGCGTGAAGGACGCCTCTCAGGCCATAAGTCAGACAAGGAACCTCATCATCAAGCCAGTAACTATTGGCTAGAATGATATAATCAATATCGCCAATCAATTCCTTATGCTTCCTCACAGCGTCCTTGAAACCTCTCGATCCACTCTCTTCCTCCCCCTCAATCAAAAAAGTGATATCGGAATCCAAAGCTTTCTCGTGAACCAAGTCCACAACTCCATAAAGAGCAGCCATGATAGGTCCCTTGTTGTCACTCACTCCACGTCCGTAAAGATACCCGTTTACCCCCTTCATGTGGAATGGGTCAATGATCCATTTCTTTTGCTTGTCATCCGCAGGCACGACATCATAATGCCCATAAAACAATATCTTCTTCCTCTTTCCAGCCGTCTCTGGATTTCCTTTGAACTTGGCATAAACAATTGGATTGTGATGAGCCTCGGTGGTTAGCATTTCAGTAACCGCACCGTGTTTCTTGAACAATGTTCTGAGAAACGTAGCACCACGTCGACAATCCTCGGCATGATCAGGTCTTGCAGAAATCGTCTTGAAAGCCACAAAATCTTGCAACGACTTGATGAGTTGATCGTCCTGAAGCGACTCGTGTTTCGGATATGTGCCAGTGTCACAACCAGTAATATCCCATATCGAGACCGAACAATCGTTTGCACCAGTTATGTAAAGTTGTTGACCATGGAACGTGGTGACTGCTGAAGCCAAGATTCTTCCTTCATGTGCTTTCCAGCGCTTGACGCATTGATATTTTTGGCTGAAATTCGAGGTTTTGTATTGTCCATATTGTACTGTGCTGTATTTCTGTCAAATGTTAGCCTCCGGTCATACGAGACGAGCACACCAACCACAGAAAGCAAACTCACTCTAGCGTGTCCTGTACTTCCTCCACTCCAAAGATAACCCCAGCCCATTTGCAACGTCATAACATCTCCCTTATTCGTCCTGATGACCCTCAACTTCTGCCTCGTGTCCAAATCCCACAGCTCAATCACCCCTTCCAGTTTACTGCTGTACAGGAAACTCCCATCTACCGCGAGACTCAAGACACTTTCGGCATCATCTTCCCCAAGTCTTTCAATCTCAATGATCCCTTCGTCTTGATCATTGCTCAATTTCCACAACTTAATTGTCCCATCTCCTCCACCAGAAATGAGCATATCCTCATCCGCGTCGACTTGCCTGCAGACGCCCCGAACCATGAGCATACAATAGACATAGCCAAAATGAGCATATTGTTTCATATGCGCCTTGTCAATTTCCAACACATCTCCCTGATCCGCAGCCGCCCGTGCAACTTGTCTCGGCCTTGGTGTACTTGTCCCTCCATGCTGCACACTATCAAAAAATCGATGATTCCTCTTATCTGGGTGACGTTCCGGGTTTGGGGTAGGTCTCGCCGCAGAATCCCTTAAACTGACCCATTGTATGCTGGTGTTTTGCGCTCCCAAATACACTGTCTCGAATTGAGGGGAATAGGCTACGGAAAATACATCGCCGACGTCGTAAGTGCTGTAGATGTGATACTTTCGGACTAGGGTCGTAGGACACCACGCGTTAACAATGGCGTCACCAGCAGATGAGAAGAGAAGTTTGCCGTCCGCGGAAAGGAAAAGGGAGAGGACGCTGCGGGTATGTGCTTGGATACGCGAAACGAGTTCGTAGGATGCAAGGGACCAGACTATGATTTCTCCATCTTGAGTACCCGCATAGATATATTTGGACCCGACAGCGAGAGTAAGAATTGATGAATCGTTTTGCAGGTGGTGAAGGAGTTGAGGACGTGAAGGGTCGAGGTCATCTTCCGAGCTGGTTCGTTGACTAGGATCGTGGGATAATGAGTCAATTTGTACATTTTCGTCTTCGTCTTCAGTACTGGCTGGTGGATTGTTAGTTGATGGTGAGCTGGAATTATTTGTTTGTGAAGCTGGAGATGTAGATTGAGCAATTGAATTTGAATTTGGATTTCTTGACCCAAAGATTGAGGTCATCTTTTATTTAGCTCGAGAGTGAGGGGGAATGTACGGAGTAAGAAATAAGACGATTGCTAGTCAGGGATGACTTTGGAATGGGGAAACCAGGTAGGGGAGCCCAGTGGTAAGTGGTGGCCCACCAATGGCCCTATGGAGTTAGAGGCTTATACTCCATAAATGAAGCCCGTCG